GTTAATAAATTACCCTTATTATAATTAGGATATAATATAATCCTTAAAACTATTATTAACAACCCTTTAAATAGCCCTCCTTAGTATTAAACTTTAATTTAATACCTACTATTAAAAAAAGAAGTAATAAATAAATTGCTAACCTATAACTTTATTAAACCTTATATAAAAGTAAATGCTTTCCCTATCTTTTTTATTCCTAAACTAAATTTAACTAAAAATAGTTCTATATTAATTACTAATAAAAAAATAAATACTTAAAAGACTATATTATCCTAATACTAAATTTAAATAGTACTATATATAATAGCTAAAAAGCTAAATATTATATTAAGCTTAATATTATTAAAGCCTTTTATAAATTAAAAATAGTTTTAAAATCTTAATATTTAATAGTATTCCAGATTTAATAAAAAGTATTCCAATAGTTAATTCTACTTTTTAAATTAAAAATTAGCCCCACCTAGTAATAAAACTTTATTAATTCCTAACTATATAAACTATTTAACCTTTTTATTAATACTTATATTAATAATATCTTAATATTTATAAACGATAAAAAAGAATATTAGGAATAATATAAAGAAGTAATATATTACCTTTATAACGTTAAGCTTTAAAGAAATATAAAAAAATCCTACTTTAATATAACTTTTATAAACTACTTAAGTATAATTTTAAAAGCTAGATAAGGTATCCAAATAAACCTTAAAAAGATAAATACTATTATTAATTAGAATTTTAAAAACTTAATTAATACTTAAATTATCCGTTTATTTTTAAAGCTATATAACTTTATCCGGATATTTATATATTATATTAATAATATAGTTAAACCTTTAAACCGTTTATTTAAAAAGGGTATACTATTTAAAATAAGTAATAAATAATATAAAGCTTTCGAATTAATAAAAAAGTTAGCTTATAAAGCATTAATATTAGCCTTCTTTTAGTTTAACTAACCTATTAAAATTAAAACCAACACCTTTTAAAATATTACTAGTAGAACTATTTAATAATAATAAAAAGATAACACTTAAAAACCTATAAGGTATTTTTTAAAAATTATATTATTAGTTAAGTAAGCTTATCCTATATAAAATAAAGAATTATTAACTATAATTTAAACTATAAAGTATAATTACCTAAAGTTATTAAATATAAAGTTCTTTATAATAATTAACTATTAAGCCTTATTATATTTTACTATTAAAAAAGTCCTTTTTATAAAATAAATAAAATAGGTAAACTTTTTATCCAACTTTAATATTACCTTCCAATATTAGCCTAGTTAAAAAATGTAATAATAAATACATTATCTTATAAAATAATCAATCTATTAACTATTAAAGCTCGTAAAGCTAAAAAATATAATATAACCCTAATCCTACTTAAAGCTCTAAAAGGGCCGGTAACTGCTGTAAAAGAAAAGGTAATAATATTATATAGCTCCAACCTAATAGACTTAATCTAATAAAAAAACGAAAAATAAGGTCTAAAATGTAAAAACTATTAGTTAATCATTTTAAAGCAGACCTTTAACTTAAAGGTTTATTTCCGGATAGCCTTAATTAAAGAAGCCTACTATTTAATAATTGCTATTTACCCTAAGCAAAATAAATATATTAAAATAATCAAACAGGATTATTATTAACCTTTATTAAAACAAAATATCCAAATATATATTTATAATTATTATAATTATTAACAAAATAAAATCCCTTAAAATAAAACACCTAAACTATTATACCTATTATTAATCCTTATAGCTATTTAACGTTATATCATAATTAATAGGAAGGATATACCCTTAAATAAATATAGTTATAATTATATATAAATATTTATTAATAAATTTAACTGCTTATTAATTATAATACCCAATAAAAAAAACAATATAGCGGAAAACGTAATATATTAATACTATAAGTATACTTATTATTTCTTAGGTTTCCTAAAGGTATAGATTTTAAATAACGTAAAACCCTTTATTTTACACTTCTTAGCAAAAATTAATAAATTAACCTATATTAAATACTAATATAAAAGTACCCTTTACCCTTAAACATAAAAAACTATAAAGTTTATAAATTAAAAGTTAAATTAATAGTTACGCTTTTATATTAATAAATATTAAAATAATTAAAGCTTTTATTTATTTATATTAAATTTCGCATATAACGCTTTTTAATATTTAACTATTAATATAGTATTATTAAAGGTCTTAATAGGAACTAACGTAAGGAACCCTCTATCGCTACCCTTATTAAATATTATTAAAAAGATAATACTTAAAAAGCTAACCTAATAATTAATATAATAAACCTATAAAGTATAAAAGGTAGCTTATAAAATAATAAAAGCTATATAAAAAAGGTAAAAAATATAGGTAAATAAGAAATAATACCTAATAAACTTCCATATAAAAGATAAGGTCTTCCTAAAAAAGAAAAGCTTTATAACTAATAACCCAACTACCTAATTAAACTCCTAATAGGTTGGACCCTTTAAAATATTCGAAGAAAAAGAATATAACTATATATTAAACCTTTTAAAGTTAATAAAAATAACCAACCTCTTCTATATAAATCAACTATGTAAAGTAAACAAAAATCCGCTACCCTAATAAACCCAACCACTATTAAAACTTAAAAATATTAAAAAAGGACCGGAATAAAAAGTTAAGCAGCTATTTAGGTTACAAATAATAGGGCATAATAAAACGCTACAATACTAAGTTGCTTAAAAAGGTTACAACCCTAACAATACTTAATACCCAGTAAAAAATTTTAAAAATTTACTAATTAAAATATAAAAGTTTTATAAAAAATAACCTAGCATATTAAAACCGCTTAAACAGCTAAACAAATAAATAAAAGCTATAGCAATTAATAAATTTACCGCTAATTACTTTAATAATAATATTATTATATAAAATAGCATCATAACTAAAACTAAACGCTATAAATAATTCTTTAACCCATTTTACACCTATATTTCAATTTTAATAAAAAGAAGTATAATAAACGTATTAAATATATATTATACCGGAATATTATAAAGATATATAAAACCTATATTAATAAAGTTATATAACCTATAATAGCTATTAATATATATATATTTCTACATACGCTTATATTTTAGTTTTATCTTTCCTTCCTTTCTTCTTTAGCTTAAAATCTTTATTTATAATATTAATATAACTATACCCTAAACCCCCCCTAATTATAATATAAGTTAAAGGAATAATTAAATTAATTAAATAATTAAATTAAATAAAAGATATATTAATTAATATAAAATATCTTTTTATTTTTAATAATTATAAAAGTTATTATTTAAAGGTTTTTAAAAAAATATTATTAAAAAATAATATTTATTTACTTTTTTTTATAAACTTTAACTTTTAAATATAATATATTTTAATTTATTAAAAAAAGCTTATAATATTAAAATTAATAATTTTATATATATAAATATAATATATATTTTTAAAAAGAACTTTTTTTTAATATTTTTTAAAATATATATAAAGTTAATAATATTTAAAAATATTATTTATAAATTTAAAATTATTAATATTATACCTTTTAATTATTTTTATATTATTATTAAATAAAGTTATTAAATTTAAAAAAGTTAATATTATTTTTAATAAATATTTATAAATTAAAAAAATAAAACTTTAAATTATTAAAAAGAATAATAATATTATAAATTAAAAAAATAATAAAAATAATAATTATTAAATAAAAGTAATTAAATATATATATTATTATAATATATATAATAATAATAATAATTATAATATTTATATATATATAATAAATATAAAAATATTTAATAAATTAAATTTTAATTAATTTTAATTAATTTAAATATATTATAATTATTTTTTTAAAATATAATTATATATTAATAAAATATATTATATAATATTAAAATAGCTTTTTTATATTTATTATTAAAAAGTTAAATTAAATTATATATAATATAATTAATATTATATATTATTTTATATTATTAAAAAAAAGGTTAAAAGCTTTTATAAAATAAATTATAAATATAATAAATATTATTATATAAAAAAAATTAAATTATAAAATAAAGAATTTTTTATTATTAAAAATATTAAAAATTAAATAAAAATATAAAATATTATTAAAGTAAAAAAATATATTATATATTAAAATAATTATTATATAAAAAAAAAGAAAATTTATATTTAATATTATTAAGTTTATAATAAATTTAATTATAATATATAAATTTATAAAAATATTATAAAAATATTTAATAATTTAAATTTTAATTAATTTAAATTAATTATATAAATAATTATTAAAATATTTTTAAATATATATATAAAAGTTAAAAATATAATTAAATTAATTAAATAATTATATTAATTAAATAATTAAATTAATTAAATAGTTAGGTTAATTAAATAGTTAGGTTAATTAGGTAGCTAGGTTAATTAAGTAGTTAGGTTAATTAGGTGGCTAGGTTAATTGGGTAGCTAGGTTAATTGGGTGGCTAGGTTAATTGGGTAGCCAGGTTAAATGGGTAGCCAGGTTAAGTGGGAGACGCGTTACCTAGATGTACCCCAAAGAAAATTCTACCTGCAAAAGCTTTGGCCACTATCAGGTCAACAAGGGGGGGTAACCCTCAGTTTATCGCATCACTCCTCCTCGCCTCCCAAAATCAATCATGCCGCTGTAGGGCTATTTTTAGGTGCCCATTATATGCGTCTGGGGATATAGTGGCTGGGCCAGTTCTTTGTCCAATGACGTTTAGCTCAAATACGCCGTATTAAGATCCAACAAATTTAGCGGCGGAACTTTTTCATTGCTATGCTGGCCACGATCGCAGGGATTCCTATCACTTGATGTTTTATATTCGTGGCATGTATCTTTGCTCATTGAAGCGAACACATGTCAACGAGCCATTTAACGCCCTTCCTGTCTTGCCCATCCGCATAGTATCCTGCTACTTTTATCCCATTCTGCGCTTCGTCAATCAGCCTTAACTCCAGGGCGTCAAGTGAATCCGCTAATGTTTACTATAGAGCTAGCTCGAGTACGAGTTCGAAGATTGCAGATGTTAGACTGCTGCAGCGCCTAACAGCCATGATATTAAATCGAGCTACGGTACGACTCGTCTAAGAACCATGGCAACTCACTCCAACTCCTCCAATATCTCAGATTCGTATCCACCCTCGAGAAGCATAGCCTGGAGGCCGAGTAGACTCATGTCTGGAATCGAGTTCACACCCGAGTATTTATCCCTGGCTTCCGTTGTAAGCTTCACCTGATACCGCGTTCAGGACGTGCAAGCAGCGTAACCGTACCGGTAGTTCATACATTGGCACCGTATCCCACCACAATTGCGGAAACTATCCGTCGCTAATGACCCCGTACTCATGCAATACGTATTATACGCGTTCTTGCATTCTACCAAGACATCATCCGTGAGGCATGTGAGGTAGTAATTTGAACTCTTCGCCCTCAGCTTAGCATCGCATGTTGTCGTGTTCGCCATGAATTCGAGAAATCCTATAAGGACGACGATAATAAGGATAGACTGGATAAAGTGAGCTAGGTCTTGCTGAATGGTTCCTGAATTGGCAAGGGAGCTATTGGATTCATACTCACACCCATCGTATTGGGCACCTATTTCTGGGTTTATCCCGGACTCAGACGGTGTTGCGTACTGTTGCTTTCGGCAAGTTCACATCGTCCTATGAAAGCTGATGGGGGCCAGACAGTTGTTAATGAGAATCTACAATCATTTATATTGGAGTGATGTATTACAACTGCTCTAGTGAGATACCCCTTCGTCCGCCGTGCGCTGGTCCACGACATTTGTGTAATCATCGATAGCGAGTACGTGTTCACAGCGGGCTTCGTGATGACATCAAGGGAATCTCTTCAAGGCCATCCTGCTCATGGTGCAACTAACACAGTGACAACTATTCGTCGCTCTCCATTGAATCAAGATTCTATGGGCCGGGTCACACTCCTAGCAGCCTCACCGTATTCAAATCTGAGCCACCGCTGTTTACATTAGAAGGGAGCGATGGCAAGCACGTGCCGCATGATCAATCGAGCGTGATATCATTCTCAGTGGTTACTAATCACGCCATCTTCTTGCCTTGGCAAAAGACCATAATGGGCGTGACCGTCACATTTGTCCCGCTTCGTACGACAATACCAGTGCCTTTACGAGGTACACAAGACGGCTGATGCGGCCGCTACTAAGAAGAAACCCGACGATCAGGCTATTTTTCGGCCTGTTTTAGATGTGCTTATCATGTCTAGGAACAGCTCACCTGTAATTCTTGATGTCAGCTAAGACTGCTGAATACACCGATAGACCCAACTGCTAGATGCGGTTACCTTCATGAGACACGGTATTGACTTGTTCTAGATTAGATCTGCTCCTTTCAAACGAATATAGTAGTAGATATGGGCTCCCAAGATCGTGGCATTCGACCGTGGGTTTAGTTCCTAGGCCGATTTTTTTTACGCGGGTGGCTTGATGTTGACACGGCCAGTGATGATAATTGTCCAGTCACTCAAGATTTGTTCGTAAACTCATATTGATTAAGAGGGAGATTATTAACAACACTTGTAAGCTGTTTAAGCGAATATCGATATCGTTAAAGTTATGCCCAGCCCTAGCAACACTTTAGTGATAACTTATGATAGCATTGTGAAAATGTTGGTTGTAGTATAGATGAAATACGATATCCTCGTTGAGAAACAGCAATAGCAATTAAAACTTTGTGAAAATAAATAGCGTACGTACAACTGAGGACTCGAACAGGGGACCCGTCATCTAATCCTCTAAGTACAAGAGTTGATCTTTTATCAGAGCAGCCAATCTGACCTGTGGCAATATACCTACCATGACCCATCAAGCACCGTGAATGGTATGATCCGTATGAGAGGCACGAATTATCAGTCCAATGGATCATCATGAAGTTCGGAAGTAAGGCACTTTGGCGGAGTGGTTAACGCGCAGGACTGCTAATCCTGTTCCTTCGGGAGCCCGAGTTCGAATCTCGGAGGTGTCGTAAATTTTTTTCTTTTTTTCCCTCCGAACGCATAAGACTTGAAGCAAATTGTATCTACCACAAGACAAGCTTTTGAGACTATCCTCGTGAGAGCTCCTTGAATATTGTTGGCGAAAGCCTATTGATGCCTTTGGGCACCCCGTCTTCCCCCTTCTTGGAAGCACATTATGTTGCGGGATCGTGTGCCTTTTTATGAATTGAATACCTACCATTTCGAACATTGAACGTACTAAGTCTTGTCCCTCAGTCCATAAAGTGCGCAAGCCCGTGGAATGTTCACTTATCACCTTCACAGTCTCTTAGAATGAGAGCAAGTGGCTTCCCGAATGAGGTGGCTTTGGCACCCCTTTCACCACTTGCTATCTCACGAAGTGGAAACACGATCCTATCACCGCTTTTGTTTGCTCTAGGAGCGATGCGATATTGCGAGACATGTTGACGAAAAACGTGACAGAACTAGAAGCTGTTTTGCAATAATACCCTGTTTGATCAAGTGTTAGCTTAGAAGCTTCGACTGAAGATTGAGATATGTGATTGGGTTTATAAAGCAATGCTGATGACAAGCAGCAGCACGACGACCTCGTATCCTTCACCCTTCAATGCCTAACTCATTTAATGTCTCCTTGTACCTACCCGTAGGCAGCCCTAAAAGCGGTCTCTCTTGTATCAAGACATGCGTCCGGATTATTTCGCCTCATAAACGCCTAACGCTCAGCTGGACTTGGCAAGGCGGGATACAGTATACTATAAAAGCGCCTATGCAGTATGTCCACCTTGTTATCAAGGGCTATATCGGTCTCAAAGTGAAAACCCTTTCCAAGACGAACCATTCGATAGCGTGGCAAGAATTGTATACGGCATCTGCAAGAAACCTGCTCAATGAGCGATACTTATACCACCTTCGCCAAACGAAAACCAGGTGACCAACCGCGCAGCTTTGCCAAGCCTAGAAGCAGAACCCACGAGCTATCCAAGCTATGCGCGAACTGCCAAGCCATCTTTCAGGGTCACCTCAAGTTCAGCCGTGGGAGAAAGAGTGACGATGGAGCAACGGCATACAGCCTTTATGGAGAGGGCCGTGCTGATGGGAGCTTGGATTGTCACCTCTGCTTTTTACGGCTACGGGTCTTGGCCGAAACCGGAGTCGAATCGCTCGAAGGCTTGACGACGAGATATCGCATCGAGTCGGGCAAAGAGAGCGGCGACTTTTTCGCGCTTGTGTTCTCGTACAGTTTTGTCCCCTCATCCGAGGAGTTACTGGACTCGTCTAAGGATGCCTTCAGCGACATGTTCAGCCTTTCGCCTGTTTTCGACGAGACCGCCGCGGAAACGCTAAAAAGTCTCGTACCTCCTGAGCGTAGTGGATTTCATAACGTAACTCTCAGTGCAAAGAATCTCAGTTTCAGACACTTCCCTCCTTATAACATTGAAACAGAAGATAAAGTGGTCACATTCCATCGAAGGCAAGACATCGTCGACCGTGGGCTTTGGACGAGTTACAGGTCTACAATTCAGACCGAGACAGGCAATGCATCTAGCACGTTTAACACGAATTCCCCGTCAACGTGGGCTATTGCCAAGCTTTGGATTAAGAACTGTATTGACTACCATGAACGGTGCGAGATGACTAGAGGTACACTTACACGCCTTCCAACCCGCCTAGTGTATGTAGGAAACGATGCAACAACTCACCCTTGTCTTGTTGATGGGTCTCATCTGGCGGCATCTACCCCCTACGTGACATTGTCACATCGATGGGGGAATCAAAGGTTCATGACACTAAATACCAGAACGAAAGACATATTCTATAGGTCCGTTCCAGCAGCTGCTCTGACGCCTACCTTCAAGGACGCAATTGAGGCAACGTTGCGTCTGGGTTACCACTATATCTGGATAGATAGCCTCTGTATCGAGCAGGATTCCGCAGATGACTGGGCCGCGGAGTCGCAGCGAATGGGAGAGTACTATTCCAACTCCGTCTGCAACTTAGCAGCTTCAAAGGCATCCGACGATGGGAGCGGCTGCTTCGTGAACCGAAACCCTCTCGCAGCCCAGCCGTGCCTCGTCCGGGAAACGTGGACCAACACATCTCCGCAACTCACTTTTCACATACACGACTCTACGTATCAGTTCGCTCGTACCGTCCACGGCTGCGAGCTCGGTAACCGCGGATGGGTCATCCAAGAAACAATGCTAGCGCCGCGCACTCTCTACTTCGGATACGACCAGGTATTCTGGGACTGTCTCGGCCACCGCGCGTGCGAGGCGTATCCCGCGCAATGGATCACCCAGTCCAGCCTCAACAAGATCGGTCGAATGCCGACCTACATGTATCCCAACAACAGCCACCTCGACAACAAACTGTCTGATTTCCTGCGCTGGGAGACCCTCATTGAGGACTACTCGGCGTGCTCGCTGACGTTCCCAGAAAAAGATAAGCTCATAGCGTTATCTGGAATTGCCAAGGCTTTCGGTGATCCCGCTGACTATCTCGCAGGCCTCTGGCGCGACAATTTCTGCATCTTACTCCTCTGGCAACCAGCTAAGGCAACGACACGGCACCAGAACTTCATCGCCCCATCCTGGTCGTGGGCATCGATGGACGGCAGCGTCGAGTTCGATAATATATGGGACGATAAAATGCTCGACAATGAGGCCCGCTTCCACCGCGTCGGCTCGCGATATAGACTTGCTCTGTGGGGCTTGCGGAAGGAGGCTCGAGACGCATTAGCCAAGAAGCGTCTCTTGCACGTCCGTAGCATTACAAGCTCATTTGTCACACTAGTCTCGGCCGAAATGCAGCTTGCGGGGGACGACGCGACTGGCCGTTTAACGGGAGGTAGTCTCCGAGTCAAAGGGTTCCTCTTCGGTGTCGAAGACGTGCTTGCCTGCCGTGCGCAGAAATGGCCCGATTGGAATCACTGCTATGATATGAATCTGCTTTGGGACGACACGTCAGACGCGATGCAGGCCGATGTGCGTGCGAACAGCAGTGCATATCGGATGCTGCCCGTCCGCATCCGCAGTATTAATACGCTGTCTGGCCTGATCATCCAGAAAACCAGCAATAACCCGGGCGAGTACAGGCGTGTAGGGCTTTTTAACTTGAGAGATATCTTGGGTAAGCTTCCGTTGGAATCATTAGCGGTTGTGAAGAAATACTTGAAACATCGACCTCGTCCACTCGAGAAAAGCGATTACTTGGAGAAAACGGGACGGACTAAATATGGCATCGCAGAGTACGTTATTTCTATCATCTAGTGTGCTTGAAAGGGGGATTCAGGTGGTATAGCACAGGGAGGCACTAAGAAAGCAGTGCAAGGTAGCAATTGATGCCCAACACACAGGGGCAGAACTTCTCGACTTTATTGGCACTGAGACATCAGGGTGGCGTCAGGAATGATAAGTCAAATAGATGCCTTGTGAAGCTAAATCTAATAAATGAAAGAATCAATAACTATGGAAAGTGCAGCAATCCATTTGGCTCGAAGTGAAGTGTCAGGAGTCCAGACAAGTTATGCCTCTCGTCCAATAGCTTAGCCTCCTGTTATGTAGCTATATGTCTTATTGGAGAATGATTGCTACGCGATATTACACATATTGATAGCAGTATCGGCCGGCCATAGGATCAGCTATCTCCTCTAGAGTAACCTTCCCACCAAGAACGCCAAAGTCAAGGGTCGTGCTGTTAGTAACCTCTGGAGTGTCCGGCAGGCTCATATACGTGTTAGTACCATTGTACGCGTATCTTCTCGAAGTTGGATCGTGGGCCTGCCACATGGTCCACAATCGATCGATTTGTGCGTGGTGCAAGAAGAAAGCGGGATCAAGTGGACTAACAAAGAAGTCCATCATTGGACCACCGACTGTTACATGGCCCCCACGGTGGATGGCGTTAAGCTGATATTGAAAATCGGTGATGTTAGGGGCAGCCACGAGGCTCTTGATACGGTTGGCGTTGTTGAGCAGCCGCAGGACAGCATCATTCAGGTTCCGAGTGAAGCAGTGTGGATTCTTCTCTGTCCAGTCGTCTGGCAGACCAGTCAGGGTCAGCTCTACAGGGAACGGTCCAAGGTAGAGGGTAGTGTTCGCGAAAGGCCCTTCTACCACGCACCCTCCCCCAGATCCGGGCGGGATCATGTTGCCCTTTTCAAGGACTGGGGAAACCATGGGAGCTTCAGCAGCACTAATGACGTAGCTTCCTTGCCGTCGCATCGATTCACCATCTCCACCAAGAGATGATGGACTCCCATCGAAAAGGGTGCTCTGGTTTAAAGGGGCGTCGAGATAGGCCGTCCAGTCCCAGTAAGGAAGTCCCATGTCGGAAGGGTATCCGCAGCCATGTAGAGAGTCTTCCATGAGCTGAATGAACTCACGGTGGAATGAGAGAAAAGAGCCGGACATGTGTACGTGGAGGGCAACCCCGGCGTGATGTGCAGCAAAGTCCGAGTAGTAATTATCGCTGGCGGGCAATTCGCCCGCGGGATACCGACTGTCCTTCGCCATGAGACATTCAACGGCACTGATATACTGCTTTCTCTCATCAGTAGACAGGGAAGACCATTCCATGCGCTTGGTGGCCGTCTCCTTTGTGCATACCGATCTTTGCTGACCATAATGCCTCAGTTGCACAACCGGGCTCGAAAGGACGGTGGCCACTAAGGTGGCAAGGACGCTGAAAGCTGAAGACTTAGTCGTGTGCATCTTTTCTGGAGAGAACAGACTGAGTCTATCCTGAGAAAGCGGTGGAGTTGTCGTAGATAGAATGCTTCGGTGCTGGTGACTGAAGTGATACAAATGAGCGTCGTTCAACAGCTTTTATATGCTGTCGGATTGCTGCATTCGCGTCCCATCGTGACAATTGTTTCGAGCCATACAAGCTCACCTCTACCCATTTGGCAGTGCCAACTTGGCACTACCGTGCCATTCTCTCAAGATGCAGAACAAATTCGCAGTCCTACGTCCACGTCCCACTCGACGACGAGGCTGTGAGCGTCGTGACGACCATGATTAGAAATATACGAGCAAACCAAGCAATGGGATACTTCAAAGCTGTTGGCGATCAAAGCCCAAGCCGTGGCGGGGACGGCGCTACTACGGAATCTGCTGACAAGCATTTGATTAGTGTCACGATGGTATCACTTAGGTATGTGGATTTCAATCTCGCTTTCGCTTTCGTGTCCGCTCCAGGGTAACACATAGCTGCGCATGACCTGCACGATTTCACAAGATTGGCGGCTTCAGACACTTGTGGGATACCATAAGTGATTTTCCTCCCTCTTGTGATTTCGTGCAATGTCTACGCTGTGCGATCGCGAAAGCGAGAATGCCACGTTGCCCACCAGTTAGTTCTGACCTGATATGACAGCTCTTCTTGTCGTGTCATTTAGGATAACGATTTGTCTTCTCCCATGAGTTCCATCACCGCAAACAGATCTAACCAACCTTTTTATCTTCCCTATTCCAAGGATACCAATTGGCATGGGCTAGACTTCGATGGACTCGCGTTACCAGCCCGGAGATAAGATGCCAGCTTCAACGAGTCCTCTGTGATCTTGATCATTCCTATCAGTGCCGAAGACATTAACAGGTGGAGATATTGGACGCATCTCCCGACAGGCTCCATCCGAGAAGGGGCAAGGCGCGTAGGGTTTCATAGATGAGTAGTGGTCGCAGTCCTTGTATGGGCAGTTATATGACTGATTGGATCATTTGGTTCATTCGTAGTCGCGATTGATAGGGAATAGCTTCAATAAAGAAGGGATGTCTAGTGCTGCTGACTGTAGGTTCAAACTCTACCAGCACATCGTAGGCTTTTAAGAGCGTGAGACATCCAGAATCATTGATCAGTCCGCTGACCTAGAAGAAGTGCTTGACGTATGGGAAGCAGATTATGGCAATCCATCATCATGATGGCCGTGAGTTATGTAGGTAGAGGGTTCAGTTGAATTCCTAACAGCGCTTAGGTACCTAGGGAGGTAGGGAGGCACTGCACTTGCCTTAATCCAAGCCCCTCTAGCTCCGTACCCAGGTAGGCGCTATAGGTGGTATGTACCCGCTAACGCTATACCTACAGTGGGCCGGTTACCCTGAAACCCAGTATCGCCTCGGGGCTGAAGAGGTCATAAAGATGACTACTTTCCTAGTAGGAAATTAATCAATTGTTGATACTCAGACGATATAATTGGTCGAAGCAGGAATCAGTGCCTACGGCTGCTTTGATGACTAGAAATCACTGTCTACGATGTGAAGGGAGTCGGAAGTGGCAGAGAAACAGCTTCAGCAACTGGTCCCCTAACGGACAAGAACGTCAAGTGAAATAGCTTTTCTTCACCTTAAGCGTTTTAACAGCTACAGAGAACTAAACTGGCTATTCGAATCACGTCGAGGTCACTGTAAGTCTACATATCTACATATTTCACAGCGATAACTTCTGCGATCCTCTCGCGTTTTAAGCTCAAGCAACGAGGGACTCTATCAAGATCCCGAAAACTACAAAAGTCGGCTAGAAATCGAGGCAACTTCTTTTTATCCGGCGACTTCAATTTAAAAAAAAAAAAAAAAAATATTTGGTTACTATATCTGTAGAACTCTGCAGCTGATGGTATTAAGGACTGGAAGAAGATCTATGATAACAAGCGCCCGTTATGAATTACAAGACTTCGTTCAATCCGAGCCCGGGGCCATTGGCTGTATTGGCTTGAGGATCACGGTGGCGTCTTCTATTTTATTATGTTTAGGCTCTCTCCTCCACCAGTCGTTTCAAGTGAGCCATCACTATTACTCATTATTTAAGTACCAGCCGACCAATCTTTGAATAAGGTCGTCAACCAGCTAAAGGGCATCCCGTGCTCGTTCACCCTACTACCTGAGGTGCGATCCGATTACCACACTTAAAATAATGTCCTTAATCAGAGCATCGCTATTAGACTTTCACTAGTCTGGACCAAACTATTATTCAACAGCGAGATACTCTGTTTGGTGGTCTGCTTCAGCATGGATTCTAGTTCCAAGGTCAGCTTCCGAAGCTTGTCTTTTGACCACGGTACCTAACGAGTTACTCAAAGGAGTGAGTGTGATGTGATTGTTAACTCATTTTTAGGGTAACCCTGTGAACAAGCTAGAAGCGCTGCATCGTACATTCGGTTTTCTAGAATCGGAGACAGAGATACCATAGACAATAGTCGACTCGACACGACATACCAACGCTACTTGGGCAGACACTATCCGCATACACTATCCGTATATATTAGGATGCTCACATTTTCGCGGAGACGTTCCGAATTAGAGGGAGTGCGCAGATTAATTCATATCCCTTACTTCATGTAACCATCAATACGATCCATCCATTCCACACTAAAGTGCTGAAACGAGTCCCTGCTCTCAGTCGCTGTGTCTCCTACACCAATGATGCTAGCAACTGTATGAAGAAGATAAGCAAACAATCTCTGCCGTGCGCTGTGCCCTCCCTTTTTATTTTCTCCCTTGTGTCCTGCTTTATATATAATGCTACGCGTAGACGACTACAATAATCCTCTTGTTGTAACTCTTCATGTCCAGCTCTTGTTTGTTTGCCTCTATACGGTGGTTTATTTTGGAGCGATACTCCTAGCCCAAAACACATATATATCGAAACTCGTTCTATTGATTTCTACGAATAGCAAAACTCCTATCGCCATGTGTCCTTCAAATGGCGGAAATTCCAATGGAGACCAGAACTCCACCGGTATGTTAACCCTTCATCAGCTTTAATATGCAACAGTCCTATTAACATATTGTAATACTAGTTAGACCGTCTTCTCCCGAAAATTCATCGCCAAATAGATGCTTTCTAGTTGGTGCGGAAAAAACAATGGGTATTTCAGGGATCAGTCACGGTAAACTACACAAGATCTACAGAGAATTTGATGGCCACGTCGAATACGTATGCGAAAATTGCGTGATTGCGCTTGGCATGCCGAGGCCCATTACCATGGGATCTGACCAATCTCAATCAACTAATTGAGAAAATGTTCTCATTCTTGGTGATGGGGCGTATGACTCAAGTTTGGCGCAATCTCGGTCGACGTGTGTTGTACAGCAGAATCTTCAGGGAAGATGAGGCAATGTCCCTGCAAACCTTTATGATAATTGAATATGTCTGATGAGAATGGAAGAGAGATGAGTTGTTGGATGGGGCCAGACAAGTCGGAAGCTTCGATATAATGAGACATCAGTTGAGACTCTTTATCAAGTACTATGCATGAATATAGTCAAATCCCGAACTTATTGGACTTGGATATCACAACCCCGATGCAAGTAATGACGTTCCTCATCTTTACTCCTTGTCCTGCCACCCGCAAGTGTGTTGTAAATGAGAATATCTATAGAAGATCGTATGTAGCGTTAGGTATACAAGTAGTAATTGGGAAAATGATGCAAATACACACACACACACACACACACCAACATCATATATATATACGTAGAATGAATTCTGGGTTTGTCGAGCCGAAATAAGGAAAGTAGAAAACCGACTATCATGAAGAAAGAGCCTGGCTTGGCTAAATACCACCGCTGTTGAGCATTCAATGAGACAGCTTGAGAGATATTTCCCGTAACTGCCGTATCAACTATACTAGATTCTCACATGATGCCAAAGACTTAGGAAAGCTTAGAGTATGTAGTCATATAGTGAGTTCATAGATGATATACTTGTATAAGCCATTCATGGCATTTGATGTGTTGAGTTTGAGACTTAGTATGGTGATTATACGTCGAACTTGAATTGCGGGTGAGGAAACATATATGAATAATGATCCAAGGTTATTCATTATATATTTCCAATACCACAATGAATATTTGTCTTTCTACCCTTTTTTCTTTTCTTTTCAGATTCACTTCCTGTCAAGGAAAACAATCTACCGGTAAATATGTTTTTTTCCTTTTCTAATAGGCAAGCAGTTTGATGTAATCGACATCTATCGTGGCTGACGTATGAGAGTGACGTCATAGTTGTCCGCGTCTCTGAACAGGATTTGGCTTGGAAGCCTAGATCAGGTCCACCTCCACCCAACGCTTTTTTAGTTAATACATTTCAATGAGTTCTAATAAAACACACTATCTTGTCTCCAAATAGGATTACGGCGTCTTTAGTACAAGCACAATGCCTGCGGTATCTACAGAATTGGCCGAGCTTCAAGCCAAAGTGGCTCAGCTCCAGTCGCAGCTGGTTCAAGCCCGCCAGGCGATCGCTTTCAATCCCTCGCAGAGTGAGAATGACGCGAGGTTGGCGTGGCTAAAAGACGAACACCATCGTGCCATGCAGCGGTTTGCGACGCAGATCATCACCCTGGGTCACGATGACATGATATCAGAAGCCGATAGGAGCATGGAGAAGCATCGGATATTTCACACCGCGGCTATGCGTGAGGCCGACGAACGACTGGCCGCTGCACAAGGCGCTATTGAAGAGCACCGCAAGTTCCATGCTGCTGCTATGAAGGAAGCCGATGAGCGCCTGGCCATGGCAGATGACAGCATGATTGAACACAGGAAGTTTCACGCCCAAGCCATGCGTGAAGCCGACGAGCGCTTAGCAGCAGCGCAGGGGGCCATCGAAGAGCACCGCAAATTTCATGCAGCGGCGATGAAAGAGGCAGATGAGAGACTTGCGGCTGCTGACGACAGCATGGTTGAGCATAGGAAGTTTCATGTACAAGCCATGCGCGAAGCTGATCAGAGGCTGGCGGCGGCCCAGGGCGCCATCGAGGAACACAGAAAATTCCATGCCGCTGCCATGAAAGAAGCAGACGAACGACTAGCGGCTGCGGATGATAGCATGGTTGAGCATCGGAAATTCCATGTTCAGGCTATGAAAGAGGCGGACGAGAGACTGGGGAGAGCGGATGACGCAATGATTGAGCATCGTAAATTTCACACAGCTGCCATGAATGAGGCGGACAAAAGGCTTGCGAATACTGTACTGGCATGATACGTCGTCAGACAGCAATGTATAACACATTTACATGAAGGTAATTACTAGAATGGGAAGATAAAGACAGGCGTTTGTGATGATGGGTATAATTGTAATATGAAATGAATTCTATCGTGCACAGACTTCAGATGATATCGGCAACCCTTGCCACCAGTGAAGCGTGTTGCCGTTCGGGTGCACTTAAACAAGTATCGCAGTCAGTCATGACGGAGCACGAACGTTGTGTATCTTCAGATCAGTAGATGATTTTCTTCATTTCTTCTTTGATCAAATACACCGAATTGGCTCGTAATTACTTAACAGGGATATGGGCCTTCTCCATTTCTCTCGATGACGACGTGACGTTTAGCATGCGAGGATCTCGCTATGACCTTGACAATGCCCATGTTCTAACATTCTAAAGTTCTTTGATCTATTATTTCTCCCTAGAATTTCGTAGTAGAGTCATGTATATATCTTTTTCGTATTTCCATAATTGCCTTCATAATTCCTGATACTTGATTTTCTAGCCCGAAACCCTGCGGGTGTAGTCCTGTCTATTATGCATGCCGTGTGCCGTTACCGTTACAATTCTCTTTACCTGATACAGTAGCCCGCTGTCCCATTTCCTTCGCTTCTTTGAAACTGTTCAGAATGATATCATATAAGCGTCTCAACCGAATCGGCTCGTAGACTCGCGTATTATATAGTTCTAGGCTCGACGAGATACCGTCCATCGTCACCCCCTTAGCCGAATCCAAGTGTTCCTCGCCCAAGAACGGGGTGCCGAGGTCATTTCTAATAAAATAGTACATGCGCCGTGAGCCTAGCCGATGCGCGGGGTTGCGTCAGGTGACTCACTTGTCCGACCATCTATCTCTATGGCACGCGGGTCAAACGCTTGACATAGTGCTAGAAGATGTGCTGCAGCGATCTGGGACAAAATGTCGACGCCTTCAAGCGTGTAGCGCGCTGATAGCAGTGCCAGGGAGTTCAGGGCTTGGTTATCCATCTCGGCTGTCTGCACGTGCGATCTAACGAGGTTGGCCAGGAAGCCCAGCTCAGACGTCAGGCTGGCAAACTAGAATGTTCATTCCTTTAAATAGGAATGAGATGTTGGAGTCGTCAGGGCATGATGTAGGCGGCAAGCCGCGGTTGGTGGCCGGATTCATCATCTCCGTGCATTGGGTGAACAGCATGCGGCCGATGCTTTGCAGACCCTGGCACAATTTCTCGACTGCCGATCTGACAGCGCGTGCCTGGAAGTTGCCGCCATGGAACACGCGCCCCGCGTCTGCGGAGGGTTGTCAGTTACCAAGTTCAACTCGACTGTCAGCTGGTCGTACGCCAGGGCAAAATCCTCCAGCACGGGGCCGATCCATTGACTGGCGGTGCGCCACGAATAGCGATCCTGCCACAGTGTCGCTTCATCTGGCTATCGTGCTTATTGGGCAGCTGCGAGCCGATCAGGAATGTCTTGATGTTCCGCGCGCTGTCTACCTGGCCACTGTGCGGCCTTACTTGTGTGATAAACGGCTTGAAGCTCTCGTCACTGCCTCACAGTGCCTCCACGCTCATTGCTGTTAGAATCTACGATAGCGCCGCGAGGGCCGTACCGTTCATGATAGCAAGGCGTTCCTTGGCTTGTAGGCTGATAGGCTCTATGTCAGCCTCAGACAGGGCCGTATTAGCTCTTGTTACTTTCCTCGCCCCATCAATATCCCGTGGATCGGTAAACGCCATAGCCGATAACTTGCATTCCATCAAGGCGCTCATCCACGCGAGGGCGCTGCGGTCCCCAGATGCTGAGATGGTACTCCCGCGCATAGGGATGCGCGGCACGGTGTCCTCGTTAAGGAACTTTTGTCAGACATTCAGCGATGCTGACGCGTATGCCTGATGCAACCCCAGCCAACAAATTGAGTCGGATTAGTATGGATGCACGCGCCCACGACTCTGGCATGCATGTAGCGGCCAGGGGGTCGTTGAGAGGAAGCGAATTTCGCACCCATGCTCGCTGGTGGCTTTCTCTTGAGTTTCCGTTGCTAGGCTGAGCTTCACCATTAATTTGTCTGGTGTAGCTATTGTTCTTTGAATTGTCTTTTGCTTGTCGTTTGCGACAATCCCACATGTTTGATGACTAATGAGGCTTTGCTGAATTCTCCTAACATCGTTAGATCTACGTAGTAGTGTCGGCAAAACAACTCACAGGGGTAATACACATTTACTCGGCTCCGGATATAGCCACTAGTCCGCAAACTCAGGCCCGTGTTGTCAGAATAAAGCCGATTTGAATACACGTATCTCCGACATGTGCTCTCTACGTTCCAGTGTCCGAAGGTGCGGATAGAAAAAGCTGCTTCATCACCTTGAGATTCTTGCCAAAGACCTTTACCATATCACAATCGTTCGGTGAACCATCAAATTCATTGGTTCTTGGCGGTTGCAACCCTTAAAATGAATGGTACACAACAGAAACTCACTTGGCTCGTGACAGGCTCTAGTAACGGCATAGGGCTGGCTCTGGTTAGATACATCTTGAACACTGGAGATAATGTCATTGCCACATCTCGAAATCCATCCAAGACCCCTGAACTTGTCAAGGAGGTCGAATCGCATCTGAACGGGAGATGGATTACGTTAGACATCTCATGGCCCCAGGATAAGATAACTCGAACCATTGAGGAAGCTGATATCCTGTTTGAAGGGGGAATAAACGCAATTGTCAACAATGCTACATTTGCGATTGCAGGCGCAATTGAGGATATTCCTGAGGAGGATGCAAAAGCCGAATTTGACATCAACGTATGGGGGACACTCCGCGTCTGTAAAGCGATCCTGCCTCTGATGCGCCAGAGAGGGCGCGGTACTATCGTGCAAATAAGCAGCCTTCTAGGGCTTGTTGTCTTCCCTGCGCTGGGTATATATTCCGCGTCCAAATTTGCGCTCGAAGGTGAGCAGTCTTCGATTTCCAGCATCACAAGCTCGTTGCTAACTTGATCAATAGCTATCTCGGAGGCCATTTCGCAAGAAACATCTTCGTTCGGGATCCGCACGCTGATCGTGAATTTGGGTTCATTCCGGACAAATTTCCTTGCGCCAGATGCAATGCCTGTACATGAGCCTTCGGAGCCGTACAAAGCGCCGCACGCCGTTGCCGTCTCACTTCAAAATGAGCACAACAAGCATGGAAAACAGCCAGGAGACCCTGAAAAGGCGGTGAAAATCATACATGATGCCGTAAGCGGCCGGGACCCGAGTTTGACCAAGGTCTTGAGGCTACCACTAGGGGAGGATTGTTGGGGCGCAACGATGGCTCGCGTAGATCAAATGCGGAACGACATCGATGGCTGTAAAGAGGCTGCGTGTAGCACCAATCATTCTACATAGATGAGAGATGCTCAATGCCGCGCAACTTCAAACTTAATGTATGTCTTGGCTGCTGTGTAAGTCGTTTGCCACTAGTCCCCGGTTGGGTAGATGTGTGACCTACCCGTGACTTGGGTGACGACGCTCCTCTCCCTTGTTGAAACTTTGCATCATAGTGGAACTTACGAGAAACATATCTATAGAGATAGCTTGCCAATTCAACTTATTTTCTAATAATCTAGATCAATAAACCGTTGAATGTGGTAAGTTCCCGTTATGTATTGCGGTGCGCTGTTCGTTAAAACCAAATATGATTTACCATATCACCCGAGTCGATTCTCAAGCACTTGCACTTCGTGGCTCCGATCCCTTTGTGATTAATCAAGGGACATTATGCACCACGAGACTAACTCACTCACCAGACCAGAGTATGGCTTTAATAGCCACACAGGCCTCGAAAGCCCTAAGAGATTGTACTCCGGGCTACTGGCCTACTCTTACTAACGTTTACTCGCACAATATTCAATAGTATAGTATTAAACCACAAGCTTGAGTTTCATCAGGCGTAACAGAGTCTGATGAGTGATAACATAGTAGCCAACGTCTTCAGTGTTTCTAGCGTGGCAACGAACCCTAGTCCGATAGAGACTAATCCTCAGTCGGAGTTTCCCCAGCAACGGCAAGAATATGCTACTTAACCTCCAACAACCCTCCCTTGATGATCTCATCTTGTTCATCTGGTAGTTCTAGACTCGGCAAACAAACTCCCTTCATTCTGTCCTGCTCACAAAATATACTTGCCCATCTCACGTACTCAGCCCAAGTGCCCTTTTTGATATCGGCATCAGCGTTCTCTGGCATACTCCAGCTCATGGCAAGGGGCACCCTTAGACCAGGCTGCCAATGCCCCTGGCTATGTTTAGCCATGCTGCAGTTTGCGAGCACATAACCAACGTAGTTGGCGGCTTCTTTCTGCTTAGCATCGGTTTCGGCGTTCTCAGGCTTGAATGGAAGTGAAAGTAGTGGGAATAGCTCGTCCTGAAGCATCATCTCGTGGGATTTCCAGATTTCGTCTATAGTATCGAGAAAGTGGACGTGGCGACGAAAGTACTCAGGCCCATTCCATCCTGCGTCATCCACAAGTAGTCGCACGCGCTCGTACGCCATGTTCAAAGTCAAGTAGTCGGTGGTGATCTTAAGATCGAATCCTCCAGCTCCTCCAAGGTCTATTTGGCGGGGATTCTCGTGCTCCTGCTCTTCTGGCGGAACAATCAAACCCAGGGGCTTCAGAAGTGGGTGCTCGTGCAAGCCAAAGCAATTGGTACGTCCGTCTTTCCAGAGCTCTAGCCACAGCTGCATCCAACGCTGGATAAATGGGTTGCCCTTCCTCGCACCGAGAAAGCCCGTTATGCATTGCCCGATATATTTCCGTGACTGGAAGAGGGTAGTGCCCATCTCAAAAGGGGATTCTGGATCCTCCAATGCTTGCCAAAAGATATGATCAAATTTTCGAAATAAGACGGATCCAACGTCAAGCCATACACCCCCGTGCAGGTATAGGAGGCCCAGTCGTGCGCAATCACTAGCGTGCTGGCCTTTCGCTGGTCCGTCCATGGTGCCGTGCTTGAAGCATTCTGGTAGATACTCTGGGGGTACAAAGTTCTGCACGTTTGTTAGTGAGCCAGGCACCATGTCAAGAAGCCGCACATCCCAAGAGGGGCCTTGGCGGCGCATCCAACCGAGGACATTGCGCTGTGTCCATGACCGCATATTATCGAAGCCGGTATCCCAAAAAGCCCAGACATTTCGCTCGTGGCGTACTGGCTTGGGATGCTTAAGGATCTCAATGAGCTCCTCATCAGACCGCATGTCAATTTCACTCTCTGGGATCAAAGCGATCCCAGCAGTGACTGGTTGAAATGTCTTAACGTCCATGGTTGTGCTCATATTGTCACTAGGAGTGTTGAGGAGGAAGGAATGAGAAGCTGGCTTTTGAAAGGATGAGCGGGGTTGGAAAGGCTTTATAACATGGGCTGAAACGTGGGAAATGTAGCAAGAAATCCGAAGGAAGCCGGGGGCTTAGTTGGGATACATAAATTATCCATATAGACGGAAGACCCCGAAAGGCTCCGAACGCATTATATGTCCTATCTTTATGCAGAGTAGAGCTTTGGTTACATTCGCATAAGCATCAGGCACAAACGAGATGTTTTATGCATCCTTGTCGTATGTGGCGGTGCTAGAGTGTGTTGTCCGCTTATCCTCAGTTGGCTCGGTGGTTGGGTAGGAATGAATAAGCTGCATACTGCCGACATATATTGCAGCAGGAAGATACAGCAACAAGATTGTCAGATCTGAGGAATAGGTTCCAAGCTATGTTGCACTAATAAGAAGCCGTTCCATTCTAGGCTCGCGGTAGTCGATATATGTATTCATAGAGACATGCAAAGTTTTGGGGAAGCATTGCCAATAACGAAAAGGCATAGATTGAAGGACAGTGATCATTGATGAAGGTTAGCAAATGTGAAAGTCTCATTTAAAACAGCCTATCTGGGTCATATTAAGATAGACAGCTATTACACCAAAGTAATACTGTTGTCGAATTGACTTAGTATCTGTAACACATAGCACTTATTCTCTCACGCCACTGTAAGTTAACATTGACATCAGACTATAGTATGAGGTTTAGCATAAATTCCATAGTGTGTATTCACCTCAGTGCTTCTAGAATTCCTTCTAGTAATAACCAGAGTGCCATGGACTGTCGAGATGGGAGTAAACATATTCAAGTGCCGATTTAGGCAAGAAACAAACATATTAGGTTGGGATAAAGGCTCAGATTCCTTGGTAAGTTTCAAGCCCTATTTAAGAGTCTCAATATACAGTGTGCTCATCGTATACTCTCACCGAGGCGGTAGCTTAAAGATGTAGATAAATGAATTCACTGTCAGACTTTAATTATATTCTAGTTATTACTAGTGCAGGAAGAGCTTCTTGACGTCCCGAAGAAGCGTGAGTTCCGGGCGTTTTTATGGGCATAAGCCGCACTGGGACAATGTGTTCGGGCAGACTGGCTCTAGTCTCGTTAGCCACTCCTCTCCACGAGTACTTCAGAGTGACATCAGACATCACTATATGTCCTAACTAGATTCATTTGGCTTTTCGACTGACCGGCCATGATGATTCTATTGATATAGGAGATTTATCCGTCTAGCCACGATTAGTCTATTCGATGATTAGTGGTTTTAAACGTTATGAGGTGAAGATTAAGTAATATTTATAAGGATATATCAGTCCACTCTCTATTTACTTTGCATAATATACGGGTACATATGCTATTTTTGCCTTTTTAGTAGACATCTAGGGGTATACTAGTTTGCTATTGCTTTTATAGGGTATTAACTGGATAGGGGCCAATAGGATGAAAGGTAAGAAAAAGAAAAGGAGGAGAGAAAGGGCTGGACGTCCCAGACCACACACTTAGCTATAAACAGGGTTGCAAGATGAAGAAGAATGCTGGCAGTCAATATCACTGCATTGTAATCCTTGCGCACTACTTTTACCCATAGCCTTTGACTTGGCAAATGAGTATTTAGACTTGAGAATTGCGCATGGAGCTTTTTCAGCAGGGTACCATCTTATGAATTGCCTGCGCGTTGTGGATGCTTTGATAATTCCATCACAACTTTGCACGCCCTTTTACGTATCTTGCCTGCACGTTTAGGCCATAGCTGATAGCAAGGGCCGAACAACTGTACATAGAGTCAAGGCCAACTACTAAGGTTGGAAAAGAGCCAGACAGGACTATATGGATCTCGGCGTCTATAGTGGATATCACGCTGTGAGCGAATACAGTCAGTTCTAAATTATGCTGCCAACCCTTATTATAAACCCACAACTGCCTCGTCTAGGCAGCTTTAACTCTGCAAAATGCAGTTTCGGTAATGCATCCGTGCTGATTTTTTCATCTAGAAATACTTGAAATTGCTCGGCGAATTATTTTTTGTAGTAATTATCGCTGGGCGAACGGTCAATTTGACTTGTCTTTGTATCCTTTGTCCTCTTTTTTTTTTTTTTCTTTCAAGAACGTTTACGTACAGCCCTAACCCAAAGTCATAAAGCGCGTTTGGTCCTAGCTGACCAAATCCGGCAATTTTCCGAGACAGCACGCGACATTTTTTGTCCCAGCATCCCTTGTGCTGCAGATATGATATATAGGAGTTTATACGCATATGGCTGGCTAGAGTCCAACGGTGCTATTTCTATTTCAGCTAAGAAACGATCTCGCATCTAAGTTGGCGTCCCCTACCTGCCAAGTTCATAACAAGAGTGCGTAAGCATGTCGTCGCTGCTGCGGGTGGTCATTATCGCGGCGCGGTATCTCCTATGGGGAGATCTCCTAGTCCTCCTCTCGTGGTCAATGGAAGGAGCTGTCAAAATAGACAAAAATCTCAATGACGACCTGAACCGCCTCGAGGGGAGTTCCGGAGATCCAAATGCCTCCCTAACAGAAACAATCATATTGAAAACGACGGCGGAGTATGCTATCCCAAAGATTACTCTGCATGCACCTGAAATTTCATTCCCTGAAATGGACCCTTATCAAATCTCTGAAACCCTATCTGAAGTCCTTACTACTTCTACAACTCCTTCTGCTGAATCATCATCCATTACTACTATCACTGATGCTGAAACGGCACCTATCACTATCGTCACTGTTGCTGAAACACCCGCTATTACTACCGCCACTACTGCCGACACCGTGGTAATAACGGATACTAAAAGTCAATCCCAGGAAACCGGGCTTGATACACAAAGTGACCTATTAGGGTGCAATTTCCCTGAGTTATACCTGGGCTCCTTCAGGCTTCATCCGCCGCCTTTCGACATCTCAAATCGGATTGGCTTGTACCACTGGGAATCGGCAGCACGTCAACTACAAGAGATACGCCGTTTGATCAAAGCCAATGGAGAAACATTGGTTAGGAAATATGGGTCTATACACGTCGATTATCTTAACAAAGAGCTAGACAACTTTGTGGATAAGCCCCTGAGGTTCGGATGTAGAGTGCTCCCGTACCTACAGGCCAAACTGCTTGAACTTAGCACCAATACGACCGGACTCAATGCTGCAAAGAGAGAGCGTCGAATTGCATTGGCCAACTTGTTGGACGACGTAGAAAAAAAGATACGACAGTCCCCATGGGAATCCTGGACTTTGACTGTGTTACCGGCGTGGGCCCGCGAGGCTCCAGAACTGCGCAGCAAGGCTTGTCCCAAACAAGACTGTTTCAGGGTGAATGGAGCCACGCTTGAGTCTGTCACCCAGGACATTCCGGAGAAGCTGCTGTTTGCAGGTTAGTCTTTCTGTTGAGTTTTGCATTACCCTCCACCCTGTTGTGAATCTTGGGTATAATCCAGTCAGCCACTGCCAGCCACTCTTGTGTGTTCGGCTTGGATCAACGTCACAAAACCCTGATCCCTTTCGAGCCCGAATCACTGACTTCGATTCTTTTATAGTACTGGACATCAAAGACCACGCACAGTGGACTGTTGTGAACATTGGGAAGGCGCTCTATCGTCGGATGAAGGAGATTTTAGTTGAAGTGGACAGCGCGTTCATTACTTTCTATGAGTCTAGGCAACTTAACACAGCACTACTCATAGCCCTTCTTCTAGTCAATGTATCTCTGTTTCTATTCAATTTCTGGCCCCAGACGTACAGAAGTGTGATGGCTGCCAGGAGACCTGAACCGGGGCTTTTTAATATCGGTGGTCCTGCTGAGGGGATCGAATTTATGGCTGGTCCTCGAGCGGCGGGTGGTCCTCAGGCAGTGGGGGGTGGTCCTCCAGGCAACGAAGCAGCGGATGGCCCTCAAGCGGCGGGTGGTGATCCTCCAGGCGACGAGTAGTAGTACAAGCAGTCTAATCCTACTCAATTACCCGGGAGGCAACGTTACAATCTATAAACGGCAGGTCCAGCGTCATCTAACGATGCAATTGCAGCATGCAAGTTCGCAATATCATTGGCTTTTGATTTAAAGAGGGCTCACTGAGAATATCCAGAGAATTTGTGGGAAAATGTATTATATAACTGAAACTTAAAACAATATGACGACGAAACATTGTAAATTAACTAACTCCACTCATCACACTGCTCGAAGCCTTATGCGCGGCTTAATAGGGTATCAGATTTTGAGAGCAAATGGAAATACTGTGATACGCGACAATTACCAAAAAAATAACCAGCGTGTACTTGATACACCTAACGAGCGCATTGCAATAAACCCTGAAAATTATGCCGTACCCCAGACACCAGAACAAATACCATAGGATATCCAAGACGACTTCTAGGAAATCATAGAAACTTATGCGACGCGGTGTCGGCCAGCGGCTGCGGGGCATAAGGCCGTTAATGAAGCCTCGAAGGACATAAAGAAGACAAAAAGGATTAAGCTGTCGAAAGTTCACCCTCACTGCGTATGCATATGTCGATGCGATTTGAGAAGGCGTACTCCAGAATAACAGGTGTGTTATGGGTGCAACAACCAAGAACCAGACTGGCCAGGAAAAGGGAAGAAGAAGTACGTTGTAGAAGTAGCGGATAGAGAGGATGATGGTAGTAAGCGCTAGATTATGTTGCAAAAGAACGTGGAATAGTGCATTTCTCATGACCCGACAGCGGCTTGCGGTTGTTATAACTCCCCGACGTTGTTCCGCGCGGCGCCCTGGGTGATACATTGAAATCCAATGGCACTGGCGGAGTATTATCGAACTAATATACCACATTAGCCTAGATTTATCCAGAAAGTTTGGGTGTTCAGGGCCGTAAGTTCGAGAAAAGTCCGTTGGCGTACGGCGACACACGATACAAATATGTTGCTGTTGGGGTTGAGTCCACAGCTTCAATAAACAGGCCTCATGGTAGATATGCTGCGTTTGACGTTCCTCGTCGCAATGCAAAGTGATCAAGTCGTCTTGTGGTTCTACCAATTGACAGACTGGGCAAACGCCGATATCTTCTTCATGAATGTGTATTTTGGCATTGCGAATCCATTGATATACTAAGATTAGAGTTCCAGTGGCGTAGAACATGTATAGCAATGCTAACATATATCTTAACTCGTATATAGGATCTGGCGCAAGGCATTTGTATAGCGCTAGAGCTGCAGCAGATAGTATAGAAACCAGCGCGAAGAGCAACCCCTTTTCCTGGCGAAGAACAATATCGAAACGTGGAGGATAAGCGGCCCCCAAACCTATGCCCTTCGACCACAATAAGGAGTACTGAGGAGTAGGGCTGGGGTTGTAGCCAAAAAGCAACCCGGCCCAGTAGGGCTGCGAATATACAAAAGCATCCATTTGAGATTCTTCACAGAAATTGTTGCTTTAGGATAAAAATTCTTGGCTGCTGAGTTAGTTAATACAAAGAATGATAGCTGCTAGGCCTGCCAAGAATTTCTGGTGTTTATATGGTAGGTTTAGCTTTTGACACCTGCTCATACAAGGTCATTGTTAGAGTATACGTCTATTGTATATGTAAAAGGAGGGCTTGCTTGATCAGCTCTCCTGAATGGGTGCTCAATGGTTTTGTTTCCCAACCTTTGTTGTTGCCATTCAAAGTTGCTGTTAATATTATTGAGAGGAATGATGGATATTCTTATAGTATGAATATGTAGAACTATGCCACTACACTACGCACTACTATGAATTTGGCACGAGAGTCTATGCTACCGGGTTATGTTGCTCGCGACTATTTACAACACCACGCACCTTGAATATGAATCATTTGTAGCTGTTTATCCATTACTACCAACTAGATATAAGCCTTGTACAAATATGCATAATTGCTACGCCTACTTAATGATATTTAGATACTCAGTCACCCTATAATTAGCGCATTGCCAGCCTTTACTTACCAGACGCGCGGTTCCCTATTATTCTCGGCCCCTTGTCTAACCAGATGACTATCAATTTTAGCCATTCAGGACCAGGGGTAACCCACTCGCTACATCAAGCGCATCGTTTCAAAGAGCAAAGTATTGCTGCCTATAGAATGGTCTCTGGCACCGGTTTTACTCGCTTATACCTGACTTTAGTGAATGCCCTTCTAGATATGCCTCAGTATACAATGATATCAGTATATAACGTCATTGCGAGGTCCTTTTAGAGGCACAAATCAAAGCAAGGCTTGATTCTCATAAAACTTGTCACAGTACCATAGTTGAGTGTAGAGATGCAGGGTCTCGACCTAATAACGTCATTTACCTTTGAATAGCGTTGTGGTTATAGTACTACACTCCTATTATCTGTTCTGTGACAGAACTCGCCCCGGGATTGCTAATCTTCGGGGGTTGCCACTACGTCTCAAATAAGTGAGGGCTGAATAACTTCAGTTTCAGCACCATGGAGACAAGCGCAATACAAGGGTTGTGCGGCCAGACTGCGCATGCGAAATGGTGTACAAGCGCTCAGCACGTGTGACGGTCATATGTATTTATCTCGTTATTTATCTAGAATGCGTGTCATAACTTCAATATGTCCCCTTTACACGAAGGTCTTAGTACCTTCGTGCGTATGCTGGGACTACCCGTTGAGACACCCTCCACTACCATCTACTAACGTACACACCTATCCAGGTAGGCTTATGGCGATTCCTGAGTAGCGATCTTTGATGCCCGAAAAATAATTTCGACTATATGCAGTGGCTCTAGTGGCTTCATGAAAACACCAGAGGCCTTGAAGGAGAACTCGTTACGCCCATTCCACTCTTCTACGGCTATCAATGCATCCACTTAGGCCAAGGCATTAAAAAATTGTCGGGGTGGTCTCTGTTGTTGAAGAAATTGATACCGTTCATCCATCTCTTCGGCATGATCTGTTTAGTCGCGGGATCGAAGCCGACTTCCAACGAGGTCACCCAAGCATTTCGTCGCGCTAGTGTCGCCCCTCGATCTCTCAACTCATTATCCGTCTCCCTTGCTGTGAATGCATAGGAGATGACTCCGGAGACGTCGAAAGGATCATCAGGGATGAAAATACCGAGCCAAGGTGTCCATCTTCCTGGGACATGACGCCGTGAGAGCCACAGCACCCTACCCTCCGCAATTGCCCGACAGATGGCTTTCGCCATCATTACTGAAATATGAAGCAGGCTCCAATATTGCGCTGATCTTCCTGCTTTCTTCTCGGCGGCTTTCTCATATAGGAACTCCTTTAGCTTAGTATGAAGCGCATCGCCGCCCTCCTTCATTCTTTTCAAATCTGCTATCAAAGCCTTAAGCAGGCGTATCTCAGCGTCAGTAAGAGTACTCGTCAGAGTGGTATCGTTGGTCTTCCAATAAAGGTCCCGATCCGACTCGAGAACTTTGACCTTCATTTTCTTGTCCAGGCGCGACAGTACACCTTTGACCATTAGCCCTTCTGGTTTCATGTTAATGGCCGGAAGGCGGCACATCTTGATAAAGATCAATTCTCCAGCGGGCACGGGTGGCTGAATGACCAGCTTTACCCGGCTCAATACTTGAAATATTGTTTGGTTCAGGACGGCGTCTCGCGGTATATCGTGCCGCAGTATCTCTCCATTGACCACGAACAGGGTCAGGATGGCGATACTCAGACTCGCTTTGACGAGATTCAAGTCTTGTGAGTTCAGCCTAGTGGTATATCTGCAGCAGTTTGCGGCTATTGCCAACATGTCGGACGGCACTGTTATCCCACGAACACTGATATCCTCAAATATCGCCGGCGACATCGCCTTCACAATCGAGCCTGCTCCTGGCGTGTATCCGCTTCTATACAGGAACGAATACCGCCGAGCATTCTTTAGGATCTGGTTGCAACGATCCTGACTGGTTTTGTCGACTTGTTGGTATAGCGCAAGGCAGAAAATAGTGACCTCAGTTCGGAAATTAAGCGGTCGCACTTCAATTTCCCCTCTAGTCCTCCCGAAAAGGTCGACACCGTCTTCGTTGGTCTCGTACAGACCTGTCCTGTCCAATGTACAGGGCAGAAGCAGAACCATATGCTTGGAGGCGAGAAACTCCTCTTGGAAGATCCATGCCCGATGCCACCAGTTGTCGCTTAGAATCAATTCGATGAGGTCAAGAACGGCAACCGCCTCCTCCACCGACACTCGCAGCGTTGGCTTAGTCTCAATGGTATCAGCGAACTCGCCGTCTAGCAAGTTGCGTAACATCGTCAATCGGTCGACGGTCTTGATTTCCACGAACGCGAGGCCCAGCGAACACCCGACAAACCGCACATTCCCATCTGTGACTACTTTTCGGCCGCTGTACTGGTATACTAGATCCATGGAGTGGACTGCTATCTCTTTCTGGTCGCTCGCCTCTTGATTGATACAAATCTTGTCGATCCAGAACGGCGTGTTCACATAGTCCGGATTGCAGAGCTTGAAATTTAGGATGCGATTGAGTATGTCATCCGGGGGCATAATCACTCCAGACGGCTGCTCTGGAGCAAATCTGTAGCGACCAGACACTGTGTCATGGCCAGGAATGTACCACGGACACGAGACCGCGATGTACTCGTTCGACTTGAAGTGTTGCAGCTCAATTGGATCTGTCCCGCTTAAGGGGTCATTGTCAATCCTCAAATCCGCCTGTACGCATACTCGCATTGGCGTCTTCTCCTGCACATGCCGTGATCTTTGTAGTTCATAGATCCTCGTGCTTAACGGCTCAGGAGATCTGGCCCTCAGCTCACTAAGAACGCATCCCGTGTCGTTCTCCATGTCGAGCAATATGTGATCTTAGTTTTGAGTGACTAAAGGACTTGCGACTCTCGCTTCTCCTGAGGGTGTCAAGGGGAGGGAGGTTTGAATCATCACTAAAGCGGTCCACTGGGGATATAATGGTCGCCAATCTCTTTCCCAGTACCATCCAGGAATGTAGCTTCGCTGTCCGATAACTCAGCCACTTGTCCTACTCTACCTGCGCGTCTTTCATCCCTACGGAGGCGCAATGAAGGGTCCAAGCCCCTGATGCATGGGACTCGGGCACGGTAGTTCAGAAGCTTTTTTAAAATTACCGCCGAAAATGAAGGCAGGTCTGCTTCGTGCTGCAAGAATCCCAAGTGTTCAGCGGCAATCCAGTACTAGATGCCTTAATGGTGAACATTGACCAACTTGATTTTGATACTGAATGGACCAATGGCAAGTGGATTCTTGCCGCTAGGAACACCTACCCTAGTCTTTTCATCTTCAGCTCTCGCAGCAGATGGCGTGGCTGAAGACGCCCCAATACAGAGCATCTCCCCGGGCCAATGCCTACAACTTGCAATAATAAGCAGCACCAAGCCATATCACGTGGCTCAGGGGACAGAGGCTGATGGTTCAGCCAACAGCCCATCTATTCGCGTGCCACTCTCGCCAACTGCAGCCTATGGGATATCATATGATGATGCCCCTACTAAAACCCTACAAGGTTAGAGAAAATAGACAACACTGTATAGGCAGTACTATGTAGGCGTTTATACTTCTCTGTCTTGTCTCCAGGACGTAGAATACTACTAGAAGCTATGTTTGTGATGATAGGTCTATTCAGCAAGCTTGCATCGCCTTAATGAATTGGAGCTATGAAGTAGGCCACGGGTCGACCTTCAAACGATACTCTGCCGAGCAATACGCTGTACCATGTGGTCCTTCACGAGCATGGCAAACGGCCATGTTCCTCTACTCACTGCTGGCTAAAAAGGCTGCCTGGGAACAATAGGGCCTCTCGTCCTCAATCAAATGGGGACTTTGCCCCGCCAAGGAGAAAACCGAGAGAGGAAGGGCAAGTGATGAGCTTGGAAGGCATGAATCCAGCGAGCACTATACCGTTCCGTCAGCAACTGGTCCGACGTCCATTCGTTGGTATCGGCATATGCCTCCGCGGAGTGAGCACTCGAGAGCGACGTACGTGTTACCACAAACGTGGGAGGCCACTGATTTGAGATGATTTGTTCCCCCGAAATTCCTGGAGAGCAGCCTTGGTCTTATATAGGCGCTTCAGGACGAGTCCGATCCGTGTGTATCTGATATGGCCGATATTCTTCGTTTGCTGCGGGACGGACCGAAGCCTCCGATATAGCTAGCTATTGGTCACCACTGAATAGCATCTCGAGAAGAAAGGTTTGCTTTAGTCGATGTTTCCGGCAATGCCGCACTTTCATCGCGCTCGGATACTCCTTTGGGCTCGAGGACGGGCAGGGTTTGATCGACTTGCCACCTATCTGCCTCATCACGTACGATCCGGCTCCATTTAGCGATAAGGGGATGCTGGTCAGCGACATCGGAATAAATGATTTCGCCGCCCTCGTGAGATGCTGTGACGGGGTACACCCAGCTGCCATCCGCGGCCCAGAACTCGGAAGTAAAGATGCATTCGGGGTTCAACTCGGCCGCGGCCTCGGAAAGAAGCTTATGGGCGTGGTCGGAGTCGCCAGCCTCGGCTAGAGCAGCGCTGATGCCTTCGAGAAGGCCGAGCAACTGACCGGCCTTCAGACCGATGTTGGCGCCGAGAGAAAACCCTTGGTCGAAGCCGGTTTGAATGCTGCCAGCCTTACCGGCGGTGATGCCGTCGCGATAGCCCACAGTGTGGTGCTGAGCCTGAAGACTTTGGGTATCCAACGATATGTCATGGTTGCCCTGGAATACCGATGCATTTGGTCCATGTGCAGGCGGATCGGGATCCGGGCCAAATATATCGTCCAGGGGGTCATAGACCGATGGGGCCGTCATTTGGAGGCCACTGGCGTGAGAGTCGAACTCGTCGCCGAAAGACTCGGGCGGCGGAGCTAGATGCATTTGATCCTGTTCCTTTTACGGTATTCCTTCACTTTTCAATCCTCCTCATCTCTTGCTGCTCTGAACGCAAGTCTAGGTGCGTGTCCAGTGGTGACACCAGCATGCGCTGTATGCAAACTTGCTCGACTTTATTACTTATCTAATTAGGCTTAGCGTACCGCAGCTCTGACACAAGTATTTAAACTACGTAGGTAGCTAGGTACTTCGTAAATAAGGTACAGTGGGGAGTGTTCCGGGGTTTGCACCTAGGTACTGGTACAAATTTAGGTACCTACCAATCAATCGGCTGGCAACAGTCCAATTGCTCTTAATACTTACTGTAGTACCGAAGTAGGAATGGTTACATACGTACCTGGGTAATAAAAGCCAGTAACAAGAATCACTCAGAAAGTCATCTTTAAGTTCATTATCCTAGCTACAATGTGTCTAAGAGACTTGTCAAGAATTGTCGAATTTACAAGACAGGACCCGTATCATGGGATATCCATAAGATAGCAGCGCCAAAGGCAATCCTACAATCGAAACCTCTTGCTAGCCTCCACAAAACCCATACCCTTCTTAATCCCAACCGCCATTTTCTCGTCCGCCTACCCATCTTTCTGTTAGCGAATTGCACTCCAAGATTATAGCACACAGTTTGGATGAATCTGAATGCAAGATTTTGGGTGAATGAGAAACACAATGACCTCCAACCGCTTCTTCAATGAATGATAGCACCGAACTTGGAACTCACCTCGACCTGCTTCTGCATTAGCGGCAAAGCCTTCTCTGCCAGCTCGACAGGCAAAACGACGACGCCATTTATATCTGCAATCAAATAATCGCCAGGGCGAATCTCCATGTCCTGTTCGTCGGTCTGTAGCTTGACGGGCACGTTGACGGCGGCGACCTTGAGTAACTCGGCAGGAGGCGCAGTTCCCACATCTCGCGCAAAGACCTGTATGAAATAATCGGGTTAATTCTATGCTACTTACATAAGGTGCGAAGGAATATCGCCTAGAGAAAGTACATATTCAGCGAAGTGGAAGGGTTCTTCACCGGGTAACCAAGGGCGCGCTGCTCCTGTACATCACGGAACCTTCCGTCGATGACAGATCCGACGGCGCCGAGGGCCTGAGCACGCGTCGACATCAGACCGCCGTAGACGGCATTGGGAGTTTTGGGCGGGCAGGATACGAAAACCACGGCCCCAGCCGGCACGTCGTCAATCTAGGACAAGAGTGAGCGTGATGAGCGCAGTAAAATTGCACAACGGTTCGGGATTGGGCTGACTACGAGAGTAAAGGCATAGAACGCTGAGAGGGAGACAAGGACCTACATAATGAGTTGGATGCTTTGGTGCCGGATCATCAAGAGGCACGTATTTGACAGTGTAAGCTGGACCGACAATTTTCGTATCACCGTCCTGCCGCTGTGGAGACCACATGGTCAGGCCGGAGAGGAACCCGCCATTTCTATATTTCAATTTACAAAGAGCGTCGGACACATCGCACCTAGAATGGCCAAAGCAACCCCGGAAGTCAGGCCGTGTGGACTTGTTATGGCATGGCTATTGGTATTTTGACCTACGTCGTATAGTTCTGAAGGGCTCTCACAATTGGATCCTGTGAGGCGGCCATGTTGGTGAGTCGACGTTTAAAGGTAAGGTAAGTGTTATGATGGGTGGTTGCGGGCTGGGAGAGAACAAAGATGCTGCTCGGCAATTGTGTCTGAGGACGGGAACAAGCTCGTTTGAAGGCGTGAAAAAGTATCATTATCCCAGCGAATGAGCAATGTTGTCACTCAATTGAATGGATTATAGCTATCTAGGTAGGTATTACGGCTTGAGATGCAATGAGCATTCTCTATCGGACCCCTGCCGGTTAACCGCAGACCATGTGTGTAGTTACCTCCGATCGGAAGGAGAGATACGGTAGGACGGAGCATTCTCCCTGTAGCCGAGGACAATGACGTACCTGCAGCTACGGTTCAGCTGCTTGCATTCACTGCCCGAACAGAAAAAGCTACCTAGGTAGATTACCACATGCACTTGGGCCTACTGAGGTTAGTACCTTAGGTAGGCAGGCGCTTGACCCACTACCCCACGATATCACATGCTGCGCTGCCTTACATAGCTGCTTAGGTAAGGTAAGAGGATCTTACCCAGGAAGATAATAAACTTTACATAATCGTACATAAATATTTATGATAAGTCCTCGATTAGGAAAAGGAAATGTACGGTTCTTTTCTCTGAAAGTCATCTAGCCCGTTGCTCCCTCTCATACAATACAGAAATCATGAACATGAGCCGTAGTTTTCATATAAGAGGTCTGCCATTTTGTTCAAGTTCCTCACAGACAAGACACAGCAGCCACCGGAAGACTGCGTGCCACATAGGCTCTACGTCCACTTGCAGAAGAGATATAGCTTTCACAATCGTGACGAGCCCCGGCAAGGGGTATAGGAGCAAGAGTGCTGCCAAGCTTCGCCCATTATCGCCATAGTTCGAGTCTAACTCCTCGAAAGAACCTCCCGGCATAGTCGCCAGCAGCCAGACACGCCCCGATGGGTCTTACGGCAGCGTAGAAGATTCCGAAAGTTCGCAAGATGTATTAGTGATCGTCTAAGCGACTAACTGTAGGGGTATAAAGGACTAGAAGAGTCTACAAAACACGTGTCACTTAGGTATGGTATACAATACACATAACATACGCCAACTACCAACATCTGAAGAAAACCTGTCTATGGTCGATGAGGAAAATCGTCCAACTCCATCTCACTATGCTCCGCCCCCAAGGCTTCCTTGGCCGCAGAGGTCCCGGGCATGGGTGGTGGGTGCCTCTGGTGTGTAAAGCAGCTCGTAATGATGCCTACCACGATAATCCCCATCAAGAGCTTGATATCATCGGTAAAAGCCTCGGCATACACCATTTTGACTTCCCGCCGGAGTTCACTGGGGAGCCACGGTGCAATTGTTGGGCTATGGTGAATCGCCTCCAGGTCAGCTGGGTCTATCTTGCCACTCAAGCTGTGTGCCACTCTAGTATTTAATATGATACTGCAGAGAGCGATGCCAATACTCCCGCCGAAGACTCGCGCTTGTGCCACGATGCCCTGAGCCACAGCAAGATCGGCTTGGCTAGATTGTACCGAGGCCATGATGGTCGCCGCCCCAAGGGAGAGTCCGATACCTAATCCGAGCAACAGCTGGAAAATATATTGTGCCTTGATCTCCGTGGTGATATCGCGTAACATTAACATAAGACCAGCGCCCAGTAGCTGTAAGCAATGGGCGGCCAAAAGTGTCCAAGATGTGTTATTACGCCGACGGGAGACGGCTCCGGCGCAAAATGCGCCCAGTGCTGTGGCACCGAGCATGGGAAGCAGGTGAATACCCGAGTAGAGAGCATTGTCGCCGTTGACAATTTGGAAGCGCTCCGGCAAGATGACCAGGATAGCGAGGTAAGTAAAACCGGTGCAGAAAGTGCAACTCACGACTGTGTTAGTTTCCAGCGACAAGTACGGCGATTATTATACGTACACAACACAAGCAGAATAAACTCTACACACTAGTCGGAGCGGTAGGATAGGCTCGATTCGTGTATTATTTCTGGAACTTAGGTGGATTTCCCAGGCCACAAAGCCCAGCCAGCTAAGTACCGAAACGATCAAGGCCAGAATAATCACGGGATGATTCCAAGCAAAAGTATATGCCCCAGCTTCTTGGAGTGCAAACACTAACAGTGCACAAGCAGCTATAATGAGGATGTTACCCAAGAAGTCAATTCGTCGGATGGCGTCTATCCCGCGTCTTTGGCGGCCTATACCAGTCGGCCAGGCAAGGTAGAGACCGGCGACAAGAACAACGCCGAACGGCACACTAAGCAGGGCAGGTAGTTAGCACTGCAGGGGGAAGGAAGGTGCGCAGACGTGGAATGATAGAGTGAAAGGTCGCTCGCATACTTGATCCAGAAGACCCATCTCCAGGTAGCCGTAGAAGAAATGACGCCGCCCAAGATAGGTCCGAGTACGTAGGAGATGGCAAGCGTAAGTCCGATCATGGCACCCATAAGACTTGGCTTGTGTGCTGGACCAACTTCGAACAGCGCGATTTGGGCCAAGCTATAAAGTCCAGAGCCTCCCATACCCTGGAACACACGGCAGATAATCCTACTCGACCATCAGTGAATTGCCACGCTGTGTCTTCTGAGGAGGAAGCAAGTATTGCATACAGCTGGGGCATGGTCTGTGCCAGGGCACATCCGATTGAGAAGCCTGCAAACAGAATCCAAGCAGCGCAGAGAGTATCACGACGTCCGTAAATATCACTGAGCTTCGCAAAGCCGATGGCCAGGCCCAGATACGCCAAGAGATACGCCAGAACGACCCATGGTGCGTTGAGGAAGTCCTGGAGGTCGATAGAGATGGTAACTAGGGACGTCGATACGATGGAGGCATCCAAACTCGAGAACAGGAGGCCGATGAGTAGACTAAGCACAAGGGCACTGAGAGTTAATACGTTTGCAACGACGAGAATGGGGAGAGGGATAAACGCACATTGCCACAAGCGTGACTTGTCGCCAGCCGTTGAGCAGATGCTGATACGCCATTGTTGAATGATGGGTAGGAGGAGGTGGTAGGTGTGCAGAGTTCCAGCTCCAGAGATAGAAAAATACTAGTACCCTGGGTTGGTTGGTCAAATGGTCGCCTAATGCTTTGTTCTTTCCCAATTGTGGTTTATTCCAGTCTAGAATGGAAACTGGGACCAACGGTCATCAATCGACAGTTCCGTTCAAATCGAATCGTCAAAGATCTAGGTGCCTAAGTTAGGTAGATACTTAAGGTAGTCTGAATGTATTCTCCAGCGTTTGTTCAGTATCTATTGCGTCGTTTGCAGGCTGTTGGCTGTTAGGAGCTCAACCAGCCAACCCTCAACAATTTATTCCTTTCAGTACTGTTATTACCATGACGTTGCCGAGATGCTTGACCGGCTACCGAGCAGTTGGTCGACTAGCGGACGGCTACGGTGGTTGTTGACATCGGCCAGGCGACGGCCTATCTCTTAGACAACACAGATGGGCCAAGGTAAGTAAATCAGTACCTGTATGATTATCCGTCCGGTTGACTGAGTCTTATGCTCACTAGAGTTTTACGATAAGACATGTGCTTGGGCAAGTTTGCTAGATATGACGGCAACAATAACTTTTTTTTTTTTATCACGAGGATCTAGCCGACTGTGTCTCCCTCATTTGAGTTGTCTCGGCGTCGCACAGATGAAGATTCCAAGCTATTGCAGGATCTTTGTGTGGCACAAACATCGTACAATATGGCACAACGTAATGCTGTTCATTTGCGAAACGACATTCACAGCTTGGACAGGGCGAAGAAACCTGTGTTTGCTGGTAGTGTCCAATGTCACCACGGCCTGCTTACAGCCGCTTATTCATAAGACCATATCACAGGAAGTCTTACAGGCCTGCCATACTCTCTCTCTCTTTCTCTTTCTCTTTCTCTCTCACCGCCAGCCGGGCTACTGATGGATGTGCTTGGGATTGCCAAAGCGGGTAGTGACACATTGGCTTGTATGATGCTACCTAGGTAGGTGAGGTAAAAGAAACAGATATGGGCAAGCTGCTTAGAGGGAGCATGAGTATATCTGTGTGTCTAAGCATGATTGTCTTCATCGCCCTTTGTGCCACTACACCCCTGACGTGTGCTGCTTCGTCCGAGGTCACAGGAAAACAGCATGTGCCCAATTATGTTGAGTTGCGAATGCAATTAGTGCTTCTTGACATACGAAGTAAGATTTTACTCACCTAATACTGCCTAACACTAGGTATCAAAATGTAGGTACGAGAGATGTAGGTAGGTAGGTGTCTATGCCGCAGTATGCATGCAGACTAGATAAAAGTACCTATCTAACCTATCTGATATTCAAAGCGAATGCGGCTGATATCGCCAAGGCTGCTTGCTGTTAAGTCACTGTTCGACCTTGACTTATCACAACTTAAAAAGGACCTAATATGTAGGTAGTACTACTTTGTATGTACAGCGTATCTGCCCCAGCGGGCTGGGCGCAGCACCGCGGCATTGCAGCTAAGAAGCACTGCCCCAGATTGAGTCTTGGCGGGGTACATGAAGGCAGAATAAAAGGTAGAAAAGGGTCTGTCTCTGGTCTGTGAAAGGTGAGAAAGAGCATAACCGGGTAGATCGGCCGTACCAAAAGGGAGACGGCTCCTTGGATGCTGGCTGGGCCTGCTAGCCGGGTCTGGTATAAGCAGTGCTCTAAGCGACTTAGCGTCAGCACACAGGGGGATCACAGGGCATCTAGCGTCTCGGCGCGATCCGCATCACTCCCAAGATCAGAGTCTGGCACAGCAAGATGGAGCAAGATGGAGCAGGATGAGGCGACATGGGTCGAGATGGGTGTCTTGGCGACCTTCTGCCAAAATTTGGGTTCCATCTCGCATTCTGCTCGGCTCATCCCCATTCGTTCGTTCGGTCGGTCGTTTTATCGTTTCTTCGTTCGCTCTCTTTTGCCTGCCTTCCCATCTTTGCATCGCAACTCTAGACCAGGCAGACACTGGGTTGGCGAGTCTTTAGACTAGATTCTGTACACTATCTTCGTTCCTTATTTGCCTTCTCCTCCTTCGTTTCCGCCTAGATCGTCGTTGTCCTCTCTTCTCTCTATCTTCTTTTCTTCCTTCTTCCCGCTCCTTATTTTGTGTTGTATATTGTAGCGTTCGGCTTCGTTCCATTTCGCTTCTCTTGTGCCTATCTTCCGTCCACTGCAACAGCCGAAGACCCGTGTGTTACCATTCCAAGGTTGAGGTAGCCAGATCGAGTCGTGATACGTACGTACGTACTCGTATATACACATAGAAACACAAGTATATATCATATATATTCCACCGCACATTGGTTGCAATCGCCGAATCACCTGAAGCCTCCTCTCACAGAGTTCCAATTCCGGCTCGACTCCCGTCCGAAACCTCGCTTCCCGCTCGACAATGAGGACCTCTCTCGCCTGCCTTGCCGCTCTTGCGACACCCGCAGTCGCCCAAAAGGTCGTTTCCCTGAGCTTCGCGAGAGCCGGCCCCGAACACAAATCCCTACGGAAACGCGCTGGTACCTATTCCCAGGAACTGAACAACAACCTGACTGGTGGTGGTTATTACGCCGACGTTGCCTTGGGTACACCGCCTCAGCCCGTCACCCTCATCCTTGACACCGGCAGCAGCGATGTTTGGGTCTTGGACACACACGCCGATCTCTGTCAGTCGCAAGACCTTCAATACTACTATGGCACCTGCCTCGCTACCTATAATCCCGACAACAGCTCTACCTACGAGCTCGTTGACCGAGACGCTTTCAGCATTCAGTACCTAGATACCTCTGGTGCTGAGGGTGACTATATCAGAGACACCTTCCACGTCGGCGGCGCCAGCATCAAGGCCTTGCAGGTCGGCCTGGCCGAGAACTCAACTATCAACTCGGGTCTCCTCGGCATAGGTTTTAGTACGAACGTTGCCGCCAGCGATCCGTATCCTAACATTATCGACTTGTTCGTTGAGCAAGATTTGATTGATACTTCGGCATACAGTCTGTACCTTGTACGTCTAGCCTTCATTTGCATATCGTTCACCCCGCTGCTTGATGTTAGAGATATTAACTATAAGCTTTCATTCTAGGACGACCTTTTCGCTGAAACTGGCACTATCCTATTTGGAGGCATTGACACCAGAAAGTTTATTGGACAACTGAAATCCGTTGACATACTTCGTGACGCTCAATCAAGGATTTACTCATCATTTACCGTTGCGCTGAACTCCTTAACGATTGGCAAGGGCTCCAACTCTGAGAGCTCAGATTTACTTAGCGAACAAACGCCCGTCATTCTTGATTCCGGTACCACGCTGACATACCTGCCACCGCGTGTCGCAAGACAGATCTACCAGCAATTCAACGCCTATGACGATACTGGTGTCACTGGTCTTGTATATGCTGATTGCGGGCTTTTGAGCTCTGAAAGAGATACGACTCTCAACTTCCAATTTGGCGGCAGCAATGGCCCGGTGATCAAGGTCCCCATGCGTGAGTTAGTCCTCGATAACGTCAAGGGTTATATAGCTCTAGGGCTCGAGCTACCACGCGACATCGGCTTCGATGATGTGTGCAGTTTCGGCATCCAGTCGCTTCAGGGTATCTACCTCCTTGGCGACACATTCCTGCGCTCCGCTTACGTCGTGTACGATTTGGATCACAAGAAGATTGCTCTAGCACAGGCCAATCTCAATTCCACGGAAACTAATGTTATGGAAATCACCGCTGCTTCCGGTATCCCGCTTGTGAGCGGCGTTGCCGCCCAAGAGACTCATACCGCTGGTGGCAACAATAAAGATGATGCAGGGAATGGCTCAGGCTCAGGCTCAGGCACGGGCTCAGGCACAGATGCCGACGACGAGTCCACGACTGACAACGCTGCTCCTCGAGCGCTGCCAGTGCTGAATTGGGAAGCTACTGCTGTAGCAGTTGCTGCATCTCTTTTCAGCCTGGTAGGCGCCGGTCTATTCGTTCTTTAAAAGGGACGATGTACGCATTCTCCACCGTCTCTAGCTTTGCTTATGTATATTGCATCCTGTTGTGCCCGGAGTATGACACATTACATTATAGGGTGTGGCACAAGACACAACAAGACGCGAATCGGGTCGCATCTTATGTTCATAAAGAAATTGCCATGCCATCAAGCATATATAATATCACGAGAGTTACGGCCCGCTACCTTTGACGACTAGAAGGTGCATAGTTCAACGAATGGCATTCACACATTTCCACACAGCATATATATTTAGAAAGAGAGATAGGAATACATAGTTAGGCCTACAATAGGTAGAAAGACAGCGAGCTCTCTAGCATAATTATCATCAGTAGAATTGGTAAAAACGTTGCCTTATAATCAGCTAAGCTAGATAGTGTAGGTCGTCCTTAGGGCTAATGTTGATTGCAGTACAAAGACCTCTAGTTCTGGTCCGATATAGTCCTATTATCTAACGCCCCTATAATACAAATGGATGAAAAGCTATGAGCAGATCGATGTGAAACGGTTGAGATGGCAGATGAGTAGTAGGAAACACTATCCCATCTTTTCATACCGCTCTCTAGCTTTGTCTTTGGCTTTAGAAACGAAATCAGCATAGTCGTTCTTCGTAGCACGAGCAGCTTCCTGCGCCGCATCGCCAATCTTGCCCCCTTCGGCCCCGAGGCCGACGCCGGGTGCGTACGCCATCGTCTCGATGATATCGGTTCGTCCACCGCTTTCTGCACCCAGGCCTTCACCGGTGGTCCAGCCCATCTTAGCGAGCAAGCCCGCACCTTTGGAAATGGCGGGCTTGGAGGGCGGGTCCTTAGTGGGCTCTGCTTCTTTATTGTTTGATTGGACTTTTCGGGGGAGATGAATTTTTGGTTTCATGGGCTGGTTATGAGCTAATCGTCGTTCTTTGGCTCGATCTCGGTAATTGGAGGTGGGCTCTTTGCCTAGAGCTTTCAAGTCTTGAGTTGCTTTGGCGATAAGGCTCTCGTCCTTGAGGTTGGCCTTGTGCATGTCACTCATCTGCTCGTGTCGGCGAAGAGAAGGTTCGTTCTTGAACTTGCGCCTACACAATAGGCAGCACATTTGATCGAGATCAGCATACGACACGGATGGCAAGGTTGTGACAGTGCTTTCGCTTGCTTTGGTGGTAATTGGGACGGTGACAGAGGCGATCTCCTCCGAGGATATTGCGCCGTCTGAGGATTCCTTTGACCCGTGGAGTTCTGCATGCTTGTTTGCCCACATCTGCAGTTGAGGTGCCATAGCGATGACCTTTTTCCCCGTCGGCGCACTTAAGTCTTTATCAGCTTTGCGCTTCTTCGAGTCCTTGCCTGCTGGCATATCAGGCGCTTGTTTAGCATGATCAGGCCTCTTTTCTTTCTCCTCGTAGAGAGATTCATCGAAGATTAAGTGCTCATTGGCGTAGACGGAAGGATTCCAGTAGCTCAGTCTAAGGGTTGGGTTGTGAGTTGCTGCAAATGTGAATTTGCGATCCTGATCTTGTACAGGATGTAGATAGGGGATAAAGACCCCAGAGTGTATGAAGGCAACCGTGACCGGCTTAGAGGATATGGTGAACTGCGGGTGTGCGTTGTACTTGGCAACGGCAGCTCGAGCATCATCAAGTGTAGAAAATTCAGCAAAGCCGTAATTACAACTGATTTCTGACATCTTCTCCCGCACCATAAAAACCCGGACTAGTGAGCCGGGTTTGGCACCAAGCCCATGAGTATTACCAATGGGTGCAGTGCTCCTCAGCTTTGGGGGCATGCCAGAGGCTTGCTTAGGTTCATCTTCTTTTGTTATGTATAGCTTCTTGATACCAGTTGCAAGAGTGGTCTCGTTGGTGGATGGGGCTAGCCCACGAATGACAACAAACTGTGATGGTGTCTGCTGAGGGCATTCGTCACTTTGGCCGTCAAGCCGCATCTCAACCGCATTTTCGGCTGCACCAGACTGTTAGATATGGATTGAAATAGGCCTGGAAGGAGAAGGCCGGGGGTTCAAGTTGCTTTACTTACAAGAACGAGGGGCTTTACACTGTTTGCACGTTGCCCGACGGGAAAAGTTGTCAAAATGACACTGTTGTCTGGTTGGCATGGGCTCCCAATGGCTTTAAGGTAGCTACACCGATGGTAGACTCACTAATGTGCATTTCCAGTCATCCAAGTTCGGTGCCGGACGCCGCTCTCGGCTGTACTCGATATATATGCGAGTGGGAGCGCCATTGCGGTCCTCAATGTCGATAGCGGGATAGTACCGATCGAGAAAGTCTACAGCATCGCTCTCATATTTGAACTCTGCAAATGCATAACATCTACGGTTTCCTAGAGGAGGTGATAAGTTTAGTTGCGAGAGCCGAGCAAATGACAGATGTGCGATAATGAACTACATACCAACGCGACTGTCAGACTTGATGCGGACTTCAATGAGACCTCTTGCACCCATATCACGCATAGCATCATCAATCTAATGAGTTGCCATGTTAGCTATGTGGAAGGTTATCGGATCAGAACTTCTAAACCAAGTAGCTCACCTCTTGAGGTCCTAACCAGTCGGGCACATCATCGAGCTTAAGCGTGTGGTAAGGCCGACCAGACACATGCTGGTGGTTGGCATCACGATGGTAATTGTCGTCGGGAGAGCGATAAGGCGACACGGAGCGACTGGCTGATCGCCGGTTCTGTTTATCATTGTCGCCATCATAATCATGACTGGCATCGTAATCCCTGTAGCCGTGGCGGCCTGAGCGACGGCCCGGCGACTCTCTCCGGCGGTAAGGGGCATCTTCACGAGGATAGCCCCGATTGTCGCCATCGTCTTGAGTGTTATTTCTTCGGTAGGAGGGCGAATGATATCTGCGCGCGCGTGACGAATCATCACCGCGCGGTCCTTTTGGTGGTGATCTGGAAGAGTCTTCCCTCGTAGGGCAAGTCAGCGCAGGCTCAACAATGACGAGGAGAACGCAATGCTCCAGGCTATATCATGTTTTACCGTGCCGCGAGCGATAATGGTGATCCCCGGAAGGAGGTCGAGATCTCGATCTACGGTGGTCGTAGTCATCGTACATTGTGACGGAGTTTGCGATTAGGATTGCAACAAAGCGCGTTGCTCTCTCGGCCTGAGGCGGGGTATGGGATCATGGAGAGAATAATTAGGGTAGATTTCAGCAGTAGTACGGCGTGACGGAGAAGGTTTGTAGGCTTGAGGGGTTTGAGAGCGAACAAGAATGTTGAGCTTATTGTCTTGTCGTTAGTTACGAAGTAGATGATGTTCTCTGGATTCATGCAAACCTACGTGGGTTTCCTGAGCTACCTACATTGGTCCCTACGAGTAACTCGTTCTCCATCTTTATTACCTACCTAGGTAAGGTACAAAGCTCAAGCCCCACGCATGTACAGTACCTATGTAGGTGCCTAAGGCCTACATGTACATGTATCACGGGTAGTTTACGGTAATTTACTACCTAGGTAGTTCTATCTTCAGGGCACAACAATAAGCCAATCACGTTGCCAAATTAGGTAGCTGCTATCTAACACCTTGGTGATAGTGCTTGGGTAAGCCATGTGTTGGTTGGTACCTAATCTTGATGAACTTTCAAATCATCTTCACCACCCTCACCATTGTTATCACCATCATACCGAGTCTCGCTACTTTCACATAGCCACTGGAGAGTTGCAACTGGCCTGACCAGCACCTGACATTGAAGCACACCATTGGAAGGTAGGCTCGGGCCGACATGGAATCCCCTTTGACTGAGATCAGTGAGGAGGGCTGCTTCGTTGCCCTCACACATGAACACCTACAGGTCCAGGACATCATGGATCGCGTTCGTAGTCCTCAGGCCGGTGCAATCGTCCTTTTCGCCGGTGAGCTTGCGCAGCCTCTTCCTGACCTTGCGTCGTTTTCACCATACTGAACGCCCGCCTTCCTCCCTTTCAGGCACTACTAGGGATAATTTTGCGGGAAAGCCAGTCAAGGAGCTTCAGTACTCGTCTTATGCCCCTTTGGCTCTGAAGACCATGCTATCCCTCTGCAAGAGCGTGATGGCACGTCATGGCCTCAAGGGTATTGCCATGATTCATCGACTCGGTACTGTCCCCATCGGAGAGGAAAGTATACTCATCGCGGTCTCGGCTCCCCATCGTCAGGCTGCCTGGAGGGCCGGCGAAGAAGCCCTTGAAGACTGCAAGAAGCACGTTGAGGTGTGGAAAAGAGAGGAGTTTGAAGGCGAAGAAGGTGTTTGGCGTGCCAACCGTGATGGCATTCCTGGTCAAAAAATCACCGGAAGCGGCGAAATCCATTGATATGCTAGCTCCGACAGCCCTTCTCAGTCATTGCCTGTAGACCGTGTTGATGTGACAGACATGTTCAGCATATCTCGATCATCTGAGAAAGGCCAACTGGTCACTGACTCACTGCGCAGAAAACATCGGACTCGCTCCTCGTTGCACGGTGTGATATGATGGACTCTAACGAGTGCAGCAGCCGAGCAAACATGAAAGGAGTGTCTTCAATTCAGGTACGGAAACCACCTGAGGCGCTATTGGGTCCGTGAACCTGGTCTTCGTCAACATGTCGTACGGTCTGCGCCGATGGTATCCATCTCGCCTGAAGATCTCGCCTGAAATGTACTACAGCCCTCTACCACTCCGAAAAGACGAAGGTTTTTGAAGACGGGGTGCTATACGCAGGTCAACTCACTGACAGAAGTCTTCGGTGTCGATTTTTGGTCCCACGGGACCGTAATTCCACCCTAGCGGAGTATCGCATCTTTTGGCTAAATTGGCCCTGGCACATCAATTTATACTGCAGCGCTAAGCCATACGAAAGCTACCCAAACGCGCCCAGGGGGGCAAACGACACCAAATAGAGAAAGTAAAAATACGAATTGACTGTATGGGCCATGATGTTGCACTCTTCGACGTACTTCTTTCTTGTGCTTATCAGCCAGCCGCTTAGGCGAGGGTCGGTGCGAGTAGATGATGCTACCCTAGACTGAAACAATGACTGAGGAGGCCGTTCTTGAACGTTTCAACGGCTACGAGTGGCTAGCAAACAGTTCTTCGCACAGAACAGAAGCTGAATAGTTATGGTAGTCTGAAGCCCTTGTCGACCTTACGAATGGGGATGACTACGCCTACAACCCATAACCTTTGTCGCATTCCCGCCACATATGCATTATGATACTGTACTTTGAAACGACTCAAAGCCCTGCCTTACATCGTAGGTCAGCTGATGTCTATTCACTCTTTTCTGTGCCAACTTTTGACTGCACAACGTGGCGTCGGAGTTGGATATGATCGTATCTGCAACTTCACGATGTCATGCATGCCTTTTTGTTCCTGCACACTAGATTCAATCGACTCATTCCAAATAGCCCTCGAGACGGGTAACGAATTATGAAGGGAAACGGTGTGATAATCTCTCGTCTTTCTCAAAAGAAGATCATATATGGTTACTTGTGAACCACGAGGCCTTCGAGCAGCTTCTATCCACACTTCAATCTAGATCCTAGCTAGAACTGATATTGTCTATCATACAAAATGCAAGGAAATCTGTCGGCCTGCTTTCAAACTGTGGTGGCGATGGTCCAGCCAGCTCGGCTTTCCAAGGTAGCAGAGTCTCCAATTTAGGCATGATGATAGCGGACAGGGTGTCTCCATCCAACCCAACAGAGGCAGGATACAATGTTGGTATCAGCCAATCTACGGCCTTACCATTCGGTCTTCCAACGTGGATTCTGTGGACGTCCCGCGTACCTAGTCCTTATCCGCGTTCTGATATTAGCGATGGTCCTGGGCAACGGTCTCGATTCTAGCCAGGTCATCTACTCTCCATGTTGACAGCTACTCCACTACTATCAATTCATGATCCTGCTTGCCCAATATCTAACACCCCAAAGCTATTCTTTGATACCACTCATCGGGTGACATTCTGCCTCACTCCGAATTGAACTTTCGCCGACAATCTCATATGAGCGAATGAAGAGGTCTTATAATCATGTTTCGTTTTCGCAGACGTGTGCCGGCTGAAAGGGAACAACGAATCAAGCCCAGCGGAGGAGATGAGGCTACAGATACTTCTGATCGCTCAGAGTCCCGTTGCCAATTCGACCCTAACTTGCCTGTGGACGAGATCGAGCTTGTCGACGCATCGTCGAATAGCGGCGATGTCGAAAAGTCCGTCAAGGTAGATGTTAATGCTATAAAGGATGATAGCCCATATCCAGAGGTACACACTTTCGCTCATACTGTATTTTTTTCCTTCTGATTCTCACCGTTTCTCTTATTAAGGTTCGCGCTGCCGTCCGAAACTACGATGTCGATTTGCCAGCCAACACGATACGGGCGTGGGTCATCGGGATGGTCTTATGTACGGCCGGTTCCGCCGTCAACATGCTGTTCTCATTGCGAAACCCTTCCATCACTATCACAACATATGTGATCCAGCTAATCGCGTATCCCATTGGCCTTGGCTGGGATCTGGTATTTCCCGACCGAGAGTTTGAGTTTATGGGTATCACATTCAATCTAAAGCCAGGAAAGTTTAACTTCAAAGAGCATACTGTCATCGTTGCGATGTCCAATGTAGGTCCATAGCACCTCGCGTGATCTGATATTTCGAGCTGACAACCGTGCCAACGTAGGCAGCTTATGGTGGGGGTGTCCTATATGCTACAGATGTGTTGGTTGCCCAACAGGTTTTCTGTAAGCGCCATAGTCGTTGTTGTTATGAATGGGAACTAATGAATGCATGAAGATAAGCAGAACTTTGGATGGGGGTTCCAGTTGCTGTTTGGAATAACGACTCTCTGCACCGGTTATGGGCTAGCTGGGATAATGCGTCGATTTCTGGTATGGCCGGCTGCTATGATTTGGCCAGGAGACTTAGTAAACGCGACTTTGTTTTATATCTTACATGATAATATCCCGACCGACCCTACGCAGGCGAACGGCTGGCGCACAAGTCGATACCGGTGGTTTCTCTATGTTATGGGCGGCGGATTTGTGAGCAATCCTTTACTTGAATTACAGTGCTGATTAGGCCAAACTGACTTTGGGAACAACTAGTTTTGGTATTTCTTTCCGGGATGGAGTACGTATTCCTAATTCCATCTCTCTCGGGTGACAACTTGCTTCTTACTGCTTTGCTACTGCTGAACACAACCTCTGACGATTCCATTTACATAGTTTTTCAAGGCTTAGCGTACTTCAATTTTGTCTGTTGGGCTTTACCTAATAATGTCATCATCAACAAGGTCTTTGGAGGGTTGCATGGTTATGGTATCCTTCCTACAACGCTGGACTGGACTGTGGTATCTGATTACTCCTTGTCTCCTTTAATTCCGCCGTTCCACGCTATAGCCAACACAGTCGCTGGAGTTATCGTGTTCTTTGTAATCGTATCCGCGGGTCTTCATTTCTCTGGCACTTGGTACGCAGACTATTTCGTCGTCCAGTCATCGGACGCTTTTGACAATACAGGGGCCAAATACAACATGTCCAGGATCCTTAACGACCAAAATCTACTAGACCCGGACGCTTATCACGCATACTCTCCCGTATTTTTGAGTACACAATTCGCTCTATGCTACGGCCTCAGTTTTGCTGCCGTTGCTGCCGTTATTGTTCAGTACGCACTCCAAACTGATTTCTTCTATGGTGGCAGGTTTCAGATCTGAGACTAATTTATGAACTATGTGAAGCACTATCTTGTACCACGGGCCTCAAATCAAGAATCAATACAGGAAAGCCCGCACACAGGAAGGTAATGCGCAGACTACCTCGCGACAATCGCATCTACAGCGAAATATGACTCAGATTCTAACAACATTCGTTGTTCCAAGCCTGATATTATGTACAGCGAATATACTAACGTCGTGATACAGATGACATCCATATGCGTCTCATGAAGAAGTATAAAGACTCACCGGATTGGTGGTATTTAGTCCTCTTCACCGTCATGGTCGCATTGTCCTTCGCCGTTTGTACTGCTTGGCCTACAGGATTCCCGGCCTGGGCGTATGTCATTTGCATACTCATTCCTATCGTTTGGGTATGTAGCCCCTGTGGCTTGAGTGCCATTTCGTCGCCATAGGCACACTTACTCATCCACTCCAACTCATGAATGTCCGAGACGGAAAGTAGTTGCTGATTCCTAGCTCATATAGACCATCCCAATTGGGATTATACAAGGTGTCACAAATATCCAGATTGGTCTTAATGTCCTGACCGAATTCGTTATTGGCTACATACTTCCAGGCCACCCTCTTGCCATGATGGTATGTCATAGCAGAGCTGTAATAGTGTCTTGTTATACAGGGGCTAACTTTTGCATAGTGAGTCTAATGCGTGGCTTTTCCCCGGACTACCTCTACTGGCTTCAAGGATATGCCTAATTTTTTTAATTACAAGCTTGGAGTCGTGGTCAACCCTGCTGACTAGCTCCAGGATGTTTAAGAATTACGGTTATGTCGCGATGCAACAGGCCCTCTACTTTATCCAAGACCTTAAGTTGGGCCACTACATGAAGGTACCGCCTAGAACAATGTTTTCGGCTCAGCTCGTTGCCTCAGTTTGGTCTGCGATCGTCCAAGTCGCAGTATTGAACTGGGCTCTGGGCAATATCCCGGAGATATGCAGCAACCAACAGCCAGACAGTTTCACGGTAAGCTATCTTTGAAACTATTTCTCTCTTGCGATAATCGCACTTGAAAGCGAATATTTCCTGTTAGGCACTGTTTGGGAGACGGGCATATCCGTGGATTATACATGAGTCTTTAAACTGTTGTGCATATACTGGAAAAGGCATTGCTAACTCTAATAAACTGTAGTGTCCCGGTGGCAGAAACTTCTTCACGACTTCCGTTATATGGAGTGTCATCGGACCTGCTCGGATCTTCAGCGGTGATGCTCTTTATTCGTCACTGCAATGGTTCTGGCTTGTGGGTGCTGTGTCGCCCGTCATTACGTGGTTCGTTGCACGCCGATATCCGAAGTCCATCGCGCGGTACATCAACATGCCCCTCGTGTTTGGGGGTTCAGGTGTAAGTAGTTTCCGGCGTTGTCTTCCCCTTTCTCTAAAGTTTGCAGGAGAGATATGGCAGTGTTTCATCTCTTCGCCCGAAACAGACGGGTGAATATGCTTTTTCCAAATTATTTACAACTCATGTTCAAAGGACGATAACTAACATAAGTATTACAGTGGATTCCTCCTGCGACGGCCTACTCGTACCTATGCTGGGGCAGCGTCGGGTTCTTCTTCAACTACCTGACGAAGCGGCGGTTCAGGGGCTGGTGGCTCCAATACAACTACACCACGTCCGCGGCGCTCGACTGTGGCCTCGCTCTCTCGACCATTCTGATCTTCTTTACGCTGTACCTCACCTCGGCCAATGCACCGCAGTGGTACGGCAACTACGACATCTACGAAACATTAGACCAGCGGGGCCTGGCGATCAAGAGCTTCGTTGCAACGGGCGAGACGTTCGGCCCTAAGAGTTGGCCGTAAAGGGGATGTGAATAGCTACTCCATTCCGACGATGTTAGTGTGAGGTATGGTTATAAGGATGGGCACGATTATGGCTTCTATGATAGACGGAGTCTTCTTTCAACGTGGATGTGTGTTCTTTAAGTTCAAAAGGATATAGGATTTAGGTGCGCAATTGACTTTAATTACAAAACCCATGGCATAGCCTAACGAAGATATGAGCAACTCAATGAGATGTTTGCTAACTAACTGCTCACTGTCACCTATGCAAGCTACCTGATGCAATGAAATGAATGATGTAGGTCGTATGTCACTATCCTCCTTGTTTCCCAGCAATGTAGAGAATTGTGTAAATTCTAGACGTTCGTCAGTATATCCCGGGACATCTGCGGGAAACGCCATACGTAACCAGTAACGAGGAAAATTCAACAGGTCTCTTCAGTGACAACATTGAAGTATAACATCGATTTAGCACAACATGTCACTGTATGAGTACCTACGATGCCATGGTCTCGATGGACAGACTCGAGAGAAACCTACTCTTCTGGAGATCCGATCTTGATCCAGTTATCCCTGAATTTCTGATTTCGAAGGTTAGTATCCGAGCCCCATCTCATCAATAACTCCCCACAAGCAAGTGAATCATGCATGTAGCATATGTACTAACCTCGAAATGTCTGGATATATCCGAATAAACCGCATCAGGATCCCTATGGGCATTAATTTTCACGACAGGAACATCAGCCTCTCTACACGCCTTAAGCATCTCTTCACTATCCGATATGTTTCTTTCAACTCTCTCGCGTGCCTTCGCGTCGTCAGGTCGGCCGGATGACTCCGCACGGCCGCGTATCCGACGCACCAGGACCTCGCTGTCACAATGCAGATAAAGCGCACACACAGCCTGCGGCATCTGCGCCTCTACCCAAGGGTCCATATGCGCCTTGGATCGCGGGAACCCGTCAATCAGCCACATGTTCTGGCCGCGGGCAACGCCAGACTCTATCGTCTCGCGGAGTAATTGCACTGCGTCGGCGGTGGGTAAGACCGGGTTTCCGTCGACGCCGCCGTCGCGACGTGGGAACGTGCTTACCCAGGAGGCTGGGATGGAGGCGTAGGGGAGGTGCATCAGGGGCTGGAAATCACGTCGTAGACGCTTCGAATGCGTCCCTTTGCCTGCGCCCGGGGCGCCGAGTATGAAGATTATGAGAGGTGGTCTGTTTTCATTAGTCTTTTCAAAGCGAGTTTCAGATGACGTTTCTCTAGATGTGTTGAAAACCCTGAAGACGAGTCTTGATATCATGTTATACATGTCAGTAAACATGGTGGTGTGTTGTCACGGGGCGCGATGCGTAGGATGATGGGTTATCGGTTGTTATCTTGGAAAGAATGTCTTGTAGATATTGGTCTGTAATCAATTGATGCTGTTTCGTGGTGATGGCTTGAAGTTTCTTACTTAATCACTGAGACTGAGCTCTCGTTATATATGGCTGGGAAGTATCTCCATTGCCTTAGGTATATGGTGGCTTCTGCTATCGTGAAGTCGTTATATATCACTAGAGATCGGTAGTTCGTCAAAAGTTGAAATTGCTGCGTACAGCTTTTACGGTCTAGCTCCGCCTGAGAACGAAAGGAAGATTCGATTCCGCTTGAATGTGACGTGAAAACTGTCGTAACTGATAGAACCCGCCGGATGCTCAAATCGTCGGGTCCGTATTGGTTCCAACTAGAATGGCTTCGCATACTGCCATGTTACCTTCGCCAACTCTTGTTCATAGCTCCCAGGAGAAGATGTGGAGGGAGGTACAGTGACCGATCAAAAAAAACGGTACAGTCACCAAAATCCACTTTTACCCCCAACCACCTTCACTTTTAGATTTCGTATTTCCCACCCAATTAAATAGGGAAAAAAAAACTAAATAGTACATTCTATTCGTAATTGATTGGGCTCTATATATAAGGCTATTTCAATACTTTATATACCACCCGTTAGCCGCGATAATGGCCCGTATACATCGGGGCATACTTTTTATTAGCCCATTCAATATATTTTATTTAATAGCCTTCTATTATTTAACGGTAGCATATATAAGTAAATCTAACGCTTCCTACGTATTATTTAATATTTATAGCTTAAAATAGGCTTTATAAATTTATTCTTTAAATACCTTTTATACGTTTTCTATAGGGTTTAAATTAGGGAAATATAGTAGCTAATTTAATATATGGATACCCTCCGCTTTAAACCACTCCCGTATAATAATTACTATATATATAGGCGTATTATCTTATATAAAGATAAAGTTGTTATCGAAGTTATCGTAAAGGTATTCGTTAAATATAACGTAATAAATTTTAACGGTTATACCTCGTTAGCACAAATCAAGGTTACCGTTAAGGGCTATAATAAAGAACCTTTAGCTATAGTAAATATTACCCTAAAACATTTAGCTAAGCCTTAATTTTTTATAGTAAAGCTATATATATTTAATTAATAGGTATAATTCTTCTATATTATATAGTTTAATTTAATAATAATTAAAATATTATTATATAAAGGGAAGGGTTAAAAATAAACCTATTTAATAATAAACCTACTTTATATAATTATTATAACTATATTTAATAATTAATTTATTATTAAAAAAAACGTTATATTATTATTTAATAAATTTATTTTTATATTATAATATTTAATTTAACCTTTATATAGTTATTTTTAATATTAAAAATAGGTAGTAAAATATATAGTTATATTTTATCCCTTTTTTAATAAAGTACCTTTTTAAGGTTAAAATAAAAATATATAGATATATCTTTTTATTTAATTTTTATATTAGAATAAAGGGATTTTATTTAATTATTTAAAAAATATAGTAATTAATCCATTTATTAAATTTTAATAGCTAGCTACTATATAAAAGTAAAGTAGTTAATTTCTAACATTTATACCGCATTAAGATGCTATATATAGTATTGCGCAAAATGCCTAAAGAACGGTAAATAACCTGGGGTTTCCAGCTTAAATCGTATATTACTTTAATCCTCGTATATATATAAGGACTCAGGTGCTTTTTACGATTATTTAGGGGCGGAATAACTTCGCGATCCATAGTTGAAGGTAAAAGGTTATAAAGTTAAACTGTAGATTAAACGCGAAAAATCGCGGGGTTCGCGTTTTGTGCCGTTTTTTTTGCCCCCCCACTGTACCATAGTTGAGTAAAGGAGAGACGAATCACAGATGACGAAGACAGTTACTTGGATCATTGTTAAGCGCAATTCACATGATCGTACCTCACTGAGCCAAATCACATCGTAAAGAGCGAGGGTATCATTTGGTTCTTTCTCGCCAAAGTTTCTAGCTGGACTGACAGCAAGAGGTCGGACACTCCGGTGGGGCAAGCATGGGCAGTATCGGTGCTGTCCGAAGGGTCCGACAGTGTGCAAAATATGAAGGACTATCCGAGCATGTCATCGGAGTCTCCATACTTATGCTTAAATGGTATCTTCGAACAGTATTTACCTAGGTAGGTATATACCGTAATGCCGAAACCCTTCTTGCGTTGATTGTAGATTGTGGGAGTGTGGGGAGTGTGAGAGGCGGAGCGGCTTCCGAGGGGTAGGCACGGCATTGTTCCGGGCTAAGCTGGGCCGGGCTGAGGCTAATCAACGATATCCGCTGCCCGTCCAGGCCTCGTCTAACCTAGACGGGTTAGATGTTGGTGGGCAAATGGATGGGTCAGGGCGCTATCACCTAACCTCGGTAGGGTTAAGATGTATTCTTAGAGAGTGCTTAGAGGAGTGCTTGGAGGGGTGAGGGGTCCGTTAGGTCGTTTCTCCGCATTCCTCCCCAGTCTGCCCAGTGTTATTTATTTATTTCATCACTTCAACTGACTGAGGGTACGGTACACAAAAGTATACACACAAGTATGGAGTAAACATCTATGTAGATACCCGGCAATACACCGCCCTCTAGTAGATACGAAGAGGTATGTCTGTAGTATCTACCTAGGCAATAAGTACAAGTCGGCAAATAACTCGACTTTCCCAACACACGCGTAGCTATTGTATTGTATTAGTGGTTCGGCCCTTACTATGTACATATGTATGTAAGTATGTACACCCTCGGCATCCTCAAGGCGGCAGCTTCCCCAGCCTGGCCAATTATTTTAGTCAATTGATTTAATATCGTCTTCCTTCCTTGGACTTTTACTTCTCTTCCTTGCCTCTCAACCAGCACCCTTCTCCTTCTAGGAGTTTCTTTCCTGCTTACTTTCGCTGCTGGCTTGGAGAAGTAGTCTAGAGCCTCTGCTGGCATCCTCATCATCCCTATCATCATCATCACCATCCATTGACGTAGTCACAGCCCAGAAGTCACCCAGTTGTGCGTACGGCATTATGGCTGCTGTAACTCGGGGCATCCGAACGGCTTCGAGGCCGCTGCGACTCGGGTCAACCCCTCTGGCCCCTACACTTACACGCACCTTCGGCCCATCGTTAGCGTGCTCCAACGCCGCCGCTACAATAACCTCCTCTCAACCCCTCTACCACCAACACCGCCACCACCACCGCCGCCAATTTTCCACAACCTCCGCCAAAATGTCTTCCCCTCCCATGCCCACGCAGCACAAGGGCTATGACCCCGAAATCACAGACATTGCAAAATATGTTACGCAGCCTATCAACTCCGAGTTGGCTGTAAGTATTGGATCCTGCCATCTCTACTCTTTTTCCTCGAACCCCGCCTTCCCCCACGTAGAACCGCCGCTAACCGGTGTCCAACCCTGTTTGCGCAAATACAGTTCGACACGGCACGATGGGTGTTCTTAGATACCTTGGGTTGTGGTCTTGAGGGCCTGCGATTCAAGGAGTGCACAAAGCTCCTAGGCCCTATTGTGCCCGGAACCGTCGTTCCTAACGGCACCAAGGTCCCCGGTACCGACTTTGTCCTCGATCCCGTCAATGGCGCCTTCAACATCGGTGCCATGATCCGCTGGCTTGACTACAACGACTGTTGGCTAGCCGCCGAATGGGGACATCCTTCCGATAACCTCGGCGCCATCCTGGCCGTCGCTGACTGGGTCAACCGGACCAACAAGGCTGGCGGCAACCTCGCCAACGGCAAGGTCTTCACCATCCGCGATGTTCTCGAGGGTATGATCAAGGCCCATGAAATCCAGGGTTGCCTAGCCCTCCTCAATTCGTACAACAAGGTTGGTCTCGACCACGTCGTTCTCGTCAAGGTTGCCAGTACCGCTGTTGTCTCGCATATGCTTGGTCTCAGCGACTCTCAGATCGCCGACGCTGTTACACAAGCCTGGGTAGATGGCCAGAGCTTGCGTACCTACCGTCACTCTCCCAACACCATGTCGCGTAAGTCATGGGCTGCCGGTGACGCCTGCCAGCGCGCCGTCAACCTAGCCCTGAAGGTCATGAAGGGTGAGCCTGGCGTCCCCACTGTCTTGTCTGCTCCCGTCTGGGGCTTTTACGATGTCCTGTTTAAGGGCAACAAGTTCGAGTTCCAACGTCCCTACGGCAGCTATGTCATGGAGAATGTTCTTTTCAAGGTCTCCTACCCTGGTACGTCTAAATTCGCTTCCCACTCCTCTCAACCCTTGAAGTCTTGTGCTGTTACCTGTTCCGCCTGCTAACTGTATTTGTAGCGGAATTCCACTCGCAGACTGCAGTCGAGGCGTCTTCCAAGATCTTCCAAAAGCTTAAGGAGATGGGCAAGTCGGCGGCTGACATCAAGGGCGTCACATGCCGAACCCACGAAGCCTGCATCCGCATCATTGACAAGCAATTCAAGCCCATGGACAACTTTGCGGACCGTGACCACTGCATCCAGTACATGTGCGCCGTGATGCTCGTGTTCGGGCGGCTCGAGGCTACTGACTACACGGATGGCGGTGAGGCGGCAACATCGCCCCTCGTCGAGTCGCTGCGACGGAAGATCAAGTGTGTCGAAGACCCCCAGTTTACCAAAGACTACCACGACCCGGCTCTCCGCACCATCTCCAATGCCCTGACAGTAGAACTCAACGACGGCACTGTCCTCGATGAGATCGTAGTGGAGGCGCCCCTCGGCCATCGTCTCCGGAGAGACGAGGCCAAGCCACACATCCTAGCCAAATACAAGCGACACTTATCGCCTCACTTCTCCGAGGCGCACGTTAAGGAGTTGGTAGAACTAGGCATGGACACTAATAAGTTGGAGTCCATGTCGGTGGACGAATATGTCGACAAGTATGTGGTTAAGGATAGCAAGTTTGTTTAAATTGATACCTATATGTACATTGGGGTTTATATAGATGTAGATTTTTAGAATCTGATGTGCAGCACATCTCGCAGGCATCATTTGGTACAAATCAACATCTTGATTGAAATATGCCATACTCCCACGTAGTATTCTAGCATGAAGAAGTAAACATGACCTCGATCTCACAGATTCGTACACACATACAGTAGGGGGGTGACTGTCTGGTAGGATCCTAGACTCGTCCTCGCTCGTCCTACTAAGGCCAAGGCGGCGGCGGGGCTGTGGCGGGGTATGAGGCCCATAATATTTCTCCAGACAAGGGGCCTCCTTACCTAACAAATTGCCATACGGAGATGTCCCAGCAATACCATTCATTCATTGGTAATTATCATACAACCTGGTTGCCTCCGACAACATCAATCGACACCCATCTATTTCCTAATTTTTGCGTATCCTATCAGTAGCAGCAACAGGAACCAACGATAACCTCGGTTGACCTCGGTGTGCTCATCCAAACAAACCTCAACCCTGCTACCAGCCTGTTTTACCAATCGAACCACGGGCGCTTCCGAGACAGTCACCAACTCATATCCACCCATCATGGTGACCCTCGACCGTCAAGAGATCATTGCGAACAACAAATCACTGCGTCTCATCAAGAATGTATGTGCTAGTATACGTATATATCTATCGCTCTCTATTCATTTGTTCACATATTCGTTGATCATGGACCCCCCGTTCTTCTCCGTGTCTACTTAACGCTGACAGCACCGCCACGATATCTAGGAGCTCGAGCACTTGCTTGAAAAAGGCATCATAACCGACGATGTCTTCGATTCCATCTCGCGCCTCCTACCCACGGAATCATCTCTATCCGGCGCCCCGACCCCAGCATCGCGGAATGCCTCGGCCGTGTCGCCGCCTCCCGCGCCAGTAAACGCCATGGCCAACCTGGCGCTGAGCCAGAACCCATCACCGGGCCCGGCACCACCGGCCTACAACACCACAGGCCCGCCGGCCTTGCCCTCGCGCGCGAACCCGCCGCCGCCGCCTCCACCAACAAAGCCCGTTATCGCCCGCGCGAGGGCGCTGTACCAGTACCGAGCCGCCGACGACCGCGACCTGTCGTTCGAGCGCGACGATCAGATCGCCGTGCACGAGTACATGAACGACGACTGGTGGATGGGACGCAACAACCGGACCGGCGCCGAGGGCATCTTCCCCAAGAGCTACGTGCAGATCGACCACGACGAGAAAGCGGGCTACTACGCCCCAGCACAGCCAATGTACGCCTCGCCGGCGCCGGCGGGCCCGAATGGCGGCTACCCGCCTCCACCCCATGCCCAGAACCCTTACAACTCGCACGTCCCGCCCATGGCTGTCGCGCAGGGAAGCGGTGGCCAGGAAGGCCAGCAGGGCGAGGAAAGCAAGGTTGGAGCGGCTGGCAAGAAATTCGGCAAGAAACTCGGCAACGCTGCCATCTTTGGTGCTGGTGCAACGCTCGGCGGCAACCTCGTCAACAGCATCTTTTAGATCACTGTCGGTTTCTAATATTAATCATATCCTAAGGGACGGGAAGGGTAGCATTATGATTTGGCTGCGTTTCTTGCCCAAAGTAGCTTGGCTCTTTTGTCAATCTGTAGTAGTATGGGATGCGACAAGCTTTGAGCATGAGCAAGATCGCTACTCCAGTGGATTGAATCCGATGCTTGTGTGATAGACACTGCGTAGGCACTAGTAGTGTCTTTGGGTTTCCTGTTCATAGGCTTAGATATATTGGGCGTTCTTGCTTTTCTTTCAATTTGAAAAATCTTCATTGGCTTATCATGAATGACTTAGGATGTCTCGTTTTTATCGTGACAAGAGAAGAACTCGGCTTTCTAAATGCATGATTCTCTGTACTGCGTGTGGTCTTCAAAAGAGGGCGATATACCACTCGTAGTCGGTCACGATTAGACGCAACACATGGCTGTGTAGAATAGCTAAATTATAGCCCCTATCCAAGCCGAGGAGGAATCATATCACCTAAGACTTCTCTAAGACTTATCCATGTGAGAAGGAAAAGAGGTGCGGATGATCATATGAGAAAGATAGTTTACAACGAGAGCTCATGTATCGTAAAAATATGTGTTTTGCTATAATATGGCTTTTCAACACTTATATGACGGGGAGCGCGACCCCCTCCCCCGGGCGTAAGGTATCAACTAATGTTCGATTTCGGCCTCGTGTTTTTGGAGACATTAGGCAATCATAGAGCCCGTGCCGCTCAGCTATAGAGTCAACGAAAACTCTCATACCTCGTACTATCCTGGCCTGATCCTCGATTACTGGCTCATGAATTTACCAGAAACATAACAAAATGTCTAAACGAACGAGTCCCTAAGTCGTATATTCACTTCGACTCAGCATTTGCTTTCAAAGCGCTATCTACGCCATTCATATAAGCAGAGGACTCTAAGCATCTCTAATTAGCGTTGTTAATACTACCATACAACAGCACCCCTCACGAAACCCTTATCTATCAATTCCTTCATATTACTGACGAGATATTTCATCTTTCGAGGATCCATCTCGTGTCCTTCTCCCAGCGTATCTACGAAGAAGTCGAAATCCAACTCCTCAAACGGGCGAGAGCATTTCTCCAACAGACGTCTCAGCACTGAAACTCTACATCTCGGGTCCCGGATCGCCGCGTCCAAGGTCAGCGTCAGGAGAGACTGTTTCGTGATGTCAGTATCGACATTGCCATTGTCCTCGTCTCCGGAGTTATCATTTTGAGGATCAGCATCCTCACCCTCAGTAACATGTGTCTTCCTCACTTTTCTCTTGTGCCTTTCCCTCTCCTCGCACATAGCGCTCGCATAAAACCCTCTGAGCTCCCTGAGCACCCAAGGCGGGTCCTCGAAGCGATTACACGCAGGTGCGTCATGCTGATCTAGTCGCCAGAAATCAGCCGCGGGTTCCCATCCCCAGACGAACGGGTTGAAGTCGCGGACGAGCCAGCGCGGTAACGCCTCGTTCCCGAGGCTCCTCGGTGCAGCCCGCGCCCCGTCCCAGCCGAGTATGGCCTTGATGGTCGTGCCGTCCTCGGCGAGGACGATGTTGCGCATGCTAAGATCCGGGTGTGTGAGGACGAATTTCTTCCTCATTTTCGTCTGCCGCCCTTTTTCACCTTTTGCCATGCCACAAGGGACACACTCCGTCGACGATTGTGTGCCAGGTTCTTCAATCAGGCCGAGCAGTAGTCTCAACAACCCATCGACGCCCCTTTCGGCCACCGTGTCGGGCGGCCAGGCATCCAGCAAGGCAGTGTACATATCCCGGGGATGTCCCCAGGGTCCAGTCCGGCAGTATAATGGCAAGGTCGAGCACTCCTCGTCGCTGAACCAGCGCAGAACCATAGCTTTCACGTCGACTTCGCGCAGGGGCGCCGTGGTGGTAGTAACGAGTTCGCCGTGGTGTCTATCAAACACCAGCGCGCCACCAGTGCTGAACTCGTACCTCCCCAATTCCAACATAGCTTTCGCGACATTCCTCAGTATTGTCTCCCTCCTCTGCTTCAGCGAATCCCCATCTCCGCTTTCGCATCTCGTCCTCCCTTCGTCCCGTCCAAACCATACGTCTTCGAGCCGTCGTCCCTCAACATACTCCATCAGCAGCCACGGCACGCCGACCTCGTTATTCGGGCGACAGTCCGCGTCGATGACCTCGGGGACGGGCACATCCGTCTCCTCGCGCAGCATGTGCAGCAGAAACGCCTCCGAGCGAAGCGTCTCACAAGCAAGCTCGTCCCACCCACACCCGTCATCCCTGGACGTAGCCGCAGGTATCTTCACAATCCACTGCACACCCTCCGCATTCCCATCAATCCCCCGCGGGAACCGAAGCCCATAAAACACGTATCCGCTCCCGAACGTCGGCTCCCCAATCCCCGGCAGCGGCACCGGATCCACGGCTTCGCGCCCCGAGAGCCTGCGTCGACGGCGCTGCTCGAGAAGCTCGCGCGCGAGGTTCGCGAGGGCGCTCTTATCAACGCGCGCCAGGACAGGCGCGAAATCCCTCCTTTTCTTCTCGCGCGCAGCGCGCATTCTCACCTGATACTCCCCAGCCGTCTCCGCGTCCAACCTCGACGCGCCCAAGCCGTGCAGATCAACGGGCGCAGCCTTTGCAACCGCGAGTTTCCAACAGCTCATACTACTCACATCCCTTTTCTTTCCCCCTTCTTCTCCTCTTGTTTCTCTTCTAGGCACTACGTGCTCAGATCCAGCCTTCGTTTTCCTTCCCAGCACATCCGGAGAGAAGAAGTAATGCGCTATCCGCGATAGAAAGGAGTCTCCCGACGACGAAAACGGAGAGGTCAACCCCCGGTAGATCCTCGCCGTGTCGAGACCCCCCGTGTAGTCGACGTGGGCCTGGTGCCCTTGCACCCGCAGGGAGAGCCCCATGACAACAGACAGATTCGCGTGGCGGTCGTGAGCGAGCTTGGCCAGCTCGACTCGTCGATCATGGCGAGACCGTTCCAGATAATTTCTAGCTGCGAGTTCCGTCATATTCTCCCCGCGGTCCGCATGAGTAAATGTAAGGAGAGAAAAAAAAGAAAAAAAGAAAAGCATAGCAAATTAAAGATGAACTCAAACCATAAGTTGATTTGAGAGGGATCAATCGTCCATGCATTCTATTACGGTTGTCTATAGAGCATAATGGTTGTGTCCAAGCTAAGGAGTAAGAGGACGTACTCACGGCGCAGACAAAGGCATCCAGCAATAAGTTAGTCAGTGCATGCACTTGTGGAATGTCAATACCATATCCGGACATCAGAGACATCTTCAGACGTTAGGCATATCCTTGCGTTGATTTCTAACCGAAAAGAGAGAAATATCTATATAGAGCTCCAAAAAAAACCCCCCCATGCAAGCTCATCTATGAGTCTTTACCAAATTCTAATGTCAACGGGGTATAACCATTACACTCACCCATCTGATGCAAACGCCTTGCTGCCGCTGTAACCTCATTGTAGTCATTATGAAATAACTTCTCCAATCCCGTTGTGAGGCCGAGGTAAGGAACCCGCCGACGTATTAGTCACTATAACTATTCAGTGATAAATTCATAAAACCCAAGGAGCGAACAAGGTGAGTGCCTCCATAGTGCCCATGCTGAGACTGAACCGTTACCAATTAAGATTGAGTCGACTTATATAATCGTTGGGAAGTCTGGTAGACAGACCTGAAACACATGGATAAATAATGAGCAAGTGACTAGTAGTTAAACGTATTCTTGAAACGTGCGAGGAAGCATGGATGTGATGGTTCGAGTCCATCGTCTCAAGCGCTCAGAAGTCGAGTCCTACCGCGACCTAAGCCACCAAGTTCCTATGCCCACGAAGACGAGGGCAGTGAAGACAGCGATTCCTTGTTTAGATTGAGAAACGAGCATCGACCAGCCAATCAGCCACTCCCACTTCTTGACGCGACCACGATGATCCCACGACTCAAAGTCAATAGGATACGGAAGCTTGATGCGAGGGTCTTGAATATTTTTTGACGTATACTCTTCTTCGGGGGGCGCCAACACAGAAGGTTCAATAACTGGGACGGCGAGACGAAGAAAGACGGCCCTGTGGTCACTGGTTCGAACCGGTGGAAGCGCGTCGTAGGCTATAGTGTCGATTGTGATATCGGCCCCGCTAGGAGATTGAGAAACCCAGCGAGGAATATCGAGATACAGCACACGATCACACCAACCCGGCCATCGGTTACGAGCCCAGCCCCAGTACACTACGTCAGGGCCGGGCGAGGCGTAGTTCTCGTGGTCCTTCACCTGCGCTTCGGTCATATGTTTCAATTTATAAGTTGGCGGGAAGGAAATTGCAGACTCTGATAGCCCGTGCAGCGTCCGCCCTGCCGCCTTTTCTATCATGAGTTGGTCTAGCTGGAGAAAGTGACTGAAATGATTGTAATCCTGGGCGTTGAGGGAGGGGAACACGGACTTGGGTGTTGGAGACGTTTTGGATATTCGGTAATTCAAATCTCCCGCAACAAAAAGGTGGGAGCCGGGCTTGTAGATAGTGATGTCATGTAATGCCTTCACATTTGCGTCTCGAGGCAGGAGAACCTCACGCTCGTCGTAACTTTCGGGTGTGCGGAGCGTAGGATCCACAGATTTGCCTCCGTTAAGCTTCTTAGGGTTCTCGAAGACTATATAACAGTGAGCAAGTAAGGTGAGCGTGTGCTTTCTCGACCTAGCATTGAGCATTGAGGATGGCGGCACTCACGCAATCCGGACACAATACTCTCCCAATTCTTGTTCCTCTTCTCCAAATTCCACTCGTGGGCAGCCAAGTGGGTGCCCACGAAAGTAAGCTCGGTCTGTCTCTTGCGGCCGTCGGCATCGGGCTTGGAAAATAGCATGCGAAGTCCCACGGCTCCCTTGTTGGCCATGTCGCCGGCGCCAAAGCCAACCTCGGTGGACTTGAGGTTCTGTATAGCACCAGTGTCACGAGCAAAGAGCAATATGCCGGTCATACCAACATTGCGAGTTGTCATGAGGGTGTAAGGGTAGTCGGTCGGGGATTCGGCTTCATAATCATCGTTATGAGGTGATGTAGTATCGAGAGGGAGAGCTGCGAGGTTGACAGCAGTCACCCAACTTTGGAAATAAGGGTTAATCATGTAGGAGCCGATGAAGCTGCGTTCGAGAGGAGCCATCTCCTGGAGGCATCTGGAGGGAACGGAAGCTTAGCATATCCAAGCATATACAAAGCGTCTAGAGCGGCAGGCAGACATACATGACAATGACTTCTGGTAAGACATCAGTGTCTTTGACCATGCCCTTGGCAAAGGCATCGCGAAGATGGACTGCAAAGACGGAGGGGTTGATCTGTTCCTTTCCAGCGTTGAAGGTGAGGATAAACAGGTCCAGGGACGCTGTCGGATCGTGGGGCTGACCAAACATGTTAGGTACTGTAGGATGGATATCGAGGTACGTAAGGTGGTACCTGGATAGATCAGTACCAATTGTTTGCTTACTTAGGTAGGCAGCCCGATTAATCATAGGGGCGGGGTAGGGTTCCTACGTACTTTTTAAGTACCCAAGCAGAGCAACGGTGCTAACCCTGTACTGTACTGCCAGGTAGATCCGATGTGGTGTGGTGTGGTGGTGGCGTGGCTTGGTATATAATATAGTGTGGTGCCGTATCTGGTCAAGTAGAATTAAGCTGCGATGGTTACCAAGCAAAGTATAAAGTAAGACTCCAGCGATTTTGACTAGAACACGAGAGTCTCGTTGAGCTTCGAGGTTGTTCAAGTTTGTCATGAGACCAAACTGAAAAGCCAGGGAGGAGGAAGATGCTTGGACGAGAGATATGCCGGGGTGAGTGTCGATGTGTGTCCATCTACCGATCTACTTTGTATGTATGCATCCCAATGCCCTTGCCTGTAATGACTGGCTTGTGCATGAGGAACCAGAGGTAGGTGTTACCAAACTGTTGGTGACACAGTTGACCAACATGAAGTCTTGTTTGAATGGTGGGTGGTAGCGACTTTTTATATCTGCACTACCTACCTTCCTCTTACCTTGTTACCTCTCTTCCACACTAAGCATCACGAGTTGCCATGACTAGGTAGCCGGCCAAAATGCTGCTCATGTGACAGGGCACAGCCTCACGTCATAGTAGGAACCCTTTCCCAGGATGCCCTGAGAAGCAGGAACGACTCGATTCTGGTCCAAGCCTCAATAAGAACAAGCATACAGGCACTGCTCTTCTTTGCTACATTCGTTGATGCAATACCATTTTTCGCAAGCCTTTTTCATCCAGGCAACCTCCTACATGTCACGAGAAGAACCAACCATGGACTATTATAACTGAAATCAATTTCTTAATGTTACCTAGCGTGTATTGTCTGCCTACCATGTTGCCATTCGAAGGAGTGGGGACATATATAGCTTCGCCACAAGTCTCAGCGTCCATCGACTCGAGCTGATATTTCTCCTTGAACTGTCTTCCAGTGTCATCCTCCGGCGCCACTCCTAGCGTAGCCAGCTGAATATCACAACCGACTGTCACCAATCTACGCCTTTTCTCTCATCAAAAAGTCTTGGCTTGTACAGTAGCGGCGACAACCAAAGCTGGCGTCTCTAGTGGCAACCAATAGAGTAGGACCCAGTCTAGTAACAACTTTTCGGCATAATTGGCATTAACTTGCGCAGCAAGTATGGGGCGCGAGAGACCGAAAACTGCGACGTCCCCAGAATATGGCAGAGAGGGATATTGCTAAGGCTCTGGCAGTTTGCAGCGACCGGTCGGATCAAGTCGTAATTATGGCCCATGGCGTAACTGATTGTGCTGCTCGACGCATACAACGGTGGAATCGTCGAGGGACTCTTGTCTGGCGTACCGAATTAAACGACGAAACCGTTCTCTGGTTTGTAGATCTGCTTCTTCTACCGTGATGAGGTAGCAACCCGAGAATACATGCTGAAAGAAAAAAAGTGAAAACAAGTTCAATGAATCAAGGAAACTTCCAACCTAGTCATATTGGCGGTAGGCATGAAATCGCATCGAAGGGGAATGGGAAGAGTGGCTACGGCTCACTCAATACCATATGCACAATCTCTGGTTGAGCAAATGCTGAAACGCGGCGGAGAACAGACGTGTTTGACCTTAATATCGCCTCAATAGACCCGGTCCATGGAACGACACCCCGCGAATTGCCGAGTGCCGGACGTGCCGTTCAAACAGGGGTCAAGTGCTGAAGATAGGAACATAATACAAAACCGGGCGAGCCGATAATGATTACGTTCCTATTAGCCTTTAACCTGTTCGAGCCATGGAATTGAGTCGTGAACCAAGAGCCACCGAAGAACGGAAATCAAAGTAACCCAAACACTATGAAAGGGGATAGTGCGTGGTTCTCCACTGCCCAACCTGCGACCACGATCTAAGAATAGACTCGGTGATGCCATGTGAACGGACAATAGTGAGATGACCACAGGGAGGAGGGGAGTGTTCGCGTGGATGCGATTATAGGAAGTCGACGCTACCTCCACAATACAGGTGATGATATAAAAGCAATGGAGCTCATCATCATTTGGGGCGGTAAGAGCCAGATGCATATCCGGAACCTGTTCCTTGAACTTTGGAAGCTGAGCGCAGCCTGTTACCGTAAACTGAAGCGTCAGCAAGCATGTCAGCAATTCCTCCGGCCAGCGATTTGAATCACACTAAACTCGAAGGAAAGATGATTCCTTACTAGGAATGCTTGAACTGGGCTGGGTTGGCGAGACACTCACATCCTGTCGCTTCCCCCGACGGCTCGGTTGGTTTCGGGAGTGTCAACGCCCTGAGGACCGCGTTCAATCACCTTACGTCGGGTGCTGGGAATCGCGTTGGCTTTAATAGCATTAGCTTGTGAATTAACACCAGTGACATTGGCATTCGTACGAGCACGCTTCTCGTCCTCCTCGGCACCCTGACCAGCAGCCTGTGCAATGGCCTGTGCGTTCTTCTGGTACTTGTACACTGTCCAGTCAAAAACGTAATCGTACTGGAAACCTTCGCGGACGAAAAGATCCCGGAAAATCTTGCGTAGGTAGCTATAGTCGGGCTTGTCGTCGAAACGAAGGGATCGAGTGTAGTTGAGATAGATGGCGAACTCGTTGGGGAAGCCTCTGCAAAGAACTTCGGTCGGTGTAGTCATCTTCTTCTCCATGATACGATCGTACTTTTGCTTTTTAGTAGCAGCCTTCAAGCCCTGCCATGGAAGAGAACCACGGCAGAAATATAGCATAACATAACCGAGAGATTCCATGTCATCGCGGCGAGATTGTTCTATAAGCTTGTCAATGTTGCTCACGTTAGGGGCTTGGGATTACAATGTAACTTACCGACACCCAAATGAGTGTTGATGGAGGCATAACGAGCTGTGCCTGTCAGGTTCTTATTCTCACGGTAAGGAATGTGGAAGTGAGTCTTGGGGTCTCGGTATTTCTTGGCCAGACCAAAGTCGATTACGTTGACCTGGTTACCACGCTTGCCAATTCCCATGAGGAAATTGTCAGGCTTGATATCACGGTGGATAAACGACTTGGCATGAATATACTCAATACGGGAGATAAGCTGATCAGCCAAAAGAAGCACGGTCTTCAAGGAGAACTTTCGGTTGCAGAAGTTGAAAAGATCCTCCAAGCTAGGACCAAGCAGATCCAGGACCATGGCATTGTAGTCACACTCGGTGCCGAACCATCGAACAAATGGAATACCGACACCTCCAGCGAGAGATTTGTAAACGCGGGCTTCATATTCAAGCTGAGGGTGCTTGGCTTTGACGGATTCTAGCTTAATAGCAATCTCTTCACCCGAAATGATGTTGGTTCCCAGGTAGATATCACCAAAAGAACCAGAGCCGATCTTGCGGCCAATACGGTACTTGTTACCGACGCGAAGATCCTACTCAAGACAAATTAGCCTATGTTTGAACAAAGAAAGCTGCATAGCCAAGCGGGCTTGTCAATCCGTATGGTACACATTAGGTCTATATTTGCTAACACCAGTACTTGGACCTCACCCGCCGCCTTCCGAAACACGTCACCACGAGTATGTGAAGTTAGATTAAACATACCATTGTAGTCATCTTGATGACGGATGGAGCTAGAAGCTGCCTTGGTGTATTTAAATTCGATTTTGGATCGAGAAATGGGTTTCGAGCCACACGGGTCAGTCGGCGGGACGATAGTTCTAAGGACAATGAAATGAGGTCCAGTGACAATCTATGGCATACTGGTTAGGTCAGCATGAAACAAGCCGGCGGTGTCTCAAGTGTGAGAGATGGTGAAAGAAACAAGCGAGTTGAGGCATTGATGATGTTTAGGGCGTTCGGGGATCAAGGTAGGAGGGAGTGGGATGCGGTTGTGACAGGTAGGCGGTATAAGCATGATGTTGTAGTAGGGAGTTGGGAGATATGCAGCCTTACAGAGACAGCCTAGTGCTAGTTGCTACTAGTAGTCGTAAGAATGTGTGGGAATACAGCGGTGAATGATTAGGATGAACAAGCCATGGGGAAGTGGAAGAGGAAGATAACAGTGACGGTTGATTTTGATCAAGTTGCTCTAGTGCGACTGTCATCTGAAAGGAAACGGAGAGCAGGAGACACACACGCACGCACAGGATACAGGAGAGAGAAAGAAGACACGAGACACAGATGGGGCAACGAGATTGAGGGTCCTGCTTACCCAGTAGGCGCTGAGTTTGCGTTGTCGTCAGTGCTGGCTCCGGTCGACAGAGGGGGATTATCAATCGATTGAACGTAGCACTAGCGGACTGCTGGTTCGGGCCCAAGCAAACAGAAAACGACGAGAATTCGAAGAGAATAAATCGAGGGCGGGCTAGAGAAATGAAAGTCGTGACAGGCTGGTGGACGACGCCTTTCACACACCCGGAGAAGAGGACGGATGGATAGATGGATGGATGGAAGGGCGTGGCCGAGTGTGCAGATTGTAGATTTGTAGAGGGAGAAGACAGGAGAGAGGAGAGAAAAGGAAGACAGAGAGACTTGGGTAGACGGTAGGGGAGTACCGTGCACGACCTGGCCAGCAGCAGTGCCACTGACTGGCGGGCTGGGTACTGGGGTGCAGCGAACTGGATGTAGGTACCTGTAGGCGCCTTGCTAGGGGGGATTGGCCAGTAGCTCGCAGGCGGTACCCGGTAGGTAGGGTCTGGTAGGGCTCGGTAGGTACTTGCCACTATGTAAAGCCTGCTAAGGGAAGGGAAGGGCGCCTTACTACTACCTAGGTAGGTACCTAGGGAGGTACCTAGGGAGGGGGGCGGCGGCGGACAGACAACGGCGGTCAAGTCAGGCCAGGCCAGGTCAGGTCAGGTCAGGCAGCGTCTCCACAAGTGTTCGATGTGTTTTTTTTTTTGTTTTTTTCCGTTGGCCGTGCTTTGCTGTCGCTTGCTGGGTTGGCCAGGCTTTGCTGGTTTGCCGGTTTGCTGATTATGGGATCAAATGGTGCCGACATGCAGTTTAAGCGCTGCTGGTTTTGCGGCGGTTTGTTCTTAGCTGCCAGCTGAAGAGGGCACAGACAGGCACAGACCAACACGGGCTAGGTATGAAGTTCCATAGAGGTGTTCAGTGCCAACGCAATGTTCGTAGGTGCATACGCACGCCTCTGTTGGGCAGTTATGGTTATCTCCTGCTTCAGATGGACTACTATGTACCTGCTACTATGTACCTACTACTACCTACCTCTATGTACATGTAAGGATTGTAGATATCTTAGGTACAGTCAAGGTCATTGAATTCGAAATAGGTGCGGTTACCTAGACAGGTAATTTGAATGTCTATCTTCCTCAGCGCTAGTTGCATACTACCTAGGTAGGTAAATGGTAAATAATATCTACCTTAGCGAGGGTACGGTAGTTATTGGAATTTGCAACTTTCAAGTTCCAATTCTCCATTCAAGCCATTTAGATAACACAGCTACATATGTCGCTAGCATAATGGATACATATGTAAGTATGTAGGTAGCGAAGTACCTAGTGAATTGGATAGGTACCTAGGTAAGATAATTGCCTTATTCTTTCCCCTCTTCTCCCCAGGGCTCGAAGTTGGTCAAATCACCATTCGCCTTCTTCATTCCCTTTATTCAGCCTTGATTAAGGCATGAAAGGCCGTCCAATCGACGAAACAAGTCAAGCTGGTCGGTTCCCGTTGTAGCCTGTAGGTCCCCCGTCTCTGTTACGTGCCCCCCTCTTCCCCTGTCATTCGGCCCCGCTCGCTCTCGCCCTCCCGTGACAAAAGGGAATGTAATGTCGATGCATTCGTATCTGCATGAAATTGACTCCATAGCAGCACGTACTGTAGGCTAGCTGTTGTTTGACATTGACCTGACAGGCGACGAGCTCACATTCGATAGGGCATACCCGTTAAGCGCTCGCCCTTACTGCCTCTTGTCTTAACTACCCAACAGATATGCTTCCCAAACAAGTCTACCGTACACTAACTATAGGTACTGCGCAGCTGACCACAGCCTGAAAGAAGAATATAGCGAGGTAGAACTTGACGAGACATCGATACGGTGTTATGTTGAAGCCGTTTATGAGAATGAACACGAGACTACCATATCGGTAACAATAGGTGAACGTGTACGAATCGTTGTTGATAAGGTAATGCCACAGGCCATACCCGAATATATATCATATAGACACATACGTCATTGCAGCCCAACAACCAAAAGCAAGAAAGAACTGGTAGAAACTGAGTGTGGTTCGCGGCCCAATATACCAATAAGCAGTGCGATGGATCCCTCACCGAGGTTCTGCCTCGGTACAGTGATTTCGGTATGCCTCACGATGCTATACGAGGCATAAATGGTAGACCGATATGCAAAACGAATGCCTGCATACCTACCCATACCTACTATGGATTTAAAAGGGAGTTGTCAAAGAACTAGACTAGCCAGCCTCTGGTCATCTTGAAATATGCATCATTATGCCAACCTCCTTGGGTATCTGCATCAGGTAGGTATGTACCTGGCATATGTCTCTCTCATAAGGTAGGTATGGTGCAGCTTGAAAGCCCTTATCACCCGCTAGAGGTCGGTCGAGTCCGGTGCTGATTGCCACCTGGGCAGTATCCTGACGTGTTTTAGCTTGTTTGGTTAGTGTTTCAATCCACTGAGGCTCTACGATCAGCTACACTACTATGTACGAAGTATGAAGGTTGAGGGTGTCTGGAGGGTCCTCCAATATACTCTTACCTAGAATAGTAAGTACTTACTTTAGTCGCGGACCGCGAAATTCTAGAATTTCCAAGCTTACAGGGAATGTCGAATCTACCCTGTAACTCCGTTTTCCATATTAGAGATGAGTTCAAAGTCGGACTTGCACCAGGGAGAGATAACATTCTCCGGACAAACTCGGTGTGGCACCGGTGGCAGCTATTTCTTAGTCTGTTCTGCCTCCCGCTGGCTTGAACTCAGTCGCAGTTACCATCCTAGGTTAATAAGGTAGGCAAGGCGAGGCAGGGTTAGGAGGTCGAGGCGTTCGGCGTTGATCAAGCTGTCGGCTGGACCACGCGGCATTGATGAGTTTCGCCACTATCTCACTATCACGTTAGAGGCCGTTCTGTCTTTGGTGCCACAGTTACGTACTTACTACAGAGATCATCAAGGTGGCGCCAATGTAAGTAGGGAAGATGACTGTACGTGTCGGCACTAGCAGATGACTTCGACAGCCAGACTCACATGACTTTTTATCCCGCAGTGTCAATTCGAGGCGGGCCATGTTGGGATTTCTTTGATCTGACGCCAGCCGGTTCGAGCCGACCTTGGCGGGCCTATGCGAAAAGCTGCCGTTTCCGCCCAGACCCAAGGCGAGTCCGACATTCCAGCTGACCATCGGTTGTCTAGAATCAATCCTTCTTGTCTTACCTTCCACTCTCAGACGCACGCTGCATTCGCATCTCGGATGCAAGCGAAAAGGTAATGTAAGTAGAGGTTGCAGTTGCAACAATGCGCTCCGGCAGGATCAGGAACTTCCCTCGTGGTGTAGAAAGAGGCAACGAGATCTGCATGCATGCAGGCCATGTCACAGACTCACAGTCCTAAGATGCAGCAGCATCAAGAACAAAGCGAAGTGGAATCGACAGGCAGGGTGAGTGCCTACATATACGTAGGTAGGGCCACTTCGGTTTCATATAAAAATACTCGTACGTCTACCTATCTCCTTTTCCAGTCCTCTACCGCTTGGCGCGACAGCCGCGCGTTTGCCTTCCATCCAAACTTGGCTTGGCCCAACGACCCATAATATCGTGGTTGACGTGGAGGAGGGTTTTGAGGATATCGTGGGCCAGTATGGTCCACCCACCCCATCCAGCTAGCCAACTTATTAGTATCTAACCTGCCTTACTCAGGACATGTGGTTCCGGCATATACTTACATTTTTCCCAAGAGCTATTATGCCATGCTTGATGACCGTCTTTAATCTTTCAATATATGAAGTATAGCATCTGAGTCAGCCTTTCAGCTGACCATCAGCAAGCTCTGCGATGTCGGTAGGCTTCACTTTCCCTTACCTACTCTTTGCTCTCTTCGTTATACCGGTAAGGTACGGTAGAAGCTGTGTCCACAGCGTGCACCCATAACTGAGTTCAGTCAACTATACCTATCAAACAATACCCATTACGTCTAGTCTCGGCGTCATCAGGAGCTGTCCTGCAGCGGGGTACTGCGGCAAGAAAATAAATTCTCTCCTCAGCCGGGCGCCTCTTAATCTAGCTCAGTGGTAGCCTAATGATCGCTTACCGAGACGTGGGTGGTCGGCGAGTGTGCACTGAGAACTCTTCCATTGGTTAATATCATATTATTACCAAGTTGACAGGCTCCAACCGATGGCATGCCTTCATGATTTTCCAATTCGCAACTCATGACGTGGCAAGAATTAGAGCAGTGTGTAGGTAAGTAGATATGTAGATCGAGCGTCAAGGAGCCTGTCGCTGAGGCAAACTTCCCTATATACCTACCCGTACCCATCTGTCACGAGAGCGCAACGACGGAAATCACATCATATGTGGTGTATTATATAATCCATATTCAGACCTGCACATGTCCGTATTTGCAGCACTTGGCACGAATATTCCATATTTATCTCCCTAGTTATTTATTTCAATGAGCGAGCGGTGACTAGTCACATAAGTGGTCTATCAAGGGAACGTACCGTAGAAATGGTTTCGCCGTCCATAGGCAAGCTAGCTACGTTGGGGGCTAAGAATTCTCCCTCTGTAGCGAATATGTGAGGCCGTGGCACAGTCATACTCGAAGTTCCGAGGTCACAAGGTTGCTTTGTTACCCCTACCTGCTCTTGGATGCGGTTCTGCATTAGTCGTTACGGGATCGACTTGAATCTTACTATTAAGTAGGTATACGAAGTATGTATACTACCATATGCATTCCTAAATTTACTATCACATTGTATTGGCGGCACCTAGATCTGGTGCTCTCCCAATAAACATCTGGTATGTGCGTTTAGTATGATATCTCCAGCATCGATGCAAAGAGACTAAAAGCTGCCAATTGTAATTCAAAATTAGCATTCAGCCATAACCGCTAAATCGACCCTACCGGATATCAAGATAGTGAAAGGTTTCCCCGTCATATGCGCGGTCTGCTTATGGCGCAGGCAATACGTAGTAGTTCCCGAGACGCTCGATGGTGGGACGGATGGAACCCCGGCACGCCGAGGAACTTGTGAAACCCCCCTCAGATGGATTTTGGGGTTAGCAGTTCGCCTTGGTTGCATTCAGGGAACCTCCAAGACCCTGGCAGGCCGCCACTGTGGAGGTATCAGTCTCTTCGACCTTTCGTGCCATTAGTTACAGGAAACAGACTATATTCTGCTTTGCTACAATGAAGTTGTCCAGCCGATGGAGGATGTCGAGTCTGCATGATGAGGTTGCGGCCCTGGAGTCTTGTGAATCCTGTAACCAATAGGGTAAGGCTGACGTTATCAACCTCGTCCAATTCCGGCCCCTGTGGCACGCCCATGCTTTTTAAAAACTTATCGTCACGCAGGCAGGCGTCCATTATTGTAACCATAACCCCTGGTTTCTTAGTGTACCAAGAGTAGATCAAGCCCAACGCGCCAGACAGGGGATTTGACATGGTGTCGATCCATTTAACATATCCTTCCGCACATGTCAGATAATGAAATGTTGTCTTCTTACCTACATGTACACTATAGTCCATAAGTGTGGTTCGTTGCGACGCATGCGGTTGCTTAGTTGCTTAGATCTATAACGCAACTTGTACGATATGGCAGCATGGTCTTCAACGAAGGCAGCAGCTATGGCGCTTTTTTATGCTAGCACCATAGCTGGATCGAGGGATAATCGAGTATCACAGATGGAATTGGACAAAGCAGATGCCCTTCACCCACGGGCAAGCCCAGAATCAACAACAACGAAAAGTATACGACCCACGATGTCAACACCGTATGCTGTTCCCCTCGTCACTACGTTCATACCACCAGAGTCATGTAATGAGGCACATCTTACTATGTTGTCGCCCCCAGGTTATTTTATATGGCTTAATGAGCCTGTCCCGGTTCCAGGAACGACCTTTTCGGATTGTTATCCTCCTGAGTTCCTTGAGTATTATACGACCTATCATGTGAACCCAACCACTGTGGGCTCACACGTGCCATTGATGAGTCCGCTCGTCTGCCCTTTTGGCTGGCAGGTAGTCTCAAGAAAGGGTGATTACCAAGCTTGCTGTCCCAGGTAGGTCATAATGCCATTACCTTGCTTCTCCTTAGCCGCCGTCAGGCCAAGTCCTGAACTTCAGTTGTTTCCCATACTTAAGAAGTCGAGCTAACTTACAAAAGTGGTTACCAATTCACACCCCCACAAACGGAACTGGACCCTGATCGTCCGGCATACGGAGGCACATGCTATAGCGAATGGCCTCTGAGTAGTTCCACATACATAACAGTATATGGCTCTGCCTCTGAATCCGGGGAGATGTTGATCACGGCTTCAACATCAGGGTTCGCCAATTATGCGCATGTTATTGATGGAATCGTAGTTTCAACATCGCCACCTAACTCCGAACCAGTAAGTAGAAGTCTCGGTTCATTCGAGAATTTACAGAGGTTATTAACAAACACCTAGTTTCAAAACCAAGGCACCGAGCACACCACGCTTGCACCAGGAGCCATAGCTGGCATTGTAATTGGTGCCGTAGCAGCAGTAGGACTGGTGGCAGCGGCTTTCTTTATATATGCTCAGCGTCGCCGTCGGGCATCACGACAAGCATCGCTTATCCAGCCTCCCGTGGGCGGGGGTGGGGCAACACTCTCTGATGCGGGCAACCCAATTGTCGCTGACAAGCCACCTAGTCCCGTCACCGAGGGCGAGCAAACGCATACCAACTTCTCCGAAATGGATGCAGGTATATATCATGTACATGAACTGGATGCTGGGTCGATGCCCGTCGAAAAGCCTTGACCACTAATAATGGCATGCGCTTGGTCAAGCGGGTGACGATAAGTTCAACTAAGTCAGCTATGCAGCGGGCGTACAGGTTCATGATATACCAATTAATAAGCAGATGTGAGGGGCGGCGTTTACCTTATGCTGTCCTCGTATACCTTATCATCGCCACCTTTATTTCTTTTTCTTTCTTTCTTGGAATATACAGTTATACCTTCGCCTTTCAAGCGGGATGGCTAGCGATAAGCGAGGAGTTGGTCGGAAGGGATTTCATTGAACAGTTCATTTTACCCACATACATACAATCCAAGTTGATACGACAGACATTCCTGCATGGGCGATGATACCTATGATCTCAAACGCCCCATCACTCTATTTACTTTCCAGTTTTAATCCTAATCCTCTCCAGCGATATGTGCTGCCATATGTATTACATTTTTCCTATCTTGACTAAGGCCATTCTTGACACTGCAGCTCAAGAAGTCATCGGTCCAGAAGCAAGTCGCGGTCTGAATCTTACCATGACAGGTTTAATCAGCAAGGAACTAGGAGCAGACAGTCAGTCTAGAGACTGTCCGCTGACGTTGGATTAAAGCTAAGAAAGCTTTAGCTACCCCATATCATCACATGGTCCCAGTCTCTTTAAGGCCATTGAGTCGAATATATATAACCGGGGCACCAAAGCTAGAGAAGAGAAAAGACACAGATTGTATTATATTCAATAAAGCCGTGATTCGTAGCTTGAGGGACGATTAAGGCTTTGCCTTGGGAACTGAAAGTGACCCTGGTCTATTGAGCCGGACACAATACGAGGAACAGTAAAATCTATAATCGTGTAAGCAATGGTAGGATCTCACCCTGGCGTCCGTATGTGCTACCCGAGGGCTCAACCCTAGCGGACTTTACGAGAGTCAAACCAAGTCTACTCAGCCTATCAGTGACTGCAGCTACGGACAGCTTCCCTACTCGCCGCTCCATAGAAAAGGTCCATCATTGCCGTGTATTTGTTCCATACAACTTATTTCGGTCACGGACACGCATAGTGCAATCGCTGGCAGTTTGAGAATTCAATAACCAACCTATACCTTGGTTACAGAAGATATTGAAGGAACGATACATGCTTTGCGGTCCATCTGGCTTATTGTATGGCGGCGGACGGGACACGCGCCAGCAAGTAAGGCGAGCGGGTCGATTGATGAGAGTTGTTCAGAGCACTTTCTCGATGGTGATCGAATGTAACCAAGCTTGGACCGTATTCTACGAAGTATGCGACACTACGGCACTGGAAGCAGCAAATTCAACTAAACGATTTTGCGTAAAGCGATATGTAATATCCTGGGATGTTTTCAAAATGTCGTGAAGTTTTCGTTGCAAGGTTTCTCTTTGTGCTCCGCGCTCACTGGGCGTTATCAATGTGATAGGTGCTAATTGTCCAAGATATCTCCATCACATACCTAAACCCCAACGAAGTGGCAGGTTTGCCTAGCCTTCATTACAGGGGAGTGTAGAGGGTAGTATGCCTAGGTAATCACAGGAGCGGTGACTTCTCAATCCATACTATGAGAATTAAGTCAATTTAAATAACATCGCAGCATCCCGTCTCGACGTCACTTGCATCAATAGCCTTCGATGTTGAAGACCAGTGGGTGTGATAGATTGTATAACAAGATCGATAATGTGTCTCTAGATATAGGAATCAGGCTCTCTATCTCTCTATTCTCCTTGCATTCCAGGTCAAGGGAACACCATAAAAAGAATAGATGCGTATTAAATAGCCAAGTATTGTTATCATTATTATCTCAGACCGCGCCTGGGCGACCACTACCTAGTTAGCGTCAATATAGCTCAAGTCTTTTGGCACGGTGTTACATTCAAGTGCGGTGGTGGAAGCAAAGGGGCAGAGGTGTCTATCACGATATTTCACGATACCTACCTGGACGTCATGAGGCAAAGCTTGGACATCTTCGATTCTACTATGCGATGAGTCTACCAAGATCGGGAAGTCTTTAAGGAGCTATTCGATTGACCTGAAGCCCTTTTCACTAGCCCGTGACATAGAATCATAGATACTGGAAAAATCCTACGACTACGGTAGCCTCAGCTTTCTAGCCAGCTAATTAGTCCAACTAATCTGTCAGTTACCATGACGTGAAAGTTGGGGGCCATTGTCTCACTCTCAAAGTAGATCTTCATTCAACATATACCGATTGTGAGTTTAGGCTGTACTGGGCAATTCTTCCTAGAACCCTTCGCAGTAAACATAAATGCGAGGTGAAGTAATAACAGCGAAGCTCATGAACCGATAAAATAGAGACTCAAACTTCAATAGATGTACCCCTAACGAGTGCTAATGACTAGTGAAAGAGCCCAGGAAGTGTTCGGGAGAGGCCTTGACCCGGACTTCTACGCTTCTCCACGTTCGAATGATCCATCATATTTGTGTTTTGTGCTACCAATATCAAGTATCGGCCAAGGATCGCCACCAGTTAGAGTCCGAAATATCGGGTTCTCTTTCCCCTGTCCGTCTTCCGTCACTGTGCAACGGATCAATCAAAGCGGGTAGGCATAGTATCATTCAACACATGCGGCTGGGATGGTGAACTCACACTCTATTATAATAACAGAGGGGCAGACCGCATATATACTAGGTACTAGTAATCAGTGCTTCTTTCTGTGTTCCCGATACAAGAGATCTGATGATTCTCTCTGCGGCCGCAGTACAAGGCTTTTGCTCCAGCGATGGCTCAGACCATCGCCAGTGATGCGTCCACAGCGCTTATGACACTATGGGCCTTGGCCAGCTTTACATTCTTGTTTGTCGTACTACGCCTCTACACCCGTATCAGGGTCCTTCGAATGTACGGGACGGACGACCACTTCTATAATGCAGCTTTCGTGAGTCCTTATTTTGCTACATACCAAGCACAAGTTATTGTGATATTCTAGGCACGACACATATGGAATCACCTGCTTGCAACGCCAAAATACTTCACTAATGAATGTTCTTTTTCGCAGATGCTTTTCCTTAATTACAATGTTTTACTACAACTGGCGGCTAAATACGGCTTCGGTCGAGATATTGTGGACATAGATTCACCCGACGACTTGAGTAGGGCTATCTTATACGAGGCTATTGGGCAGACGCTGCTGATTACTGGGAATGTGTTTGCAAAACTATCTATTGGTTGCTTCCTTGATAGATTGGTTACAAGCAGGACACACAAAGTAGCCATTTGGAAACCGGCTTTGGCTTTCAGCCTTATTGTCATGATTTCGATCATTGTATTCTGGTTCTCATGCCAACCGACGGCATATCTGTGGGATCGGCGTATTGATGGGCGCTGCGATATCGATCCCGGACCAGCAGCAGTTCTAGCGGGTGCTTCTAGCGTTTTTGTTGACCTTTGGTACTCGGGATTTCCCTGGTACCTTCTAGTAAGTGATGCTGAAAGCCTATTTTTCCTAACATTATCCTCTCATCTGCTGGAAACGAGCTGTCGATTTTCTCTCATCATCTAAGGATTGGCTGACCACGAGTCTGTAGTATACAATAAATATGCCCCTGAAAGAGAAATTAGTTGTCGGATCAAGCATGAGCCTTGGTATTGTGTAAGACGTCAAAATCGCGAAGATTATATTTAAAATAGCTGCCCGCTTATCACATTCTTGCTACTATAGGGCTGCAGCTTGCGGGGCCAAGAGAGCCGTCGAACTGATCAAGATAGGGAGTCCAAATTATCCAAGTAAGTAGGTTCTCACGCCGTGTTTGAATTTGAATGTCTATGACCATGGAAGCCGATATCTTATAAGAGGATTTGGGAGTCTGCAGTTCCAGTTCATCATTGCTCGCTGATTCTGTTATGCTAGAAGATACAGTCAATCTGGTAGTCTGGCATGCAGCCGAACTCTCAGCCACCATGATAGGGATCGGAATACCGATATGTCTGCCCCTCTACAAGAGCGCAATATCCCGTGCTTTTCCTAAAACGAGCTGTTCCTGTTGCTCCAATGAGCCCCATAGGTGCAAAGAAAACGAGGTGGAGGTTGGCGTTTTTGGCATGACTACTATTGGCGGCACACCATACGCTTTCAGGGGGCAGGTGGCTCCTGCAGATTAAAACGAAGACGACTGACCTAATCTGGAGATGGAGAGAGATTTCGTTGGTAATCATGACTCGGGCCGTAGCATTTCTGGCAGTGGGAATGGTGACATGCGATTAAATGGTGAACTTTAGCGAGGTTTATGAGTATTCTAGGTCAAAGACTCATACGAGAACATAGCTTAAGTTCAAGGCGATTTTGATAATGAGAGGCCCATTTGGATGTGGGCATAAAGAGAAATTCAGAATGATTCAGCGTCACCATCAGAACACTAACGTACCAGGCGAGACATTTCATGTACTTCCTAGCTTGTTTCTAATTCTAATACACTGATAGCGGTGGGCTGGTTTCTTCAACTATGTATTACTAGATTGTTAGACATAGGAGTAGCATTGTTAATGCACAAGCTGTTTGTAGATGGTCCTCTTACTTAATAGAATAAAGAATAACATAAAGAATAACAAAAGGATTTTTTTTTAAACTAGCTGAAAGAACTAACGCTCTGTTCAACAAGTATTTTCATATAAATTTAAACTGGGAACGCCACTTTAGTATTTCGAATAGAAAACAACCACCGACTCGGCGTCTTTGTTCACATTTCACAACCCTTGGTCAACCGATCACCTAGGTAAGTAACATCGCCAGCATGTCATCCTCTGTATATTCATTCCCTGTACGTGCAAGATGCATGCTTCCAGTCCCTAGTTCCCCTACGTCTCCTTCGTACTTCACACCTCTTCACACAAAACACGCGGCTCTGAAAGATAATGTTTCCCTTGCACCACACGAATGGTTGAACGTAAACCGCAGAATCGTACGAACAGTTGATACTATCCTACCATATGGTCCGCTCATTCAAGGCCCAGGTCCAAAAACATACGAACTGCATGCCGACCTGGGGGTTGCATTAGTCGCAGACATTGCAATCCGGCCAATCCGGAGACCCTGCTCCCTTTCAAACGCAGAGCTTCAGAATAAGATACGACAAATGGCAGCAGATCCGAGAAAATCCGAGTTCCGGCACACTTACCTTAACGGGAGGGTGTGGTTCTCTTTTCGTATCTTGGATCTCGAGCTAGCGAGCCAACCCCTTGAAGACGATAATTTCCAAACTTTCGTGGGAAGTATACGCACTATACGCGAGGACCCTGAAGAGGATGAATAAGATATGATCTTTTTGTATATAGATGCTCCAAGAAGGTGAGTCACAGGAAGCTAAGTAGTTTTGAGTATATAACTTATATATCACACGTCCATACTATAGATCTAGGGCCGAGTTGATGAAGGGAATCCATTTACTTCTCGAATCAACAAGTAAATATGTAAGTCCTAGACCTTATAGGTGGGTATTCAGTACTTGGTGTCCCATAGTAGTAACATCAACCTAACCTCCAAAGGCTGGTATCTAGGCCCTACTTATATGTCCCCCGCCCCAGCCATATGCGTCGAAATGCTAATGGCGTGTTTCTGCCTGCTCAGATAGGCTATATTTCGTCTTTAATAGCAGACCTATTAGGCCGCAGGGATGAAGTGAAAAGCCATCCCATATAATATCATTCTCCCATCCACTACAATCTCAAATCAGCAAGACCTCTACCTCTTTGCTTTCTGCGCAAAACATGAGAATCAAGCTCCGATAGGAACTACCCCGTTACTGGACTGCTACTTCCGTGCTTTCACGAAACTTGACTTGTGGGGACATGACTTACGTCCTTCTTTCGCCATATCCTTCAGCCCTTCTGAAACCCCAGGAGCAGTGTGTTCGAGATAGCCAACCCCTTTGGCGCCAGCAGAGACGATGAGAGTAACGCCAGTTTCCAGCTCGGCGCCGATCTGTAAACTCGTGTGGGGGTAGAGCCAATTGACGCGGAAGCCGTTTTCTACGATGCGGTGTGCCGTAATCTCACAGAGCAGGCGCCAGTCTGCCTTCGACATGGAGGCCTTAGAGCCTTGGTGACGCCGCGGCCTCGGCGATAGGGGGTGTGCGTGGCGAGGCATGGTCAGTCGGGAAGTGAGCACCCGCCACGGAACCTTTCTCGTGTTCGGTTATTGATTATCAGCCTGCTGAATGACGCACTCTCGCTATGTCTGATGGGTTATTGCGGAAGATGCCCTGATGGCACACGCCTGAATAATGCTGATGCCGCAACGGTTTACGGGTCTCGCGGTAGAACGTTTCAATGATATATATCTTTGACTTGTCCGTCATTGACCCCGACATGGGCTTCGACGTATACGTTAGAAGTTCAGGGGCACGGAAATCCATGATGTGGAGCATGGGATGGTCGTCCCTGTCAATTATGTTTCCCTTTGTTGAGCTCAATGAAAGGATTCTGACCAGTAATTCTTAGGATAGCTGTTCTTTGTTGGTAAGTAGCGCGTGTCATGACCGCTACCGGTCCCCTTGAAAACAAAGAAAGCCCCCCAACTGCATGCCTAATGCCAAATACATTGCTCCAGATGGGTATATTGTTGTTGTTATTGCACATTTGATCATCTCCGCCCGTCCCTATATTTGTACCGCTAAACCTACCATGGTAGGTGACCGCTCGTAGAACGTCCTTTATATGTGGTATCTCAGGTCATCTTGATATTGTAGGCGTTCAGGCAAAGCTCGCACACTCCGCAGCAAGTTCACCCCCAAACAAAAAGGGCGCAGTGGCTAATAAAAATTCGTAGTAAATATGAAATATCGTTATAACGTGTAGACTATTCCAAATTTGGATGCAAATAAGCGCGAAAGGGAGAAATAGGCAGTGTCACTGAGATATGTCTAAACCGAACTCGCCCACGAGATTAGTCCTTGTAGACATCGAGCCTCGATAGTCTTCTCCGTGTATCTGTCTCTCTTGCCGCGAACACGGTTAAGAGAATCACGGCTGAGAAGCCAACAGACTCATATAGATGCCCCACGCGACGCCAGCAAGACTAGCGACAAGATTTCGCCCCTCAATGCTCTTGACAAACGCAAAATTAATCAAGCTCACGAAAGGCCATAGCTTCCACCCGGCAGCCATGATGGGAAAGAACTCCTGTCGACTGTTCGCGACCACTTTCGTCCAATCCACTTTCCTATAGTCAATAGCCCCCTTTGTAAGCAGATATTGCAAGCTCTTGTCGGGGTTGCTGAGCGGGGCGCCTAGGGGGCGCGGCATGGCGGCCTGTATGGAATGAATGAAGAGACTGAAGAGAAAAGTATTGACGGCGGCGCCGATACTCTGGTCCAAAAGCAACTTGATAACCGTGTTGGTGATGTTTAACTTTGGCTCGACTAACTTCCCTTCCTTGGCCTCCCGGTCTAACTCCTTTTCGTCATTCGCAGAGGCTGATGCTACAGCCGCGCGAGTGGGCGATACATGATAGGCTGGGAAGGTCGACTCTAAGAAGTCTTGCCTGTGTGAAGTGTCAAAATGGCATTGCTTAGAATCAGTGTGATGATGTAAGGTAGGAAGTGACAAGGATAGGGAGAGCTTTCAAGCATCATGCGCTACATCATTAGACATCTTCACTCACCATAAGAAGTTAGGTGGGATATTAATGAACGCGTATAGTATGAATTGGAAGATGGGCACCAGGTCAAAGACAATAGGTTTCTAGCAAGCCACACGGTTAAAATGATTCTGATTTATTGACGCAAAAGTGTCACATACATCGGTCTGATAAGCTGTCAGGCATTGAGCCAGTATATTGGAAGTAGCAGCAAGAACAGCGGACTGCAAAGTCGCTGAGACGATCGGTGGCAGTGCCATCTTGCCCAAAGCTATGTGAGATGAAAAGGTTATAGATAGCAAATAGCTGAGTGTAGGCGCGATTCCACGAGGTAGTCTTTGACGTCAGTGGGCGCTATACAGAACAACAATGAATCAATGTACACTAAACGTGATTTTTATGTTATGAGAGAGGGGCCTTGAAGGTTTGGCCTTGGCTGTCTAAGGACAATTGGGCTCCAATCACCAGGTGGAAACAGCCGTGGTGGCCTAAGTTTGACCACGTATTTGTGAGACTTACAAATCAAAAAGGGTTGGACGACTACTGGCTGGTACGATAATTCACTTTCATATGCCAATTGTAAGCAGGAATATCAAACGTGTTCACTTCACATCAACCAAGCGTTGCGAATCGTGCATCCTCGAGTTGCCCCTCGCTAAGTACTTAGGTAATCATCTGCGGCGTGTGGCTGAGGAGCTAAGTGTGGCGTGAACTCGATCACAGTCCCTATAGAACTCAACTGCAAGATCTTACGAAACGGTTCACAGATTCAAAATGTATAAAATATGTTAAGGATTTAAATTTATTGGGGGAATGGAGCTTTGCCAGCAAGACATTCTTTTCCCTAGGACATTAATACTTGGTTGGCTCTAACATGGCTTTTAAGTCCTTACACAGCCCTCACTATGCTTTTAAGAAGAATAGTGAGTCAAGATGCAAGCCGAGCATCTAACATGACCACAGCCTATACGGGGGCACAGGCTCGGATGATATAGTAGGTCGTTGTTCGTTCGACAGTCGCAGCAGTTCCACGTAACGGCGCTTTTACCCATCTTTGCTGTTATTTTGTGCGTGGAAATATTGTTTGGAGATCACTAAAGGATTGAATAATCGAGTTATCACTAGCAGGCGTGGTATGATGTGGTTTGGAATTAGAAATAAGATGTAGACTTCGAGGATGTCAAGCTTATTTATATTATATACTTCGGATTTCCATCTAACTTGTTATATAGAATTAGTTAGCAACAAAGGACAAAGGGTTATGCATGCCTTTTGTAATTAATGTAATAAGGCTATTGTATGACAATATTGAGATTGTCTAGGCTCTTCAGCGGTAAAGAACGATCAATGAAGCTTGTCGAATGGCATTGGATATAGGTTGTTGCAGTCCTATCCTCTTGCACATGGCAGCACTTCATATTATATCGTGACAGTATGTCTTTAACTTCGCCTTTCTTATATAGGACACTTCAACTTCAACTTGAGCGACTTATTAAGAAGTCGCTGCACGGCTTATGATAAAATGCCTAAATCCATGTTTTAATCAAACGGTTGGTCTCTATTACAGCCAGTACATCTATAATGATTAATGTAAGTTCACTCAATTTCATTTTTTGAAAAATTGATGTTGCTCAAAATTTGGGTTTAGACAGGCTTAGGCATATAAGCGGCCTGGCTTAGGGGTGATTCCCATTGTGGAATGCTTTGGCAACGTAAACACCCAACTTAGAGGTATTGTAGCTATTATATAGATTTCCAGTGCCAGATCGCTTGGTCCCCATACCCGTAGTTCGGGTATCCTCTCAGAGTTCACCGACGATAGCTGGTTGTTGTTGAAGAACGTCACAGCCAACGAAGCAGCTGAGAATATCACGGATGACATTAACGCTTGAAAGGCCGTGACGCCCAAGCCACCGAAGGCTGCGTTGTCATCTAAGCCAACTCCCACGCTGATCCTAAACCGGATCTGGTCCCAGTTCCGACTCAAGCGGTCCTTCGCATATGCATGCACAGCAAACGAACAATGATTTACATCATTTTCTAGTTTTTGAACAACTTGGTGTCATGTATACTAGAGGGCTAGAATGTTGTTGGCCTCCGTCTCCCTTCTAGCATAGAATAAACATGAACATCAACTGAATCAAGTAAGAATATGTAAAGAGGAATTGTGTTCTCTGGTTTCGCTTCGTCCTCGAATCTGTTTGCATAGGCCCTCTTCCATCGCCTCCCGAGCTCTCTGGGAGGAGCACGTATCTCAAAGATCGCATCTAATCTTGAGTATCAGTGGCATAGTCGCGGCCAAGAATTGCAGACATCAGTCAGCAGGGGTATATAGACTTACCAAAAAGAGAGAGTTTGCAAGGAAGGTGTAGAAGAAGACCGACCAGCCAACCCAGCCTCCAGTGCCTTTCCCGCCGTTCACAAGCTCTGCTATGGCTACCGTCACGATAATGCCGACAAACTTGTAGCCCGAATAAGCGACGAGATCAAGCAGCTGGGATTCGTTGGATATGCTCAAGAAGTAGCAGCCAAGCTTGAGGAGAATAATTTCGACCACCACAACCACACCGGCCTTGGAGGCGGTGTACCCTAGCAGCTCCGGCTGGAACTGACCCCTCAGGCCAGCTAGGAGGGTCGACAACAAGATGTACGTGACGAGAGCCATAACAGGAATATACATGTCTGGGCTATTGATATCATCCCTTGGGGGCAAATACCATCCCTCTTGGCCGCTAGGACCAACTGCCTGTTTCCGCGACCAGGGCTTGTGGCGCCAAGGGAAGAGGACTAAGAACAGCTTGTTGATGACGTAGCCATTGGTCACATTGAAGTAGTGCTTCAGGGCAGAGAAGTTGACCCATCGGTTTACGTTTTGCTCGACATGCTTGAAGGCGTTCTGTCCGACCTGGCCGACGAACTGGGCAGCCATAGGGTCATTTATGAAGTTTCCATAGGCCCCGAAGACATTGCTCCCAGCGCCGGCGGCGGGGGTGCCTTGCTGATAGGGGTTCCCGTTACCATATGCACCGTGCTGCTGAGGCTGTGATGAGGTCGGCGGCGGCGGCGAGCGTAGTTGCGGTACAGTGGAAACATGTTGTGGCACGGGGTGGTGCAGCGGCGGCGACTGCGCATAGCTTGCCCTTTGCATTTTCGGGAGGTTTGGAGGGTTGTTCGCGCCGGTCGAGTTGTGGATGGCTCAAGTCAGTTGGCACGATGCCGACGTTGCGACGAGCGATGCGGGACGGATCCGTTATAGTGTCGAGAGGTCGAAGTTATGAGGGTGGTCTTGTTATAACCTGGAGTGTTAGATACTGCTGGTCTCCATGTGGTCTCGTTCTGTGGACAGTTCTTCTGTGGAGGAAGGGAGACCTGCTGCGGCCAGGTACATGGAGGTACCTGGGCCTAGGTATCCACTCCATGAAGGCGTCCAATGGCCAACCCTGTCTGCCCTGTCAAGATACCTACTTACATACGTATCCAGTATGGTAGGTACGCGACTTTATGTACAGACCGACTTCCTGGGAAGATGCTGTTGGCAGGGGCAATACAGCGAGACAATTCCTGACTCTTGGAAAGGGGAGGAAAGGAAAAATTAAAAACACAGCAAACCGCAAAGGTGGTGGGTTAGCTTGCTAGCATGAGTCCTTAACCGTTCAATTCAAGGCCACGAGCCAGGCGGTTAGGGATCGGATGAGGTAATGAGCAATCTATTTACAGTCTACGCATCTTGTCGAAGCCCGACGTAGCATCCACCTGCTTCGCTTCTGCTCTCCTATACCTATACAGTACATACATAGCATGTGTCTTCGTGGCCGTATTGCCTCTGGATGGTAAGGTGGTTGATGGGGCCTTGGCAGTTCCATGTTATGACGTACATATCTGAACTGCTATGGCTGTTGATCTCAGCGACCTACGATAGGTAAGTGCGTATTTTACAGTTTCCAAAGCATCTATCACTCATTACTCATAAATCAGCTTTTATTTCCTCGTATCCTTCTAGATAGGTCGTTGAGACGATGCTAAATATTTAATTAAAAGTACACATGTAGGTACACCATCCTAGCTTATCTCGTGCTGTGGAGGGTGGGGGACTTTTACAGCACCGCCGTCCCGAATAGGGGGTACAGAGGGGATACTTCCAATACTTGTGGTGGTATTCTAGCGTACCAGGGCAGACCAGGGCAGCTACTCATCCCTGCCTGCTAGGTACCAGCAATGTGATACCTGTCTTTCCAGCTCTATCACTTATCTATCATCTACCATGCCTTAGCGATAATCTCGGATCACACCTTGATGCGCATTTCGTTCCGTCCTCAATTACGCCGTCTTAACAAACCGCTTCTACAAGGGACACGGCTTTTCATATCCTGCATGCCATGTTAGACACTTTTGAGATTCTCACCACCTCAGGCGTGGTGCTGTGGTCCCGAACCTATGCGCCCATCAGCCCTGCCATCGTCAATCACTTCATCGCTGACGTCTTCATCGAGGAGAAAACCGCTTCTGCCGGCGCAAAGGACGACCAGATCACTTCAAGCAATCCACCCTACAAATACGACCAGCATACTCTCAAGTGGACATTCGTCAAGGAGTTAGGCATAATTTTTGTTGTATGTCGCCACCCCCCGTTTCCTTTCCGCCCCGTCTCGGCACGTCACGGCTCACATTGTCACTTTAGGCTGTCTACCGCTCCCTCCTTCATCTGTCATGGGTTGACAAACTTGTCGATAACCTCAAGACAATCTTTGTGGACCTCTACGGAGACCAACTGAAGAAGCCGAACACCACACTTGTGCACTGCCATAAGTTTGACGAATACTTTGACCAACAATACCAAGAACTTGAGTCCAGAGGTTCCGCCAATGGCGCGCAGGTCGCAGGCACGTCTTTCTCATTCGAGGAAGACACAGTATCCGGAAACATAGGGGATGAGCCGCCACTTCCGCCCGGCCTTAAACAACGGACGAAGCCGCATGTCAAAGATGTATCACCTCCCTCCGAAACGACGTCAGTTGCAACCCCTAATGCCTCCCGGCCCTCGACACCTAGTGGGGGTAGTCATTTACTAGTCGGTAAAAATGGGCCCATGACGCGCATGTCTCGGAAGGCTAGGAAGATGCAGAACACCAACTCGGCGCCAGCATCTTCAGGCGACGAGGCGCCATCGAGAAAGGGGAAGAAGGCACCTAAAAGGGGTCGGAGATGGGATGCTGACGGGTTTGCCGATGAAGAAGATGACGTGCAGTTGGATTACTCTGCTGCCCAGCACACATTGACGAGCGATAGTGAGGTTGAGGCGGGTCGTTCGACAGCTATCGAGGGTGTCGATTCTACGAGCTGGGGCACAACAACCTCAAAAGGACAATTTGTGCTGAGAGATTTAGGCGACGAAGTACACTCGATTCTGAAGTCAGCTGAGGAAAAGAATGCTGCGTCGAGCACGGCGCCCAAGGGGGGACTCGTTGGCTCAGGGTTGAGTACAATAGGCGGACTGTTTCGCAATGTGGTGGGAGGTAAAACTTTGACGAAAGAAGACCTTGACAAAGCCATGAAAGGCATGGAAGATCACTTACTCAAGAAGAACGTCGCTCGTGAAGCCGCTATTCGCCTTTGCGAAGGCGTAGAGAAGGAACTCTTAGGTGTAAAGACGGGAAGCTTCGAGAGTATTAATGCACGCATAAGCAAGGCAATGGAGTCTTCGTTGACCAAGATGCTAACGCCAACCTCGTCCTTGGATCTCCTACGTGAGATTGACGCTGTCACGAGACCTTCGGCGACGTCTATGCGCAAGCGCAGGCCCTATGTCATCTCCATTGTAGGTGTCAATGGTGTGGGCAAGTCCACAAACCTGTCGAAGATCTGTTTCTTCCTGCTGCAAAACAAGTATAAGGTTCTTATCGCGGCCGGAGACACATTCCGATCGGGTGCTGTCGAGCAACTGAAGGTCCATGTGCGTAATCTAAAGGAACTGACAGAACGAGAGGGTGGCAAAGTCGAGATCTTCGAGAAGGGATATGGCGGCGATGCAGCCACAGTTGCCAAGGATGCGGTACGAGAGGCCGCAAGTGAAGGTTACGATGTTGTTCTCATTGATACTGCGGGACGTCGGCACAATGACCAGCGTCTGATGTCGTCTCTGGAGAAGTTCGCCAAATTTGCTCAACCGGACAAGATTCTGATGGTTGGCGAGGTCAGTATTCCTTATATCTCTGGTCTTGAGTTGACTTTGCTAATGTTATGTACTACAGGCACTTGTGGGAACAGACTCGGTTGCTCAAGCTAGAAATTTCAACTCATCATTCGGACCCGGACGACATCTCGATGGTTTTATCATCTCCAAGTGCGACACAGTGGGCGACATGGTGGGAACGTTGGTTAGTATTGTACACGCCACCAATGTCCCGGTCTTGTTTGTAGGCGTCGGGCAGCACTACTCGGACATCAGAAACTTTTCGGTCAAATGGGCTGTAGAGAAGTTGTTGAGTAGTAGTTAAGTCGTCGATATTAATTCTCTTTAATAGGTCGTCTCTATCCGTTCCCTTGTCTACTCCAGCGTCTGTGATATGTCTGAATTGGCCATGCGAATGCTTTGCAGACGCCATCAATATTCTAGGGTTTAAGCTGTGTCCTCATGTTTGTAAACGCAAGCGTCACTTAGCGCAAGTCTTAGCTATGTAAAACTGGAACTCGCTGTCCCCCCAATGTATTCATGCTGTTGTTAACTCTTTATCATCTGCCGCGCCGTGAAGCGCAGAGCTATCATCGTGTAGAATGCGCGTCTCTTGCTCTACTGTACCACTGTAGGGCATGATCAACACTGCACAGGCGTATAAAGTTTTTTACTAGTCATGTGCTATGTTTGCAATGCTCACTGTGTTGAAGGTGAGAGGGTAGGTACCACATCGCAACGTGCCATCAAACTTAGTTATGTTGATCTTCGGGTGGCAGCTTACCAAGCCGACGATAGTCTCACATGTCAATTTCTCGACTAGTACTCAGGCTGATCCACGAGTATGGATATGAACTTGCGATGCGCTGGTGCGAATCAACACAAATCACTTTACGCACGGGTCAACCCTAATCACCATCAACACCATCGGTTGATGTGCGTACCACTGCCCAAGCTACCTGTGCTGCCTGGGTAGCTTCCAATCGCAAACCAATGTAGTACCTACTATGCACCGTGATAACACTTGTTATCTGCCTGCTCGTTGTTGTGGTGAAAAGCCTATTAGGCAGTTGTGATAGGTAGTGGAACAACTTGGCGGATAGCTGCGTTGATGGTAAGAACCTGTATTCCTTGTGCCGCCCTATATTCATCAATGATCGAGATCCTTTTCGTCTACATATTAGGACTCTGATCGCAAAGAGATAGACCGGCTTCCCTCTCGGGTTAACATTGGATATCAATGAGCATTAAGCACCCAGCACGTGATTATACTTGCCGATAGTGTCATTATGTATCATCACATGAGACGAAGCACTGGGAAGGGTCTGCTTGCTTCATGTCTTGACTTCATTGTGTCATAACTATAGGGAGAAACTATATACTCACTTGGACTGTATGTAGCATGTATCGTAGCTAATTTATCTAAAGATCTACACAAAATTCGACCTTATCCTCTCAATGTCCAAATAGGGGAGATACGATGCGGGTGCTTTCTTACTTAATTAAGTTCTCACCCTCCTTCCTTTATCTCTGGGTGATACGAACACTCAGGTAGAGTTTAAACTCGGAGGCTGTCGTCGATACGTGCTCGTATCCACCCATACCTGCAGCACGGCGACTTGACGCTTGGGTTCCCAACTCAAATATGCGTCAAAGATTAGCCTCATCACTGGCCGTGCCGGCTCTGAAACCCTTGCTGGCGGGGTACGGAAGGAGAGCAGGCTCGCATTTGCCATTCGTGCCAGATGATGCGAATGTCACTGAGAAGCTGCTTGTCTCAGATTTACTCCGCTTAACAAGTTCCATGCCGGGGTGGTGGGAAATGAGTTGTACAGACATGAAGTAGCTGAATCTTTGGGGACTATTTCCTACAGACGTAAATAGGTTTTATTATATTGCCCCCAAGGATGACTGTAAAATTTCACAAGAGCCTAAAAGAGAAACTTGAATAAACGAGCTGTCCAAGGTGGTTCCTATTTGACCTAGTCCCGAGACACTCGGAAGTGTACCACGTCCTTCAGATGACGGTGCTACGTATTACATGATTCCCATCACCCGAGACCCGCAACTATTGTCAACTTCGTGAATTTTATAATAGCGCATAGCTGCGTTATAACACGGGCCGAGATCGAGAAACATCCCTTGATCGTAATAGGGAGAATGGGCGGCCCAGCCCCCCTAGAAATCGCGTCACACGGGTTGTGCAAGTTCAAAACATCGTCATCATTGCAGAGGCAATTAAACTGTAGATATCTCAGGTGAGGGATATTGAAGCGAGGCTTGTGTGACCAAATATTATGCAATCAACATCGATTATCTACCAGAGCTCACCGAGGCTGCGCACACAGCTCATCGCCCTCTTTGCACACCGCAATTTCATATGTCCAAGGCTGCTCACGGGAGAGTCAACAGGGATTTCCTGTATGACGGTCCCTTCATAGGTATGCCTAGGTAGCACATAGCAACTTAATCTGGACAACAGAAAGGGCCATGGGAGCTGGCAAAGGGCGTGCATAATTAGGCCCTGGATCACATACCCGGTCCAGAGCCCCGTGGTTCATGTGTACGGTACCGTACTACTTGTTACTGTATGTACCCTTAGGTTAGGCAGAGTTAGGTGATGGTAATGGAGGCGAGCATCAAACCGAAGCAAGCTGCGCAAGCTCCACAACTCGGCCTACTAATGTATTTATCGCGGGCCGCGTGATCCACTGATCGCCGCCTTTAACGTCAACTGTCTTTGAATATGTATTTACTTCAGGAAAATGATATCTAAGTTGCATTATATTTTGTTACTTCAATTCGTTGCTTTGTGACAGCGACGCCTTATCACGTACCGCAAGTAATTACATACCTAGGTAGGCTCCAGTGGCTTACTCGGGGATATCCCATGCAGGATGCAGGTGATTGGTACAAGGTCGGGTTTCTGGGAAGTCTTACATGCGCATATGTAGGTAAGCAGTGGAATACGCAGGATGGAGGTGTTTGTGCAGAAAATCAGTATTCCCTCGGAATACTAGAAATCAAAATTACCTGTGAGTACCTACACAGGTAGGACAGTAGGGTAGCGACTATGTAAACGTAGGATACCTTCCATGCCCCCGGAAAGCGTATACGAAATTCTATCTTACTTCACTTGAAGCTCTTATGTAGATAGACATGGACTTACGTAGTGATAGATTTTACTAATGTTATACAGCGGACATGATACCACTAGCTTCATCGTCAGGTTTGCCTTCTTTGAGCCCCTACACATGTTCCAGTACCCGCGGTTGCCGTTGAGCCAGCTCGTCATCCAGTTTCAATAATGCTTACTCGGGTAGAAGGAAAAAGCATAAGATAAAATGAAGGATTCAATCAAAGCCATCCGATGTGCACCATTATTAAACGCATCCTGGTGCTACTCGTACCATGTACTATGCTCACGGAGACGTTTTACATGCATGCAAATGTATTTACATGTACATTACCTAGTAGGGATCGTATCTGGTGCTATGTACAGTGTCATTGCTGTGAACCGGGGGACTTTTGGCCGATTTCCCGTCTATCCCAATTACGGTAGAAGAGACGCGGTAATTAGGAAACATAGTTCAAATAACCAAGTCCTGCTCTGTCCTGCCCTGCTTCGCTGTGCAAACGTAAATGGCTTCCACGTCGTTATCTCCGTGTCCCAAGCTGGTTGTTCATACCTAGAGGTAACTCTACCTTAAAAGTACCTAGGAACAACCTGCCGACATCATGAACCTGCAATAAACAGATGGTTCCCTTTCCCTTCTGATGTGGCAGCAACTTGAACTCTTGCTGGGCAGGGCTTCTAGGCAGGGACATCGCCTGAGCCTCCTACTGACCACCGCCCTCTTTATGATGGAGGTGCTGGCCAGGTAATTCAGTGATCATAGATCATAGGCTCATCAAATCATTGTACCTGAAAATGTACTTCTTTACCTATGTAGATACACAAGTTCCTCCTATGCTCTACCTACATACCTAGGTACTTTAGGTAGACGTACAGTACACTACCTAGTAGATAGGTAGGGCAGGTAGGGATTGCCTAAACCCCCCGCCTAGCGGGCAAGGGCATGTCCAGATCTGGACGACACAGTTTCTCGCGCATCATCTTTTAATACTCGCGCGCCACGCTAAACCTACCATAGCAATTGTCGGGTCTCTGTCTGCAACCCCCCTGGTTTCCCATACAAATTGGGTTAGTTGCAGACATACCCTTGACAGCGATTATGAGAACAGTCGTTTTTCATATCATCACTCAACAAGTACACCCTTCAATCTCTTAAGTTCAGAACTTTTATAACGAACAGCTTATTAGGTACTATATTTGCTAGTAAAAATGTTCCCTTCTAAAAGTGCCCTATGATATATTTTTCAACCTGCTTTAAAAAAGTGACTTGCTTGTTGATCTTAATACGAAATTACCCCTTCCACCACCTATTTGACTAACCTTCGAAGTCAAAGATAACGCCCGTTAGGTGCGTGTTTTTTTTTTCTAATGGTTCATGGGTCCTGCTGGGAGATACAAGGGTTATACTTCGAAAAGGGCTAGATTGGGTGTGCTAAGGACCGTTGTGGGGGTATCAGTACGTACTGCCCCAGCAATTACTATGGTAGGTTTAGCGTGGCGCGCGAGTATTAAAAGGTGATGCGCGAGAAACTGTGTCGAGATCTGGAAACTATCGTGGCCCCGCACCACAGCCCCTCCCCCCCCGGCTGCCGCTCCGGTAGAGTCTGGTAGAGGTACCGGGAACGCTGTAGCACTCCACTCTGCACTGGCTGGTGTTTGGTTTGCTGGTCCAGAGCTGGTCATACCTGCACTACCACCTACATACTTAGTCCGCCTACCTACCCACCTTCGGGTTAAACACATTGACAACGCTTCTCTCACTGCACTGACCCGTGCTGCTGATCATCGGATGATGATTCGAGTCGTTTGAACCATACCCTGCTTGGGTTATTTCCCTATCTTTTCTTTCTCTCTTTCTGTTGTTTTCGTTCCGCTTTCCTTTCGTTGCCTGTTGCGTACCAATGGCCCGGTTGCTTCGGTCCCTCCCGTCGCCAGATCAGTTCCATGGTGTTGCCGACACCCTGCCTGAGCTCCGAGACGTTGATTATTTACACGAGGTGCTCCAACTGTCTGCTGACGGTTATGACGCCTACCTTGACGGCCTCTTTGCGAAAGCAGCAAAACTTGGCATCTCCTTCCCACGGCAGCCCTCGACTGGTTCGACGCCTAATATCCAGGACAATTCGGGTGCCGAGTCCAATACGACCATAGATACCACAACCCATGCGCGGACAGTCTCAACTGGGTCTGGAGCTTCTGCAAGTACGGCAATGACATCGCGCCCATCGAGCAATGGCCACAGCCATGCCGGCAAGCTTCTCTCGAGACGACGGTCGTGGGGGTTAACATTTGCGCAGTACGAAAGCTACTTGTCTCATATCAAGCCAACCCTTGGTCAGTCCAGGTTTTCAGCATCCACACCAGTCGAACCGTCAGGTAGCATGTTTGGTATGGGCACGAAGCAAAGACGTAACGTAATCAGGGAGGGGATTTCAAGATTACGAAGTAGGAGGAAGCCGGTAATTTCATCTGAGCCCTTGAACATGTAAGTTGACTTGCAACAAGTTGATGATGTGAAATGGCGAACAGGCGGGAGACCCCTAATGCTGGTTCTATAGTTCCTGTAGCGCGTGCCGAGAAGACGTACGACCTGATCAACAGTTGCAAAAACTACCTTGCGGCCACAGCTACTGCTCGACCTGCTTACGGGTTATGATCAACCAAGCCACGATAGAAGAAGCCAATATGCCACCTCGCTGTTGCACACAACCAATACCGGGCTCTGTCGTCAAGTCAATACTCCCTCGGGAAGAGCAGACCAAATTCCTGAAGGCAGTCCTCCAGTTCAGTACTCCCTGGGAAACTCGAGTCTTTTGCTCGAACCCTTCATGTGGTGAATTCATCCCACCGCGTAACAAAGTTGACCCAAAGCACCCATTCAAAGTGATTTGTCGGAAATGTAAAACACGCGTATGTGTCATGTGTAGGAGAGACGCTCATCCTGTTGGCCAAGACTGTCCGAACGATTGGGAGTTGGATGCCGTACTAAAGATTGGCGAGAGGTCGGGCTGGCGAAGGTGCTATAAGTGCCGCACTTTAGTTGAGCTTACCTATGGTTGTACTCATATGACATGCAGGTGTAGGGCTCAATTTTGCTATATTTGCGGCGCTGTCTGGGATCCCACTGTTGGATGCCCTAATTTCTGCAATGGTGATGAGGAGATGGAGCGGAGAAGACAAGAAGAAGAGGCGCGTGCCGCAGCGCTGGCAGCTGAAGAAGCTATCAAACAGGAGGCGGCGGCGAAGGAAGCCGCAGAGGAGCTTGCAGCTGAGGAGCGAACAAAAAACTCTGATGAATTCAAGGTCTTACGCGCGAACCAGACCAAGGAAATGGAACGATTCGGAGCGTTTGAGCAGAAATCAAAATGGCTGATTTGGACGCGGCATGCACAACAGAAGGTTGCTCTGGTCGAAAAGCACTCTGCGGCTATAGAGAAGATGCTCGAGCGACACGCCAAAACATCTGTGAACCTCGAAGATCGACAGGTTTTGGCCGAGATGGAGTTAAGGTCAACGCTGGAGCAAAGTGAGAAACACGTGCGGGTACGACTCAAGCACATGGAGGCCTATTGTGATAGTTTGGGTCACACTCAAGCTTCAGAGATGCCATCGCGAATCATCACTGAAAGGGATCTGCGTGAACTTGGGCAACAGTATAATATCGAAAAGAACATGAAGCAACTCCATCAGGCAAGAATCAATGTCATGCGAGATCGACAGGCTAAGGCATTGGAACAGTTGCTCGAGAGACAGGAATGCGAGATGAAACGACTGATGGAGAAGAATACTAAAGAGGTAGAGAACCTCGAATCGGATTTCGCGGACGAAGAGGACACCTTGGCCACGATATTCAGCGCGCGCCAGTCAACACTCGAAACGCGCTGGAAGTTGGAGGTAGAGATTATGCGTAGAGAACTGGAAAGCGAACATGGCGCGAGGTATAATTCGTTATCACCCTTAGAGTGGCCACGGGAGAAAGGAGCGTTCGAAGACGGCATCTTAACCATGGACGAGCCATTAGCGGGCACCTGACTTCGGATGTACAGAGCAGATGGACATTTTTACCTTTGACCTGGTCTTGTTGCGACTGCTGGACTTGACCACTCATAATCACTGGATCGTGGACTTGATTTTGCTTTCATTCATTCCTATCACTCTAAGGCTGCGGATATACCCATGAAGAGGCAAGGCGTTGATATACCATAGAAGGCATTCAGAGCATCTACACGCATGTACTGGACGCCCAGAACATTAGCGTTGTTCTAATCTTTGAGAATTGCCAATAGATATGTAGACTGGAGGTCTATTGGTAATTATTACCGAAGTATATAGCTCAACATAATAGGCCAAAGTGTCTAGGCAGTCGCCCTAGGGGTTAGCTATTGATTATATTAACTTGCTCCAATCTCGAAAGGATGTCTACCCATTGCTGGGTTAGATGTTTCAATCATGTTACAATCCGACCGTATTGAGATGAAAATATGAGCACGATAAACATGCTTCTGTATTGATTGGTTGTACAACCCAGGCACTAGCTACACGTGAACGAAATATGACAAGAATCAATGCCAACGAAACCTTGAGACACATATGATAGCAAGAACGACCACACGCTGGTGTGGCAGAACTGCGATTCTCCAGGTGCGTATTGACAACGACAGAATTATTCGCTGCGAAACCTCTTTAAAGCACAATTATTCCCGTCCAAGAGTTGAACTGCAGTCTGGTTAGCTGGAATTCACAAGCAAACATCTCAATTTGCTAGGGATTCAGGAAATGCTGTTCAGAATATGTAAGAAAGAAATATCAGTTTTCTACGCGATATAACAGCTCCGGCGAGAGCGCCATCGACATAGAATCAATCGCAAATTACCTCATCAGAAGCAATTGGAATCAAGGACCGGAAACAACGAGAAATATTCTCTTACCTAGCTGGAATGCACACTAAAGTATGTTGAAGCGTAATGACTGAATCAGGATCACTCTACAAAAAGATGGCAATGGCAGAACAAACAAGCAAAAGAGAAACAAGAAGGGATTTTGGTCCCATGGGCGGCTTTTGTAGCTGTTGAAATTTATTTTCGGTGGAGCCATTTAAGGTTCATTTGATCTAAGACGCGGCACGCGATTCGCTGGCAAGTGCCGTAGCTGGTGGCTGGTGGCGCACAGCTGGCAGCTCGGGTAACGGCTGGCACGCCTAGGTTTGGTGCACACAGGAATTTTTGAGAAAGTGTGGACAAAAATCCATCATCCCGGAATCCCCTCCAACGACTTGACAAGCAAGACGACACTGATTGAGCCTCACCTCGGTAATTTTCATCAACCACTCAATCTGTAAGTCCAGCTACCTGCACCATCGCCCATCGATATAGCCCTCGAGCACCGTTCGTGCATCCTGAATTAGCCCCAATTCACCCACTGAAGCCCAACTCGAGAATTTCCTTCGACATCAAAACCACTACGCGTTGCACATCTTGAACCTTGCCTTTCCATTATACCCGCTTGATATTTGCCGACCAAACCTGCACTTCTGTTATCAACTTCTAACAGCCAGCTACGTAGACACCTGTCACCATGTCCGCGTCCGTTGAATCCCCGTCGTGGCGAACCGTCGAGGTCGGCCGCCTCGTCCTCATCAACAACGGCCCCTTTGCCGGCCGGATCGCCGCCATTGTCGAGATCATCTCCGAGAAGCGCGTAAGTTCATCCGACATGCAGGGTGATCGTGGGAATCGAGTACAACGAAGAATTAGTGGTTGACTTGGCTTTTGTGTATAGGTTCTGGTTGATGGACCCAGCTCTGATGAGAAGCTCGTCGTACCTAAGGGACCTATCGCCCTATCTGATGTGTTCCTCACCGACCTCAGCCTCGAGATACCCCGTGCTCTTCGAACCAGCACACTAAAGACTTTCTGGGAGAAGGGCGAGATCGACAAGAAGTGGTTGGCCAGCAAGTGGGCTCAGCGTGCCCAGCGGACGGAGCGCAGGAAAGCCCTGACCGACTTCCAGCGCTTCCAGCTCCTCCGTGCCAAGAAGCAGCAGAGATACGAGGTCCGCAAGGCCCTTGCTAAGGTCAAGGCCGCGGCATAGATTCTGGAAGATCAGAAGGGGACGACGCTCGATTCCGATGGAAGTTTAAAAGTCTCTCGTAATGAGAGCGGTTTCGGTCTGCATGGCACATAGGCACGGGGTTTGATGGATTCCTTTTGCTGCATAGTCTGGCAAGACCTGTATTGTCACACACAAAACTTATTTCTGAGGTGACCGGCGTCAATGATTACGGACAATTACAAGCATTCTCTTGGTGATGTGTTTTCTCCGTCGGCTGTCTACGTTGCGGTTTGTGGGATGAATACTAGGATATGGAGACGGATGCTGCAGCTGTAACTGCTCTACGCTACAAGTGCCTAGATACCCACACTTAGATCACGAAAGAGCCTGTAACTCTTCTCAGGTGAAATTGGGCTGGAAATACTCAGCGGACTCGAGCCAAAATGATGAAAACTCATTCAGAGCTTCTCATAAGTGTATCATGGGTAATACCTACCCTACAATCGATGCGTACCTAGGTGTTCTGCCAACGTGTGTAAACAAACTAGATAGAGTGAGCTATAATTGTTCGGTCGAAGAGTCATATCTAATACCCAGTCATATAGGTAATAGCAAGCAACCTGGATGGCAAGTGATGTAAACCGTTAGATTACACTATTAAGATGAGAAGCAAGCATTGCTATACAATAATTGTAAAGAGCATTGATCATAACGTGGTTATTTCCATAATCTTTATATTAGTTGAGTCCAAACGCTCGAACCAATTCATACATGCATAGAACCCTTACTCATCTATTACATCTCCTTGACGAGTTGTGAATATTACCAAGGTACCGGTACTATAAAATATGGGTACAGTTCAATTCTTGTAGTTTTACAGTCTGTTCTGGATAACTACAGTAACCTCATATTTCATGTCATCTATTAGTGCATATGGTTTGAAGATTGAAGGGATGGCTGAAATATATGGAGAAAATTCATAGCGAAGGAGCTTAATAGTTTGGATAAGAACTACTTGTACCACTCTCCCATATTACTTGCATCTGTTACAACAGGCAAGTCCATTTATTTTAAGCAAGTCTTGGAATGCTGGTGGTGGGGTAGGTACTTTCTCCGTTCGATTTTATTTATAAGCCTTGGGGGATACATCCAATGAGGAGAAGGTATAATTGTAGCCCGGAACCTATCCGCATATCTACCTCCCCGCCTAGGTACATAAATCCAGGCAGAGAGGGACAGCTGTGGGCGGTCGGGCCACCTGCGAAAACCCTAGCCAAACAATTCCAGACATCAATTTGTGCAGCAACTTTTCTCGCCAAATCTGGGTACAGCCAGTGACACTACCCCCCGCTACATCTTCCCCTAATAGCTTTTGCTCGTTGACTCTGCTGGATAATCGCCGTTGCTGTCGCTTCTTTTTATGTGAGTATAATTTCTGTCTCTAGCCAATTCCACAAATTTCTCTCGAATTCCTGTGCTTGCTGGAGCTCTTTGGAGCTCCCTGTTGCTGGGACAGAGCTCGTTTGTGGGTTGCGCCGATTTCATCCCACCTTTCACTCTAGCTAGCCTCGCTTCCCACCCCCCAGCCTTCCCCATGCAACTCAGCTAATTGCATTCTGTCTTGACAGTATAACCACCTACCACCTACCATCATGGCCAACCCACGTGTCGAAGAGCTCCCCGATGAGGAGCCTCAGAAGGTCAACGTCGAGGAGCAGGACGACGACGACAGCTCCGACTCCGAGATCGAGGCCGGCGAGAGCGGCCCAACCGGTTCCAGCGCCGTCATCCACTCCCGCAACGAGAAGAAGGCCCGCAAGGCCATCGAGAAGCTTCACCTCACCCGCGTCACCGGTATTACCCGTGTCACTCTTCGCCGCCCTAAGAACGTGAGTTGGGATTATCTGCCATATTATAGGAGACAGTCAGCAACCACTGCTGGGCTCGTTCTGTCCGAAATGACGTTTTACTAGCATCAAGCGACTGGTTTCATCTTCTATTGATTTTACTTTGCTAATGTAGTTCTCTGGTAGATCCTCTTTGTGATCAACAACCCCGAAGTGTACAAGTCACCTAACAGCAACACTTATATGTAAGCAACCACATGGATGGCACATCAACTTCATTGGCTTATGATGAATACAGTGTCTTCGGTGAGGCTAAGATCGAGGATCTTAACTCGGCTGCCCAACAAGCTGCTGCCCAGTCGCTCGCTGCTCAAGGTGGTGAGCACGACCACAGTGGCCACGATCACAGCCACGGTGACGCCGGCAAGGCCGCTGAGACCACTGAGGAGGACAAGAAGGAGGATGAAGACGACGACGAAGAGGTGGATGCTGACGGTCTCGAGGATAAGGACATCGAACTAGTCATGACCCAGGCCAGCGTCTCCCGCAAGAAAGCCATCAAAGCACTAAAGGAGAATGACAACGACATAGTAAATTCCATCATGGCACTTAGCGTTTAGGAGATCAGATAAGATAATCGGAGAACGAAGCCAGCATGTTTTTTACAGGCCACAATGCCAATTGGCAGAATTTGTTGTGGCGGACTGATCGTGTGTATCTGTGCCTAGATAGAGTGAACCGACCAAGACACAAGCATTAGAATGTGTCATAATAACTACGATACCCTGTAATATGGATTCTAGGCTCATCGTAGATTCTCAACCGGGGCTATTTAGATATTTAGCATCACTGACACGTGAAATCTTTCTGGTAGGCTATCCTACCACTCTACTCGAGGTTATGCATCTTGCTCCTGGCAGTCAACAGTAGCAAATGAACCAGTATCTCGACTAGAAGGTAGAACAGGTACTATTCCCACAAGGTGCATAAGAAAATAATTGTTATAATTTCCAACAGAAAATAATAAAAACCCATGTCTGCAAATGATAATAATGAACATGCATTCACTCTATTGTAAAATCACGTGACGTGGGTCACGGGATCTAAGTTCGGGCGTGCGCCATCCCAAACGCCGAGTCTTTCGGTAAAGACCAAGCAACCTCTGCTGCGAATTGCTTCAGATCTCCACTCATTTACATTTCTCGTCATATTGCAAAGATGGCCGCCCCCGCAGTAAGTAATCCCCGAATTACTGACATGGGCTGCTCTTGGGCTGCTATTAGAACAGATCTATAAAAGCAATTGAGCTTTCAATGGCTGGCTGATGATGCGCCCGGTAACGATCAGATGAGCTAATTTTATTTCCCCGAACCTACAGCGTAGCGCCGCCTTGAAGCTCGACTGGGCCAAGGTCACCTCATCTCTCGGTCTGCGCGGCCAGACTGTCGCCTCTCTACAGGCTTTCAAATCGCGCAACGAGAACGCTCGCCGAAAGGTGCAGCTTCTATCCGAGCAGCCGACTACCGTTGACTTCGCCCACTACCGCTCCATCCTCAAGAACCAGGCCGTTATCGACGAGATCGAGAAGCGCTTCAGCGCCTTCCAGCCCACCACATACGATGTCTCCCGTCAACTCAAGGCCATCGAGGCCTTCGAGGTCGAGGCTGTCAAGAACGCCCAGGCTACCAAGGAGAAGGTCGACCTAGAGCTCAAGGACCTTGAGGCTACCCTGAAGAACATTGAGACCGCTCGGCCATTCGAAGAGCTCACTGTGGTATGTTGCGGCTACGCCTTGGCGATGGTGAAGGAGGAGATGGTTATAACTGTATGGAAGACGGATGCTGACCTTGGACGCTACAGGACGAAGTTGCCGCTGCCGAGCCCTCAATCGACGAGAAGACTGCGAAGTTGGTGTCAAAGGGCCGCTGGTCCGTTCCCGGATACAAGGTACGATTTCCAAACCCCCTACTCCTGCGTGCATCGTGTTGGCAAAATCTTGAAAACGACGAAGGGAAAGCAGTTGAAGCGCTGTTACTAATATCTATTTATAGGAGAAATTCGGCGACCTTTCCGTACTATAGACACCGTGATGCATATCAACGCGTTCTTCCATTTGTGTACTCTAGCATTGTAGATAGTCAACCCAGAGAGGTCATGGCAGTGGAATCACATCACTAATTTCTCAAGTCCACATTGTGCAAAGCGCTCACGGCCTTCGTGGCCGTGAGTCTTTCTAGTTCTGATTGCAGACACGTTTCGCAAGCGCTAATCAGCATATACTTACCATAAAATAGGCCACGCTCGCTAGTCTTGATATATATTGCGTATTTTCTATGAACCGTCTGGAGCAATGCCACCGAACCCTCTTCTCATATCCGTATATTACTGATAAATAGTATGCTTCTACTTGAAATAGGTATATATATAACACGATCATGCAAAGTTTTGGTAGCTTGGTCTTTTAGTAGCTCCTGTGGCTGAGCACAACGCTCGCAATTTGATTGAGGTGTTGTTGAGGAGGTATTGGCATATATCCGCTAGTTTCCTACATGATTCAAGCAATGTGCTTTGTTTGGTTCAGACTCTGCTTAGAAAGATAGATATGAGTCCTCCTATATGTACTATGCGTTGAAACTGCTGGAACATCCTGTACAACCGTAATCCTTACACTTCTTTTGGTCAATTTGTTTGTCTGACTTTTCCTGCCTAACAGGGGCCGCGAATCATCGTTGAGAACTTCAGAACCCGTTTTCGCCACGGGCAGTTAATGGTCGGTAGGCATCTTTGAGCACACTCATATCTCCAGAAACGCTACAATCATCTTGACCTGTCTGGAAACGTAGAGTCTCATACTACCTACGTAATCAAACCCATCAAACCCCTCTTACATGTGATCAGTAACCTGCATGTTTCCGTAGCCATTTGCTTTTTTAACTCAGACCGGGCGGCGCGGGGCAGAAAAGGCCCGTGCAACCAACCGTTATCATACCGTACTGGCATACAGAGATACTGCAGCTTTATCGGACGGAAAGTCAACAGGCTGCCCAAGGCCGGCCCGCACTCAAGCCTGCCCAGGTACTCCTCCTCACTACTATCGTATGTACCTGCATACATGTAGGTATCTATTGCAACTCTATGACGACTCCTCTCCCACCGCTCCCATCTCCATCACAGTAGGTAGCATTCACGACACCGAGCGCTACCGATCAGGGCGGCAGCGTTTGGGGTACCGGTATCTATCCAACAACACAACAACCATACTAACCACCACTCTTTCAGGTGGCTTGGCCATCCTCCCATGATGAAGAACATACCAGCTGAGATTTGCTATATCGTTTGCTCCTTTCTCGATGTCACAGACATCCTTCATTTTCGACTTGTCAGCAAATTGTTTGCAGACATCGGCGCTGCGTACATGTTGCCTGATGTTTCCTTCAACTTACACCGCGACGATCTCAACCGCCTATCTGCCATATCCTTGCATCCTATCTTATCCAAGCATGTCGAATCACTGACTTACTTCGCCGAGGCCATCGACTTGCCTAAAGTCTCGTGGATCGAGTTTGTGCAGAACCACCAGAGCAAGATGAGGTGGAATGGCATGCTGAGGAGACAGAATAATAAGACACCCTCTCAGTTAGCGTCGGAGTACAAAAGGTATAGTGAGGCCGTCGATGAGCAGCAGAACCTGATTAAAGGGGAATGGGACCTAAGAGTGCTCAAAGAGGTTCTCCCCCGCTTCCCAAATTTGAAGACCCTGCACATGTCAACGACTGAACCGTTCTACGAGATGTGCAATCATGGCCAGATGAAGAGGCCCCTTTCCGAGTTTCTCCGAAAAGGTTACGTAGGCAGCGCTCACCCTGAGGGCAAACGCACGCTTGACACCCTCCTTCTGGCCAACGCTCATGCCCCATGCGCAATAACAGCCCTTCACATAACGATGGTATACTGGAAGTTCTTCAAAAGGAGCGAACGAAAGCTTTCTCGGCTGTTTAAACCATTTGCCAATCTCACAACCATCAGGCTCACCATCAGCATTGAGCCCCAAGATGAGAGGCTACTACACGATGGACTATCGCTCGGAAGGTGCCAGCGAGTCTTCGCTAAGGGCGCCTTACGAAAGATCTTGCGGTGTATGCCGCAACTACGATTGTTGCATCTCGAAATCCGCAATTTCGAATACGAACAGCCGGAAAGGGGGGCGCAACTACACGACATCATCGAGCCCGGCTTTCACTGGCCGGACTTGGAAGAGATAATCCTTTGCGGCATCGCCGGGGACAGAGTCGAGTTTATGGACTTGTTTTTGCGACATAAAGATAAACTTCGGACGCTCCGCCTTAGCGATGTGACCCTTGCCTCGACATCTTGGCGAAAACTTTTACCTGATATAAGAAACAGGCTGCATCTTGACACGGTATGCATCTGCGGCAACATTTACGGTATTCGTGAGGACGAAGATGATCCACCAGGCCCGTTAGAAGGGATGCCAGGCCTCGAGGTTTGGAGTTTGTCACCGTCCGACATGGACGTCGATGAAATGCGTGACTCCATCCATATGTATTGTCGGCAAGGTGGTACGAATTATCCTGACGAGCTGCCTCTGGTAAGATATTATAAACTTTTGAATTTGTTTCTACAGACGTCTTGGTCAGCACAGAGTTTCGCACGCCCCAAAGGCTTGTTCTCTTATCCCGCATCCACCCCACCCCTTAGATCAGCTATTACTGACACCTCATCCTCGTACAGTGCGGGACTGTAGTAAATAAGTACTACAAAGACTACGTAAAGCCTTTCACAGTAGGCGAGAATGGGCAAGACTTCGATGACGACGATTTCCACATCTGTGATGGCCTGAGGTTTGGTATATGGGGAGAGAACGACGAATTGTGGGAGGACATTTCGGATGAGGAGATCGATGATGACGACGTCGGCGCCACTGACGATGAGCTGATGGCGCAACATACCATGGAACATATCATATTCGATATGATGATGGAGGAAATGCTTGGTATGCCTGAGTATTACGATGATGACGCTGGCATGAATGCTCTGGGAGCTCCTTTGCCATTTCTCGATCCATTCACCTTTGACTCAGAGGTCCCCAACGTAGAATCGGATGATGAGGTACCGGATCTCGTTTCTTTTGACTTTTGAGGGACTTTTACTTTTCTTGGAAGGCGTTATGGAGGGAGGGAGGGGGGGATTAGATTGGTGCGGACGCATAAGAAGGGCGAAATAGTCTGTTCTTTACCGAGATACCTTGTGCTGCTTATGATTTGGTCATCTGTGTAAAACGCTTGGAGCACCTAGCTGAGCAACTTTATCTACACTATCTACAGAGCCCGAATATCACGAATCTATCATATACCCTTTACAGCTAGATGAAGCATCCTTAAGAGTGAGCGAGTATACTGACTTGGTTGTGTTCATCTATTTAAGGACGTACTTAAGTACTATATGCAGTGTGCCTGGATATATCTTCTATTCGGAATTTAAACTCTTTTTTTCTCTTCCGAATTGCTCGTGACTTGCTACTAGACAAAGGGTTTGGGCCCATCTTGTAATCATGCGTGGTCTTGCATTGGTATTTCCTGTTTCTTTGTGATTTCCATGTACGTATCAAAGTTACGGTGGGTCAGGCTGGTCCAGGTGGATGGATTAGCGCCGGACTGGATTGTTCTAGTAGGCCCAGTACGGACGCTGACGGGGCTTAGTCGCGCTGCATCTACCCGCCTCGCCCGTCCCCGTTCCAGCATCGTCTCCACCACCTCCTCCTCCATCTCCTGCACCTTCATGCTGAGGCATGTAGTCTTCCGATCAGTCCCATGCAATCATACAATCATACAATCCAATCGTCTCAAATCCTGTGCATAGATCGATACCTCGACTGCTTCTTGTTAGCCCATCTGCAGTCTGTCACGACTGGCCGAACCTTACTCCGCCCTCGAGCACCCTGCGGGCTACCGCTCTACCGCTTCTACCCTTCTCCACCACCATTCGGCATCAAGCCAACCATCATCTATCAACACCACTTGGCCGCCGACAGCACTATCTACGACCTCCTTTCCGATCATCGTATTTCCCCCATTCTCTGTGAATAGTCTGCGAATAGCCCACGAATCTAAAGAAACAATCCCTCCATGGCGGCCCTTGCCACGGGGGTAATCGACCCCACCAAGGTCGGCAAGTACCGTGTCGTGTTGAGTGATGCCCTGCTGGGGAAGGACCCTAAGGAGGTATACACAGGCATTAGATGTAAGGATCGCTTCTCTTCCTGCAACTCCGTAGCCATATTTACCTCCCCAAATTTATATGCCTACTAATTGAGTGTCTCAGATAATCATAAACCCTCACTCTCATCAACGACGGCGCCTCACCAAGCGCGCATAAAACCCACCGGCTCGTCTGATCCTTCAGCTTCATTCGATTTATCTTTCCAAGATGACGGCGGTCGCTATGCCTTCCAAGGGTCTCGTGGCCACGAGGATAACCAATACGTGCTCATCTTTGATCCCGAGAGGGAAGTCTTTGTCTTACATCGTGTCGACTCCATGTTCAACATGAACCTAGTGCGAACACCTAGTAGTACTGATGCCGATGCCCTGCGGCAAGAGTATTCGCACCTCGAAGCCCATCGTCCATCAAAGGCAACTAAGGTGACAAACAAGGCTACTACGGGAAAAACTACGGGAAAAGCTACGAAGCCTATGAAATCCAAGAAGCCTGCGCCGACTAAGCCGTCTGTGACCAAGAAACCTGATCCACCAGCGCCCGTACAACCTGCCAAGTCAAAGAAGGCACACCATGACTCGGAAGACGAAAGCTCAGACGATGATCTTTTGACCATAGAAGATCCAGGCGGTGCTCCACCTGCATCCAACCGCGATTTCTCTCCAGGCTTCATTGATCAACCCCGCCGGTTTTCCGACTTTGTACAACAGTACCAAAATGAAGAAGAAGAGGAAGAGGAGGAGGATGGAGGTCTTGAGATTGAGGTTGAAGCTCTGAACGATGCAGATGGAGAAGAGGAAGAAGAGGAGGAGGATGAAGATGACGAACCAGAGAATTTCACGCTGCCGAGTCCCATTCATCGTCAAATGATGGGTCAAAATATCAATGGTAGTATCGGCGGACATAACAGCGCTAGCACTACGACACAGAAGGGACCAGTAGAACAAGAATCAGATGAGGATGAAGAAATGGAGGACGTCGACGATGGTGGCGCATCCGTGGCCCAGAACGACCCGGCGGTCGATGATTTAGAGGCCGAGCTTATGCGCGAGCTTGAAAAGGAAGAAAGCGACGTCAGCGAAGAAGAATGAGGAAGCATTGAAATTCGTGACTTTTCAAAAGATATATATATCCATTAGCTAGACGAGCACATTTGCATTCTACGTCCCATTCTCTTAGCGACAGTTCAGGGTTTATTACTGAAACGGGGAGATATATAACGCCAGGGAAAAACCGAAAGAACCCGGGCATGGCTGTGGCGTTTAGGATGTTATGGGATACCACTACAGGTTTTGAAAGCGTTTGACTTTATAGAAGGATTTGGGAGCGTTATCCAACCCTAACAAAAGAAACATTGAAATTTCTCTACACCTGGTAGACAGCAGGATAGTCATATTTCCGTCTTATTCATTATCATTATATACCGGCCTGTCTACCATGACCTTCTTTGACGCTTGTTGTTATTAATTACAACTCGGCCCAGCAACACCTCATTGTGCAAACAACTTTACTACAACAAAATCGAGGATGCCAAAGTCATGCGCCTTCTTCTCAGGTGATATGAATTACACAAGAAGAATGACGTCCCAGACAATGCTCGTTACTCGATTCCACTCTGACGCATGGACAGAACGCAGAGCTGGCTAGTGTAACGATTCTAATGCAGGTATGCGTCAAGGTCTTCATCGGGACCTATCCGGTCGCCGTCATTTCCTTTATTCATGATGCTCCTGAAAAACTAAGCTGCTCGTTTCCTGGCACGGGGTTCAACACGTTCAAGTTGGTGCCAGCAAGAACTCCGTCGCCACCCTGCACGACAGCCGCGAACGAATCCGCCATGAGCTGCACGCCGGATACGAAACCTTCCTCGTCAAACTCGCAGTGCCCGCCATTGGGAGAGTTATCGACGGTCTGGAGCGCAGCGATCTGCTGCGTTGCGAGACCTGCGTCGGACACGGCCTGCTCGTACGCCACGATGGCCTCGGGAATCGACGTCTGCAGCTCCGCCAGCTCGGCCTGCGTCGACTGGAAGTGGATGCGCGTGTTGGCCAGCGCGGCGACAGCGTCCTCGGACATGCTGACCTGGGGCGCCAGAGCGCCGCAGTTGAGGAGTACCTGGCTCGTCTTCTGGCCCGTCGTCGTCTGCGTCGCCCTTTTCGCGGACTGAACGAGTGCGAAACGGCTGCGCGCACGGGCGCCCGCCAGACCAGCGGTACCGGCCGCCGGCGACGCGAAGTTCTGCATGAACGCAGGCATGAAGAAGCCCGAGAGCAGAAGCGAGCCCCCGCTGACGCCCGTGAAACTGACGCTGTCGCCGTCGAACGCGAGGACCTGCGGGAGGATCTCCTTGATGAGATCGTTGACGATCTGCGCGTGCGCGACGCCGTCCGTGCGCTCTAAGCCGCTGCCGCCGCCCCAGAAGAGATTCGGGTCCGGAGCCAGGACGGCCACCCCCGCCAAGTTGTTCTGCACTGCTTGGTTCGGGAAGTCGAAGAAGGACTGGCCGCCGTCGCCGTGCAGCAGGACATTTATGCCCAGGGTGCCCGCTGCGCCCGCTGTCTGCGTCGACCCTGTTATGCCTGTGTCTGTTGTGAATTGGTCGGCGGGCGCCGAGACTTTGAACCGAACGTTTTGGCCACTGGATAGGCCGATTAGCTTGGACTCTCTCTTTCTCTCTTCTTTTCCTCTTCTTGGGAATGAAATATGTTGAGGCGTTGCGCAGTGAGGAAAGAATAGCAGGAACCAAGTACAACGAGGGCTAGGAAAACTCACTTCACCCGCGCCGTGGTATCCAGGATCGTGCTACCGTCTGTAGCTGTCGAAATTCCCTGCGGTATCTGATCGGCCTGCTCCTGCGCCGTCAAGCGCTGCTGGCTGCCGCGTCCATTTCCGTTCCTGCCATTGCGGTTCTGTGGCGATGCTTCGACCATGTACAGATAGAGGGCCGCGGCGAAAAGGGAGCGGAGGTTCAGCATTGCGTATTGATTCTAGAAAATACCAGCTAAGTCAATTATAAATATGAATATAGATATAAATATATATATAGTTGAAAAATCCAATAGTACTACTAGGGAAAGAGGGCAAACCAGCTGCCGCAGTATTAAAAAAAGAGAAGGGTCCTTCAAGCACCGGGAGAAAAGTGACCTATCAAGAAGTGAAGAAGTTAACATAAATTACATCCTGTATATGAATTCCTGAGCAGACTCACCTCTATGTACGATAGACAGACAATTCGTTCCAAAAGGAGGCGATACCAGGGTTGTTTTCCCAAACAGTATTGGTTTCGAACCATGTTAGCTCCAACCAGACTTTAGACCGCACCCATGAAAGAACACGATGATCGACCATTGTTAAACAAGAATTAAAGACAATTGCTACCATGGGCACAAGAAACTCTAGTTAAATCACTCAGTCTCTTCGCAGACAATGTTCCTCGCGAAGCAATTGTCTAGGAGTATGCTCAATAGACGCATTGAAGTATTCCCATTGGTTCTTTGGCCGTGGTAGATCATACCCTGCAAACGGTCATGGTATGTAGACTACTTAGTATAACCATACTACACTTAGCGTTGAAACGGATCCGAGACGGAACGACCAGATTCATCCCATGTTACCCCAAACCTCGTATCGGAGAGATCGTGCTCATGATGACCTTCGATTTACTACCTCGCCGGTGCGGATCCAGCGCATATCTTCTGTCAATGAACAAAACTAACATTGACATTTCACTCAACCCTCACAGCGCATTATAGCCCTGGGCGCCTAAATCGGCAAGCATAATAGAAAAGGGGAAGGGAGAGGAAGAGGGGATGGGGGTATATTCACCCAAGTGGCTCCATCGACACATCTCATCAAGGACGAATGTCCGCGGTTCGTCTGTACAATCCCATGGGAGCGAGCGAGCGCTATGGCTCGTATTCAACCGTCGAGGATTTTGATCACTTGAGATGGAATTCAGGTACTCGCAGAGAAAGGCAAGAATGACCGCTGCTTCATCTATCACACAGCTCTTTAGGAAGGCGGGCTGTATACAGGATACAGATGTTACTTCTAAAGCCTACCTACTAGGAGACTCTCTTGTTGACGTTTTAAGGTGCACAAGGTACCAAAGATAAGAAGGATTCACTGAATTAATCTGTCCTAAGTGGACGAATGACGTTACAGCCATTCGCTTTACACCTTTAGTCATGGAAGAAGAAGAGGGGCAGGTATGACAGCCAGAAGGGTATCTGGACTTGATTGAGTGCTATGTTGAACTAATACCTTTAATCATAGATTGGCTCGCCTTTTTGAACGATACCATCATATACACCGCTCCCCTATGCGAAGCATGTTCCAAATAAATATGTACTCCTAGCCCTTGACACCACTACAGATAAAATCCAAGTAACCAATCGCTTGCTTCCATATGCCTTTGTACAGTATAATAAAAACCTGATGAAGAATGTAGCCGCCAGAAAATAGAAGTACTAAAAATAAAAATAAAAACTAAAACGAGATACTACATGCGAGAAGAGGCAAAAGAAGGAAAAGCCCAAGTCTTCCCGCAAAAGTTGCCTTTTGAAAAGACGTTGTAGTCGTACATAAGGGAGTGGTTCTAACCAAGGTTCATCCAAACGACATCTCCATATTATCGACATCTTGAGGTATTGATCCATGTTTCTTGATCATATGCCGCCTCCAGTTATCCTTCCGAGGGAAAGATTTGCCGCCCTTAAACCATGGACAGGTAGGCTCCGTACAATGATAAGCCTTTAACTTTAAATGCCTATCATTGATATGGCGATCAAGATGTGTTTTCGTGCCAAACTTCCTATCGCAGGCCTCATACGGGCATTCATGCGTACGATCATGATAGCGCTTATGATGGTTGAGTTTGTGGATTTGGTCAAACTCTCGGCCACACTCTGGACATGCTAGCGGGCTGGTCATAGGTGAAGGCCTTGAAGGGTTGGGCGATATGCTGGCATCGGGCCTGAGTTTGCCATGTTCAGGTATAGTAGGAAAGGGTGATGGAGAAGCCGTCGGCCGAGTATCAGGTGTCATTCCATTTGACTCAGCTACAGAGCTGTGCCCAGGCGTTGAAGGATACTCGTACGAGTCGATGGACCGACGGTTTTCATCATCACTGGGAAGGTCGAGGTACATATCGGCGAAGTCTTCCTCCTTGGGTGACGAAGGGCCGACAGTAACCTCTTGTGTGGGCTTCCTGGTGACAATCTCAGGGGCTGGCGGCGGCATAGCTGGCGGCGAGGCCGAGTGTTTTATTTGGTAGGTAGTATAAGCTGCTTGCTCGGTAGGGTTTGTTGGATGCAAGATAGCCATGGGATTTATGGTAAAGGAATCTGGGGCGGATAGTTGAGGAGAATGTGACGGCCGGAATGGGGAATGACCATTAGTATCAGGCTGAGGGCCGTCAACGTTCATGGGCTCTGGGATCTCAGGGCTCTTAAGGCGTTCCCGTTGTTCAGTTGGGTTTTGTGGCTGAGACCCTGGAGGTAACCCATTATAAGTGGAGCCGGTGGTTAGAACAGATGATGGAAGCTCATAATTTCTTTCTGTAGTTTCCCGAATTGTTGAGTCAATACGACCGGGGAAAACGCTGTATTGCGAATCTTGCGTCTGGCGCTCATATCTTCCCTCTTGCGATTGCGGGGGTTGCTCACCGTCCAGTCCAGTCCCTGAGGCCTGGAAATACGAGTTTGGTGCGCCCTCCGAAATTTGTTCTGGCTCATCAACATATACTGGCGCAATGCCTTGCCAGTTAATGCCACCAGATGGTTGTTGACCTGGTTCTTGCTTGATCGAAATAGAGTTGTCCATGGATGCTGTTCCCGGTTGCTGCTGCAAGTTGACAGACTGCGCGTTGTCGCCGGATGTTCCTTTCGAGTTGCGTGTGGACTGCCGTGTGATGGTATTCCATATTTTGCGATGCATCGAGTTGCTTCTCCGGCGTTCCTCGGCCTCTCGTAGCTGTGCCTTATACATCTCGCTCATTTGCCTCGAAAGAGGCGTAATGGCCTGAGCTGGGTCTGAGTCCATGGAAATTCTCGTGTCATAATAGCTAGAATTGGCGGCTTCGGGCGCCGTCGATGCATGGTTTAGAGGCGTGCTTAATGACTGCTCTGCCGTTACAGGAAAGGTTTGTTGGCGAGGGAGTGAAAAGTCTATGTCATGAGGCAGGGTGTCGTAGTCAATAGCTTGGCCATAGGCCGGGCTGTTCCCCATCCAGTCTTCCCCATAAGGTGATGTTGGAGAGCGCTGTGTCTGCGTAAATTGGTCTGTAGGCAGGGCTGAAACATTGCCGTCACGTCCGTCCTCTTTGAGGCCCACATCAGGATGGTGCAGTGCCTCTTCTGCCTGGGCTATCTTGGACTTCCGCCTATAACGGAAGTATAAAAACCCAAGGACTATGAGTAAGAATCCCCCTCCTAGCACGCTGCCGATGACGGCGCCAGCAATGGCCCCAGGCGACAATGCATGGCTGCGCGGGACGATGACTGTCCTCGAGTAGATCATGGTGGGGATCATAGGGATGAGCTTAGATTTCAGGCGAGTAAAGGCTCGCATGTGTAGAAGAAGGATGCTTGTAGGATGCTAATGCCAACTACTCTTATTGTCAATGCCGGCAGACTGATTCACTCGGCTGCCCTGGAAGGCCTTAGCGTGTAGTTGCCTGGCTTGCCGAGTGAGATGGGTTGGGATGGGCAGACAGCACAAGCGGGCCGCCTACGGGGCCGGTGAGTGACACTTGAGGGAGCTGGTATGTTTCTGAGATACACGAGACTAGACTGATTACTTGTGACTGCTAGGTTGGCACGTAAGTGTGTGAGTGCCGCCGGGTCGCATTGGAGAGCCAACAAGGGAGCAAGGCGTTTTCCACTCAGGTTTCCAGCTGCTTGTTATGACTTAGAATAGAGACGGACGGGCTGTGGCAGTCGGCGGCCTCAATTCATTCAACTCGTCTGGGATGAGACGAGACGAGACGAGACCAGCGGAAGCACGCTGTGGTGAGTGCAACGGCGACGACAACGACAGCCACCGCTCTCCCGAATGTTAGCAACGATGAGCTGACGGTAGGCCGACAGCAGACATGGTCAGTCTGAGGGTGAGCTGGGTATGTGTGTTGGGGTGGACGGGGATGAGGCGACGTTAAGCTTGGGGATTTGGTTTGCTGGAAGTCCTTCAGCCTCACGTGTAGCGCGGGTGTGTCGAATCGTGTGTCCAATGGCGGACACAAATAGCCGGCTTATCGATATTTCTTTTTATCTTATTTTATTTTTAAGTCGATAAGTCGATAATATGCAGGATAATAAGGACGGAAGATACCTAGGGGAAATAAGAAGGGGAAAATCCTGGAGGCCGGGTAGGGCGGGGCGGGAATAACTCCTTACTTACTACCTACTTTAGGTACCTAGTATCTCTAAATGGTAGCGGTCCAATAGTGCTCTGTAATACCAGCATTAGGTACCTAGTCGAGGGTGTACGAACTTGTATGTAGGTGGATGATAGGTGGATGGGAGCCCTCTGATTCCCGAATACATAGGTACCTAGTAACTGAAGTCAATTACTGAGTTGATTGGCATGAGCTATAGCCACTTGAGGCATAGCGCTGACATACTACGACCTCATCTATCCCCTTTCTGGACTACATAAGTACTTATATATCTCTACACAGAAGTACTACGTACTGTATCAAGGTAATGGAGGCATCCTGGCATACAGTTACACTGCCTCGACTGTCTAGCACATCGGGACATGTCCGGGAGACATGGTCTCGAGGCATGAATACAGTACGGACAGAGCACAAGCCACAGTCTAGCGGAGAGCGGAGCTATCATCGTCGGCTATGGCCTGTTCACACGCCGCCGAGCCACACAAGTTGTCTTGGGCAGTGCTGGTGCTGGCCCCAGCGTGCGACAATCCCGGAGGCAACTCGACGGTCATGCCGAAAATCACCTCTTATAGGTACTATAGTATCTGCTTTCATCGCCTAAATGCACATGCTGGTGCGTGCATGCATCCGAGTTGCTGGCATGCTGCAACAAGCAACCAACATCAACCTACTGCGCGGTCTTTTCCCTCTCTATCTCTCTCTCTTTTTTCTTTTCTTTTTCCCCTATATCGATAGCTAGCCGGTTGGTTCCCTCAATTGGACCGATTCCCAATGGGTACTTAGCTAACCTGCCAATGTCCGCTTGGTCTTGTGTGCTGTAAACCACCACGAACCTACTTACTTATGTAGTGTAGGACTAGGACATGAATGTAAAGAAAAGCTAGGTTACACGTGCAGGTAATGAATGTACTTAGAATTTCAATCATAGATGTTGTGATGATATGATATGGCTCTTAGCCGCTAATAGGTCACTACTTACATGTAACTCTTCCAAATGAATGAGTGTAGGTGGCCGAGGTGGCGTAAACAGTCGGAATCAAGAGCGCGCGAGGAAATCGTGCCATGACTTAGATCTACGCGAAACCATTACACATATAACATAATAGGCACTATATAAGTTAACGACCGTCGCAGAGATCTCTGACGTCACGGTTTTCAGGCCGTAGCCACTGAACACAATTGCGCATTCGGAATTCATCATCGATGATAACACATTGTGTTACACTAAGAACCCAATCTTCAGAAAATCTAGACCATCAACTCTCCACATGTTCTACCTAGGCTGGTCCCTTTCTCGGCCCCTTGCCGGCGTCTTGCGTGGTAGTAGCTCCGGACGGCAAGAGCCTCTCGCACGCTATCGTCTTAACTAAACTTAAAGCATCAATAACCTACCTGTTCGGATACCTAACAAAGCTGAATCTCCAGTTCGTTTAGCCATCGAGTTTCACAAATCGTTGACACGTATATTTAAACTTACTGCCTCACACAGCTACAATAGCCCAAGTGGTGGTAGCTCTAGGCCAATATACTTAGTTACCAATACTATGTGTTGACACTGTCTGTATTGTCGCTAGTTAGTTGAGTTCTATCGGGTAATTCTGATGGACTCTACAGCTACTTCAAGAATAGTGAACTAACTGCTTGGGGATTTCAGACAAAAATGACCTGTCAGTGACGGGCGATTTCACAAGCCGCCACTCATCAATAAGCACATAGGTATTTCTACTCATTTACACCACTCTTTATAGACTCTCAACGACACAGACTTGTTCTGTCTGAACAATGGAGTGAGTGAGTGAGCGAGCACTTAGATATACCAATCGCCAGTCTCATGGCTACGCATGCGATTCTGGTCAGGCTAGGTGCACAGGGGCGGAGCGGAATTTGACTGAGAACTTACTATTAGTACTTCGGATACCTTGGTAGACAAGAGATATGGCTCCTAAAGCGCCTTCTCAGCCACGTCGCCGGTAATAGTTGTGTACGATGAAGTCTAGACAATTCTGTAACCAACAGCTGGGTGGTGTGATCGTTGATGGAATTCGTCTAGACCTCAGGGAGGCATGCCACCCCGCACCAAGAGTAGGTACTTACTTTACCATAACCATAATCTAGCTTGCCATATCACAGGTACCTATAACAGTTGGCAGTTTATAGTGCAGATACAAGTAGATTCGGCGCGAAGACAAGAGACTACGAGAGGCTGATCTAAGCTTAGATGAAACAGTTCCGCTCAGTATATCTGCCTACCTGCATCTTTTGAACGCCGGTAGCCGAAATATCTACATATACCTAGTCGCGAATTGCAAACAGAGAGCACCACTTTTCGGAGTTAGGTCTCATATTTGACTGAATGGGCTTGAACTAGAAGGCTAGAATCGTGTCCTTGGCACACTAAAAGTCCCTGCATAATGCACCCAGCATTAGACTACTACCTAAGTAGGTACTTTAAGTATGTATGTACAGTGGGTTAAGCGAGGTACCTGGTCTAGACAGCATTGCCATTCTCGTTTCCCATGCTTGCGCGAACTTGTCGATTTATATAGACGGGATTTGGGAACCACACGTGATGTGATGTAGTATGTCTGTAATAAAGTCCGTGCCACAGGGCCTCGGCATGATGACCCAGATGTGAGACAAGACGAGGCAGTAGTCTAGTCTAGGTTCTCCTGGAAACAAACGAGCCTTCGATGGTGCTAGTAGTACCTAGTCGAGAGTCGGAAGGATTATGAAAGTGATTATGAACGAGACCGTCGACTGTGTACATAAAGCGGGGAGAAAAGAACAAAATAATGCACAGGGGCGAGGGAGTATAGGCTCGTATGGGCAATATGACCAACACAAAGACTCCAGCAGTTACATAAAACTTATTTCCATGATGTAAATTGCAGCAGGGATAGACTAGACAAGTATACACACCTCTAAGATGAAGTACCAGTGTTCATCGAACACATGAGTCTGTACCTAGGGCATGGCTGACTATACCTCCACTGCTAATAGCGACGTCACGTCACAACTGGCAGGGTTTTCGCGTTCAGCACAATTGCCTAGAAATCCTATTTTATGGGGCGCACACCCCCTTCCGATCTCGAGAACATGCGTCTTGATCGGAAATCGAGCCTGTCAAAAAACGCAGACGCAACACAGCATTCGCTTCACCATATGTCTATTTCAACCCTCTGGTCGACTGTAGTCATGGCGGAAATTCAGGGCAAGAAGCGACGAAGCACACGGAAAAGACGAAAACACAAAATCCCATAAAAAAAGAGAGAGGCATTTTGGCCGCAAACGCCTGTTGTTGTTAGGCGTTTACCGTCTCTTGTTGGCTCATCAGTGAGTGCCAAAGTCAGAAGATAGAGTTTTATTGCCATACGTAAAGCATCTCGAATGCCTTTTATCAAAGAGCGATAGAGGATCACCACTGGACCCCTCGAGACTCTCTAGCTCAATAGTACACCCGTTCTGCTTTACATGCTTCACGCTTTGAGCTAGCAAACGCTCCTAACCCAGGCCTGGTGGCGACTAAAAGGTCATATGGATACTGGTGAGTCTTGCACCTCAACCCCATAAGATATGGCCGGATCGAGACTTATAAGGGTGCTTCGGCACTACATGAGGCCTCGACCTCCATTACCCCAGAAACCGGAGACTAACAAATGTTTTATTTAGTTTATGAGATTTAGGATCAGGTCTTAGCTGCTATGCTTCTAGGCTTTATTCTATGATACTGACCTGGAGAATCGGACTTCTACTAGCATCTTTAGTATCGTTCGCATAGTTGTGCTCCAGTCACTAAACCGCTTGCCTTTACTGTGCTGTGGTTCTTGGATCACGTAACAGCGAGCTTGGATGCGAAGCTACACTCTCCTTGCTCGAGTCTTACAGACTAGATCACTCAACATACGGACTACGCGTGGAATCACTTCCTTGCCTCGTCTACACCACGTGCGGTACTGGGCTTTGTCCTTGTGCACCTCTCAAAATTTAGCTTTCTTTTCCAACACTATAAGTTCATCGGACTGCTCATTTGGTAGAACAAATCGTCTACTAGGTCTCTGTTCTCCCTTGCCGGCTGGGGTTCGATATTTCTCGTCAGCTCGGACAGCAGAGGGTGCAAACAATATGTCGGAGGTCAACGTCGTGATCTATCTAGTGCGGCACGACATGCGCGTAAAAGATAATCCTATATTGGACCGTCTTGCCTCGTCAAAAGATCACGGCTTCACACATCTTCTCCCTCTCCATGTCATCCCTCCCTATCAAATGGAAGTGTCCGGCTTTTTGAAGAATGGTACAAAATCTCCCTATCCCGAGGCTAGAAGCGAAGTTGGCCGTTTCTGGCGCTGCGGACCGCACCGAGCTCGGTTTATAGCTCAATCGCTCTGGAATCTCAAGGACAATTATATTAAGTTGGGCAACGATTTGAATATACGGATCGGGAAGTCTCATGAATTGCTAAAAGATCTTATAAATGGCCTCAAAGAACAGCAAATAAGGGTCAGTGCAGTCTGGATGATTGCTGAAGAAGGGTACGAAGAGGAACAAGAGGAAAAGAACTTGAAGGAAGCTTGTTCGGCCCTTGGTATCCAGCTCGAAATGTGTGTGGATGAGAAGTATTTTATTGACGAGTACGTATGCTGCTCTCTGCTGTTCCTCCGTGGGTAGAGCTAATGATACTTCGTCAGCCGAGATCTAAAATTAGCAACCCCTCAAGATCTTCCAGATGTTTTCACCTCATACCGCAAGATGAATGAACCATTGAGAGAGCGTCCACGACCGACGAAATCGCGACCTTCAGGGGGCTCTCTGCCCAAGCCCGTCGAGGCATCTCTGATACCCGCCCAACCAGATCCTTTCGAGATTCCGACGTCTCTTGAAGCCCTTGAGGCCGCCTTTCTTCGTCCTATTGAACGAGATCTTCCGGCAGTCATTCGTGTGGACGAGATGAAGTCTGCTCATCCATTCCGAGGTGGTGAGGATAATGCGTTAGATCGTCTGCAGTACCTGATTAACTCAGGCAGCGCTTCGTCGTATAAGTCATCGCGCAATGGGCTATTGGGGGTAGATTATAGCACTAAGCTATCTGCCTACCTAGCACAAGGCTGTATATCTGCTCGCCAAGTCCACGAAGAACTCTTGCATTACGAGGATGGAGCTGATGATAAGTACGAAAATACGGACGGATACGGACAAGGGGAAAATGAAGGTACCCAGGCCATTCGGTTCGAATTGCTATGGCGCGACTACATGAGACTCTGTACCCGAAAATTTCGAGCGAAGCTGTTTCATCGATCGGGCTTTCGGAATGAACACAGTCAGAAGTGGAAAACAGCGCGTACGGACGACAAATCCGCCGAAGAGCAGTCACAATCAACTGACGACGTCGCCGCCACTGTGCACCGAATTCTCGAGGGTACAACTGGTCAAAGTCTGATTGACGCATCTCAACGAGAGTTGATACACACAGGATACACATCCAATCGGGCGAGGCAAAACGTCGGCAGTTTTCTCGCAAAACACCTCAACATTGACTGGCGCTATGGCGCAGAGTGGTACGAATTCATGCTCGTCGACTACGATGTCAACTCCAACTGGTCAAACTGGCAGTATGTCGCTGGAGTAGGCAACGACCCTCGGGGTGACGCCCGTATTTTTAACCCTGTGAAACAAGCTTTCGACTACGATAAGGATGGGGAGTATGTTCGTTGTTGGGTGCCTGAAATTCGAAAGGTCGAGAAACTCGAGAATTTATTCCAACCATGGACGACGCCCAAGGAAGATTGGGAACGGTTCGGCCTGAATGGTCTCGCCATGGCTGAAAACCCAGTGAAAAGGATAAACTTCTCAGTCGAAGGGAAACCAAAGTCTTCCCGTAGGCCTTACGTTCGCAAGCGTGGCCAGGGACGAGGTGAAATGAACAACTCGACCACTTCTAAATCGACGCCTTCTGATAATGGTATTGAAGAGAAACCGCCTACCGCTCAGGGACCACACGGGGCGAGAAATTCTACGGCCAACTATCGTGGCGGTCCTCGTGGGGGAGCACGAGGTATGGGTGGAGGTGGAAGGGGGCGTGGCTATGGTGGCCCAAGAAGAGGATTCCACGGAGGTCGTGGTGGCTTTCAACAATCGTACACCCAAGTGCATGGGGCCATACCACCACATCCATGGTCACAATCCCACATCGGACCTGCATAACGAGACGTGCAGCTCTGCGCCACAATCATGATCTATACAACAGGAGTCTGTGTGTGCAATTCAAAACGAATAATGGTTAATGAGTGTGTACAATATTTCAAGCACGGCCTTGATTGCATGTTGCTATTAGGACAGCATAGGCGATCACAGGAGCCTATATGTGTTCCCGGTTGGAAAAGAAAAGGCAGGGTTTCATTAAAAACAAAATTGCGAAGTGTCAGCAAGTTTAGATCTTTCGTCGACTATATTAGTCAATTCAATACAGCGCCAATGTTGTTGGCGGACTTCAATTATGTTTCTACCATCATGGTATCTACCTACACGCACATCAAGTAATCAGCCTGGCCCAAAGGGCGATTAGGTTAATAATATATTGCCAGATAGGCATCTACAACAATTCGGTCATTTGTAGCACTTCTAACTGAATGGCTTGTAAATATACGGGAGGGTGTGCATCGTCCCACTGTCTGATAGCTTCTTGGTCAACAGCTGATGAGAAGATGGACAACCCCCTCTCCATTGCATGTATCGTGCACACCCAAAATCTACTCGTCTCGTGGACGTACAAGGTTTTGCTGTTTGCAAGTACAGCAGACTTCTATTCTACTCTAGAGCTCCGTAATGCATATCCGTAAACCCATGATGAGCTTAGGACCATCCACATCTACCCCTATCGGCTCGGGATCTAGAAGTCTTTAACGAGAGGTTGAAGTTTGAATCCCTTAGGGACTACAAACAGACCATTAGCCTCAGCAACGGTAAGGCCCTTCTCGTTCTCGAGGGTGCCGCAAACCCAGAGCTTGCGATCGCCTTTCCTAACGCCATCCCTGCCGACAACGTCATCGTCAGGGTTGACGACAGGCTTCGCGCGAATGATGTAGAAGTGCTTCGTCTTCGTCGGGTGGCGGTACGTGATGTCGAGGTTCGCAGTGACACCGGTGCGGCTCGGAAAGTGGAGAATGGCACAACGTCCCAGCGACTCGTCAAGCAGCGTCGCCAGCGCGCCACCGTGCACAAAGCCCGGGAACCCGGCGAGCCCCCCGCCAAAGTACACGACCGTCACGACCTCGCCGGTCGCCGCGTTGTGGAAGATGCGCTGGAACGGGAGCCCCGCGAACCCTGCCATCGGGCCGGAGGTTATGCGCGACCGTGCGGCGGACACGCCGCTGTACGCATCCCAGGACGTCCAAGCCGGGTCTGTTGATAGCTCCTTGACAATCGGAAGCTCGTTGCCGTCCTTTTGGATCTTTTCTACCAATAATCTTTCTCTCGCGGAATCAATGGGCGGCGGCAAGATGATCCATTCGGCTACTGTGCCTATGAATCCGCCGACGATGATAAGCGTCATGGCGATGATCCATCGTCTGCGCTTTGGACGTTGAGGATTTGGCGGGGATAATAGGTCGCTGGCGTGTGTTTCTGTGGGAGTTGATGGAAAAGCGGTCGCGATCGGCTCTTGCGATGTTGGTTTGGAGGGCGCGGAGAGGCGCGAGTGGGATGTTGCGAAGTGCCTCGGTCCGTGAGTCTGGGCAATAAAGTTGCCCGAGAGACGGCCCCATGGTATTATCGTCGCGCGCCAGCAGCTCGAGGAAGTTTTTTGGCATAGTAATGAGCGGCCAATTGGCCTAGCGATGCCCTGGCGACACAGGTGCTGTGATGGTCGGAGCATCTTGACGCCAGCTACGTGACCTGGATGCTAGGGTTCCCAATACCAACAGCCATGATGATATACACGTCGACATATCGTACAGTAGAACTTCCAGCTTGCAAGTCAGCGGATTCATATTTTACATATTATAGCTTTAACAGATAATATCTGTATATGCCGTATATGTCATTAGTGCGTTTGAAGCTAATAATATACCATCGTGAGTTACCGAGCTATCTAGCTACGCATTCCATCTAAGCCTACCAAATTCAAGATTTTCATGAGGGATGGGTAAAGCGACTGTTGAAACATTATCGGGAAACCGTTCGTAGACAACAACATGGTGGCTAAAGGCCGAAATTTTTTCTGGCTGAGAAGTCGATATTGCGACTAGACATTGGTTTTGCATGAAACAATCCCATCGCCAAAAGATCTGCGCCCATCCCACATAGCAGCGAACCAAGACAGCAATGTTGCGGAAAGCGGTCTAGGATAATGAGACACAAGGTGATCGTTCTCAGTCACGGATGTTCCCGTTATGAACACTCGGTTTCAGACCCCTCCCAGCTTTTGCAATGGTATGTGAAATCAACTCCAAGACGTGGCTCTTATAGTAATGCGCCTATGTCTTCATACTAATATACTCGGTCATGTTACAAGGAGTGTCTTCAAGACATAAGGACGTTTTACACGAGACGTCGCGGGAATGCACGCCAACAAGTCAATGCATAGCGCAAACAACAACATATACGTGGTCTACTCTGTCTAGAAAACTTACGATACTGCCACTACGATCCGCGAAATCCGGGCACGTTCTGGTTGATCCTACCACGAAACATGTTTTATACGCAGTAGTCATGATGTTCTCGACATTCCATAGTTGAGTTAGATCGGCCCTACACCTACGCTAGTTACTAGATCTGAGCCGTCTATGATATCCCGCCTTGGCAAGTCGATCAGAAACGATCATAACGGACAATAAAGAGGGTGTGAATCGAATAAGTTCCACTCCCGGAGATAAGAATTAATCTATGATCTCATGAACTTACTAGACACCGGCATGCCAGCCGAATTTGGTATGTACTCTTTCGGGCTAGGTGTTGAGGCACGCGAAATAGAGACCGCCAAGCGATTCGTGATGGGACCACGCTGGAATGGCATCGCGTAGGTAGTCATGGGGAAATTCTTTAGGATCAATATTGTATGATGCGTACGTTGTCTCTCTGTCACTCTCATTAGCTCTTGCGTTGACCTAAACCTAAATATAAACACACGTCACTCAAACAAAAAAAAGTGAACCTTAGCCGAGTGAGCTTCCCTTTCCCGCCTGCTGCCATAGAAGCCAAATCATTTTCTCCCCGTTGGCATATTGACATTTCCGGCCATGGCGTATGATTATGCTTTTGTGTAAGCCAAATCATGTATGGCATTTGAATTCAAACTCTGTGACTAATATTCACCACCAGGCACCTTGTGTACACCATTCCCCTCGCTGGTGTCTTGACAATCATCCTGAAGCCCCTTCTTCATCGATTCGATGTCTTGAAAACCTTGGCTTTAATTCTGATAGCCTTCTTTTCAACTTTGCCTTGGGATTCGTATTTAATACGCAACAGTATCTGGACTTACCCTCCGGATGCCATAATTGGACCCCGACTCTTCGCCATACCAATTGAAGAGCTGTTCTTTTTTGTAATCCAAACCTATATCACGGCGCTATTCTACATTCTATTGAACAAGTCTGTTCTGCACGCCCAATTCCTCACGAACCATGAAGTGTCGTCTCCAGCCGCTCGCCGTCTCAGAACTTGTGGTCAGCTTCTGCTGTCTGCCGCCATCCTAATTGGCGGTATCCTTGTGAGCAAGGGAGGCGAGGGAACTTATCTGGGCCTTATTTTAATTTGGGCTTGTCCTTTTCTTCTACTTACCTGGACACAATCGGGCTATTTCCTGCTCAAGCTCCCTTCTATCTGCATCGCACTTCCCATCGGTCTTCCTACAATCTATCTATGGCTTGTTGACGAGCTCGCGTTGGGGCGAGGAACATGGGCTATCGAATCAGGAACCAAGCTTGGTTGGTGTCTATGGGGCAACCTCGAGATTGAAGAAGCTGTTTTCTTCCTGGTAACAAACACTATGGTAGTTTTCGGCCTAGTAGCATTCGACAGAAGCATGGCGGTTTTCGACACATTCCCAGAAATGTTTCCTGAGGCTTCCCGACGCGTGTCTCCCAAGGCGTTCATTAAAGCGGCACTTGCAGACCCGGCGAAGTATGATATGGAGCGGGTCAGAGGTATAAGAGAAGCTGTTAGCACGCTCCGGAGGAAAAGCCGCAGTTTCTATCTTGCTAGTGCTGTCTTTCCTGGTGCCTTGCGCATCGACTTAGTGTTGTTGTAAGTTTCACAAACCAAATTGCTTCCACGACGAAATCTAATCATTTACTAGATATTCATTCTGCCGAGTTGCCGATGACCTCGTCGATGATGCTGATAGCAAAGCTGAAGCGTTGAAGTGGATACAAAAACTTACTGGGTATCTTGACCGGGCATACAGTGGCCCGGGTAAACAGTCGCGCGTAACGGCCGACGTCGATAGCTATGCTGAGAAAAACTTCCCTCTGCCCGCGCGGTCAGCCTTAAAACTGCTGCCCACAAGGCTTCTCCCAAGCGGTCCCCTCTACGAGCTCTTGGAAGGGTTTCGTATGGATCTAGCTTTCACTGACGCCAAGTTCCCTATCGAAACTGAGGCCGACATCCAGCTTTATGCGAGCCGCGTTGCGAGCACTGTTGGCGAGTTATGCCTCCGGCTAGCGTTCCACTACAGTGCTACAAGGCTATCCAAGGACGACGAAGCAAGACTCATTCAAGCGGCTACAACCATGGGGTATGCGCTGCAGTATGTCAACATTGCTCGCGATATTCAGGTTGACGCTGAAATGGGTCGTGTCTATCTGCCTACAGATTGGCTCAGCCATGAAAATCTGACTCCTCGGGATATCTTGAAAGGTCCCAAGCAACCAAAAGCAGAAGTACTCAGACAGAAGCTTCTAGATCTTGCGTTCCAGGAGTATGGGAAATCACGGTCTACAATGGACTTGTTGCCTGACGAAGTTAGAGGCCCTCTCATAGTGGCGGTAGAAAGCTATATGGAGATTGGCCGTGTTCTCCGAGAGGGAAGCGGTGTCCCTCACAAGACGAAAAAAGGGCGAGCAACCGTCCCTCGTTCCAGACGCCTTTGGGTTGCCTGGAAGAACCTTCGAACATCATGAAAGCCATTTCTAGTTTAGAACAGAGCGTGCCAGGGGTAATACTGTCTACTTGTGTTCCTTGAGCTGCAGCGAATAGCTCAATAAAGTGACCTTCCTTAATTCTAATACTACACCTTTCAACTCAATAATAAGATGAGGCCCAAAGTAACGCCACGTGTCAAATGAAAAATGCAGGCATGATGTAGATATGTAGTAGCTGGAAGAACAACGTGAGTACTTTCACATGCCAGACAAGCTTAAGGTCCTTAGTAGTGGGGAACCGTAGACAGAATCTCGGGATCGAAATTGCGGATGGGAAAACAAAGAAAGCGATAAAAACACCTCAGAGGGGTGGAGTCGGCTCGTGTCTTAGCTTGGCTAGCTGTATGCGGTGATGAATCATCGAAACTCTCTCAGGCACGGACAACCCAAATTCCCTTCTCTTCGAAAATGATGAGATCATCTCACACACCACCCATGTGCTTGGAAACTAGGCTTCTTTTTTTTCAAATTCCTAATGTCACAGACTAATCTGCATGCATATGGGCTGCAGCGTGCCTGGGATATTCGCAGGGCGGGTGGATGAAAATTTAGCGCAATTCTGCGATCATCCTCTACCATGTTGTGTCAGAGAGATCGGTGTTCATCGTATAAACTACGGGAACACCCGGATCTGTCTCATTCCGTAGATATGATGTACTTATTAGTGTGATACGCCGCGTGCCTTGCTTTTCCAGGGCAGTCAGTATACGGAGGTCACAGTACTCCCCTCTTTTGGTTTCTCATCCCGAGATCTCGTACTCAAGATTCAAGACCTTTATCGTAGTATGCTCTGTATTGGGCTGGGGATTTACTTACCATGGAGAAAGTACTACCAAAAAAAGCGATTGTGATCGGTGAGATTTACATTCGAACCTTTGACACCTCTCTTGTGTCATTCGTGTTGCCATGTTCGCTGACAATATGACACAGGCGCCGGTGCTGGTGGCATCGCAACCGCGGCAAGACTGGCTAAAGCTGGATTCTCTGTAACGGTGTTGGAAAAGAACTCGTTCACAGGCGGACGATGCAGCCTAATAACACATGAGGGCCACCGTTTCGACCAAGGGCCCTCGCTACTACTGCTGCCCAAGCTATTCCGAGAGTGCTTCTTCGATCTCGACACAACGTTGGAGGCTGAAGGCGTCGAGCTGCTCCAATGCCCCACGAACTACAACGTCTGGTTCGCCGATGGCGAAAACTTCGAGCTGACGACGGACCTCGCGCGCATGAAGACGCAGATTGAAAGATGGGAAGGCAAGGACGGATTCGTCCGGTATCTCAGCTGGCTCCAGGACGCTCATGGACATTACGAGCTGAGTATCTCTAAAGTGCTCAACCGCAACTTCACTGCTTTATGGCAGCTCGCGACGCCCAATTTCATCCTTGCGGGACTGAAACTCCACCCGCTCCATAGTATCTGGAACAGAACGTGTCGATACTTCTGGTCGGACAGATTGCGTCGAGTATTCACGTTTGCGACTATGTATATGGGCATGAGCCCCTTCGATGCGCCGGCAACTTATTCCCTACTTCAGTATACAGAACTTGCTGAGGGAATATGGTACCCCCGGGGTGGTTTTCAGATTGTACTCGCCGCCTTGCAGCGAGTAGGAGAGAGATTGGGCGTCAGATACCGACTCGACACGCCCGTAAAGCAGGTGTTAACGCACCCAGACGGCAAGACAGCGCGTGGAGTGGAACTAGAAACTGGCGAAGTACTAGAAGCCGATGTCGTGATCGTGAACGCAGACTTGGTGTACGCCTACAGCAACCTGTTCCCCCAGAAAGCAGCGCAAACACAGAGTTACAGCGAGCAGCTTCGCAAGAAGGACGGGTCTTGCAGCTCTATCTCTTTCTACTGGAGCTTGGACCGCAAGATTCCCGAGCTCCAGACGCACAACATCTTCCTCGCTGACGAGTACCGCGAGTCCTTCGACGCCATATTCGATCGCCAGACACTGCCCGACGAGCCGAGCTTCTACGTCAACGTGCCCAGCCGCATCGACCCCAGCGCCGCCCCTGAAGGCCGCGACTCCCTCATCGCACTCGTGCCCGTGGGCCATCTTCTCCAGTCCAGGGGTTCCGCGGCCCCTGCCAACGGCGAGAGCGGGATCCCTCGGGAGCAAGACTGGGACGCGCTGGTATCGCGAGCGCGTCGCGCCGTCTTGGCGACCGTCCAAGCGCGCACAGGCTGCACAAATCTCGAGCAGGCGATAACGAACGAGATCGTCAACGACCCGTTCACATGGGAGGCCAAGTTCAACCTCGACAAGGGCTCCATCCTCGGGCTGAGCCACAGCTTCTTCAACGTGTTGGCTTTCCGCCCCAGGACGCGCGCCGAAGGCTTCAAGAACGCCTACTTCGTCGGTGCTAGCACGCATCCGGGAACCGGCGTGCCTATCGTCCTGGCAGGGTCTAAAATCACCGCCGAGCAGATCCTTGAGGATATGCGGATGGCGGTCCCGTGGAGGGGTCGTCCGAGTATCATTCGGGACCAGGGCATGCCGCAGAACTCCATGACGAGGCAGTTGGACAGGATACATGCACCGTTTCGCGAGTCGAATTTGTTTGCGGTCTTGTTAATTGTTGCCGCTATTGTGATGTATTTTCTGGCATATAGCAGTTTCTCTTCGCGGTAACACTTGATATACATACATAATGAGGCTGACGTGCCTACAGTTTGGCTTTTGTGTATATAATTATTGATCATACCAGACGGGAAGCCGAGCCATGGTATTATTATTAAAAAAATTTTGTTTTAGTTAGTCATATTATTAGGAAATTTAATCCATCTCCATATCGTGAATCTTATTATGCATCTGCCTGACATTATTGGCATGCTATATTAGAGTTGACTGAGCAGTAGTAATCTTGGGCCTATCCCGCCATTGGTCGAAAAGCACCGAGAACATGTATTATGGGTTACTCCCCCTTTCACAAAAGTTCTCAGCGAATGAACAATATGGGCTGCTCTTTGGGCATCAACGCAGCACAGTAGAGTTATACTAGGGCATAGACTGCGAGACTCGTCCACGGACACAGGAATATGCAACATTGCAATCTAATCTCGTATCAAATTGTGACATGGCTAAGCTAACCGAAGTCTCCAAAAGAAATGCCAAATTGCACCTATATATCTAACATGCATGCATGCATTTTGCTCGTTTCATTTTAGTCTCTTCGACTCATCATGGTGATTAGGTGGATAAGTAACCAGTCGTGTCCCGGGCCCTTTTGAATCAGTCGTATAATATAAAGATGTGAGGAAAGCAAAATCATGACAAATAACAGAGAAATCGTGCTCAACATCGTAATCGAGGAAAGGTGTACCCATTCCATTCTCTTTAATCACGACGTCGGCTTCTGCTGCGCTCCCGGCTCCGGCTATGATCGCGGTGCTTAGAATCCCTGACGACTAGCAGTCCTTCGCTGCTCTTACGGCCATGGTGATGTCTTCCCCTCTCCCTCTCCTTCTCCTTCTCCTTTTCTCTTTCCCTTTCCCTTTCCCTTTCCCTCTCCTTTTCTCGCTTTCTCTCCTTCTCCTTCTGTCGCTCGTACTCACGATCCATCTCCTTCTCACGCTCGCGCACCCGTTCTTCGGCCTCGCGAGCCCGCGCATCGGCGACTTTCTCGACGGCCTCGAAGCGCTTGACTTCATCGGGCATGCGCGTGACGACGAGCTGCTCGCAGAACAGCCCCCACTCGCCGCTCGTGCCTGCGCGCACCGCGTCCGCGAGGTCCTCACGGTACCGTTCACGATACGCCTTCTTGATGGCAGCGAGGTGTTGCCGGTCCCAGTGGAAGCGCACGAGACGGCTGATGAGCAGCTCGCGCCGCAGACCATCCTTTCTGGACGCTGTCAGCGCGTGGTGTAGGAGCAGCGCGTCTCGGACGGGCTTGTTGATAATGCCGTTGAGGATGTGCGCTAGTAGCTCGCCCTGGGGGAAAAAAGTCACTGTTAGCTTTAACTACGCATGCGTCTGCATCTACGGCTCGATCGAGATCTAGATTGGCAGATTAAACAGGAGGTATTGCGAACTTAACCTCCAGTGAATAAGAAAGATGTGATGAAAACTTACGACTAGGTTCCCACTCTTTTCAAGCGCGTCTCGCGCAAAGTTGCTGTGGCACACTTTAGCATAGAGTCGGAGCACTTCTCGCATATGCTCGTCGCTACGGAGTAGCACAATCTGAATCATGGCGCTCTCACCGCCCTTCTCGGCGCGCACCGCTTTCCACAAGGCCTCGACGTCGTCATCCACCAATCGACGATCAATCGGCAAAAGACGTCCGTACCCGTCGCGGTCCTCCATGCGGCGCTCTTCGAGGACAAGCAGGACTGCCTTCTTGAACTTGTCTTCCTTGAGCTCTGTCCGCATGCACTGCACCAGCGAGTCCTTGTACTTCTTGTCGGAGAAGGCGTCCTTGATCTTGCGGATCTCCTCGTTGGTGCGGCCCATAAGGCTCTCGATGAGCAGCTCGCGGCGCGTCTTGTCGCCCTGGTACCAGAAGTTGGCCCAGTACGCCTCGGACTCCCACTTGCCGAGCGCTGTGGCGTAGCAGGCCTTCATCAACACCGGGTCTTCGTCCTTGAGGCGCAGCCGGATGTGCTTGGCGATGTTCACGCCGCGCTTGTCCGGGCCGATCTTGACGAGCTTCTTGTACTGTGTCCGCAGCTCCATCACCTGCTCGTGCGTCAGTCCTGGCAGAATCTCGATTAGCACATCCGTCTTGGGCGCCCGGTGCTCGCCCTTGAGGGCCTGCGACAGCCGCTCTGCGTCATCCTCGGGATCGTAGAACCGGGCGCGCCGTCGCGTCTTCTTCTCCCCGCCTTCACCATCTGAGAGCCCAGGCGAGAGCGGCTCGATGATATCAAGCCCGCTCGTCTTGGGGCTGTGCGCGGCGAGAAGCAGCGGAGACGGCATTGGTGACGATTGTTGGTACGTCCCATGGTACGACTCGAGGAGGGGGGATGCAGGCGGCGCGCCAGAGCTGCTGCTATAGGATAAGGACGCCGAATGATGACCCGTATTCACGCTCAGTGTGGACATGCGGTTAGTTGGGGGATTAGGCGAATGGTCCCTGCGGCCGTAGCTTGAGGGCTGGTTGACCGCCAGTACATTGGGCGCCGAATATCGAGGATCCGCGCCATAGGAGTTGCGATGAGATGAGCTCGGCATAGGCGGAGCGGCATTGACGCTTGAGTACGGCAACTTTTCGTCAGGCTTGTCATGAACCCATTGTCCTGGCATAGTATAATTCTGCGTAGGCTGTGGAGGCTGATGGCTGCCGGCACTGGGCTTGGTATTAGCCAAGGATGGGACGCTACCGTAAGCCAGGTGTTCCTCTTCCTTTTCCTTCTTGCGGCTCTTTTTCTCATCGCGGCTCTCTTGTGGCTTGGACGCATATTTAGCGGGCAGAAATGCGTCAGCACCCTTTCGAAGCGTACTTTGCACGGCTTCTACCACATTCACGTCGCCTTTGGACCTGCGCGGTTCTTGGGTAGTGGCATTAGAATACCGTGAGTCTACATCTGGCATGGAGGGCATGTCGATACCCTCATGGCTCCGACTATAGTATCGTGACTCTTGGGTGGGAGAGGCTATGCGGTATGAGTCTCGGTGACCATTGTGGTTATAATCGTAGGCAGGCCGTCGCGGGCCTGTATCGTCGTAGCTGAAGCCGGCGGGCGGAGAGGGCATGCGAACGGCGTTCAGGATGGAGGGCGACTCTGAGACGCGCTGCCGACTACGATCGCGAGACTGAGAGCGTCCACGTCCGTCGTCGCCGACACGCAAAGACATACTTGCAGCGCGCACGCGACGCACGAGTCTCGGGAGAGTGACGAGTTATTGAGGCCCGTGACCACTGACTCGGACCAATGTCTTACGTAGATGGACACTCAATAGTAGGTAAGCTACCTCAAATTGGTTCCTGGGAGAAAGCACACACGATTCAGCGAATGAGATTAAATACTGCGGGGTAACAGCAGATGGTAGGGCTGGACTTGGCTTGTTGGATTCCCACAGCGGTGGATCTGATGGGGAGCTTGTACGGTAGCGTGGTGTGGTTCTGGCGTGGTGTATGTAGCTTCTCGGCTTGGATGTGTGGATGATGGCCAAGGTCGACGCCCCACGATGCCCCTGGTCACGGTGAGGCCGAGCTGCGGTGTGCAATTGCGCGAGACGTAGCGAAGGCCGTCACCGCGTTACCGCAGCGCTTGCTAGAGGTGGTCACAAATGATATCCCTTACCTCGTGATACCGCACAGGGCCTGATCTGTGAGCGACAGTGGAAAGGGAGGAAGGAAGGGGGAGGAGAGCAGCAGATGATCAATAAATAGCGGATTTCCCATTTCGTGTCCATGAAACAAACAACTACCCTTCTGACTAAGAAGCTCAGAATGCCTGTTAACACCACACAGTGACCACACAATACTATAGTACACACACACATGTGCAAGGTAGGTGGCTAGCATCTAGCCGAGATAGATGGAGAGGCCGTGAGGCGCAGGATTCGATCGCCTTTCCTTTGCTAGAAGTTCTTATCCTCTCGAGTTCGAGAGAAGCAGCTGGTTGGCCCGTCGAGACAAGCTCCCAAGACTAAAGAGCTCTTGCAGATGAGGCGGCCATCGCCAAGCAATGTTGCTGCAGGGCCCGGTTTGGGGGCCAAACCCAACTTTGCCCATCATCGCACAAGACAAAGTCGCTGTTGCACGCGTGAACTGGCATTTGGTTTGTTTGCGACCAACACACCGATTATTAGGATGCGTAGACGTGTGTACGTCGATAGCTAGGCGTGTTGTGGTTTGCTTACACGGAGCAGGCTTAGGCTTATTCAGTCCCTAAGGGAGAAATGATTCGCTTCTCGCATGGCAAGTTGCTTGTCAGCTTTTGCCTCAATGTCGGTGTATGGCCGATGGCAGAAACAGAATACAACCGAAGTGATGACGCGAATTGAAAGTCCAAGGCAGCCAGTCAGTCGTCAGCGCATCTTTCTCCGGACTCGACATCATTTGCGGACCCAAACAATGAAGCACTATAATTGATAACGGGTGCAGAAGCCAATGCAAGCCATCGGTGTGTGTATGTTGAGGATTGGACATACGTATGGGAATGTATGCATACGCATAAACACGTACAGAGTTGTTAAGAGACATGCAGGTAAACACAGTTGAACGTGGCCCATTGTTGCGTTTGAATTGATGTCAACCAGCGAGATCTAGAATGCCACTTTCCAGTTACTCGCACCCACCTAATCAGTATACAAGCTTACCAGTGGACATCGACGGGGTGCCCCATGATCATATGCCATCATCGAAACCATGTACGAAACGTGCGTAAATATGCTTTGCTCATCGGCTGCTCCGTGGATCTCAACCATAAAGGCGTTGTAATGTTTATGTTACGTCGAGGGCGCCTCCACTCAATTGGGTCTTGTTCGCTCTCTCGTTCGAAAGCCACACATCGTCAACGCATTGTCTTATCACTGCTCGAGTTGTAATGATCTCTGTTTACAGGATGGCTGATACCATCGGTTTTCATTGATTGTGTCATAATCCGCATTATGCCTTCATCGCCAAAACTAGCGATGGTGTATTCTATCAGCCCATGTCAATGTTTCTCGCTGGTCGCGAGCATATGAAATAGACCCCCGAAACGAGAATGCGAATTCGTAATCCCAAACGCCAGCGCATAAAAACCTACATAGCCCTGGATATATATTGCCCACCTCGTGACAATCATTACCTTGTTGTCACCAACTCGGTTTTCTCAGCCTCTCGCTTGCTGTCACTAATTTCTCTGACCGTCGATCCACAGAGGAGGCGCGCGTCTCGTGCTGGATCCTCCTTGCCCACCCCTTCAACGCTCAAATAGATTGGGCCATGGCTGGATCGGAAGCGGCGAATTCTAGAAATCCATGTTAGCGTTGAACGTACACGTCGGCATATCATTGCCTGTTCTTATTCACGTGTCCCTTACCTCGCGGTCACCGGTCTCCACAGCTCGATGACAAGTACGACAGCAATGAAAATAAGAACAATGCTCACCGCGAGCGTGTCAGTATTTACTCGGATGCGGTGATAGTGTAGGGTCTTGTCGGTAGAGAAACATGGGAGCCACAAGGTAGCCTCTCTTGATGCCTTTGTCTCTGATTCCACAATAGTCGCTTCCGACTCCCAGTCCCCTCTGCTAGCCCTCGTTTCCTCCCTGACAATGCTCGAGTCGGAGAATGGTGACTTGCTGCTCAAACGGTGGGCCAGCGACGCTAGATAAGAAGATGGCTTAGGCTTCTTTGACTTGTGAGAAGTCTTCTTTGGCGACGGCTTTGCGACGCCACTTGACGATAGCTGATGTTGACTGCTACTGGGCTGGATCCCCTGCGTTTTGGATCCATTCTTCTCGGAGGGCGTACTCGGCAGGTTGATCGGGACCTTGATTGGCGACCTCATTCTTGGCTCCTGTCGCTGACCGAAGTTGGACAAGTCAGCTCGGCCGGAGACCCCGGATATCGGGGCTGCTATAGCACATGACGAGAACGCCACAAAGTAGAGTGCTGACGATAACTTCATGGCAGACTGATGTGTTGATTCTTAGGCGTTGGAAGACAATGACACAATGTTTCGCCAATAAAACAAACAAAGAAGACCGGGAGTGAGTTCGAGTGTTTCTCGAGGTTTAATTAAAAAGGCGAAGAATTGATGAAAAGTAGCAAGGATGAAACTCGTTTCCTCCTTTCGTGCCGCCGCACGGATACCTGGAAGCGAGGCAGCTGAAATCTGCAGTTCCTCTCCGTTGGCTACAAACAAGCCTTTTCTGTGTGGTGGTCGCAGGTACAGGTACAGGTACAGGCACAGGCACAGACACAAACACGGCAGTGACCGGAGTACTGCTACACAGGCGGGCGTAAAGGATGGGAAAGAAACAGGTCATGCAGGATTGGACCAACTGTCGACACAGGGAGAGAGGGGGAAAAAGAGGAAAGAGGAGAAGATAGAAAAGAGAGAGAAAAGAATGGGGGTCCGATACCCAATGTTCAAAGTGCCGACAAGACTAGGCGAAACAGAGGGGAAGGAAGTAGTAGGGTAGAAGAAACAAAACGGTGACTGCCAGAGGTGATATATAGCTGCAGCGGATGTGCTAGTACTACATACATATACATAGGTAGTATGTAAGTAAGTAAATAAATTGGGGTTAGACAAGAGATGAACCAGATGGCCCGGGAATGGGAGGGCACAAACTGGCGTGTTGTGTGTGTATGGAGGGGGGGAGGATGCTATATAATTCTATTGTACACTACCTGCAATGCGTGCTTCTAGCTTCTAGTAGGGCTACGTAGGCGAGATATGAAGGCATAAATGGATGCAACGCGTCTTGTCGTTTCCAAGTTGTTCCTAATCGAGCCTGAATCATCTTCTCTATCTACTAAGTATGTATATACCTACCTCGGTATGTACCTACACAAGTGGGACGGGCAGAGACCAATATGGGATGATGGATTAGATGGAGACGGACGGATTCAGTGATGTGTTCATGGATGCTCTACCTACATGTTCTACATGCTCTACATGCGGGTGCGGATGGGGTTCTCGAGATGGGGACGACACCAGAGACACGCTATTGCTAGCCTGGTCACAGACCTTGTTTTGCCTACATAGTGACTATTTGTTTGCTTGCTAGGTATTTCTTTCCCTGATGGTCTTTTTGATACCTGGAACCATGTCGTGAGAACCGAGTGCGGGGACTGGCAAAGTGGGAGAGTCTGACGCCATTGCAAGGGAGACTACCACACAGAGTATAGTACCGGTAGACTAAATAAGTAGATTACTAGAAGCAGGCACTGCCAACACGGAAGCACGTAATGTTAGGTTGTGGCAGTCCAAGTCTATCAAACGAAAATAGGTACCAACAGGAAGAATGCTTGCTTACCTAGCTCCATACATATGTAGCTATTCTATTCAGGAGGGTCAGGGTATGTACCTGGTTGACAAGCACGGCGCAGGGATAGGGGAGGGAGACTTCGGAAGCAATTCATAGGTTGTTGGCGATCCCACCGAGACCATGGTACTACCCGACTCGTACTTAGTAACTGAGTAATGTAGCTGCCTCGGGCCCCTTGCTCTTTGGAGACAATGCGCGCGCGCGCGTGTGCTATCATGAAGCTCGAATCAATTGTCGAGCTGGATCACCACGGTTTCAAGACGGTGGACCAAGGTTCCCTGCCTGCCTGCCTGCCTCCCTCCCTCCCTCTCTCTCTCTCTCTGTCTCCGGTGGACCAGATCATTTGCACCATTGTAGCCATCTATGTACCTGTCCACTACTGCAGAGTGTTTGCCGGCGGCTGCACATCATCATCAGCAGTGCAATGTCGAAGATGATGTGAACCTCTTATCATCCGCGCTCTTGAATGGACAATTCCTATATTATCATTATCATTCTTATTATTATTTAATCTATTCGCTCGCACATTCCATGTCGTCCTCGGCGGTGGTCAAGACCTGTATGTACATACTATCGATGCCATGGAAATGGTAAAACGGTAAATGTCTTACAGCGTGCAAACTTTGAAGTGGAGATACATGTGTCTACCTAGGTACTAGGGTGCACATGATGCCCTCGATATGTTGTCATTCCCTTTTTCTCTTCCCTTCCTCGCCTATCTCGACGTTGATTTCTTTCATGTCGTTCTGTTCACATGTACAGGCCCCCCCCAATGCCTACCTGCGGTGACAACGGCCCGACACACCTACTTAACACGCGTACTATAGGCATTGCCTACATAGCACGTATGTATAGTGTAATTCGCTGTAGACACAGACGCGCACATATCCGACGGCTTAGAACCCTGCACCGCTCACGAGATGCAGCAGTGCAAGGATCTACCTTACTTAGTAGATCGATAGGTATGGTATTCACAGTACTAAGTATGCAGTAGATGGGGAGGAGGCTGTACTTACTTTGGAAACATTCGTCTGCCGCGTGGTGTGCATGTCGAATACCCCGTTGCACATCAGGATAGCGTCTTGGCTCCCACACCGTTGTTACCGAGGACAGACGAGGATACCTGTCGTCCCACGGGTCCTAGCTTGATACGTAAGTAAGTAAGTAAGTAGGTTCGATACCCGGTAGTTTGAAGATGTCGAGAACACCCTCCGAAGTAGGTAAGTATGTATGTACTTAATGATCCATCTCAGATAAACAGCGACTACCACAACACCCCAAGCCGTGTGCCATTATCACGGTGATGGCTACATTGTGAGCTTCCCAAATCACGTCCCTAGTGTACTCGTATACCGACTAGGCAACTGCACCTAACCACGGCGAGCTCAATTATTCGGTGCTTTATAAGGGGTAAAAGGTCTCGATCACTCGTATCCGGGAAGCCCCGTAAGGCACAGCCTTCTTGGCGCAGGGGACCCAGCAGACTACTGTACGCAGATGGCACTTTTAGCCGCATGCCTCTAAGTACTTTACTTACTTAAGTAGTAGAGGTCAGATAGAGGTGTATTGCAGGCTCAGCTCCAGCAGAAAGGCAGTGTAGCGCACCTCAATCATGTGCATGCTTACGTATTACTCGATCCTTTTCATCTTCGATTCTCCGTCGCCTATCTAAGTATCTATCTCCCTACATAGTAAGGTACAGATAGGTAATGTGTGGGTGTATGGATGTCGTTTGGCAAGTTGCTGCGCTTCAGGCCCAAGCAGCCAGGGACAGATGTGTCTTTCGGCATGTCTATACTGGCTATTTTCATTCCATTACGCAACTAGCATTCGAGAACAAACGAAAGCAGAACCGAAGAGTAAACTACCTAGCAGACCCGTTGAGAAAAGACTCATGTACGATTGCGGATCGTAATTCTTCGCTCACATACGTAGTATGTACGTGATCTACACGTCTATCCTTGTACGCCACATACCGACTTGCTGTACACTGGATCTCTTCGCAGGACGGTTTGGAAATGGGGTGACGACGACATTGCCTACGGCTAGCCAACCATACCCACTCAATAGACCATGTTGTCCTTGATGGACGCTAATTGCAGCACGGGTTTCAATCCCCTCACTTCATGCCATTTTGACTAGCGTATATCCACTTAGTTGTCGCTCGTGTCCATCCTGCTACAATTGGAGTGTCGCGTATGAGGCAAGGCCCAGACTGAAGGGAACGCCTGTATATGTACTGAGTATCGTGAGATCAAGAAACAAAGGAACATTCCCAGATACTGAAAATATGGTAAAAGCATTCCAGTGCGCATGGCTGCGCGATAGGTCACGTGGCGATGACGCCAGGCGAAGCTTCGTCCGTCCAGATCTACCGTACAAGCATTACCTACCTTTTGATCTTCGGGCACTAAAACTAAACTGCATTTAAAAGCTACCTAGAAAGTAGTGTATCTCGTGTACGTAGTAGTGCCTTATGAAATATCTGGACTAACCTATTTTCAATGCTTTGTATGGCAGTCCTCTTATTACTTGAATCATGAAGCAGTTTCATCAAATATAGCTGCAGTACATATCTGGTTGCTGGAAAGTCTTGGTGCTCCCATACCTTTCTCCACCGCAACATTGACCCTTGATGGGCTGATGAAACATCTGAATTTGGGGTTTCGAGATCGTTTTGTATATTTTGTACTTCGTACTGACAATAATTATTCCGGCTATACTTGAAAACATCACCTGCATGCATGGCCATCGGGTGTTTATATGTTGACATGTCGACATGCTTCAATGTCTCAATCACATGTGTCGGGTAATCTTGCCGTTAATGATTGGACGGCTTTAGATATCTCAGCCTTCAGCTCTGACTTGATCGACCAGACGTCTCTTTTTTTATTTGCCTTGAGCTGCTTTTCGAGGTCTTCTATGACGGCACATGGAGTACCTAGGGATTCTCAGGAAGTTACAAGCTCCGTATAACAAGGGCAGATAACTGGGCTTGGAATTGAAGCTATTCACACAACGCAATAGTCTGCTAGGGGTGCTAAAGTCCTTGGTCATCCAATTCACTCTTAGCCTCCGCGGCTTGACTTTGGCTCTATATATAATTGAGCTGCCGGCCTTGACCAGCTAGGTCTAACTGATCTGTTTCATGAAGCACGGTCTTTATAGCCTCACTTTCAATATTGCCCGTATGTCTCTTGAAGGACTGCCTTTGCCCACAGCCGCTGGCGAACTGCACCATATCACCAGAATGGTGTTCAACATGGCTTGCTACTGCCAAGGTAGCTGTTAGCGGTCGCAGTGGCAGTGGTGTAGGCATCTACGGTCTGGTTAGCAGAGAAAAATGCGCTGGTGTCCGTACAACGTACCAGTGCTGGAATATGGTCTGCAGTATTATCAAGAGCCTCGGGTCACTCTGATTCTTCCGACTGATGAGCATCCTCTGTTGTTAAATCCAATGCGTTGTTCGTGCCCTGATCCTTCAGGCCAGGATAATTTAGATCAGTCTCAACGTTGAACAGTATATCTTGTATGTCGAGGTCCTTTGCCCAGATTAAGAGGCAGGGCCGGGCATGATGCACTACATGAAATCTCTGCCGAAAAGAGGCGTATAATCGGCTAGCAAGGGCTTCTCAGCAATTCCTATGTCTTCTTTAATCTTCTTTAAAAATGATGTGGAGGTTTTTAGCATTGAGCCCTATCCAAAAGCCGGTCTAGATGTCAAGCTGCGCAGGTCTATCTATCATTAGCATCCACTTGCTATCAAGCTATATCATCCAGCTCTTGTGGAATGCTTTTATATCTAAACTATTAAGGATGAGAATAGCAAGGAAGCCCACCGACTTTTAGAGAGGTAGAGGCAGCTTGCTACGAGTTGACTGAGCCGTATCCTGCCAGCTCGTGTGGTCACCATTCCTTCCACTTACTGGTGCGTTTAAAAGTAGACTTAGCTGATCTGATAAGCTCGGGGCGTGACGAAGTATAGTCTGGTAGAGAGCAGAGCAAGTAGTTTCATCATATTTTCGCTATAAATGTGAGCGAGATTATTAACGAGGCCGTTGAGGAGGTGATCACAAAGACACTTATACATCTGTAAAAAGAGCCGGCGTCGCGCAATCCGGCTCTCCTTGTCTTGATCCGTGGATTTGCCCATGGCCGAGGCCAAACACATGAACCAGTCGCTGTTTTCCCTTTCCCTGATGTAATACGTGTTCACTCTCAAGCCCTCGGGTTGTCGTACGGGGTTTAGCCATTCTGTCTACGAGGTGGTTACCATTTTCGAAGAGGCCGCTATCTTAGAGGTTTCTGCTATCCGAGGATCATCTTTTCGTGGAGGAGCATACCCAAACATTCACAGGTTGGACTAGAGGCATTGGGCTTACAAAGGAACAAGGGAGCATGCTGTATTTGTATACTATCACCAGGAACTTGTATGATGGAAAGTGGAATAGCCACTCGCGGTTGGTGTAACACCTTGCACATCAGCACACTCTAGGTTGCTCTTGATATATATTAGCCTTGCCAGAGAACAGTACTAACTTGCACCGAGTACGCCATGTCAGGTACTTGGGGGCGTTCACACTGTTATCTGCGATATGTAGCAACAGAGAAGCCAAGGGTTGTCCGTAGCCTCAGCTTCCACATCTTTGTGCATACCTAGATGATACTGGGTTCTGCCCATCTTGTTCCTATGACCGCAACTTATGAAGACTTACATAGGAGTGTTTCCTGCTAGTCTTCGGATGTAAGAACCGCGAAAATAAGCGGTGAGCAACAACAGGACCCAATATTCGCTTGTTGTTGTTTGAGTTGACCACTTCCCGCAAGAAATACTCTCCGACCTCGAAAAGCGAAAGGTCTTCTCTCATCTCCTGCTCTGCTCCTGTTCCCCTTCACCTAGGCAATCTAATCCATGACGTATGACTGTCTATTGTAGATTCGCAGATCTATATCTAGAACGAATCTAAATTTAGATAGCCAGCCTGTTCCTGAAATACCGTACTCGTAGTATTGACATGCATCTTGGCGTTATGTCATTCAGTGTTCAGTGTAGGGACTTTGTATCTCGCTGGGAGCCCCACAAACTGGCCCTACAGATTACCTATCTGATACCTATCTGATACCTACCTGGTACCTACCTGGTACCTACCGCCAATGCGCCAAGCCAAGCCCTTTCCCCAGGCGATCTCTGCGGCGGGTAAGTAACTATAAGTAGTTAAGTTTAGTTACCTTATCCCGCCGTGGCGCCTGCCCCAATTAGGAACCATGATGGCAAGCTATTCAACTTCTAACTTCTACAACCTCTAGTCTAGAACAGACATAACAGGTACAACACAACAATGAGTTTCTCCCAGATGCGATGAACTTAGCCTTCCCCGGCAAACATGGCAAGATCTCCAGTGCCTGCACGGGATGGCCCTTATCCAGCCTTTACGCGCTCTGCCACGGCTCCTATCGAGTTGTCGTCCCCTCGCTCGGCCCGCTCCCATCTCGCGCCTGAAGATGCCTTCACCTCCCAGTTGTCTCCGCGCCGTGATCATTCCGCCGCAGTACACGACTCGGCCACTGAACTGCGCCCGAGTGTCGCTAGAAACAAACTCGATAGCCGGAGCCGGAGTCGCAGGAGGAGACGCAACTGGAAGAAACTGCTCTGGGTCAAGCAATCATGTATGTTTTACTTTTTCTTATTCGCTATCACTTCTTATATTCCGTCCCAACTGAGAGACAACCGGACTGTTTGGCACCATCATTGCTCATATCTTCCTCTCTCCCAGATCCGGATAACTACACGGACCAGGCGACATTCCTCGAGAATCTCCAACGAAACCCCCGTCTACAGCCCTACGAGTTCTGGCCCCTTGTCGCCGATATCAGCGTTGTCTTGCAACAAGTCTGCTCTGTTACAATCTTTGTTGTTTGTTTCGTGGGTATCTTCCAAGAGCTTGTCTCGCCTGTCTCTATCGTTGGTTGGGGAAGCTTCGCGACATTCGTGGGATGGCTCATCTGGGACAATTGGGTCGGTTTAGAAGATGAAGATGAGGTGTTGCAGAGGCGTCGCAGTAATCGCAATCGCGCTGCAAGGGAACAGCCGAGTCGTCGTGATCGCCCCCAATCTTCCCTCGCCGGTCTCTCCTCATCTGCTACCGGGTCCATGACCAATTTAGCAGCCGCCGAGCGTGCGTATCCTCCGACAACCATTTACCAGTCACATTCTACCTCTGCTCTTTCCCTTCAGTCTAGTATATCACAGGCGAGCAATATGGCTAGGTCCCCTAATGACTTGTCAGACGATATCAAGCACCGGCCACTATCTCCTCCCCCATGCAACCGTACAACTCTGCGGTTGGGCACTATTAAGTCGGCTATTCTCATCTACTCTACTCTCCTAGGGCTGTCGCCTATTCTCAAATCCCTCACGCGATCTACCTCATCTGATAGTATTTGGGCCATGTCTTTCTGGCTACTTGCCATAAACATATTCTTCTATGACTACTCTGGAGGAGTTGGCGTCAAGTTCCCCGCCTCGCTCTCCACAAACGCTGCCCTTATGGCGTCGACCGTATTAGCTTCACGACTTCCTTCCACCGGACAAGTGTTCAGTCTCACCCTATTTAGCATCGAAGTTTTCGGGCTTTTCCCCGTTTTCAGACGGTATGCCAGACATCAGAGCTGGAGATACCACGTCGCTCTATCCATCATGCTCGTAATAGGAGCCGGCGCTGGGGTTGGCATGATACTAGGTGCTGAGAAAGACGCCTTCTCACCGTGGAAGAGCGGCCTTTTGGGTGTGCTCGTCGCCACTCTCATTACTATAGTCGCTATAGGCGGCTGTAGCTGGTGGCTGATTTCACTGCAGAAGTATAAAAACGCCATCAATGGGCCCTGGGACCAAGCACGGCCTATCATCATCAGCCGCAGGCAGCTGTGGGATGACGATTAATGAAAATAATGATAAGATCCATCGCACTCGCTTCTTGAGTCCTGTCCACTGCTATCTGTTCGACCCATGTCTCTTGCAGCTTCGGTACGATCTTTGAGTGTCATCTACTTATGCTACCGATGCTCTATGTGTTTCTCATGAGTAGGTCTAGGACTCTGTGTGTGAAGCAACATAGTATCCGAGTATTAGACGTAGGCATATTCATCATCTACCAACGTGCTGTGTAGCCTCGTCATTAGGCCACGGGGTTCCGATATCGCGTAATAAAAGCCGAGATGTGAGGTCGTGTTGTAACATTGCGTTTGTGGTAGGAGAAGAGGCTTCATTGTCAAACTTCGATCACTTGTATCGTGTGTAATCACAATGAATTAGGATGGCGATACGGTCGCTCCTCACACCTTGTCAGGGAAATAGAGTACACATGACAGTAAGGTTCTCTCGTACGCTTCTCAACTCCTCGGCACCGGCAGCGACTGATTTCATCTTGCCAGCGGTTGATGGTATAGGAAATGGAGGTGAGTGCGAAGACGCCTGCAGGTTCTGCTGGAGAAGTTTAAACTCTATTCTCACTCAGATATTATTTGACAGCTGGCTGTGATTTTGAGAATCGTGTATGCAATATAAGGAAATAACCATTTGTTGGATTCATGGTGTTTTCAGGTCAAATCGCGTCCCTATCGCATTCCCTCACAAACTTTGCATCAACATTTCTCGTGCCTGGCTCTTCTAGACACAGTGAGCAAACAGCGAGCTCGTAAGTATAATGAGCTAGAAATATATTTGAGGTTTCTGGAGATTCGTGTCCTGGTATCTATGAGGCTGTACCCAAGCTCAAACTCCCATCCCTTCGGTCTACAACTACGGACCACGAGTAAGAGGATCATAAAGTAACGAATGTACGGATCTTGTGGTATTCACCTATATAGGTGTAAAAAAAGAATGTATCCTGGTCTCATTTGTTCGCAATTTCAATAGACGATGCCAATAGGTGCTCGATTGTAAATCGACGCCCCTCGAAAGAGAAGGGGGAGAGAAAAGAGAGAATATGCTCTCACACAACATCTTACAAAGTCGCGAGAGAATATGTTTTCCGTAGCTTCTAAGCTGCAGATCCTCAATTAACTTTTATTCTGACATACAATCCCTCATCGCGAAAATCGTATATTATAGCCATCACTAGTCTATACACCCACATCGACGATATTGGTAGTTGACATTCCTACTTGCCAGTGCTAGCTTTGCACAAGCATTCAGGTTAGTATCTGACACCATGTAAGGTGTTGGGCTCGATGCCTCATAGCCCCAATGGTACTTTCTGCGCGGCTCATCTCAGGTGCCGTAGTTAAGAATATATCACGGCCCAAGTTTGGGACTTTGCACGTCTTCCTTCATCATCGAGGCCGACCACAGAGATAAAAGCTGGGTATAGGATGCAGTTCAAAATTATCCGAATGGAAGCAGACGCAGCGCAAATGCAAGGTTGTTCCTAACCAGAATCCAGAGGTGTGTCAGTTCGCGGCGTCGGACCGATGCCTGGTGGGGAAGAGAGTTGGGCGTGTGCTTAAAACGCTGTTCACGACCCCCAACGTGTTGCTGTATTCTACGCCTATTTGTTGATATAGGTGGATTGTCGGTTATGACTCTGAGCGGGAGTCTTAGACATGCAATCCAAGAACTCTCGTGGGACAACTTGGCATGCATTGGACTCAGAAGGGAAGCATTTTCGTGAACTGCTGTCTCGGGACGTCGGCAGCTTCTGGAATTCCCCACATCCAGGTCTTCTTGTCTCAACTGCTCCGACCACCTTCCTTACCTGTCGTCGCCCTCATGGCTGACTCGGGCAGTTGAAGCATTGTTTGTTAGACCGAGCTATTTCTGCTGGGCGGTTTTCTAAGTTGGGCATGTCGAGGATACAGCTGAGTTGAACACATCGTGGTGTTTTGAAGTTATCGCTTCGTTCATCTTGCAGCAAACGGTGGATAAGGTTGTTCAACAGGTCATCGCCGAGACTGGATCGATAATGACAGATCTTGGCGCTGTCATTGTGAACGCTGGCAGTACCATTTGAGGTTTCTAGATTAGAGGCTGGTAAGGAGATGCGGTAGGTGTACGTAGTGTAATCTCACCTCGGGGGAAATAAGCGAGGGCTGACGGGCTGTCCAATCTGGACATCGGCGCCGCTCACACTTGGCAATATTTCGAGTTGGGGTCACGGCGGGTGGAATCGCCGGGAAGAGGGGGAAAGGGGGAAAGGTTTGTTGGGACTCGGTTGATCGACGAAACGGTCTCCTCCCGGGGTCCAGTGTTCTCGATTGTGGAGTCTCAGATCTGGGGTCTTCTTTCTCGGAACTCCTAACCGAAAGCCATAAGCAGCCATGAAAACCGTTTCGGAAAGTTTGGAGGAACGGGCTTGATTGAGGCTCCCCTTGTGCCTTGCGGCCTGTTGCCACACAGAGAACTTATGCTGTGCCCGCCAACCGAACCATGACCCGAGACTGTGGGCGAGGACCATGCAGCGCGGCAACGATAGCAGCGGCGGCGGCGGCAGGTTCACGGTGTCTTGCTGGCCAAGAATCAACCCTCTGTTCACTTGGTTGGATCATGATGGTGGAGCAGTGGTCCGTCTAGGTATTGCCTTGTGCGTGTCCTTTCAATCAACACATGTACATATCAGCTACTAAAGATTCAAAACTACCTCCCATCTTCGAGCCAATATTGGTGGCACTACGCTGCAAATTATGCAAATTATGACGATGCAGGTCTCGTATCAAGCGTTCGCCCGGCTGAAAGGGATGAAAAGGGATGCATTTTAGGAGGGGTATACTTAGAGATCGATGGGCGCCGCGTCCCCTCACCCTGGTACAAGTGTGATATTTGTCATGGTTTCTGATGAGCCGGTGCCTTGGTAGGGACCTGCAATTCATACCTACTAACTGAATAGTTAGACTAGTGTCTAGACTACCTGCTATTATGTACATACATGTACTCAAGTATAATCACCGCTTCCCATAGGTATATAGGTATGGGAAAAGCACGATACCTACGTGGATGGACGGCTGGATGGATGGGTGGGTAGGTATGCTGTGGCCTGTACACACATACTTACCCTATCACCTATTGATCATCGTCGATTTGCTGAAAGGGGTGTTTGGAAATCAACCGTTCGGTAATGGCCAGCGGGATCATCCCTCCCAATATACTCCGTAAGGTTGCATCGTTCTTGAGATGCGACGGCGGCTCCTGCAGCCACATCTTGTCTTCGGGTCTCGTGGCTTGCGATGAGATCGCTGGTTCTCTATACTTTTCGGATAGACAGATATATGCTTACGGTTGGGGTCTACTTCCCACACGGCATGAAGGAGCTGGCTGGGAGAAGCCGAGAACTCTTGTTTGGACGGGGCCGGGCATATCCAGCTGCTTGTCAAGATGGAGAATGATGGACTCCTTCAGCCTGACACTAGCCCGTGGCTGCGAAAAACACAAGGGTCAAATCAATGTGTGACGAGAGGTGGACTGACTGATTTCGTCTGTCATATGTTCAACAAGTCACCAAGCCAACCAGGGAGCCGAGACAACAAATCCCCCCCTGCTGTCAATCCATCTCACATCCACGTACACCAATTTCTATTTCGGTACCGGCAAGCCCAGCATGTGCTTACTGACCGTTATGGTTACACAGTATTCATGCAGGCCTGCCAAAGAGGGACAATATCAGGCGCTTCGTATTGCTCCGAGTAACACGGATGGTACCGAAGAAGAATTATGACATTCTTGGTGAGCCGGCCCAAATCCCAAATGCGCGGATGCTCGAAAGGCCCTCGATGCAGCATTGGCAGTGTCACATACCTAGCCCAATATTTCTTGTACAGTATGATGAAGTAGGTACCTGGACCGACATGCCCACAAGGATTTCTGTTTTTGCTGACAGACTCTGCGATTCATTGATAGAAGCTTGAGCAGGATACAAAGTACACTAAGGACCACGATATCAGCTACCGGTACAAGAGATGATCGGCCATCGGTCGCGCGGATAATTTGCAAATAGGTTAGGGCTACTTAACCCAGTCCAGTAGCTCGAGTAGGTTCGGTAACGCACTCCACTCGGGAAGCTTTCCTTTTCAGCCAAGGATTGCAGAGAGTCTAGACTCCCAGAGTCTCGCACTACCTAGACTAAGCCGCTGGGTCCTTACTTATGATTTCAGGATAGTGTACCCATAATGTAGAGCTTGATGATGGGTGACGTGGGGGTGAGGAGACTCCACGGCGCCGTCCCTTAGTGGCCTGTCTGTATCGACACATTTCCACGGACAACGTCCATGTAACCCAAAGCCAGCTCGCGACATACATCGTAGATATCCTTCACGGCATTGCCAACCGAAGGACATCCTGATATTGGAGTGGTAGCTGGGTCCGTGGCAGCCGGGCTCGGCTCGCCACGGCTCCGGAAGACTTTCGAAGTCTGCACCCTCCCGAGACATGCAAGACAGTGACATGTCTGCATTGTTCCGAGCAAATCATTCACGCTCAAGCATCGGGTTCCCCAACTGCGGGCCAGCAACGCGGACCCTTCCATTCCTGGGACCTGTTGCTCGAGGTCGACGGATGGACAATGCACTCCGGTTACCGGCATTGCCTAGTGGCCCCTGTGCTGCGCTCCGATTATCGACTACCAATCTGTTTTGACTGACATTTGTCACTTGACAATGAGCCGTGACGATAAGTTCGCCATATGGAGCGAAACGCCACAAAGAGTTGTGCAGACAACTCCATCATCCCCTTGGGTTGTCTCTATATACCTACGACAAGATAGTAATTCGCTGCTCTACAACTTGCCGCCGCGTCCCAATTAACCTTAAGGGTAGTTTGCGCCACGCAGCAGCCTAGGTAATCCGAGGTTGCGCCAAGATTCTAGGACGATAGCCTCCGAGTCCTTAGGGTAGGCGCCACGCATGGGCACACATGGCATCGTGGATTTACTTATACAGACAGATCTTGACGGCAACCATATGGCAAGTGCATCAACGTCGGCCGGCAGGGAGCGGTGCCCGAAACTGTTGGGTAGGCAGCCAGGTTGACTATTCTGCTGACGTTGGGGGCGAAAACATATCTATGTACTATACGTTCTAGATATATGCCAGTACGCACGTACTTACGCACTGGGAGAGCTGGTGGAAGGAAAAGGTCAAGGTACAGTGTAAGCCGATGTGTACTGTAGCAGCCTGCGCGCGCGGCGTTCCTCGGGATCCTTTCACCTGTCAGCTTTAATTGACGGTGTAAATCGGTGTCACACGATGCTTATTTTTATTCTCACTCCTTTTTTGCCCCGGCACCACATGACAATGGCTTGTCAAGCAATCTCTCCTGAGTCCTAAAACCGCGTAGTACAGCGAGAGAGTCACTCTAAAATTGGACACTTCTTCGGGCTCCTAGGCGTGAGCATGATGACTACACTACCTATGGCCAACCAGGAGGGTGAGCGTCATCTTGGTCCTTAAACGACTGATTGGTCTGGACACAGCAGTCACACACCATGGGCGATCAAGATTCGGCCGGTGAGGAGCAGAACATCATCAGAGCTCGATGATGAGAGACCGAAGCCGGCGTAACAAAGGCTTCTTTTCTTCATTATGTCCTTGACGGATACGGTAGACGAGCCAATGAAGGGATAACAGCTGGAAAGAGCAAGAGCAGCTTGCTAGTTAAGAATGACTTAGTACCAGGCCCAGCCGATATACCAATACGAAGTAAGTGATGTGTTGAGCCTTGTATGGTAGACCGACTCTTTACCGTGGTGCCCCGGTTAGCGCTTGTCTTCCCTCCGCTCCAGCTTAGACAAGAGCTATCCCCAAATCTGCCATAGATCAAAAAGAACCACGCATCGATGATCGAGGCTATCCAATCGTCTCGTACCAGCGAGCAAAAGCAATACTGGCAAGCTGGAATATGACCAATGTCTCACCGGCTTCATTGGATACCAGCGCGTCACACATCATACTCGGTCACTCTGCTAAGTAATTCCAGTAGCCTCTCTCCCTTTGGCATGTGTGCAACTTGTCGAAACTGCTGGCCTGCCATGCCATGCCATGCCATGCTATGCGGGGGATCTATCTTATCAACGTCTCTGAATCTGCCTGCCTGTGTATCGATCAGTATTGTAGTTAGTGTACATTCGAATGCTCAAGTGACCAGACCCATGTTCGGAAAATGGACTGCAGCATGCAGCATCCCTTCCGAAATTTCGTTCATGGTCTGCGCACACAGCGGATGCAGATGCTCCTACATACTTACGAGTACACTACTTGCAACGCCTAACTCTGACCTACTGTACCCTCTGGTACTAAGAACGTGTGGTAGGGTCACAAGTATTCTGGTATGTTCTCTATCCACAGTGTCATGCTGGAGAAACTGATATTTACCGCGTGTCAAATCCCAAGTCTCTCTTCCCTACCCACGAACCTTTTTGCCCTGCGACGGCAGCATTGTCGCTATCTTCTCTATATCATCTTTGCATGTTCCTATTCTAAATTGTCTGACGATTCGCTCGTAACTTGAGGTCAATTGTTGAGGGAATAGCTTGTAGCAAACGAGATGGTACCTACGCTCACTCGAGAACTGCTAGTAAGCAAGGTTTTACTACACTACGGGTCTCATAGTCTCAAAACGTCCCGATGTGGATAGGAGGTCGTGCCAGGGGACCCTTGCTTCATAGCCCTTGTTGCATTTCAGAACCTCATACCTACACTACCTACCTGCTGCTACTTGCGAGATGAGCCTTATGCTGTGACCACCTAGATGCTCAGAATTCCCAAATAGTCAAGAGATCTGAAGCATCACTATGGCCTGGAACTTATAGACTTCTTCCCCTAGATGTATTCGCAAAGCTTGGCGGATATAAACAGGCAGCGTTGTCGTTGTGACGAGGCAGTGGGTGCGAGCTGAAAACATGGTTGTTGGTGAGATGGTGTTAAGATGCGATAGATCAAAAGTTTACACCCAGAGTGTATCATCAACAGCGCTGAGCTCGCCCCCATTCTTACCATGGTGATCTGAGATTTCGACAAGCTGTTTTAGATACATATGGCACGATCAGAAGGCGCGTTCAGATCTATCTTTATCTTTCCTGGGAAAGCTGCTGTTGGAAAAGCGGTCAGAGGCTGCCGGTGATACGCATACCGTTAGGACCTACTCTAGAATCAGCTCTCTAGTGTCTCATTGTTGCTTTCAATTTGCTTCAATGGGAAGCATGGTATGTACGGTGGTGCCGGCGATGGTTGACGACCGTCATAACCCCCCTCCGAAAGACACCCCAAAATCGGAGGCTAGAGCCTGCTGAAGCAGATCCAGCCGCAGACCGCAGACTCCGCTCCAGCTGGGCGAAGCTAAACTCACATCGGATGGTACATCGCTGATCACACGCCAAGACAATAGGTTGACAAGTATGTCCTGGTCATCTAGTGGCAGAAGAAATGTAGATCGTTTAGTGCGAAAGAACGGCGTTACCATTCACCCATGCTCCATGTTCCATGTTAGAGAAATCGACGACGCAAATATTTTGATTCGTCGCAGCGCATCGAGTGCCTCTGCCCAAGTCATTCCGTAGTGAATGACAGCAAGGATGTCCCAGAAATTATCCACGAACAATGATTAGCGTTGACGTCCATCTTTTCCCTCTGGTGTACTCCGTTTCCTACAGTAGGTAGTTGATAGTCCCATTTTGTTTTCGGACTAGGGTTAGTTGCAGACATTCAGCCAAGCGATCAAGATCCTTGTCGGATGCATATCTGATGACAGGGGGAAGGTGGAAAACCCTAGTCGACCATCCCATCGGGGATCTCAGCAGCTAATTTCCAAATCTCGTTCCAAGATGCTGCTGCTCTTTAGTGTACATACGCTTTCAGGCGGCAAGTCGGTCGGAGGATGTCTTGCTTCCTCCCACAAGCAAGCACATTCGTGACCATGATTGCGGTGTTGTAGATATCTAGGAGATCCAACAAAAAAAATAAATTAATTGGTGGCAAAAGATTAGAAGAGCAAGAAAAAGCAAAGAAACTGAAGTCTTGCAGAGGTGTAGCTAGCCAGCTAGTTAGTCAATGCGGTGAGAGCTGCTGTATGTATATCTACATTATATAAATGAAGCAGGATGTCTACTCTATGCGCTACATGAGGTCATCAAGCCGAGCTCGCCGCACATGTATATACAGTATCTATGTGTAGGCATAAGCAGGTTTGCGGTGTCATTAAGCGTGTCTTGCTCGGGTCACCTCAACTGTACAATCCCCCATCCTCAACATAGCGTAATAATAACTGTTCTATTTATGCCGCGGGCATTATTTAGCGTACAGATGCACCCAGAATATTGGGAGAATGGAGCCCTGGGGTGGGTATCAGGAAGGATGCGCAAGGGTTTCTAGCCTTGTCTCTTCCCTCACATCTCACTAAGGCCCCTACACCACTGCAAGAACCTAGCTCTTTCGCTGTTGACGGTCCATTGGACCTATCAGCCGGGCTTCTCTGTGTTGGATTTCTCACTAGACCGGCTATTCCTTGCAGGTTGTCGTGAAGGGGGACAGAGAGAGTAAGAAAGCGTGTGCGCGCGATAGAGAGCCAGACTTACTTAGTAAGAGAGCGGGAGAGCAAGACCCCCATTGGCAACGTGCGGTAGTAAGTTTCCAAGTATGTAATTCTACTGCCTCTTTCTGTAAGTAATTGGGTAAATCCCCACCTTGACGTCGACTGCTCTGTATTTGTTGTACCTCCTTCTTCCTTCTTCCTTCCTGCTGGCTGCTGGCCTTGTCTCACAACCTGCATCAAGCTGGTAAAGTCACGCACCCTAGATCCGCCTGCAGAGTTGGTGTGATCCGCGTTGTTGATTCACACCTGTTCCGGGGCTGCATTGGTTGTTCGCCTCTTCCAGTTCGTCCACAACATCTCAACTCACATCACCAAGTCGTCCCCGAGGCCAGGATGGTAATGATCAGACCTCATTCGTTACATACTGTACATCTTCCCTGTCTCCCCCAGTAGTATAGTGGACGCCTTCCTGCGTCCACGCGCTTGTTGCCGCCGGCCCAGACCGCATAGAGATTCCCTGCCTGAACAAGTCTCTGGCTGCAGGAATGCCTCGAATTTAAGCCCGATTTGGAAAAGGACAATAAGACAGACAAAGACAAAGTTTCGAGGGATCTAACCTACAATATAGAATAAGCTACCTCACCCGACCTAGGTAGGCATATTTTGAGCTTCGCTCAGCGAAACATCAGTGCTCTGAGAGAGTTCTATATATAAGGCACAGCTTAAGAAGTCTGGATGGAGCATACGGTATCTAACCGATCTTAATTCTGATAGAGACCAGCCATAGCTGCGAGGAGAGGTTGGAGACAGGTATCACACAGTGAGCATACTTTCTTCTGCCATCCCCGAGTTCTCTCGAGGCTTATTTCTTTGCTTTCCTTATTATAATTACTATATACATGGGAGCTCTCAGGGCAAATGTTCAGCTCCCAGCATATCAGAACACAATCATCTGTACTTTTTCACCATAATCCTAATTAAAGAGGAGGGTGACCAAACTATACCACGGGAGACTAAGCTAGCTAGCGAGCTCAGCTTGACGAAGCTAGTCTGGGGTCGCATATCTTTTCTTTCCCGGTCCCTGGGCTAGGCCACCCACTCCCGCAAGGGGCGTTTCAGTTTCATGGACTTACAAAAGCACCGTTGTCAGCTGCGAAGTCCAAGTATTCGCTACAACATACGACACGTGCCACGAGACAACCATCAACTAGCTGGTACGCGCGGTACAACCAAGACGCCTTTCGCTCTCTCGCCCCCGGATACAGCTGTACATGTGGTACGTTTGTTCATAGGTCAGATGGACCGCCTGAAGGACAAGACATCAGGCTAACCTAGCGGAGAATGTGAAGAGACAGAGGCTACAAGACTCATCTTCAGGTCTATCTACTACTTCTGCAACTACAGCTACAACTGCTACTCTACTACTCTGCTGCCGTCTGCTACCATAGCTACCGTACCCAACAGTACGACTAGCCACATACATACATCGGTCAGCCTAAAACCAATACGTACACTTACATGATACAGAGGTTCCCACGGCCCATGCAAGCCCGGGACCATATATATTACGACAGGCGCCTCCCGATGATCGACGTCTCCACAACCCACCTATATCTAAGTCCCAAGTAGTATCTAACCTAGGTCTATTTATTACTGACCTGCCTTCGAAGCTCGCGAACCAGCCCGCTCGTAGGTGTGTATCAGCAGCAGGGAGCACCACAATCCGTGGCCACTGGAACCACGATATAAGCCGCCCTCGGTCTATATCCGAAGCTATTGGCAAGTACAGTGGGAGTTTATTAGCGCCCAGAAGCAGCGCCAACGCCTTATTCGTCTCGATTCCTCGATTCGTCTATCACACTTACACCAAAGTATAAACCGGCACTTGGACCATCACAGCGACACGGCGGCGCCTCTATATGTCAAGACTAGCTAAACTCTTTACATCAGCGAAGACCAAAGTACCATTGTTTCTAGGATACCGTTGAACCAATATTGCGCACAAGGAGAATCAGCGACCAACTCTGAAAGACCGTGAAAGAGTGAACAGGAGGTGGCAGTAGTACCAATCTTTATACACGAAAGACGGCGAACACTGGATCATTCCCGGCGATCTCAGAGACTTTATACTCGAGCATATAGGATCACTGCTCTATTATCGTATTGGACTTCTACAAACCTTTACTACGGACCTACTACGGCAGAAATCTATCCAGCGGTCCTCTCTTCTACCACCAGTGAGCATCCGTGCGGAAGAAGAACGGATACCAGAAAGTGCGAGCGTGGTGTGGGACTGGGAGTACGAGGGAGACAGAGAGGCAAAGAGAGGGAGGACGGGTTGTATTGAAAAGAAGCATGGACTCCGCCGCCTCGCAGAGCATACTCTCTCGTCGACCAGCAGCTGGCGGTCTTCCTCAGTTCCATCTTCCTCCTCCCAATACGTCCTTGGACCCTCAAATACCGAGTATGGCAACTTCTCATCGCTTTCCCTACTACCCATCACCCCCTCTTACCTCTCCTCCTCCCGAGTCTCGCCAAGAGACTTCCTCGCCGTACTTACAGCATACCCTCCCGCAAGACCTTGAAATCAAACGTCTGACTTCATCCTCAGGAGTGAGTGACAGTATAAGTCCGCCCTCCTCGAGTCTCAACAGCAGCAGCTCGCACAGCCCCCACACAGGCATAACACAGTATAGTAGCCATCCTAGTTGGTCCATGTCGAATAATTCCTCTTACACATACGGCTCGATTACTCCGGGGGCGCAGTCTAGCGTAATGTCATCAAATTACAACCGCCATTTGTATTCCCCGAGTGCACCAGGTGCCCCAGGGGGGCCAGGGCAACCGGGCTACAGCTCGAGAAATTCCCAAACGCCTGCAACAACAGATGGGTTGGCACAAGCGTATGATAGCCACTCTTTTCCAATGTCTATTACAGGGGGCGCTACAAATCACTCGAGCTTTGCTTCACAGCCTTCACATAATCAGCATATACAGCATGCGATTCTAGGTTCTCAAACATCACAACCACCCACACCTGCAGCGCCCGCGCCATCCGAAAGCTATTCAAGACCACCTCAAACGCCTAGTTACTACGCAGCACCATCATCAACACCACAACAGAACTCATTCCCATCGTTCCCACCACCTCATCCATCTCCTACGCAACTTTCGCCGTCAACAACAGGGGCTCCAACGAGAGCCATCCCAGCCTTGAGTTCACAGCATCCCGGTCCTATGGGATCACTTCCACCTTATGCGAGCAGGCATTACGGCTATTCGGCACCAGTTTCTAGCTTAGGGCCCATGGTTCTATCAAATATGGGCAATCCAGGAGGTCAAATGCATCTTATGGGTGCCCCAAATCCTTTAAACGCTTATCACCACACAGGGCATGGACTCCCGCACCATTTATACCCTGGAGCTCCAAACTCGCAGCAAGACCGCCCCTACAGATGTGATATATGCCCACAGTCGTTTAATAGAAACCATGATCTAAAAAGGCACAAGCGAATACACCTTGCGGTCAAACCCTACCCGTGTGAGTATTGCGATAAAGCTTTCTCTCGAAAAGACGCCTTGAAGGTAAGCTACATTCCTACTATCACCCAGCCATTACTAAGAAAATTTGATAGCGCCACCGGCTGGTGAAAGGTTGTGGTAATAACGGAAAGACGTCACCGAAAAGTGGAAACGGAGGTTCCCCGGAGGACGATTCGAAAAGGGACTTGGATGGGCCATCAGGCTCCTCAGGGCCCATAAAGCCGGAACCGGCTTGAGATATTTTGGACATCACGGGAGTTGGTTTCTATTCTGGCATTTGGGAGCGGAACTTGTTGAGCACATCAGCATGATCAGGGCGATGACATCTCACCACCACCATAATGGGACGGAAAAGGGGCAAGGTTCTGGAGTATTGGGTTTTTGAGCACACCGCACTCATGATTGATTCAGAAGGATACCAAAATGGCAGTGATCATCGGACTAATACATGGTCGAGGCGTTTTCAGGCCGGAGGTGCATTTGAATGGCTGACTTTAGATTTTCGTTTGTTTGTCTGTTTGTTTGCTTTGTTTGTCTCTTTTCTTTTCTGTTGTTTGCTAGCTATAGGTCTCGGCAGGATTTACGTTCGTGAAGCCATCATAGATGTAGGAATACTCCATCGTCTCGTTAGTATTCTTTTTCGAGCAAGGAGATTATACCCACTACCAGTAGTCTGTTGACAAGACTCAGGAATATAGCGTTTCTCGGTTGTCGTACTACAGCAAAATGTTATAACAAAGCTCAAGCTCGGCCAAATCAATTACGGGGTGGATGCCTACGTGTGATAGGCTCAGACAAGTGCTGTACAATACTCGAGCATATTTGCTACAAAATTGTGAATTTTTGACTATAGGGCGATTGCCTATTAGCCACCTACTGATTCGTGGAGCTTGAGACAAGGCCAGACTTAGACTAGGCTTGCAAGTAAGGTTAACTAAACAGCCAATTGTTCGGTACGAAACACCATTAGAAACGGTATATAATATTAAGCCTGCTTCGGGACCTCCCGCACAATCCCTATGTTTGTCCTTAGACAGACTCTATAACAAAGCACTAGCTTTGCTTGTAAGCTATCGGAAATATAAAATAGCTCTATTAATTTAAGAAACGAGTGAGCCGTGTGCGGCATTCGCAATATAATAGGTATTGCAGGATTCGTAGACAAAAAAGTGCCGAGATGACTATTTAAAGCAACTTCAGGAAAGGGGCGTAGATACGGCCTCTTACAAACCAGGGATTTGTTCCAGACCATATGGAAGTTGTTAGATTCTTACTCTGTAATTATTGATTGGCCTCAAGCATTCTTTGCAACCGTCCATGGATAATACAATTTACTCCACGTAAAGTAGCAACTAAGAAATAATTACACGCGCATGATCTCCAGTTGCGAGTTACTGTCTAAACTGAGAATGTGTCCACATTATCTTTTTTCCTCTTAGTATCTCTCCATTTACACCGTAAGCCTGAGCTCAACCTAGCTGTAAAAGTAGCATAAGCCAGCTCACGCGCAATTTGCGCTAGGGTGATGAGGTAATCATAGTCCGTCTCCCTGCCTTCCAACTTAATGTAGGTACTTCTTGTCTCCTCCCTCTTGCCCATTTCCCTATGGTGCTTGACCAAAAGGAGTCATCCTTATTTTTGATTCTTCAAGCCAAAGAGACAATACGCTTGTTGGTCGTCGGAGGAAGCCGAACCCTTGAAATGTGAAGTCTCACCGGTCGTTCCCAGATGTCTGCAACAGCCCCAGGTATGTGTGTCGGAGGCGTCCGCTATCGATGCTCTTGCAGCATCTTAGGCGCCCATTCCGCCGTTGTAACCAGTCGATATGTAATTCAATACCTGACTACCTCACTTTCTCGAGTACTAGCTAATCATAACCATCGCATAACGTAGATAAGACAACTATAATTATTTCACCAACTAGGTATTGCTACCTTCCTTATTTTGCTCATACTTTCCACAAGGATAGGCTTCTCGTCTTAACAGTTCCAGTCCAGCAATGGCGATGACAGTTGCGGCAGGCAACTAGAAGGGAGGAGTTACATGCGATGTATACTGTACACAACTCAGCCAAGGACTTTGAGAACTTGTGGCTTAAAACTAGTCTTGGTCTCCCACCAATACATCGTCACCTGGGCTATCACTATGGCATACAGTACCACACCCCGCTTCATATCGTCTCGTGGGGTGGCTTTCTGTTTTCTTTCCTTTTTGCATTTCCGAAGCATATCTCTCATATTAATCCAGCACAATGTTGAAAGAAGAGAACTGTCACCCATCTCCATTTTCCCAGTGATCTGATCTTCTTAGCGCTGTCCACACATGAGGCTGAATGGATGGCGTTTCGGCGAGCCAACCCGACCTACAAGATGCTGTAGGTACATGTCTTGGCCTTCGCCCGGAGACGAGGGCCCAGGGTTTGCATACTGTACGATCCTTCATGATCTATCGAGCAATGCGTAATTTGGCCACCTGCTTTACATATTACCTACCGTAGCCCATAACCTACTGTAATGTACATGCCAGACATTGTTACATTAACTATTGCGACGGACTAGTGTCCTTTAGGAAGATTGAATGCGACAGCTGAAACAACACATGTGAATCCCGAAACAGAGGGGCTAGGAAAAGCAAATCGACGCAACGTCGATCCTAGTCACCAGTGAATTGTATCTGGCGCACTCTCTCTGATGGGCTGTGGGACTACCCATGACCTTGTGGAAGACGGTCTCTTTACTACCAGTACTCCTATTCAGAGTTAATCGCTGGTCACAACAGAGATTTAGCCTGATGAGATAGATACATCAGGTAGCAAGGTTAAGAAAAAGACTCGAACGGAGCTGCTTCCTCCCAATATTTCTATCGCTAGCATTTTTGCCGCCCCTTCATTTCGACGGCAATGCTGGAGGACTAGTAAGCCTATACTGAACGAAGCCTGTTCATACTTCTACACGAAGCCAGCTGAAATCTAGCCTGTCTTTTTCTCTCGATAACCGTTGCACAAACAGGGACGAGGGTGTCTTCATCTTACAGCTTGGTCTTGCTTCCAGGAGGGCTGGGTGTTCTCCAACCATGATACGTGGGTATATTGTCACCGGCCTCTCAGATAGGCATGGTATATCTCTCATGGGGGAGTCCATGCGTGAGAATTAAAAGTGCAAAATCTCTGCCTGCCTACAGTACCTGGGTAATTCTGGGTGAGACAGTTGTATCGGTGAAGCATTCATGTCGCAATGAACACATGTTACCAAGTTTCTTAGATAACAGGTACCATACCGGCAAGATACCCCATTCGCATCATAAGGATTCTTGTGTGAGGTGCACGACCTATCATGGTAAACCGCAAGATGCGTCTTACCCCAAGGATGAAGAGCCTTGTAATGGGGTCTTCTGATAAATGATTACTTACCTATGTGTGCAATATCCCCGCTAGCTTCTGTGTAATCGGCGATTTTTCACTGGAGTCTTTGGTGTCACATCTCGTCATCATGCAGGCCGACTACCATTCAACCCGTGTGCACATGATAGTCTCGGATATGTGCTTTAGTCAAGGAGAATGACGACCAGGGGGGAGGGTCTCTTTTTTTTCTGCCTCGGGGTTTCGGGTGAGCTCTTCCTAGGATGCCACCTACAAAATCCATATCTATGAAGCAATATTAACCAGCGTCACTAAGCCGCTGGGCAGGTATACTATGCTAGAGGCATCGAAGTCAGGCTACCGGTATATGGCCAGGTAAGTACTCCGTAATATGCATTAGATTGAAAATATTCCGTACAGCTCTATCGATTATAGTCGAGGTAGCTTATTACCGTAATCTTGCTGACTGTTGCAATCTGAATTACGGACTACCGGTACCCCTGGCAACCTCCCGGTGCTCTTGTCATATAGCCACTTTTTTAACTGGAATAAATGGTATGAGAAGTTGATGATTGAGGCCATCGGTATACGCACGAGCTTTTACCCTAATGAATATGTATTATACACCAAGTACTCGACTGTTCCCAATATATTTATTAAATATCACAAATATGCTGCATTGATCTGACAAGTTTCGATATGGGCATTAGTATCTCAGTTGTATAACAGTTTGAGAACGCGTGTCTTAGTTATTTACTAAGTTTGGTACGTAAGGGGATTGCAACCATAAACACTTGTTCTTAGGGCTCACGGTCGATGAATCAAATATCTTATACGGTGCTGTTACAGAGTCATAATCGAATTTAACTCTTCCATCCAGCTACTTTGTATGAAATAGGATTAGATTATGCTGGCATTTGTGACTCGTGTCTAAGTATCTTTCTTGATAAACACGCTACCTTAGAGCTCACACAAATTCTACACAGAAGAACAAGCTGAAAGTCATAAGGCAAGAAACATCACATGTGAGCAAGTACTTACTGTGTTACCCTGCTCGTGAGTGGAATGAAGGGTTATTATGCGTCGTATCGACCACAACGACGTAGGTGGGTCTCGCCTCTAGACTTGTTCCGATGTGAAAGTAGTTGATGATCATGATGGAGCGCTTGCACCCATTTGCATAGAATCACAGGCTGCCTGCCAACCGAACTGATTGGATAGAGTAGTGAACCTATCAAGCAGACCGCGCTTCATTCCAATAAGCAGATGAGCAAAATAACTTCCTTCTATCGATATAAACTCCGAGACAGGTCAAGCCACTGTACGCACGTAACACAACGTGTTTAGAGGATGCGTCCGGCGCTGTTTGTCTCTTGTATTCTCCGTAGCGGCACGAGACCAAACGGTGTCAATGCATCATATGCCCCCTTTCCGCTCTTTCCTATAAGTGGGTCGCTGCAATGAGCGGTGCATAGGCTTGCGGGACACATGTCAATAGCGCCGGGTCGGACTGCATGATAAGACATTGGGAAGATTGGTGTAGAGGTACTGGAAGCTAAAGTCGCTATGCCGAGACGTTATGGCGAACAATCACGGTATATGACACAGCTCGAATGTGATTCAGTCGACTATCTCGGAGCCGAACATTCTGCAACCTATTGCTGACAGATAATCTCCTCGGTCTGTTTATTCGTAGAGGCCTTTTGTCATGGAAAAGGAGTAGTAGCGTACGTTTCAGGGATAGGGGCACCATTGCATGCGAGGGGTCCATCTCGGGACCGTTGAACATTGAAGCCTACATAGTTCGTGACGCTATGGATTGGAGAGAGCGAATAAGTCTCGGAACTCGCGGCTCGGTGTAGACTTGGCATTATCTATCTTTCTCAGAATCGTATCTGTGACCAATGCTGATATACAGCTTGTACAGTATACCCAAGCAGCAACTCCACAGCTCCCCAGCATGCCTCTAATCAAGATTCCCCGGGACCGTAAGCAGGATGTTTCGTTGTCATGCTAGGTATACCTGGCAATTCGCCTCGATGCTCAAGAGATAAGGTAGAAGATAGGTCGTTAAGTGTAGAAACGTCAAAATGAAATCCATGAAGAAATTACCATTGTCTATCATTCACACAGATGGGCCATCCAGATGTCATACTTAGCTTATGAAGACTCTTTCGTTGAGCCATTTAGAGTGCGGGGAAGAACACGAGCATTCTGGTACATCAAATTGGTCTCAAGGCATGTAGGCTCTTGAGCTCTGTGATGAGTTCGCCAATCGGCATAGTGAAAACCTAATCTAAAAGCAATTCCACTGCTTGGCTATTTCAGCAACCTACATAGAAGTACGTATAGTCTAATAAGCTCGGCGAGCACCAAAGTAATAGAGAATATGATATGAGCATGGAATTCATACAAATTAAATATCAAGTTGCATTATTCTGAGATTTAGCTCCTCCACATTGCTAAACTATCAGTGCAGCTATTCTCGGCGGCCGGGCTCAGAACCGCGATGTTGGACCCAAGTCCATCTTCTGCTATCATGTTTGGTTCGAAAGGAGATATCTTGCCTTTACCACAAGTCCCATCACGTCTTCTTAGAATTACAAATGATAAAATAAGCGACCGTCACGGGATTACCTGAGCCTCCTTTTTGACCTATAGCACGGACCAAAGATTGTTATATACAAGGCTAGTTAAGGGGCTTAATAGTCGAGCTAGAATTCCCTGCCTGTGTCCTAGCAATAAGTCAACGTTGGAATAATTTTAGTTTCTACGCAGTACTGTAACAATCACCTCATATCTAGGTGTATTCTTATCTAAAAGAAAATTTTAAAAAAAATAGTGCCATACTTTCTTCAGAAGTTGACTTCGCATTTTTTGATAGATCATATGGCGGCGGCACAAGCAAATAGATGCCTCTCACCTTGGGCATAACTATAATGTAGAGAGAAAGTGAATGAAATTGGTCTTCGAAAATCGCGAGTTACGGCTCATAGGTTACACTGCCTTTAGACTGGGATGTATGCTAACATCCATTATGAATCAATACCCTAATCTCAACCTAACGCTCGTGGAAACTTCAGGTCCCAAAACCCGTAGCTTCAATGCTGAGATACTACATAAATAGAATACAATTTCTGCTATGGGGGAAGTAGTTAACTGCATACACGCCTATCGAAGTTCGACATGAAACTTCCTCAGTTTTGGACGTTGTCAAACTATATCGAAAATCTTAGTAAGTACCAAATAGTCACATCGAGCAACAACATGCCAGATAGGTTTGCCTTTCTAAATATATTTCATGCCGTAGCATGTCCTAACGCTGATAACGGCACGCTAGATAATTCCCCAAGAACCGGTCGCTTCCCCTAGTTGTGCAGTGCTCCAAGCACTCACGGATAACAAACCTGAACTGTGAACCGTGAATCCCCACGATGATATTCTCCATGAGCCATAATTATATGTAGCAACGTTACCTTAAAGACCTGGATAGTTGGTCTGCGCACTTGATGAGATAAACGTAAAATTTCTTGTGCCTAAATGAGATTGCTCCAACCACTTACCCCTGGAGCTTCGTGAAGTCATCGAGAACGTGAATAAATTCACAACACTCTGTTGAAAGTGTAGGTGGTAAAGGAGTCACTTCATGTATACGGTACGGGTCAAGGGTCACGAAGGGTCACGAAGGCACTGTTCATATATATAAGGCGGTCTTCCCACCTCACTCAGATCAAGTAGTTCAGTTGAATGTAACCCTCATATACCTTCCATTTCAACACACTCCAATTAGGCTTCTAACACAGTTCGAACATGTCATTCTGCAGATGGATCCGTCAAAACTATTCGAAACAAGTCAGTTGAAAACACCGAGAAAAGGGTTTAACACGGTAGTCAGTCAATGCCACTTACTGCCTCACAAGAACAGAAATTGTATTAACGCAGTGGAGGCTGCCATGTCTCGAACCGGAAAGATAGATGAACCAGTGGATGATATTTTACTCACAAGTATCGAGCCCCTCTTTCCTCTACACACTTTGCGGCCTGCTGGGATTTTAACGTAGCGCCTGTAGCCTGATTACGGTTATGATCTCGAATATTTCTCTTCGTCGAAAGTACTTCTGAAGTGATCGCAATCAGTCACCAACCGCTACATGAGCTCATCGTGTGGGGAAAAGGGGCATGAAGCCGCTAGCGATATTGCAGATCTCTTGGATACACGTGTTTTCCCAATAATTATCGTAGCTGATTTACTATCCTGGCCTCGAATAACCTGGACACAGTTACAAAATGAATTGTCACTTATATATACTTGAGAGGGCTTGTACGCCTGCTTCAGGTCATGGATATTCCTTTTCGCCCTACACTGAACTGAAAAGGGATTCGGGGGATCATCGACTTATGGGCCCTATTGCCGGCCCTGACTACCCCCATCCTCCCTTTCACAGTTCCTGAAATCATGCCCGAGTTGCCGATTGCGGTTGGCCTTGGTTGCTACAGGGCATATCACGGAACGAGTATATCGGAGCATAGTACATTATACCGTTGCGCTACCAAAAGGTAAACAACGTAATCAGGTCGAAACCCTGCGTCTCTATACTCAACTATAATTATAGTACTGTGGCAGGGCACAAGCAAGCTAAGAAAAACGGCGACGTTCACCAGTCCGTCAATTTTATGATGCCTTCAATACTAGGCTCGAAGTCCACATCTTTGAGCAAATTGTGGGTATTTGGATTTCGAGAAGCGGTTCCTCAGAGGGATCATAACCTTTATCACACCAACAATGGTGGTGAACTACCTACAAAGCCCGCTGGGGACTTTCGGCGGCAATGTCCTATATATGCTCATACTTCCCGGGTCGCTATTGATGAAGGTCCGTGAATAATTTCAGAACTTCAGATATACATCTCGATAGTGTATATAACGAATATAGATCGACGCATAGCGATGAAGATTGCTTATGTAAAGCTATACATATATACCTACCCCTTGGTGAATTGTCAAAGACGGCTGTTGTTTGAGTTTAAGGAGCGCGCATGCGTACCTAAATTAAGGTCTGGAGATCTCAGGTGATCTCGTATCAGTGTTGCAGCTCAATTGTATAGGTGTGCGCATACCTGCTCCAGGCGCGTCTGAGTCTGGATTGACCAGACCCGATGTTCCGATCTCGTTTCATGGTCTGTGTACGGGGAGAAACTCATGTTCGCAATTTGAAACCTCTAGACTCGGATGAGCGATGAAGGTTGACTGCATTCATGACGCCGACTATAAAACTTCAAAGCTGCTACTACCAGTACCCAAGTAGAGCGCTTTGTTGGTTGGTGGTTGGTGGTGTGTTCTCGATATTGGTCAAGTACTGGTACCTGGGAGAAATGGATCCACACCTCAAAAGTTACTGCATTTGGACGGATCTACAAGGATGCCGGCCACTCAGACAGGGAAGGCTCCATCCCGGCTTGGCCGGGGTTTTAGCGAGTCTGGTGCGGATTGCTGCGATTGCTGCGATTACTGCAAGGTCGAGAGGTACAAGCAGTGAGCGAGTTTGAGCAGGAAAGCGGCTGGACATCACAAAGGAACGGAATACAGACGACCCAGAGCCTGGGCCCTGGTGCCATGACCTAACCCAGATGCTTACTGCGCTGTACGTACATGTACTTACTGCCAGTGTTAGCACTGGCCTTTTTTGACCTGGCATCCTCGAGTCCTACCCACCTTATATACAATCGAGTCCTATTTTAACCTACTGGTACTTCACTCTCTGTCCATCTATATACCGTCACCATCTGAGGTCCTAGATTCGAGCACTTCTCCCTCCGAGTAATACACAATCACATTTCAATTTCCATGCATACATTGTTCAGAGTCGAGCAATCGTCCATCGCAATCCGTGTACAGTGTATCGCGAGGTCCACATAAAGCAATCTCCCCCCCCCCCCCCCCAAGTCCCGACACCATCCGTGAAACAATTCTGATAAGGCACAACGCAATCTCAATTGTGTCCGTTTCGTACCGGACAAGCTAAAGCATCGAGTCTGGCACTCGTTCCTTACTCCTACAACCTTGAAAAGACAAGTCACAACCAGACAAAATGGCACACTCACACGGCGACGACATGGACATGGGGTCGTCCTCGTCCTCGCATAGCTCTGGTGGACACATGTCCGTTTTCAACAATAATCTGATGACGGCTCTCTACTCCGATGAATGGACGCCCTCGACGCCTGGCGCCTACGCCGGCACCATCATATTCCTCATCTTCCTCGCCGTCGTGTTCAGATTCTTGCTGGCAGGCAAGGCGGTCGCCGAGGCCCGGTGGCTAGACGCCGAGATGAAGCGTCGCTACGTTGTGGTGCAAGGCAAGCTACCCGTGTCGGAGCAGATCTCGCGCGACGATCTCTCCAAGCGAGTGACGCTCACTGAAAACGGCGTCGAGGAGAACGTCTTTGTCGTTCAGCGCAGAGAGCAAATCCACCGCCCTTTTAGGCTCTCTGTCGATCCTTTGCGTGCCGCCTTTGACACTGTGATTACAGGTGTTGGGTATCTACTGTAAGACTGGCTTCTCATACTCTAGTAACCTGGAACATTTGTCCCGCTAACTGCGTCTGTGTAGCATGTTGGGCGTCATGACAATGAACGTGGGCTATTTCCTGGCCGTGTTGGGTGGCACATTCCTCGGCAGTCTGCTTGTTGGCAGGATTTACGCCACCGCAGGTGGCGAGCATTAAGTACGACGATGCGATCACACATGATATAATACGACACGGCCCGTGATACACAGCCCCTTCAATAAGTGGCATCAGAGAGATGATGGTGCCAATAACCATTGTGCAACACACTCTCGCTAGGGCAGCGACTACAGACCCAGACACTCGACCAACGAAACTGGGTTCAGGTATGCCGAGGAATATATTGAGGGCCATAACACGGACTAGATCACGACGGGACCATGCTATACTGCTGGCAGCGCCAGCAATTCTAATGGGCGATAATGAATTGGGATATACACGGCGTTATGGGAGAGCGGGAATAACACAGCGAGCGTGTGAGTATGAGCAGAACGAATGATGTCCACCCATCGTCATAATGACCAAACCGGTCAAACAAGAAGGCACGAGCATCATGTTAGGTTTTGGCATGAAAATCTCGTCGCAAAGCTTTTGTGTCCTGTCCCTCGAATGGGCTGATCAGTTAGCCAACAAGCAGAAATCTTACGACCTTGCTCCAAGTCACCAGCCAGCAAGCATCTAGATTTCCACGAGGGTGTCGAAGATGTTAGTTGGGGTTGTTCCTGTATGGTGACATGTACCGGTACTTAGCTGTGCCTGGGGGCTCGCTAGTGTGCATAAACCTTCTCAAACCCGCTCACCTGGTGGGGCAGCGGACTACACTACCCCGCGTTATTCATCATCATCTCAGTTAACTCACTCACATCACATCATCACCACATATCTTATAATTCACTCATAATGTTCTTTACTGTGTTGTAGCATGATGTTGCCTTTAAATTCATGAACATATACGATGTACTTGCTTATGAAAAGGTAGCCAGCCTGAGAGCGGAAAAATGCTATTGAATATCCACAATCACTCGCTCGTATACTACTGTTGCTATTGAGAACAACTCTCTCAGGGTCTTAAATGTCAGCTTGATAAGCCTTTTCTTTTCTACTGAGTAATGTCATTTCGTGTTACTAATATCATATCAGGTGCGGCCCTGGGTGTGAATAGAATCCAGTGGCGCTTCAGTTTTGTCCTTATAGCTGAGTTATAGAAAGCTGTAGCTGCTCTTTACCACTGCAAATAGCACTTATGTTAAGGTTCCGATTTTCCTAGTAAGCTCATTCTGAAAACTCCGGAATAGAGTGTATGATAATTATACCAGGCTAAAGAGACTAAGTTCCTGTTTAATCCGAAGTTAGTATACAGCAACAAACCGCTCCAAACCTAGTGTTTGACACTAAAGATTCGCCTGAATATGTCGACGAAACTGTGCTTCATGTCAACACGCACGGTATAAAAAATATCGGATATTCTGTGTTTGAACTCATCCGTGCTCACCTGCCTCGTGGAGCTCTAGAGACTCAGTACCCAAATACCCACTACGAGTCCCTCCGTGCCAGGCCAAGAGATGAGTGAGTTTTAGCGGCCTAAAAATGATGAGTATAAACTAACTACGATCTTCACATTCAAGAATGCCGAGAGAACGTGCTTGAGTGATATGAGACTGAGGTAAAGCCAACGTGACACATTCACGCATCGTGAGAATCACGTGTCACTGTAGGATGTTTCACCCTTTGGCGTTAATAGCTGAGCTAACTCCAGGACATCTACTCATATATCTATTAGGGTACTTACCGCATGATATAAGTATTCATGTTGGAGGGGGAAAGAAAAGGGATCATCGGTAAAGCAGACTGCACATTAGTATTATGTATTTTCCAGCGCGTAATGTATAACCCCCGCGTTCTATCAGCTTCATCTAATCGAAAAAATAAGTCGTCTCTGCTGGACAACCCACAAATTAGGAAGAGAGTGTCTGATCTCCTTATTCTCATCATCTCGCCAGCTCAGACTTTCTAGCAACGTAGCTTAAGCATTGGAACAGGTTACTTGTGCGCCCCTTGCGGCTTGAAATACAAATGTACCATCAACTAATTATCAACATACAGTCGTGACTCCTGCTTGCAACCCTAACGTTATTTCTGTCGCGAACGCATTCCTTCTTATATCTTATCTTTTATACTGTGAGGTAAGCCCCTACGGCACTCAGATCACTCCTATGATACAGCAGCCATGTATAGGAGGGTCTACTTACCCTTGCTATATATCAATACTAAGTTTATAGCTCGAGATTATTGCATACCTTCTTGGCAGGTATCAGATACAAAAGCCTTGCTAACGAAGTAGAAGTATCTATTTAAAGGTGATATAGAGGTGGGGTTTCAGTTCAATTCCTTCTCTCCTCGACCGAACAGCATGAAGACCACCAATACAGTACCAAACAGCAACAGAAGAGACTCTCAAAACGGCTACTGCCTGTGACTAGGCCGGCCAAGCGATGGCACTTAATGACATTTATGCAAGGGGCTATAACACTGCTGAAGGAGCTGCACTTCTTATTTACTTAGGTAAACCGATCTCTGAAACAACAAGGAGCTAACGACCAACGACCGGTAAATACATGTTAGCACAGATTGGTAACATGCCCTTAACAGCCATGTGTGAACGAGCAATGCTAGAACTATGTCTCCGTCGATCTTCGGAAATCTCCTTTGCCGGTGGGATTTCAAAGATGACGACAGACCGTGCGCCTGAACGAGCCAAAGCCATACTGGTCGGAATCGATGGCCGAGAAATCGATGAAAGTGTCCCGCGAGCCTCAAAAAGCCCCTTAAAGATCTTGCTTTTTTATCTGGAGAATGAATGTCCAGAACCTAAAAGACACCGAATGTCGTAGACTGTGGCTATGGGAAGGACTTGGATTATTTTCCCGAACCCATTTCGGAATCCCCTGGCATCAATTTACACCACACGACGACGCCTTGGATACTATCCCAGACAGTCAGCCCTTCACTCCCTCGGACCTATGTACCTGAAGACGATCCCGTGAGCCCTGATCCCTTGGAGAATAACCCTTCAAGAGGCAATTCCCTGACTATCGCGAATCCATCGTCAGTGGCCACGGTCACACAGCTAAGCTAGCTTTGCTCCCCATCAGCCTCGTTCGCCCTTGATCTCGAGGTTCCCCTGTCTCCGTCAACCATCGGCGTCGACTTCACTCTTATTCGCTCCCATCAACAGCGTGCATTCGACGTAAAGCTGATAATGCCATAGATTTCACCACGCTAAACCAGCAAAGGACGATGGGGAGCCCGCGTCGTCGATAGGTGGGTTCAACTTCGAATATGAGTATCTCGAATGGATATTCTCGCGAAACAACAATAGCCTCGAGATCAGCCAACCATGCACACCTGCATCTTCGTCCACTTCCATCTCACGTAAGGCTTTTTTCGCACCCAAACACTCGCACAAATGTTTTCAACTCTCGTTGTAAAAGCGCTGAAGCGAGTAATCAGACCATTCCACGGTATGATGAATAAATACTACACTCGCGCAGGCAAGGTTTGCGTGATGTGTTTACGACTAAGAATATTGAGAAAATAAACGATCATTTTATTGTGTGATTCAGAAGCACCCACACTAAAGATCTAGGCGTCGCAATTTAGGCGACCAGGTGCCCAAAGCTATGTGAACCCTCATCAGCCTCGTCGTGAGCTTGAATAACCGTACAACTAATAATTTAGCAAGTTCGATAAATTAGTAACCTAACTACCTATTAGCGATCAATAAGACTGCACCTCATTCCGCCACCTTATGGTTCCAATCCAGGAGATTTGTGCCCGCGCTCATGAACCTGTATATTCAATTCAATAATATAACTGAAAGTTGCGAGCAAGGCCCAAACCTTTCAAGAAGTCTCATCACACTTTAGTTCAACCCTTCTTGGAACACTTTCACCTAAAAATTACTCTAACTACCAACTGTTCCGATCATAACACTGGTTCTCCTCCTTGATAATGCTCAATGTGAAGCTCAATTACTACTTAGTATTCATGGTCGTCTAACACATGGATGATGCTATGATACAAACTCCAGAATGAGCTACTCTCCATAACCAGGCGCAAGACCAATACATTTGCCCGGAAACCCAAGTTCTTTACTCTACTGTTGGCCACAGCCAAGCTCTAGACCCGGTTTCGCTAATCGCGATGGTGATTTTAAGGCTATGAAGATGTGCACCGTTGTAACACGGCGCACTGATGGCCTATTAGTTGCTGGTTATGGTCTATAGACACTTGAGTTCTCAGCCATTCGACTCTCAATCGTCCGGGTGAGTTCCCAAGAACCCACAAGTCTTAAGCAACGTCACGGTTTGATTCGAGGATCGCTTCATGATAGTCACAGGCAGAAAGAGATGGAATACGACCAGATAATGAAGGCCAAGATCTTCGAAGTTGTGGTTGAGAGGACGTTTTTATGGGAGGGATCCATAGTTGGAGAAAACTGATATGAACTTGGTGGTCGTTGCGATCCGTCGATGTCGTAAAAATTCGTCAACCCCTATGAATGGTGTATACTGATTGCGAAGGGGCTAAATTCGTCGCCACCACAGCCATTAATGCCAGCACCTATTTTCTTGTTTTCGTATATGTGGTTTTCGAGTATGAACGCCAGTTTGGAATGGTTGTAGTATCCGAGACCTCAGTTAAGCTGAGTGAGGCATTCATTAACGTAGGTTTGAAAAGCTCATTGCCAAATATTACGTGCCGACTGCTTCGTCCGATAATGTAGTCAGCTCATCACATTGATAATGGAGCATTCAAAATTTGCTGCCTGCTGTGCTAGAAGTCGCGTCGAGATACCTGAAGGTTTTCGAATTTCTTCGGACGCTCCGGGTAGCTCGAGGTCTATGTTGGATAATGCGGCGTCATATCTGCGGTAAGGCACAATGGACAAACCTGGTGCTTAGGCTAGTAATGGGGAGAAACTGGTAACCAGGCGGAGCAGTGTTTCAATCAGACAACTCGCCTTGATTGACTGGTGAAAACACCCTCGCCCAATGATACAGCCCTGGGCGGCAGCTGATGCGAGTCGCTGCCATATGGACTTAATTCGAAAGGAGAGATGGGAAATCGTGGTATTAGAGGTTACCGCAAGTACTGTGGAATGGTTGGATCGGATTGTTATTGCCTCCAATCAACTTCATCATTTTGCCAAGTCACGGATGAGGAACAGGATAACCGGATGGCAATGCCAATTTTCCAGTGCTCATCATAGAAATAGCCCGGCATAGGCCTGGGAACGAGAGAGCAAATTTTTAGGAACAAAAGTTAAAAGTATGAAAAAGATGGGATTGGAAATCGCATGAGAAAACTAAATTGACATTGGGGGAAGGTGACGACGACCAATGATCGCTTGGTGGCCATTCTCATAATTATAAGTTGGACGAAGAATGCCTGGGTAGAACGAGCCTCATCAATGCATTATAATCGGGGTATCAGCGCAAGGCAGAAAGTCACCGGTAGAGTGACGACTAGGACTGGTGAGCAGAGTGTTGTGGCATGCCAGACTGTGGTGGCATGCCGTAAGCAGGAGGAGCGCCGCGCTGGACGTAACCTGGGTAGGCCATGGCGTTAGGATCCATGGGGACGTTTGGCATATAATTAGTTGGCATATGTGGGTTCTGGGGCATTCCCGGCCGGCTGGTCTGGGGAGGAAGGTGTGAGTTGGTCGGCTCTTCGGGCGATTCGATTTGATTCCCATCGTCGACGCCATTCTCGTTGCCAGGGGTGGGCTCTGGCGCATTCAGGCAAGCCTGCAGCCGTCTGGTTAGCCTTGCTCAAGATGGAATGCCTCGCCATACTAACCTGGATTAAATTCTTCCCTTCTGCCTTGGTTACCAGAGGCTGAAGTTTGGGTGTCGTAAATGTGTAGACGAGGCCAGTTTCCGAGACAACGAGTAGCAGTACTTGTGTGCCGGTGAGGACGGAAAGTTCGTATGCCTGTTTTACCCAAGAGTCAGTACTCATATCGTGAGAATATGCTGCAGGTCGTTTTTGACCAGGGAACGCGTTCCACGCGTGCGCTACGCGAAGGGACGGTGTTGAGGAACCATTAGCGACATACCTTCTTCATAATGCCAGCTTTGCGCTTCGAGAATGTGATGTGCCGACGCGACTTGTCGCTAATAAACTTGATTTCAATTTTGCGCCTTTCGCGCCCGCCCTTCTCGTCGTCGTCATCATCATCGTCAGGAATGCTGTTGCGCGGACGCTTGACGCCGCGATTCTCGGGGGCAGCGGCATTGCCATTACCGACGTGGCTGTCGTCCAACTCCTGGGGAGTGGTCTGTTCGTGTTGGTCGGTGATATCTGCCATTGCGGGATGGATGCTTGGATGGTATCACGAACGAAACGGGCAACAAATGGTGGAGATGCTGTTTTGGTCGTGGTGCCGAGGGCCTATACTGGATCTGGCGCTGAGCGGAGAGGCTCTGTTGTCGTAGGCTGGAATCTTGTCGCAGAAACCGGGTCCGGGGGACGCCTGCTGTATCGAGTCTGGTGTGAGTGCTAGGCGGAATAAAACTGGAAGCGAGTGCCGAAGAATTTACCAGGCGCTTGGCTGGTGGCACTATTGTTTATTTGGGGGTGTGATTATTACCAAGGCAAGACAAGGCAAAGCAGGCTTTCCTTCGTCAAGACCCCGAGGGAAAAGACAAGTGACGCTGGCAGGAGGTATTGCAGGATGGTGCGCTGTGTGGCCCAATTTTGTCAGATACTAGAGGCCGACACTAAATTCACCTTTCAACAGCAGTGGAGCAGTGAATAATAGGTGGAAGGACAGGCGTACGTAGTAAGAGAGTGCAGTGCTGTCTGTATTGTATAGGTAGGTATTGTGCATGTGCATGACCCTTGTGGCTTGAATCTGATTGAACAGAACAGGAAAGGAAAGGGGGACGAGACAGGACTAGACTCGAATGATAAACGAAATATACAATGCGCTGCAAAGCAGACAGAGGCGGAAAAGGCAGTGTGATAGGTAGGGGCAGTAATAATAACAAATAATAGAACAATGGCATGGCATTATACCACGCCTAGTGGGAAGGATGGGTGTAGCTCGTGGACGCGAAGATTATAGGTCCAGGGCAGTTGGTGTTTGCCCGGTATGGTAGGTTCCCAGTCTGGTAGGTAGGGCAGGATGTGCTGAGAGAGGGGGGGGGGGGGGGGGGTAAGGGTCGGCAAGCGCTGGCGTACTGGAGCACTGAAGCACCGAAGCGCTGGGGCGCCTGGGGCTTTGTGAGGGTTGTTCTGGCGGGCTGACTGACTGACCTTATCCGAAAGAGCGATAGGTGGGCAAAATAACAAACAAGCGAACAAACGAATAGAAGAATGGAGAACGAACGAGCAGCGAACTATCACAGTACAATGCAAAGGAGGGAGATGGATGCTATGCGATGTGATGCGACACGGGCACAACACGATGCAATTGGGGGGGCTCAATGGTAGATGGCTCAAATCATGTTTGCTCACCTTTCCCTTGTAGCGAGCGGGCGGGCAAGGCTGGCTGGCTGCCTGCTCTGGCAGTGTCGGAAAAAGATCGATCAGTATCACTGTATCATGTATCAGTGAGGGAGAGGGAGAACAGGTCTCAGCGCGCAACTTGACGTCGCACGTTCACGTTCGGCGTAGTGTACAGCAGGCAGTACGGCGGCAGGCGGATAGGCGGATAGGTAGTAAGGGGCCCTGGATTGCGGCGTTGAATCAAGGACACTTTCCCCAGTAGAGCAAAAGCCCAAAGTCTGCTCGGGTGTCAGATGTCGAGCCTTTCCCTTTTCTTATCGGTTTTGGGTTTGGATGATTGATCAGGAAAGGTGAATGCGGGATGGTTGAAAAGAGGATAGCGAGGTGGTAATTAAGGTAGCACACGGGCTTTTTGGGCTTTTCTGTGACGCACATTGAGACCTTGCGACCTGGACAGACCTGGAGACTCAGTTACTTGCCCGACAGCTGTAGAGGCCGCTAGGAAGGCTAGGTAGGTAGGTAGGAAGCTGCGGGCGGGGGGGAGGAGGAGCAGAGAGGAGGAAGACGACAGTGGATGCAGTGGATGCCAGTGCCGGAGGTGTGGATGCATGGTGCATGGGTGGGTGGATGCACACGGATGGAGGAGGCCACCCTGTCTGTCTACAGTACTTACGGAGTACTTACTTAGTTGCACCTACCAGTATGCACACACCTACTTTGCAGTCACAGTCTCTCATACTGTATCAAGATGATGTACATCACACGCGCCCTTGCTACATGTACCTACCAACTACCTATCATACCTTGTATCTACTCTGTGAATACCTAGATACACATCTGCACTTTACCATCTGGGTTTACTTACTTACATACTTAGGTAGTTGCCTACATGTACTCCTGTACTAGCACCATCGACCATCGCTCGTTACACTGTACTGTTGCAAACCCAGGTGTTGTACATGTAGAGTAGAGTACATAGGAGGCGCGTGTACCCATCGTGTGCTTCCTTTGTGTGCTAGCATATGCTATCTTTCGTACTACCTAGGTAGTGTAAGCCCACGGAAGAAGTGGCAGAAACAAGGTGGAATTTTACGGACGGAATGATCGAGATTTGCAGGCGCGAAGGGCGTACCTAGTGCTTGTGGATAGACACTGCAGTATATACTTTGTACTCCGTACACCAAATACCTACATAGGTACATAGATGCCAAGGTACCTGCATGTCTCTGGTGCCTACCTAAGAGACATGCAATTCAACGCTCTAAGCTCGAGTACGCATCTACTCGAGCTACTTTACCACTGCAACATAAAATCATTTACCCTGAAAGAAAGCCGCGAGTACCATCATTTTATAGAGAACGAATTGTCCATGAAGTGTAGTTACTGCATACATATAAGTGCTATGTACTTGTATGAACTAGGTACATACATGTGCTGTAGGTACAGGGCGGAGCGAGCTATACTCCGAGTTATCTACATACCTAGGTGCCTACCTACATACATACATGTACCATGGCTATCACACCGTACTAGGTACCTTTGCTGACGGTGCACTATCTGCGTACATGTACACTAGCACGCGTCTCTACATAGTACACGTAAAGTACGCTACCCTGGGTTCGCTAGGTTCACTACTTAGGTTCGCTAGGTACGTGTACAGTAGCGTAGGTAGGTAGGTAGCAGCAGAGTAACAGGAACCAGACACACTACGCGGTGGGTGGGTAGGAACTGTGGGCGCGCCTCCTCTCCTCATCCTTGGTCCTTGTCCTGATGCGCAGCAAGAAGAGCACACCACAACGCCATCGCCCAAGTGTCCAATCACAAGCCCTGCCCAGCGGATACGTCGACTACTGCACAGACTAGTCTTTAGCGATGCTACTCTAATTCAGTAGTGAGGAGTGATTTGCTACCGTCAAAACAAGATTGACGAGCCCTCTCCATTATTCCAACCTCACTTCTTGAACACTGTGCGTAGCATCACTCGCCTCTGCGCTAGCGCCGACCCGGCCATGGATCCTACCTTATTAGCACTCGACGTGGTAGCTTGGTCGTGCCGGGGACCGTACCAGACACCGTACCTAACCCACTGAATCTTGCGTGGAAAAGGCGAGAGGAATGTAGAGAGGGCGTGAAGACGCGCAGAGAAAAGTGGTAGCATGTTACCTAGGCAGGTTTTGCAGGTTATTTCGCAGTCACCTACCTAGGCGGCATTTCACTTGTTCACTCTCTGCGCCTTGTCGTATTAGGATATTCCGAAACAGTCCATCACGATCCCTGCTTAGGTTTGTCGGCTGCAGGTTGCTCACGAAGGAAGCGTGAAAGCGCTGTTGAAACGCCTCAAATAAAGCTGATGAGACACCAAAGCCTCTCGTTTGTCTTGTGTGTACATATGTAGTAGGTACCGTACCAAGTATACCATGACAAGAGAATGGGGAGAAAAGCTGCAGTGTGAGAGTCCCCTAGAAACTGGTATCTGGCCACTCCCATTCAACCTTTACGTGCCCAATCAAGGTAGGACACATTGTCTTGGATTCGACCCTACATACACCACATTTCTTACTCAAGAATTTGATTTGGCCTGACAAATCCCGCCGAAGAATACTGAGCTTGTTATACTGTATGATTCGCTCGGTACTGCTCGCCAGCTGTCAGCCTCATACACCCTCCTAGCTACCTAATTAGATAATACTAAAGTTGAACATAGACATAAGGCTGAATTCCTTTTAGAGATATGATGCTGCCATAATGGGGGCAATTGGTTGCGAAGCCATCAAGATATGTTTTTTTTTACGGCTGGACTCTATTTAGTCCAGCACCTCTCATGATAAGGGAAACAATAGTAGATAGCTACCTCACTTAGAGGCTGCCCTATCATCCACTTTTACCTATCGTACACAAGCTTTTAATTTCGAAGTGTTGTAGTAGATATATCTAACGGGTAGGATCACTACACGGTCGGTGACTACAGTAGTTGTGGTTGAAGAGGATCTCTAAAGTAAAGCCATAGTATATATGTTAGAGCCAGCGGAAGTTTTAAGCTTGACGTTTAAACCAAGTTTTGGAATCATAGATTCAATGGTATCATTGGAGTTGTGATGATTGGTGCCTGTGTCTCGTTTTATACTTGGCGCCTATTCCCAGCTCCCCGAATCTTAGCCCTTTAGGATAGCTCTCCTTCTAACGAGTTGCTGTAGCCGTGAATGGGTTCTGGCTCCCACATTTGTCACTCTAGAACTGCTAGTTGTGATTCTGATATATATATGACAGTTGCAGTTAGCAGCTCCAAGTCGGGATAACCGTTATGGTGGAAAGTGACGGATCACAGTGGCACTCTCAAGCACAACATCTGCAATATGTTAGTGTAGCCTTCAACCCAAGACATTGGAGTGCGGGGGCGGGGCAGTTGTTTGCCAGGTGAAGCGCAGTACTACTTGGTATGTAGGTATCTAGGCTCCGATGCCTTGGTCTTCACTGTCGCACAGTAGTAGTAGTCGTACCGAGTGCAAGTAAGTATAAGTCGCTGGGCGAGATTTGTGTACACAGACATGAAATCTATCTTAGAGGCTGTCTCCAGGGTCCATTGCTCCATACCTCTACTACGTATGTTACTTCGATGTTAGACTTGAACATCCACTGCTCGCCATGGGAGATGATCCAGTGCGCGTGTGATTTGCAGGCTTGCAAACTTTACTGTGCAGATGGGCTACCTAGATATTGAACGCCGGCCTCTGCCTACAGTACTATAGTATGTAGTAGTAGGTAGGTATTTTTTTTAAGTTTGCTTTATAGTGTGCTTTGGCGGTAGTATGTCTACATTAGTAGTAGGTACCTTGGTAGTATATCTTAGGTATGTAAAAGGGCACATGATCGCAGATTTGGAATGGACCGAGATATAAACTTGCTAGCGCTGACAGATGCTTGTTTTGCTTTGATCAAGGCTTGGCCGCTTCACTGAGGTACTTAGAAGAGCTTTCCCAAGTACATGTAGTAGTATCTTACACAAAAGATACCTTCCGGTACCTTTTACAGTGCTCATACCTATCTGTTCATACATGCACACACTCCTACGCTATGCTATCTATACAAACAGATAATGGTAACAGGCAGTCGTGCTATGTAAGCCTTACCAAAGTGTAGGATGTGTTACTGTAGGTATCAGCAGATGTCAAGATGCGAACACATAGGTTCCCTGCTGTTCGAGTAGAAGAGAGCTGCCAGCTGGCAATACAAACCGTGATTTATCAGCGCGATTTATGTGCCAAGAGAGGCTAGTCGAGGTTATGCTTGTCACAGTAATCTGCCCCACACAGTACGATACGCTAATGAATAAACACTAGGTAGTGTGGGCACGCTACGAAGCCCTGGAACTTGACTTCGTCAACTCACCGGGCCTGAGACATGGGGGTGAGAGCAGGGGGCGGATGCACTAGGGTGATATATGTCTGCCCAATCACAGCGAGGCTGGTCGACTCTTTGGGAGTGTATCCAAATTGGGACTTTCAAGGGCCGTTCTTTCCATGCATTCAACAGCTGGTCAGCTGGTTAGTGCACAGAGGGCTGGAGTGGTGATAATCGGAGCATACGGAGTAGGCACTCATCCTCGCTGTTTCAACACGTCTTTTCTCTTCGTTGGCTAATCTTCCCTTGGGTCCCTTGAGTCCTTTGGGTCTCTTGGGCCCCTTCGGAGAACCAGGATAGCAGACAGAGCTGAGAATGCACATGGATACTTAGAGGAAAATACTAGTGCGCAAGATAAGATCTGTCCGCTACCTATTTCCCTCACACGCACACACACATCCTGTGTGGCACCGACTCGACTTACGCTCACCTGACTGGCCTGTTTAATGAACATGGATGCATGCTCGATTCCGCCATTGCTCACCGACCAAACGCCGGGCTGTTCCTACATGAGTCCCTACAAATAGCGTGGGCGCCACTACGAAGGTTGATGTGTACAGTATGATCATGGCACAGAATACATTTGCCTACAAGATATTGAACAGATATTGTGCAGTAGCGACATCGTTTTTTGCCTCAGACTGGTTAGGGCACAGCCAAACGAAACACGCCTTGTGGACCGTTCTGCAGTCTAAGGCTTGTGGGTGTGAACGCTACCACTGAAGAGCCCACCACCACCGAGAACCATTGCAGACTACTTACTTATGGTGTGCATAATAATACCTAAGTAGTTGAGTAAGTATGTCTGTCGTGTTAGGAAAAGGAACAAGGCAAAAATGGTATCTGCATTATGTAGCATAGGTAATAGAAAAGAAAGATATTGACCACACAACCGGCCATGAACACTGGCGGAAGATTGGAACCAGGCCATTGCTACACCTCGTACACCTTGAACCACCACAACACCTACATGTTCAGTAGATAGGGACTAGGGTCAAAATATTGAAGAGGTTGGATGTTATCAAGAGGGCAGCACAGGCTTGGTTCCCTCATGCAACGAGACCTCGGGAATGTCAATGCGGAACCAGGGAGTGCTGTCACCTGCATCACGTACGCTACGCTAGGTGCTGTGGAGGCAACAATGGGGGGGGAAGGGCCTGCATTCCCTGGCATAGTATATTGATGACTGTTCCTGTGATGGGGAAGACTTTGGACGTTGACAGCCATCGTACTGTTCAGTGTGTAGTGGTGTAAGTAAGTAGGTAAGTACATATCTCTCATATCAACGTACAGAAAGAAGGCTTGACTACTGTGGAGTTATATTGAATCTTATCCTATTACGATAGGTACTTAAGTACCTAGTTCACTTCGCGGCGAAACAAGCTCGAAAAGCTTCATAGCTCAATGAAATAAAATAAAATACTTGCTATTCTGGAGGCTGAAAGCAGGGCCTCGCCCCTATTTCTTGCTTCTGGAGCCCCAGACCGAGGACATGGCAGACATGGCAAGGCCGTCCATACTACGTACAGCAGGTACACTGCGGTAGTCTCATGCGACATTCGATAATACACCATCTATTGGAGTGGAAGTGCCAAAGAGATTGGGAATTGTTGTTGATCCTAGCCAGGGCGGGCAAAGCGCCGAATGTTTCCCCAGGATTTAGCGGTTGAAGAAACTTGCCAACCTTGGTTTGGCGCACGCGGCAGATTGACAACAACCCTTATGTCTTCGTTCCAACACGGCGGATTGCCCAACCAACCAAGCCCCCAAGAAGGGCTGAAGAATGATTTGCACACACTCTACCGAGGTTGGTACGCTCAGCTGCATCCATCGCTTCGCTGAGGAGATTACGAACCAGCTCTGCCATTGCGTGAAGAATCCCTGGGCAGTACTGGGACAGGCCAGAGGCTTCGAGGCCCCCAAATACTTACACGTATCTCGCAACTTCGGCCATTACTACTGGACAATCGCGCTGCATGATCTTTGGCCAGTTCACCCTCGAAACTGGCGGTGAGAGAGGCCACTGCCGCTCTAACGCGAGTTACGAGTTTACCATAGGGTGACCTTGATACTGCTGGTACAACTGTCCGGTTTTACACCTCGGCACTCATTATCCATTGGTGTAAATACACGATAGCTACCTACTGGGACGTGGTACTGAGTACCCGTACACTAAGATTCTCCACATGAACTTGATGGACGGAACTACAGGCCTGCAACCATGGTACTGACTAAGGCCAGCTTGCGTGGGAAACACCTTGTCTACATACAGTAGTTTTACTCACCTGGCCCTGTGCATGTAGGTATCGCGTATCCGGCGCGATCACTGAAAGCAAACTAGATTCGCGGGAACACCTGCGGCACGTCAGAATGCCGCTAGGGCTTGTGCTCTCCGTGCTAGCCGTCAAAGACGCTATCGTCTGCCAATCAATTGTGGCGAGCATCGAGATGGTGGCAGCGGGTGATAAAATCGGTAGTGGATCGTCATCTCAAGACTGTTCGACAGGCGACTAACCATGCATAACACGGACCTGTTGATGCATCGTAATTTAGATCTGAGCACTGTAGATAGTGAGCTGTCGTGTAGTAATAGCACCCAGTATCAGCAAACCCAAGGCGCCGGAACGTTGCCTCAAGAAGTGGTTTGCCGCGGTGTGATGATGCTCGCCCGCGCCCCGGCGAGCCCATGTCCGATTCCGCTCCGATCACCATTCCAATCTCCGCGTAGTGTTACGCAGGCCATCAGGTATTTCGTGTGTTAAAGATGGACAACACTTCTCCGCTCTGGAGGAACATCCGTCAACTCGCGGGCCGCTTGCTTCCGAGGCGCATATCTATTGAGGCAAGCGAGATCATCGATACCCACACGCATAGCGTGCCCACCAACCTTATCAATGGATTTCCGCCCAATGATAGAGCCAGATCGAATATTTGGACGGCTACACTTTGATATGAACTACCTTCCAAGGTATTAGGCATAACTATTCTTGTTGTTGTGCTATTGCGAGCTTCTATGATCCGATATTGGGAACTTGAACTGCGCTTACTGTGTAGAAGTACAACGTCTAAGTACTTACATACCAACATGGGAACATACCTACAGTAGGTTTCTTCGGGTGTCTTGCCTACAGCTATTTTAGTTTGTAACCCCCCGTCTCAGATCCGAGTTGCTGTGCAGCATCCTTGAATAGCAACACGATGATATGACAGCCACATGAGTTTGTCCGATGTCATCTTAGGAGCCGCATGAAACGAGCCTGGCTAAGTATGGTGTGAGTATGCATATGATTCAAGAATAACGTGGCTCAGGTAACAGTGAAGAGGAGCGCTGCAACCAGGAAGATCAGCCGAGCTCTGTTTTTGGCCAGCACTCGGATTAATCTACCTACTGTCTAGGTAGGTATACAACAATTAATCGAGCGTTATCAATGGGTAAGTAGATAGCTACGCAGTATACACATTCGAGTTGCAATCAAGGTATTGGCCCTTTATTTCCCGTTTCGCACGGCGGGTTCAGATATCTAACCGCCAATTGGTGGACCAACCGCCCAAAGTCCGAACAGAAAAATGCGGCGCATACTCGCTTGGTGTTTCGCTGACGTGTGCGAGTGGCCGAATAAGATACAGGCTGTAAGTAAAACAGTGTGATAGGTAGGGCACCCTGGCCCCGACCAGCATCACATCGTCGCATCTACCCGTACTTTTGCCTCAGAATCGGCTACGGCTCCCCCTGATTAGCATCACGCTGAAACCACAATTGTCTTGGAGTCCCGCATCATTTTGGCCTGTCCCAACGCCCACCCATGCTTCAGAATGCATCGTACTAGAATCATGCCAACGCGCGTGGATAGTGTAGCCATCTCTCCTATTCGCTTGCTTGCTTGGAGCACGTTTCTCTGCGAAGCTGGCCAGGGCCCATCAGACCATCAATGCCCCCCCTCGACTGCGCTGTCTGAGATATGCCTGTAAAATTAGCAATGCGTGATAAGTGAGTAGGCCATTCATTGCAACTAGTAGTGGATTGTACCGTGGATACAGCCTGAGACCAGCTAACAGTGTGCTGTGTGTGGAGCGTTGGTGTTTCTCAGCCTGTCCAGCGCTTGTGTCCTCGTATCATACCCCGTCTCATGTGTTCCTTGCGTCCTCTACTATCGCTTTCGTCCGCCTCATGCACTTTCCCTTCTTTTCTACTCGCTCTGGCTCTTCAGTCGAGACTGTCCTTTTGATCGCCGTTCATTTTGTCGATTAATATTCGGCCTTACGTTCTTTCTGTCGCTGGCTCGTCATTAAAAGCAATATTTTATTTTAGTTTTATATCTCCCCTTCTTGAGAACCACCGATAATCAGTGAGGACATTTCGATTCGTAGAGGACGCCGGTCGTCACTTTTTACATCAGTTCTCTGCATTCCGACAGGGTCACGAAGGACACGTTGGAGGAGATACGGGCTCGGCCCTAGGATTACTTGAGAAGAAGCGGAAAGGAGGTGAAAATTAGGAGGGGCATCGTTCGAGGTCTGGATCAACGGCAACGTCACTTCTCATCGGCATGATCAAAATGGTCAATAAGGTATTGGCAGCGTTTATCGGCGTCGACATCGTCTTCGCGATTACCGGTGCCATTATCGTAGGTTTCTCCGTAATTGTCAGGAACACATGCTTCGACCCTCCGATCGACGGCCACGAGGCAGCCCGTGATCTATTATACCGGCAATTTCCCCTCACAGGTGAGCAAGGAATACTGGGGAGCGAACGAAGGGAAGAGGACCGCAACACAGCTAACACTATCGCAGCTGGAATCGGCAATGGTATCTTCACGTTCGTTGCCTTCATCGCCACCCTACCAGCTTTGGCAACCAATAGTCGCACCTGGCTGAAAGCCGCCGTCTGTTTGATAGTGGTCGATGCACTATACACATTGGTTATCGGCCTGCAGTTGTGGATTCTCACGCTGCGCATCAAGGAGACCTTTTTCGGCATTTGGAAAAACCAAACTGAAGATGTCCAAGGTTTCATGGAAGAGGCCGTAAGTGAAGATCCATATAGCTGTGAGCGCCCGGGGTTCAATTCTAATTATTTTATCAGTTTAACTGCTGTGGCTACTTTAACAGCACCTCGCCAGCTTTCAAAACCAATCCCACTTGCCCCAGCCCAGCTACCGCTGCATTAATGACGGGCTGCGCGACTCCCTTGACAAGGTTCAGCAACACTTTCGTCGACAATATCTTCACTGCATTGTTCGCCATTGTTGGCGTGGATGCGGTACTCATCGTTGCTGCCCTCTGCTTATTGAAGGAAAGGAAAGAGATGGAACGTTACCGGCATATCGACGAGAAGACCGGTGCTCGAGGCACATTTTAGACAACGGGATTCACATTCTAGTCTCCTCCGTACCGTATTCTACGTGGGCTCACGTCGACTACCAACGGTCCATGCCAAAAACTCACAATCAGACCACCAATGTTGGTTGGGCCGTATGGAGACGATGCAAGCTTGCTTTTGATTTGTTTGCACCCATTTAGTCATCCAGCTATCAACTGGCATTTGATATATACCTTCTTTATTCGATTTAAGCGTGTGTTTGAATTCGGCTTGTTCATATTGAACCTCATTTTCGCGTGTATAGGTTAGTTAGATGCAGATGATAGAAAGTAGGGAGTATATGCTTGAAAATAAAAATACATATAGTCTGCTCAAGCGGATGTTAATTTTATTTTTTTGAGGCACAATTCATTAGTGACTAGTTATGCAATCAGAACATTTACGTGTTACTTCACCTAGACCTATGAATAAGAGTTCGCTAAGTATAGTTTGTTGGCTCTTCTAATTGCTTGGATGCTTTACCAGTCTAGTCATGAAACGTCCAAATTAAAGCCGGACTTCAGCTAATTCATCTGACTACCAACATGTCACGCCCGTTGCGATTATGTTCATTGAGAATGAAAATGTATTGAAAGGATAGTTATCTACTAGTTTCGAAATGCTCGCAAGCAAGCATCTCTGTAGGAGAAAAGACACCATTTGTCAAGTCGACCCGCGAGAGATATCGGTAAAGACTAGTGATACAACAGCCAGTTTGTAAAATACCAAGACCTGAAACCCACGCCTTTCTCCTACAACTCGCTTGCTGAGAAACAGTCGAAAAGGCAATGGCCATCGGGCAAAACTGAACCTTTAAGTCCCTTGACTGTGCTCTTCGCTTGCTGAAGAGCAAGTCAAGGGATGTCAAGTTCCAGAGCGCATTATGAAGTGAACGGTAAGTTATCATGGATAATAAAACCACTTGAACAAACCCAGATCCTCATGACATCGTAAGTCGTTGTCAAATTGGTAACATTCTGACCCCCCACAACACAAATTCTCCGCAATGTATTTTGCATATTCATGCAGTCGGGTATAAGAAGGATTGCACTGGGAACAGGCCAATCCAGCACTCAAGCCACGTCGCCAGGAAGTTTTTGGTGCTAGCGACGGCTGGAGAACTTAGAGATGGGTGACGAGAGTAAGGAGATAAAACCCTCTCTTCCCAGCTCGCAGGCGCTTCCAGCAGAAACGACTAAATCATCCCCGAAGAGAACCAAGATCAATCGAAGTCGAGGCCGGGGGTTCGCGACAGCGGAGAAGACAACATCACCCCGCGGCGGGCGATATGAAGCAATTCAAGGCCGGAACGCCGTCACATTTCGCACAACAGATGCGACTCTCTCTAGCATCTTCCGCAGATATTCATAATCCGAGAGCGTAGTGGTGCATCGATCGAACAAGAGATAAAAGTAGAAGGAAGAAAAAGGATCATGCTGAGGAAGGCAAAGCAGCGTCCTCGGGCCGAACAGCAGCTATCAAGCCCAGCTGCACGGGGTTCGCGTCGATTCATCGACGCCGGCAAACGCGCGCACAGAGCGCTCTGTTTCCGAGATCTCTACCGTCTCAATCCGGAGGCGCCGGGACGCGGAAGCTGCACGGTGCGGCGGAAAGATGAGGGGTGCCGCTGCAGGAAGGGAGCTCTTCGTCGAGATCAGATTGCGTCGATCGAGTGTTGCTGAGCTGTATTCGGGACCGAAGCGACGACAAACGGTGCTCAAGACCACCGAAGCGATCGAGCGGGTTCTTCGTTACTTCGGAAAATTGACAAGAGAGCATGGAGCGTGGTGAGCTAGACTCCGTTGGGCATTCGAAAACGGCTCGAAGCTTCTCTCGAGATCAATCGATCAGTCGACGAGTGCATCAGCACTTAACATTACAGCGCCCAGAGTCGGAGCAAGTTCCGAGACTGCTGGAAAGGAGTCCAGCGTCGATCGAAAATGCTTCACAAAACTCGGGGGACCTGTATCCGCGGTCCGCACGGGGTGCTCTGGGGGCGCCATCTTGGGTCATGAAGAGGAGCGAGGCGAAGGGGTCGCTCAATCGCTCAACTCTTGATCCCACCGTGGAGACTATTCGTACTGCCACAGTGGGAGCCGACCGCCTGCTCGACCTCCGGCACAAGGGAAGGAGATGGGGTTTACGGTCGACTGCCTAAGCGAGCATACTGGAGAGAAAAGAGGAGAAAAGGACACTTGGAGGGGGTGGGATACGGCTGTATTAATTAAATACCACCACCACCACTGATGGTTCAAGCATGTACGTCACGCTGAACAGGGGTTGCCACCCTTCACTTACGAAGTAGTGAAGACTCTATCTAGCCTTCGAGGGCTGGCCCTGCCCTTATCCCCTTTCACATAAGTTGTACCCTTCACACATTTACCCAGCAGGCCAACCTACATAGCGATAGACGCAAGAGGAAGCATGTTCAAATAGGAACATGCGGGGACAACAGCTAAACTGCCAAACTCCTGAAGACGATCGAGCGTAGAATCGTAGTAGGCGATAGACTGTACTTTTACGTCATATCAAGGTATCAGGCAACCTGCAGTTCCAGTCAAGAATAGGTAAATCAGGTTTCTAGCTAAAGCTTTGCCTATTCCAACCTTCCCCACCTCCGATTACGTCGTCAAGCCACACCCCTCCAACGCCATCGTTACGGTCATAAATGGTTCGTTAGGCCTGGTTAGGTAACACCTCCTACTATGTACATACAATGCTCGAATGGATCCATGGATGGAGAGGTGCGTGATGGTGTGGTGGAGGTGGCTTGATTCTGCGTGAGACAACGCCACATTATGATGACATATCCTTCCTAGGCTCCTCCTACTTGTCCACTTGTCCCATTCATAAGTACAAAAACTGCGTATTTAGCAGGAGGTTTTGCCGATAGGTACACAATACAAAGACAGACATCTATCATATGAGTGTGTTTTACTAGTAAGCTACAATACTTAGGGTACAACTAAAATATAGCTGTAGCATGATCAAAGTTCAACCAATCCCAAAATTAGTAGGATTGGTAGAAATGAGAAGCACTTGAAAAATGTGTACATAAGATGCAGGTTGAATTCGTCTCACACAACCGGACTATTTGCACCGGCGTCTGCCACCGCAAGATGTGACTAGGTTTCAGGGCACGTACATGTACATGTACAGGAGACAATATCGTACCATGCGACAGGAAAAGATAATTGTAGAAAGACCAAGAAATCGTGTCAGGTGGTCTAGATCGTGATCCGACCGGTCCCCTGTCAAACGTTCGGAAGCTAATGCCATGTCGCTCTAAACTAAGAATGCCGAAATGGGTAGGTAAGCCGGCAATAGGAAGAGAAGATAGCTAGCTTATGACGTCGATTCGCGAACAAAAGTGCCTCCTCTTCGTTATGAAGCATGTCACAACAGCTCGTTTCTATGCCGTATCCTGCATCGCGGTACCTGGTAACCACATGTAGGTAGATGAATTAAATTGGTACCTCGTCAGATGCTGCAACGAGGGGGTTACATACTCCCGTCCGTCCCAGATCCTATTGGACAAATGTCAAGATCTATGACCTAATTCCTCAGCTCTCGTTGTGCACATCCATTACCGTGCTTGTCCGTGCCAGCCTCTAGTGAATCATGGCATATCGGAGAACCTTCTATTCGTATACCACGGTTTTGCATGCGTTTTATCTTTTCAATTAAGTAGATGGCTCTATGTATGAGCACATGTCATGCGTGATGATCGTGGTCTCCTCTGATACGCCACTTGCCTTGTCAGGCACATTGACGACTGGAAGCTCAATAGCCCCCTCAGTCTGATTGATTTGATACGTCACAGACAGCTACTACTGGTACTTGCTCATTTCTATCTAAATATTTAAGGTTCGAATGACTCGGTCTGTGAAGCTTTCCTCATCATTAACCCATACAAACGCAAATATCAATCAACAAATCAACCAACCTAGATCCTAGCGCAACAACACCACTAGGCATCCTATCAAACCATAACCAATCACCAAAACACCTCGTTACCAACGGTTTTCGAACCAAGACTTTCAAAATGGGTGCTGTTCTCAGCTGTGTAAGTTCAACCATGCAGAAGTCCGTCCGACTTCTGTCCCCGCGCCTGGCTCAATTAGATAAGCCGAGCTAACACATGCCGTCAACGAACAGATTCAGAGCATCTTTCGCACGATCGGCAGCGTACTAATGGCCATCGTCAACGGCGTCGGTAACATCCTGCACGCCATCATCAGCGGCATCGTGTCATTCTTCGACATCCTCATCAGCTTCTTCACCTGCGGCTACTGCGGCGGCCGACGTCGACGCATGGGTGGCACGAGGGGAAGGCGTCATCATACCACTACAACAAGTCGGATCTAAAGGCTGAGGGAGGATCGATGGGGAGAAAGAAGTAGTGGAGGACCGCATGGAATGAATTGAAAGAACAGAGCGAGAGTTTTGGCAAGTTGGAATTGACGATGGCTACGAGATCACGATACCCATACCCCCGGCACTTTTTATTTAGACGTTTTATTCTCCATTCTTGAGCATGAATATAAATTCATAAATTATACAATAATATGGATCTCAAGTCGTGACATTAGAGGTGGAACTATGTAAGAAGATCGGGAACTCGTACTGAACAGCTAGTTCATTATGACTATAATCTCACGATGCGCTTAGTTATACTACATTATGATATTTTCCATACTAACATCTTTATATTTTCACCACGTCTCCTCATTTCAACTCTGGAAACCCAGTCTAGGTATTCACAAATCTAAATCGATGAGATTCCGATTGAAAAAGCCATGAACCTTCCTCGCTGCTTCCTTGCCAATCAGGGCATCTAGCTCTTCAATTGTCATATTGGCGACGTCTCGTATATTCTCTGTCTCTAGGATGAGATTCTTGAGGTTCTGAGGGGTCACGCCGGGGACAACACCCAACATCTCCTGAGGCTCGAGGTTGAACGCCTGGTCTTCCGCCTTCATATCCTTGTCGAGCCCCGCACGCACGGCGGCGATAGGATCAGGTTCGGGCTCCTGCGTCTTAAGATTCTCAAAGATTTCGGCCGTCTGGTAAGGACTGCTGCTCCAGATAATACGGAGACGCGGAAACGCGAGGGTGAGCAGCACGATTTTTGACTGAAGATCCGAGGGCGCCTCGTTCGGGTTGACGGACCGCATATTCCCTGACAAGTCGGCAAATGGCTCCAACGTAAATGACTTGTTTTGGTCAAACTCAATTAATAGCATAGGGTTCTTGTAATGTTGGAACATGGTCTCCGCTTGGTTGTATAGCCGTCCGTCCTTAAATGAGCTGATGAGATCGCTGATAGACTTACGCTCGATACAAATGTTAGGTGATAGAATGTAGTCCGCAACGGTCAGCATGCAAGGTATGACATTCAGGTTGCGGCCATGGAGTAGTGATGGCAATGAGGAGCGGAATTCTCGTACGTCGACAACAACCCTCGGCTGCTCAGCTGTTGCGGTCAAGCGCCCACCGCCAGCTATTCGCGTGTTGACTGTTCGTAAGAACGCTTCTTGGGGGTCTTCTACGCCATGTGCATCAACGGTCATGACGACAGACATGCTAGCACGCTCTTTGATGAGCTTCGTGAAGCAATCCTTCTCCCGCCGAACTGACGCAAGATAACGTTGTTCCTCAACAGAACTACCGTAGAACATGAAATATACCCGAACGTTCCGGTCATTATGTGAAGATCGATAAACTTCAACTCGCCGTATGAATGAAGCATCTGGCTCGTACATGATAATGTAACGGGGCCTGATCTCTTCAAGGACATGTTCATCTTGGTCACCATCGTAGGCGTGTATCACGACCAGGTCCTGCATATCATAGAGTTCGAAATAATCATCCATATCCTCGAGAGGATCGGCGATTATCTCTGCTTTCTGTCCCGCTTCTTCCTCTAGCATCTGTACTTCTTCCATCAGATCCGCCACCTCGGCAGGTTTCTCAAAATATTGTGCAACACTTCCATCGGCTGTCCGACTCGGTGCATTAGAACCCACTACGCCACCACCCCGTATTCGCCGCCTCTTGTTTGCGGGTGCCCTGCCTTTATAGCCGCCTCGAGCTAATCTCGGATCGACTGCACTCTCCAAAGCTTTCTGATTCTCGGAAAATAACTCGTTGTTCACCTTGGCGAACTCGCGTTTCCAATTAAGATAATTGCGGAGTTTTCTCCTCATCATGAAGGAAGCGGAGGGTTTGTGGTCTTCTTTCTTTAGGTTTGGGTTTTCGTCTGTTTTCGGCTGTACGTGCATGGTCTGCAGATAATCTCGGAGTTGGCGGCAGGTTGCCGTATCAGAACACATGATTAAAATTGTTTGGTTAGAGTCACCACGAATCGCGGGCTCGAAGTAGAGATCTCGGTCAATCTCCTCGAGGATCTCGGCTAAGAGGGCCCACTTTGGTTGCTCTTCGAGCACAGGGCGGAGGGAGTCAACTGAACTCCGGGCATTCACGTTTGCCTTATTAGCAGCATAAACTCGTTGCTTGGCAGTGCTGAAGATAGTATTTGCAGCGTCAAGGAATAACCAAGGTGACTGGTTTTGCCTCGTTGAGCCAGGCTGTGGCGAATGCGCCGCATGAATAGTATCTAATTGTTGGAGGAATGACACAGCATCAAGCGCTAATACAGAATGCAACAAGCCTCGAAGAACAGTCAAGTCACCGACTATTTGCTTCGTCTTCCAGCTTACCCGATGCCAGTTGGGATCCAGTTGGCGGCGAACCATGACATCGAAATTCTTCAGTAAAGCGCTATCGAGATTCCAGTCATCCATCTCCAGACCGCTGTTTCCCTTTTTAAGTTCATGAATGCTTACTTCAACACACTCCATGATGGCTTGTTGTATCGCGTTCATGTCATCAGTCATGGGAACTTCAAGCTCGATTACCTCGGCCTTCTTTTTCCCCTCTAGAGACGTGGCGACGGTCATATGGAAACGAGGCCATAGGGATGCCTTGCGCAAAAACATGTTTCGCATCATTGTAGCTAAAGGGGAGAACCCAATGGTAAACGACTCGGGGTTATCAGAGAAGGCTTTAAGAAAGCCCGTCTTGTTTTTCTGGCGGTATATGCGAAGGATGAAGGCTTCCAAAGCGGTAGCAACAACTTTGTCGGCATGTAGTAAGATGATGCCGGTGATGCTCTCTGTCCTGAGCAGGCCAGTCAAGAGGTCGACGACGAGGATTCGCGACGTGATGCTATAGATGCCGCCCTTGGCATACATTTTCTCTCGCGCAGCAACGCTGGTAAAATCGGTGTTGACGACTGTCAGACCCCTGGCCTTTGGTGCCATGCTAATGGCAGCATGCTCCGCCAGTGCCTCTCCAATCCAGGCATTCTCCCTATCATCGGCACCAACGATTATAACGAGGTTATTGCCGGCGGCGTCATAGCTGTGGAGGAGATTTGTAACCAGGCGCATAAGGCCGAGGCCCTTCGCAATCACGACGAGTTCATCTTCCGCTCGGAGCTCTTGGAAAAGATGTTGCTGGTACTCCTACGGCGAGAGTGATTCGTTAGTGTGCTAGTGGCTCCTAGGACATTTCTGCGGATGTTGCTCATGGATTGCCATACCAAGGGCAGTGATAGTCTCACTGGTTGAGGAGCATTGCTTGCAGACATGCGGGGCACGTCTCTGTTGAAGGTAGTGATGGTAGTAGGCAGGGTTCAGCGAATGGCGTGCATGTTGGATGGAGAATGTGACATATGCCTACGGGCTACCGAATGAGTGAAGAGCTACCTAGCGGCTGAGTAGCGAGGAGTAGGTAGATCGATCATTGGACATCTACGGGCGGCAGCGGCGGGATGGTGAGATACCGTAGATGGCGGGCGTTCGATTCCGATATTGGACTAGGTGCCTGGAAAGAGGAGTTTGACACCCGGGCCCAGGACCAAGGAATGCGAAATCCGGGGTACGCGCATCGCATCATTACCTCTGCTAGCTATGTAGGTATGTACTATGTATGCGGCGTTAGCTGCCGCCACTTCGACGCCGAATCACGAGACCTGCTTACATGTATTTGATGTCAGGGTGCGGGATACGTCATCGTCGACGCAACCGTGTGACAACAGATCAAGGCTGCAGTTTTACTTATAAAGATGCCTAAGAGGGGCGCTTTCTCTAACATATATTCCAATCTCAATCTCCAACCGAACACCAATATTGAATCATAAGATACCTGCTCGCTATTGTAAGAATCAGAAGAAACGGTCAAATAAACTAGCAACACATTGCACACTACCTAGTCAAAATGCCTGACAACTCTACCACTCAAGTATGTCTTGCCTATTCAGAATCACATGGGTTCTTCTCTACCTTCCAATCTAAGTTCTCCCTCTTGTTTTCTCTTCCAAATAAGGATGCTAATGAAACTCTATATCAGACTGGAAAGTCCAATGCCGATGCTCATCAAAACCCAGTGAGCAAGGGTATTCACGAGGCGGTGGATCAGGCGAAGTTTCAGGCCCACAAGGCAGCGCCTGGCCCTGCGGTTCCTCAGAACATGCCCGAGCAAGAGGGAACAAAGGAAGAGCGACAAGCGAAGGCGCAGGCCTTGAACAAATAGAAAAAGGCGTTTGATCACAGCATATTATGATTTGAGAGAAGCCTGACGGGCGTACCCCAGGCATCTGAGAATTATGGTTTAATTACACATGGGACTATTTTTATGATCGATACGACTCTCACGAATAACAAAGAAACTGCCGTTCAGGTCCAAAGACTGCTGCCTGTGATTCTGTCTCTACACATCTACATAGTAATAAGACATTGCAAACTAGATTTCATTGCCATTGTATTGCACATTACGCAATTGGGGATGCCTACGTACCTCAGCTGAACTATCTGCTTGGCCTCATCTGGCCTCGACAGAGTTATCATAGGTACATTTAGGCAGCGTTACTTGTCTTGAGGTTGTACGCGCGTCAGAGGCGATTTGGAAAATCATTCCACTCAAACACCTGCCTTGTATGTAGGTATGATTTGTACAGATATCAGCCATTTCTACTAGTAGCTCTACCATACATCTACCTACCTACCTACTCGCCTACCTACATAGGTACTGCCCAAGTATGTACCTGTGTGTCGTGGCAGTGCGACAATGAGTATTTGTTCCTAGATCTAGCAATTCTGAGTACTACCTATGTATGTATCGAGTCCCTACTCCACCCAGACACAGACCCCTTGTTCAGTGGCTTTTTCTCTGGTTTGTCTTTTGTGGCGGTGTAGAAGGAGGCGAGTACCTACGGAAGGTTCACTGGCGAGACTGGGCTGTCTGTCACAGCTGGTGGGGTAAAGCGTGGCTTCTCTTCATCTTGGCATGGAACCAAATTGAATTGTTGGATGCCTTCCTTCTTTTAGCGATCCACTGATTGGCGATAGCCGTTTGGTTGGATTCATGACGGTAGCACTACAGTAAGGACTAAGCAAGGTAGCCCCCCCATTTCACCATTCATCTATTCAGCGGCCTACCTACTATACTCAGTACATCCATTTCTACCTACGTACAACGTAGCCCGTTGTATCCACGGAGCTCAACATCCCCCCAATCATCATCAGTAGGTTACCGGCTCACTTATCTCTGCTTTGTCTGCCGTTGCTGGCATTTTATATGATATCTTTGCCGACAATTACAATTCGTCATTTCCTCTACCTTCTCCGTTCGCTCGGGGAGTTCCCTCCGAAAGGTCGGCTCCCTCTGCCATACCCGACATTGCTCCATAACACCGCCCAAGTCGCCGCGTCTTCCTCCAACGTCGTCGACTCCTGACGACCATCGATCGCTCTTCGCTCTGTATTCACGAGCGCCGGCCGCGCTGAACCCCTTTGTGCGTGCGGTCGCTTTCAAGGAAACTGTCTGTCGTATTCTGTAGGACTTCGGACTGTCGATCCCCCATGGTAGCCGAATCCCGACTCCGAACAGCTCATCACACGACCCCTTCTTCAGTTAAATTTCGCCGTGGGCGAGCCTGGCCCCTACTCGCCTCACCTCGCTCTTGATAAGAAATGCCCTCTATTCTCAACGAGGAGGATAAGGAGACCGTCAAGCGAGTCGTCCCTAAGCAATCCAACAAGATCCAAGCTGTTGCCGTTGCCAGACTCTATGTCGCGTACCCAAACAGGCAAAAATGGACCTATACTGGATTGCAGGGTGCTGCCGTCCTCGCCAATGATTTGGTGGGGAACACGTACTGGATCAAGATGGTAGACATATCAGTGAGCATCTTATAGCCATCACAGATTGAGATATGCCGATGTACTAATCTTTCTATAGCCTGCTGGTCGGGGTGTCATATGGGATCAGGAGCTCTTTGATACGTGGTCTTACAATGCTGATCGCACCTTCTTCCACACCTTCGAGCTCGAAGAATGCTGGGCCGGGCTGTCTTTCGTCGATGAGAAGGAAGCAAAACAGTTCAAAAAGAAGATGGACGACAGGGAAAAGAATGCTTCTAAAGCTACCAAGAACACTCCATTTGGTGGAACAACTCAGCGGCATCAAAAGTCTGGCGGCTTCTTAAGTGGCCTCTTTGGAGGCCATAGGCACGTCTCCAATCCGACTCCGCCCGAGTCGCCGCGAAACAGTCTCCCATTGATGCAGCCCCATGCAAGAACATCTTCCTTGAATCTCAACAGCTATCTAAAGCCTTCCTCTGAATTTGCTAAGCTAGAGGCATACGATCCGAACTGGCGGCAAAATTTTGGGAATTTCCTGTCTGAGCAAGGGCTTACGGATGACTTCATCAAAGAAAATCAAGATTTCATTGTTGAATTCTTGAAAGAGGAAAATGAAAAGAAGACAACTTCTGCAATGCCGGCACTACCACCTCCTCCCATGCCACCGGTGAATGGAAGCACTGGAAGTATTGTAAGCACCAGTAGTAGCGGACATGGTCGAGCACCGCCGCCGCCGCCGCCACCTCCCGCCGCTGCGCGACCCATATCTGAAAGCATCTCTTCATCTTCTGGCTCTCGTCGTGGCGCGCCTCCACCTCCTCCCGCCCCACGGAGATCTGGCAAGCAAGAGACCGTACAGCGCGAGCCAACACCTCCTCAGGAACCCACACCCCCAAGGCCTCGTTTCAACGCCCCTCCTGCCCTACCCGACGCTGGTAAATATGCACAGGCAGACCCCCCTCGCGCGGCGCCAGCAGGGCCGCCTCCTCCTCCGCGACCACCCAAGACACCGATTGACGAAAGAGAGGCAACTACTCAGAAATTTGGTGTTCCTCCCGTCTTTACAGGCCAGAGATTGAACAACGTGCCTCCTCCACCTCCAGCAAGGGGTCCTGTCCCTCAACCGCCTCCGCGCGAACAACCGCAAGCTATGCCCCCCCCTGTGCCAGCTGCCTCGAGGCCAGTGCCTGCACCTCCCCCCAGGAATACACCACCTCCACCTCTACCACAATCATCGGTGCCACCTCCGCCTCCTCCGCCTCCGCCTCACCCGTCAAAAGCTGGCGTCCCGCCGCCGCCACCTCCTCCACCTCCTCCCCCATCCAATCCTGGAGTGCCGCCTCCGCCTCCGCCGCCGCCTCCGGGTCCGGGAATACCACCGCCACCACCGCCACCGCCACCGTCTTCCGTTCCAGGAGGACCCCCTCCGCCTCCGCCGCCACCTCCAAATCGCGACTCTGGTTACTCTTCCGCCACGCCTGCAGGAGCTGGGTCTGGGGCAGACTCGGGACGCAATGCTATGCTGGCAGGTATCCAGGCAGCTGGTGGTATTGCATCTCTCAAGAAAGTAGATAGGACCCAAATCAGAGATAGGAGCGGGGCTGCGGTTCCCGGAGCAGATACGGGCCCTCACGGCAGTGGACTCCCACCAGCTGGCGTCAACCCTGGAGGGCAAGAGGGCGGTAACATGGCTGACGCTTTGGCGAGGGCTCTACAGCAACGACAAGTCAGAACTCGCGGTAGTGGTAAGAAACTCCCCTCAGAACACTCGTTTTGTATTTCCTGCTGATCATTTGCTACAGACGACGAAAAGAGCGACGACGAATGGTAGAGTCTTATCGAGGTTGCTCGACTGCGCCGGTCTAAAAATGAGGCGCCAAATTAGTGGAGGCTTACTCCGGTCTGAGCGCGCTCGCAACAATAAGAAGAGCCCGGGTTGTAATACTACGACCACGTGGATTATATATTTACGAGAAAGCCGATGTATCCTTTTCTCAGATGCGCCCTACATTACTCTTGACATATCCATTTTCACGGCAAGGCGATGAAATGATGCGACGTCTCGATGCTTTTCAACACTCCTCAGCGAACTAATTTTGTGAACTCGTATTAAGATTCCCTCCAAGCTTTTACGATTTTTACACTTGAAAAGCCTCTCGTGTCTAGTTACGATATTGCTACCAAAGACAGATCCAATAGATCCAGACGCTGATCCGATGTTTCGGCTCAGACGTTAAGGGAGGGCCAATCACAACGTTTTTATATTCGATAACCACTGGATGCATCAGAGGAAACGAAGATGAAAGCTTCTGCCGGAAACTTACGGCTCTCTATACTTCCCATCCTGAAACTACGTTTCTAGCACATAGATGTAGTGGCGAGTGCACAAAGCAATGGAAAGTAGTGGAGTGATCAAGCGTTGAAAGAGGTTAAATTTTGGAGATAGATCAATATAAATAAATCAAAAGAGAATATTATTCAAGCCGCGAATAAATCTTTGCAAGTGTCATAACAGGTGCGGTATAACGAAACTGGGTAGGTATTTTTCTAGATCCAGTGAGGGCCACGTCATTTCATACTTACTCGCTTTATAAGTCATTGGTTCAAGCTACGAATCCAAATGCTCATTACATATGCGAACAAATTTCAAACGTAGAGGAGTCATATGCACAGAATACTGAGAGAATGCATTTCCATATTCATGACTAACGACAACCTAGGATACGGAAAGTTCGACAGAGTTATGCAGAGAAAAAGAAAAGACGATGATGAAAACGAAAACCCTCGCGACGAGTTGAATGACGTCTCTCCCGCCATGGACTCGATATCCTTCCAAATTACAAGCGTAGAAGCGGCTCCTATCAAACGCCTACACCGTCTAAGTTGCTGTCGGGGAACCCACACGAACGACCGTTGCGTGGGTTAGAGAGAGAAGACAGGCTCGAAGGCTCCCAGGGTATCCCAACCGAGGAATCTTGTGATAGAAATAATTCCTCGGTTTCAGAGGGATGGTAGCCCCCTCGTTACTCGTAATACTTTCTGCCGTTATGGCCGCCTTATCGCATATTTCGTGGCCGTGATGGAGGGGATGAGCTGGCGAGTACTGATGAGATAGACGGACAGTACTTGTAAACCCGCCCCCAAATGGGCACTTTCCCCCCCAGCTTGAACCCCCATTGTTGATGATAAATTATGCTCTCAGGCCCACAAGGTATGCAAGTAGTAGCGTAAAGGGGAAGAAGTTGGCGGCTGGTTTAGATGTCATCGATCTCAATCTCCTTGTTGTTGCCAGAGTCCGATTCGTCGTCGTCGGATTCCCGGTCGTCGGCGAAATCGAAGTTGCATTCGCCCTCGTCGCCGGGACCGTAAGTATCGGTCTCATTGATTCTAGCGCTCTCCGGAAGTTCACCGTAGGACTAGGGGCTAACGTTAGTATACTTATTATTGTACTTCAGGATGTTCATGTCGGAGGTAGAAGGGTATGTGACATACTTTCAGTGTTCGGGCTTCGTCAGCTGTGTATTTGATGAGAACATCGCCCTTGTCGTCTTGGTAGTCACGGAGCGAGAGTAGTATGATCTGATGAATGTCGGTCAGCAGGGTATGGTAGTGGTGATGTAGGTCATTCGTATACTTACGTCGCCGTTATTGATCCAGACCTTCTTGCGTAGCTTGCCACGAATGTGGGCAAGACGCGTCTGCCCGTCGAAGCAAGAGCATGAGAGGCGGCCGCTACCAAGCATCTTGACTACCTGGGCATACTCTTGGCCCTCCTCCTTGAAGCTGTGATTGGATTTGTCAGTCGAAATAAAAATGCCTGAATCCGATTATGTCATAGAACCTACACAAGTTCTCGCTTCTCCTTGTCGCTCTCGTTCTTACCCCTTCTTCGATTCTTTCCTCCCTATATGGATTAAGCATGTCAGTTAACCGTCGAAGACAATACACTGGCGAGTTTGATGATGCAAGTGTTTGGTGAACGAGGATAGTGTCGTGAGGCGGGTCGAAGGGGGGGAGGGGGGCAGTGTTGGACTGTAAAACGTGGGAAGGGGGGGGACGTGTAGGCGTACCTTTCCCTTATTCTTAGGCATGTTGACAAGGCCACTCGCTGTCGAGCGCGACGCTTTGCAATAGAGATTCTGGTTGTTTTCTGCGGTGTACGGGTTGAGAGGGGGCGCAGTGTGTGCGGATGAATGGGAAGAGTCTCGTTGTGATGTTGGTGTGTTGGTCGGTTGGTTGGTTGGATGACGGATGGACGATGTGGATTTAAATGCGAATGGACGGATGGTGGGATGTTTTGTGGCGACGAGGGGCTTTGTTATCGGAAAATCCTGGTTTTAAGTCCAATGAGCAATGGCCGGCGGGCTGGGTGGGCCCGGGAGGCTGTTTATAGGCGGCTTGTAGGAGCTTGTAGGGGGTGCTGGCAGGAACGCTAGGGCAGGAGTGGCTTAGCGGTTCGGCCGACCTTACTCCCTTGGCCGTTTGTACCTACAGCCTGTAGCTTGTAACTACCCATGCTCGCCATGTATCTCCAGACATGTACATGATTAATGCTGCATTCTAACCCAGATGAGCAGTTACTATGCAAAATGCCTACAGGAGGCACACGTGTGGTGATAATAGGCGTCTGAATACCTACCTAATGTAAATGCCTAAATACTTGCCTAAGCCAGTGCTGCCAGGGAAGCTTGTCGACATGAGTACATGTAGAGATGCCGCTTAGAGGCGGGGTGGAACGGCAGCCTCAGTACCTCCTTTTTTTTTTTTTTTTTTTTTTTTTTTTTTTTTTTTTAATATAACTCTTCACACGAACTGGCCCGTGCAGTCCGTGTACCTACAACTACAACGATGCATTGTTAAACACTCTGTATAGGTACCTCTTTATTTCTACGCCAATCACATGTCCGCGTACTGTCTTCACTTCTACTCTGCCCAGGTGGCCCATGTGAATGGAACTTAAAGTCTCGTGCGAGAGCTTTAAACTTTGTCCCAAATCCTCTATTACCACTGTCACTGTGGTCGTTGTTGCAGTAACCCGAACATGGGCTGCCAGCAGCTCAACTCTTCTCACATCTCCCGACCAAATTCATGAAGAGGACTATATCCCGGCTGGCCTCTCTCCGGCCCCTGGATGCCCGTGTACAAGCCCAGCCCTCTCCCGTCCATTTCAACGGACTGGCAGCCTGGGATGATCCCAACGTCCAGGTCAAACCGGGACAGCATGTTATTGCTATCTGCAATCAATATGACATTTCTTTCCCAACTGAGCTACGTCCCTTGGGAACCAGACTGACGTCAAATCCATACAAAATAACCGTGGTCGCCTCTCCGAAGCACTGCTTTTTCCATCAGTCGATGAAATACTTCGACAGGCTTGAGCATCCGTTTGCCAAGTCTCTACTGGATATCTATATTCAGAAGAAGAAAGAGCCGCTGTGGATGTCTGCTTTTGCGCACGGGGGATCTCCATTCGCAAATGGCACCGCCAAAAGGAAGCTTATGCATGCGGTGCGAGATGCTTTGCTTGCAGCAGGTTACGATCGCTTTGGCCAGAGCGTGCCGGTTGACGGTGAATCGAGTGCAGTAAATGGCCTTTACGGATCACTACGCCTTATGAGCCCCTGCCCTCAGGCCATATGTACTGCTAAATTCGCGGACCTTTTGGATTGCGCAAAACAAATTATATTTGCCGCCGAGATCAAGCTTCGAGGAAACAAGAGTAACCCGCACCTCGAAAGCGGGCAGCAGCATAGCCCTCTCTCACGAGGCACATTCGGCGGTCGACCGCGCGCCCCTAATAATAAGCGAAAGCGAACTGCGAATTAGCAATCTAGCATACGCCGGGAAATGTCTCCTCCTACTACCTCTATCGATGTTATTGAGGTACTTTAAGTCCTTCTTGGGGCGTTTTCATGAGCGACCAGGTATGTCGGCATAGCTCGACTCTGTAATTTCATGATGCTTTCTTCTTACAGCTAGTATATAGCTGCATATAAAACGTAAATATTTTTCGAGGCTGTTGTAGCTATTGGAATCCCCGTTGTAAATTATTTTCAACTGAATTGCCCATACAGACTTGCCATAGACGATACAGTTATGTCCCTTTTCAGTCCATACAAAGCCATCTACGTACATGTAAGCCATACATAGTATAAAGCTCATTAGTCATTTAGATTTGGTTGTGTATCATGTCGCATACTTAGTTGTACTTACTGCGCAGTGCTCTTATTTCTCCGTAGGTCATCATATCCAACTAAACATATCCTATCAGACCAGATAAGTATTCCATATAATTATATCCTATAAATTTACCTAGAAACCACCCAGGGAATCTACATTCTAGAACATGCTTTGTATATTGTTGCCAACAAATACATAAAAGCTGATCGCAAATTTGTGAAGACCTACTAGGTAGGCATGTCACAGATACAGTTCCAGGCTTGAACCCCAGCCCCTGGACTAGTACTCTAAATGTACCTTGCCCTCATGTCGCATACCTAAATCGATAGGAAGGTACCAGGCTCTACAGACCCAACCAGCTGATATGCACCTACCGACTCGGCAGTGCGCACCGACAGCCCCGCTAGATCTTGGGCGGGGCCACTGTCTTACAAGTACCAGCCAAGTACCAACCTAACAGCACCTGGGCAGGTACATGTAGATGCTAATAATCAGGTCCATTAGACTGTACATGCCTAAGTACTTACCTAGCTTAGGTAGGCAAGTTACACGTAGAACGTCAGTGATGGCTTCATTTTAATTGACACACGCTCGTCAACAAACGATCCGGTTTATCCACTCGTCGGATCTTCTATTCTCGCAGAAACAGAGCGACAGTTCGACTGATTAGATATCTCTATTGTTCGTATCACCCGACCAGCTCTTCGATATGCTCGTTTCCCTCACTGTCGGCAAGGTCGATGCCGGCGTGACGGTGCTCCTGACTCCAGACAAACGGTTGGTATGCAACACCGCGGCTATGGCGCCACTCCCCATCTCTCCGTATCAATTTCGCTTTATCGCGCGCCCAGCTGGTTCTGAGATACACACACGAAGCTGATGGGAAATTCTAGATTGAATTCCCTTCTATCCTCCTGCCGCCCAATATCGTGTCCGGGTCAATAGTAGACATCACCGTCGCGCGCAACAATGCCGCTGAGGCCGAGTCCGACAAGAAATTTGCTGCCCTTCAGGAGAGTATCCTTGCCGCCTTTGGCGCGTCCGAACCCAGCACGCCAGTCCTCCGCTGCAAAAGTGCCTCCCAGTTTGCCATCGTCCTAGAATGGGATAACATCGAGCTGGCGACCGCCGACCTCTTCTCCCTGTCGCTGTATCGTAATGGCCAAAAGATTGGCAACATTCCTAGGCCGCTAGAAATGTCCAGTACCAAAATGAGCGGCCTTGACGTTAACGCCAATTACACCTTTCACCTCGTGTTGAGGACATCTGCCGGCACCCTAACCAGCAATCAGCTCGTCGTGCGGACGCTAAAGATGACAGACCTCGCGGGCATCACCCTCACCACCGGCATTCTACCAGCCAATGTACGCGAGAACCTCATTGCCGCGGTGGAGCGCATCGGCGCGCGAATTCTTGATAATGTTTCGATTGAGACGACGCACTTTGTTACCACCGAGGGTCGTGGAGTCGCTTGGGAGAAGGCTCGTGATATGAATATTCCTGTTGTAAGGCCCGAGTGGGTAACCGCCTGCGAGGAGAGGGGTCAAATTGTGCCGGTAGCCAAATTTTATCTTGACGCTCTTCGACCAGACCCCCTTAGCCAGGGCACTACACCCAACAAGCCCATGGCCACGCCACCGCAGACACAAAAGGAGCTCCCCACAGCACCCTCCTCGGATGAAAACAACGAGACTAAAGATGCCATGGAGAAGAAGACAGAGGAAGATAGTAGCGCTGAAGATGCCAAGGAGGAGACTAGTCAAGCAGATAACGTCAAGGCGAAGTCTACGGAGGAACAGAAGATGAGGTTGGAAGATAAAGAGGAGCAAAAGGTTGCTATACACCCGAATAAGCAAGCCACAGTAGAGGAGGAGGGTGCTGAGGACGAGAAACAACCTGCACCGTCCCCCGGCGATGGTGCGTCTTTCCAGGATGTAGCACTATAATACAGGCGATGGCGTACAGGAATTATTATTGTTTTGATGCCGCATGGCGTTTGTCAAGACGGGTTGAAAGGGTCACAGTGTATGAATTTTTTATTTCTCAGATACACCTCGGCCTTCTTGTCGGCCGTTGAAGGTGTCTGCTAACTGTATGATACTGCGTGCGCATTACTACACATTCGTACTATTATAATACCATGGTTATTTTCAACCTTGGCCAACGCACATTGGCCATGTAAAAGTGTTGAGTGGGAAGCCTTTGTCTGGTCTAAAATTGAGTGCTAAACGTGTTTAACTGGAATGATCTCGAAAGAAGTCATAAGAACGAGATACCCACAGTCGTATTCAATCTCATGCCACAGAGTCTCAATTTCACGGCGGCACTTCCTCGCCCTTCCAATCCCAACACCTCCCCCCGTCCTGCACGGTCCTACTCGCCACAACCTCCAACATCTTCCGCACAGCAAACTCGGGACTAAAAAGCTTGTCCTCAGCTACATTCCCCCAGAACTCCTGGCTGAACCCCGTCTTCACCGTGCCGGGGTGATACGCCATGGCCATCGCGTTCCCTGCGCCTCGCATCCGCAGATGCAGATCGAAGCTCTTCGTGATGCTGTTCACGCCCGCCTTGGACGCGCGGTAGCTGTACCATCCGCCTAGCCTGTTGTCGGCCGTGGAGCCTACGCGCGCCGAGTTCGTGAGCCAGGTCGCGTGCGCCGGGACGCGGAATCCGGCTGCTTCTGCTCCTCTCACATCTGAAAGGTCCGTCCCCTTGCGCGGTAGCAGGTCCCCGAACCACTTCATCAGCATCAGCGGGCCAAGAGTATTCACCCTGAGCGTCTCGAGCGCGTCGTCGTAGTCGATGCGCCGCGGCTGCTTCTCCGGGTGCAGGATCCCTGGTAGCGCGAACGCGAGGTGCAGGTGGTGCGTCGATGGCGGGAAGAGCTCTGCTGCTTTTGCCGCTGCTGCTTCGACGCTCGACTCGTCTGTCACATCTAAGTGTGTCACGTGCAGTCGGGATCCATCGTCTTTGGACGTTCTGTTATTGGCCGATGCGGAAACGAGGGATTCCTTCACGCCGGCTGGATCAGAGCGCGCTGTCGCAAGGATGGGCAGTGATGTCGTGCGGAGGAGATGGGCTGTCAACGCATGTCCGATGCCTCGGCTTGATGGCGAGATGAATATCCATGGTTTCGACATAGTGGTAGCTCCTTAGTCTATCCCTCTTCCCAAGCGATGATTGGCCGGAGTGGGCTATGGAATGCCGAAGAGGGCAATTCTCAAAAAGGCGGCCTGAATGCGATGGAATCGAGGATACAGATGCATATACCTCATATGTGTTGTGCTACTCTCGCCTAAACACTTTGGAAAGGGGCTTTGATAGTTGCTGAGTTACAATTTGGCGTGCCTCCTCAATTATTAATTGGTCATGATTCATCATAGCAGCCGTCGATCCAAGACACACCCAACCAATGTTGCCATCGACGTTTGCTATCATCGCTAAAGTGACTCCTGGCAGCGCTCGGTTCTTGAGTCATTTTTGTATTTCATTCTAATGATGGCATATCTTGCCCTTGTCTTCGTCTTAACTAATTGGGATTTTCTTCCGCCAGCAGTCTAAACTAACCGACCAGGTTAGCTACCAGGTGACGAAGTTAGCTGCCATGTAAATAATGCAATTCCAACACTTGAAACATCACTTAAGGCAACGGTATGTAAGGTCGGCGGATCAAGGCAAACAGAATAGCGTTAGGATTATACCCTTGGCCTCCGTGGTGCTTAACCATATCTCCAAGGCCTCAGCCTCATCTTTCCCAGCCTTTCTCAGATAATCAGTCCCCGCCATTACCATCTTGTTCCGTAGCTCATCCTTGGAGACTGCATAGCCTTCGAGATCCCATGCGAACTCATATGCTTGGTTGATGGTCTCACGACCGAGAAGAATTACCGTGGAGCGGAGGTGCCGGAGCATGCCATCCGTTGTTAAGGGATCGCTCGAGACTTCGGGATAGATTAAACATAGTCCTCGAACGAAAGCTTCAGTGCATATGAGCGCTTTGTGGGTTCCTCTCGCTTTGGACGATGTGTTCGGATCATTTCCAACGGATTCGAGCAACGCTTCAAGGTATAGCCAATGACAATGCAGACATGCCAGGAACTGTGCGATGTCCCCATCTACACCACGGCCAGCAATTTCCGAAAACTCCCAATCTATCACAGCAACAGAGGCTTCAGGAGAAAAATCGCTGTGGTCTTTCACAAGCTGGTCCCAGCTAGATAGCAAGATGGCCCCTGGGTGACAATCTCCAAGTGAGAAGCAACCCTCATCGGGGGGTGAATGCTGGTTGAATGCGCTGAGCACAACTTCATACAATTTGCCCGCATCATCAGTTGCAAGCCGCTCACGAATCGGCTTGACTGCTACGTCGAAGACGAGACCTTTTGTTAGGCTGTGAGATAACTGCTGTACGGAGACTGCTATATCGGGATTGCTCTTCGAAGCATATTTGACTTGCTCTACAGTGTCTGTGGAGTGAAGCATAGCGAAGAATTCCCCCACTCGCTTGCCTATAGCACGTCCTACTTCGGCGATGCGATTGTCAGCGAGGTCATTCCCCTCAAATGCCCTTGGCGACAAAAAATCCCAGAGCGTCACAAGTGGACCAAGATCCTCAATGATTAACACAGACGACTTGACGTTGTGATGAAGGACCTTCGGGATTCGAATGCCAGTCCGCTCGCGGAGACCGGCCAGAGGCCCGTCGTCATCGAAGAGTTTGAGCGCGCTGGCCTCGACTTCCTATATTGCTTAAATCGTTACCATACCCCGACTTGCGAACGAAATGTGATAGAAGCACCGTCTAATCAACTAGTTATCATACCTGTCGCTCCGACGAGAATGGCGCCTCAGGCCCAATTGCAGCAACAAAAGGAGGTGCATACTTGAGAACCAGACTACGAGACCCTGGAAAACTGCCTATTTCACTTGCTGTTGTCTTTGAGGCTCGAACTGTCAAGTTGACCAATCCACCTGAGAGTTTTGTAATGCTGTAACGTGATGCGGGGTCGACTAATTGAAGATACGATTTAAAACGAAACGAAGCCATCTCGTCTCAAGTCCTTCGACTGCTGCTAGAAGGATTAAGATACTGCAAATATGTAATGGACTTGTGTATGCCCTCAGATCTCTGCGTCTACGATAACTTTGTTGCCAATTGATCTTGGAGATGGTTTAAAACGCCAAGCTCAGCGGATGCTCTCTGATTACGCTGCTGCAATACGAAATACGTTGCTGAGCCTTGGCCTGCCCCTACGACTTCGAATTGAGTTAGCCACTGAATAACCACTAAATAAGATATGGATAACTTGACTATAGTCCCCGGTTAATCGCTGTATAACAATTGAATAACTAGCCAATTACGTGGGTATGCCTACTATTGTCTATAAGATGGGGGAAGGTAGTAATCTTCTCCGATAGGTAATGGAATGAATAATACTGTCGTATGTATAGAGGAACAACGAAACTAAATGCTACATACGACTATAGGATCTGGAAAGCGCCGGGCCCGTCCTTCTACTAATCTAATCCAGACAGGCGTCTGGGCAGTACATAAAAAGGGTGAAGTTATTACCATGTCGAACTCCAATTTCTTCAGAAGACGAAATCGCACGCAGTTGCTGTTATGTCATTAAATAATATATGTATCCTTATTTGGAATTTTTTCATATATGCATACTTAAATAGATAGCGTTCATTGCCTGTGATCCTCGACCACATATCATACGTGTATGTCGATAATATAATTACCCTAGATGTCGCCTACGAAAACACTCAGTTTCGCCTATTTTCGCTAGATGTGTCACTATGTAATATTGACAACATAACTCATGACGGTATATTCCCGTGTCTCTGGAAAGACCAACCGGGCTTATCCTTGGATTCATCTTGCATAATGCCGTCATCTGGGAACCCAGCTGCTGCAGAAGCCAAACTTATAAATAAGCTCAATGGTGCTAGTGGCTGGAATTATGTACTTACCTAGGTATTAATATACATGATAGACATATAGTTACCTCTTAATACCAGCTAATCTAGCACACTGCTACCATACAAGCACAGAAGTGAAACCTTCCGCTGGGCAAACAAGAACTAGGAGTCTCGTCCTTCGACATGGCATCCAATCCATCATTTATTCTCATTGATCTGAGGTAACTCGGCAGGGTCTGAGTTTCCCGAGAGGCCAAGGCAAACCCATCTCGCGCCCAAGGGTTTTGTCTAATAGCAAAACCGTTAAGCTTTCTTTTCATATGAGTATCTAGTCCCATCATTGCCGGTGATCCATTTAGAAGTACAATGGGGAGGAGAGCAGGACTTTCTGACACAGACTTGACTATATATGCCTAAGTTCAGGTCGTATACGAGGCAAAGCATAGGCGCGTTACATCTACTACCAGTCATCTTCACACAGGCTAGACAAGTTGGGGCCACAATATAAGCTTCGGGAAACGTGACATCTCTCTATCCTGACGTACCCCTGAGACTAGGGGCCTGGTAAATAATGACAATAATAATACGGTTTCTTGCACGTCGCCAGTTATCTCAGAAGGCCGTTGACATTGAGGCTGCGATGCATGCAGATGGCAATGGTTAGGGAATGTTAAGCTTGCATACCTCTTCTATTAGAATCACCCACTCCTCAGCTCAATGTCTGATGAACAACCACAAAGCGGGCCAGCTACGCAACCAGAAGGGGATTCAGACGCTTCACGAACACGCCGCAGTCACATCACGCATCGCACTGTCTCCAGGTTTATCGAAGCCTCTGAAGATCTCGACCTAGAAGGTGGCCCCGAGACCAGCGTCGTAGATCTAATTCATTTCTTAACAAAGACGTCACCGCCGCCATCAAACTACATGTCCATACCCGATAATTCCAGCAGTGGCACCGAAGACGACAGATGGGATAGGCTTAAGAGGAAAATATTCCGATACCGCGGCAAGGCTCGCAAGCGACGACCGCCCGTCATTATGCTTCCTGACTCCGCCGTATCAGCAAGGACTACCGGCGGCCATCGGTATATCGCCATCTCCATCCCACTGCAACATTCGCCGCTGGCGGCGCTCACCAATCCCCAATACCCCATTTACGGCTCTATAGAAGCTGCCTTCGCGAAGGAAGTAAACTCCATGTACAGCATGCCGAGGAAGACTTTCCCTACTCGTCTGGTCCCAGTGCTCAACCCGGTGGTCGAGGACCGCGAGTCGACGGCGTCTAGTTCGCCGGAACGGCCGCCGCGGTCAGCGACGCCTCTGACTAGTGCTTCGCGGAGAGCGAGGTCCCAATCTATCCCCCTTTTGCCAAGCCAGGAGCAGCGATACACTCCCTGTAAACCGATACACTTATCCAAGAGCAAGTCCGTCAGCAACACCCGCTCGGTCCCGCCTCTCTCGGACACCACCTTGAAAACACGGGGCGACGATTGGAAACATATATCCTGGCCCGTCACAGCTGAGTCTATAATTATTCATCCCTTTGAAAAGCCCACGATATTCCCACCGCGAAGATCGAGCAAGAGAGGCAAGGGCCCGGAATTAGCACCCTCTGAACCGACCAACCAGCCCGTCGGTACTGCTCAGAATGCTCCCCCAAGTCCCATCGAAGGCAACAGCAACAGCAACGGTGAGCGGGGACGTCCCTCCGTCTCCGCAAGCATAGATACGACGGGGTCATCATCGCCGCAGCTTCTGAAGGCGCAAACCGCCACGGCGGTTCAACCGGTGCCGATCATCGTCACGCAAACAGGCTCTACCGGACCCGAATCGCCGCTGGACCCGACCTTCACCGAGTTCCCAGCAGAGCCAAGGGGCAACAACCCCACAACCTCATCCGGTCCGCCACCGTCACTGTTCGCAGAGCGAGCCCAGCACAGGAAGAAAACGGTGCGCGAGAGGAAGGCAGGGAAGACAAGGGTCCGGATAGAGCACAAAGGGAAGGGTAAAGAGCGCGTGTCACGATCTTACACGCCAGACATGCCCGCATCGTCAACAGAGCAACAGCACCAAAGACAAGACACCACCACCACGCCCTCTTCGACATCGCCATCCTCATCCTCATCGTCGACACATAGGCGCGGCGCGCAACCCACCGGGCGCCGAGAAAGTCGAGCGGAGCGCGACTCGCGGTTCATCGCCCGGGCGCTCGCAGAGCAGCGCGAGACGCTAGAGAACCTGTCGCGCGAGGAGCTAATACAGCGGTACGAGGCGTTGCGCGAGAGCCGCGCGTACGAGCGGGAGCGACGGCTACGCAGGCTCGAGCGCAGCCGCGACACGTGGATCCGGGCCGTGCCGATGCTCCTTCAGGACTTGAACGGGCTGTTGCGCGAGCAGCATCGGCTTCTCGAGGGCTATGCATTCCCCGTGCCGGCGGGGCAGTATCGACACCACCGCGAACCGCGGTCTCGGTCCGTCGAGGCTTCGCCAAGCGCTTCCTTGTCGTCCGGACATGGTGTCGATCTTCTCGAAACCCGACGGTCCAAGAGTGTCCACGGCAGCAGCGAAGCTCGCTCGAGTCATTGATCGCTTGGACTGCGTTCAGGGTGCAGGAAAAATAAATGCCCGCATTTTATTGTGTTTCTCCATTCTTGATTTGAAACTTCGACGTTATTGATTTAGCATATGTGACCCGGACAAATAGGAATAGCAGCCGATGGATGTGTAAGGGGGGAGACAACAGACATTCCCTTGAAGATAGTAATGCATAAATGAGTTTTTGGGTTGGCAGTTTAAGCGTCTACGTTGTATATAATGAACAATGAATGATCACGTTACAGACTCTATTGCTAGAAATCTTGGATTGGTGCTATCATGTCCGATAGTTGGGCCAGCTTCATACCCATCAGACGGCGCAGTCTCTAAATATGTGAATGTGATTAATATTGCGCCGCCGATTATAGTATTATCAGGGAAAGATGCGACAGCAGTACATGAGGTCGTTCCTCACGGGGAAGATGCACGGTGAGCCAAGTGATAGCAAACGTAAAGTAGCAGGCGAGCAGTAAAATGCTATCAAAGGTAGACATAACTAGAAGCAAATACACTATCACTATCACCCATCATTGATTGGAAGGTTGTCTGTTCATTTACATAGGCATAGGCGCTTTCTGTTGGATCTCTTCACTTTGAGACACAGTAATGATGGTTCAACAGAAGGAAATCAACTTACCCCAACAGCCGATCAATCACGGCGGCAACAATGTATTCTGTGCCACTGAATATTGTCCTTCAAGACGAGTGACTCGTACCTTGGAAGGGAGGTATACTAGTCTCTACCTGTGCGGCTCTCTCTACCTGTCGATGCTGTGGCTTAGCCGTCAAAGTGCAGCTATGATGCCAAAACTCCCTAAGTCTAGATGCAGGCCGTCACGGCGCAATATCTACCTGCCCGCGACTATATACTTTTACACACCCTTGAACGCCGTATATATGTATCACGTTTTTCGCGGCCCTCCAGTTGCGTTCAGAATAGTCTACATCTACCTAAGAAATCCATGAAACAGAAATATTAATGAGGCTTATTCGGTTTTCGCTTGATGAATGGATCTCCGGCGTTCCTCTTCTTGGGTGGTACCATAGGTCTAGGTGGTCGAGGAACTGATGGTCCCTAGTAATCGTTAGCTCTGGGTCCATCCACCATACCATATAATGGTCACAAACCTTAGGCGCATTGGGCGGCGCTGTCGGCGCCTTGCCCATGTTCGATGAGGGATTGGTTGGTATCCCGAGGACAGCCATCGCTGCGGGGTCTTGAGGCCGTGGCATGGCGCGAGGACCGGTGGGGGGGTTCCTACCAGCACCCTCTTTCGCAACCTAAAGATCCCTATGTTAGTGATACGTTACAAGTGGCCAATGCATCATGCGCTTACTCTTTTAGACGATTTCCCTGCCTCGGGATCGTCCCTGTGCCGCTTGAGGCCGGATTCGTGGATGATAGGACGTTCTGAGCTCGATCTCGGAACGATGGCTGGCTCCCCACGTTCATTGAGGCCACCAAAGCTTACTGAGGGCGCGGAATTGGTGCTGCGGTTCCTCTCAATTAGGGTATATGTTTCCGGTAATTGCGGTGTCTTGAATTTGTTGGGTACTGTTGGTTTCACAGGAGGCACATCTTCCATAATCACATCCTCAGCGCCGCGTCGACTGGAGTTGCCAGGAGACGAACCTCCGTATGGCTCTGCCATAATCGAGGCACCAAGGCCCTGCGCATTTTGGGGTAGGGGAGACGGCGATGACGAGGATATAGGTGAAGGTCCTGAGCGGTTGGTACTAGATGGTAATCTAGCACCAGGCTTCTTCAGCATACCTAGTATATCTCCGGCACTATACCGATTTCTAGCCTTAGAATCCTCAATTAATTTATTCCAGAACTCTCCCTGAACGAGAGCGCGGGAATCACCCAGGATCCAGAGTGAGGACTTCGCTCGAGTCAAACCAACGTTCATACGCCTTATATCCGTCATGAAACCAATACCACCTGTAGAACTAGCACGGACGCAAGAGAATATTATAATCTCACATTCCCGACCCTGGAACGCATCGGTAGTGTTGAACTCAATGTACTCGGTGATTTTTTCTCCATACCGGCGGGTAAACTTTTCACGAAGCTCGAAAAGCTGTGCTTTATAGGGTGTGATGATACCAATCTTGCCCTTAAGATCTACCTGGGGGTAATCAAGAGTAAATCTCTCATAAAGCTGCATGGCAACTTTTAACTCTTCCAAGTTGACGAGTGATTTACCGCGGTGACCTTTCTCTTGAATACCTTTCACATCAAAGAAGCGGTATGGACCGAGAAGCTCACTCTGATGCCACGGTTGGTGGCGGAGCTTGGCCATGTCGCCACCATCAACGAGACGCCGTTCGTAGAATTCTTGGCTTGGAAATAAGCTGATCTCGGGGTGCATACGATACTGAGTGTCAAGCAGGTGAACGTCATCGGGAAAGTTGCGCTGCATCCGCACGAAAAGACTCTGGTCGTAACCATAACGGGCAGCTGACTGGGAAAGCACCGTAGGTGGCAATTGTTTTGGGTCTCCGACTAAGATGCACTTTGAACATCCATATTTGAGTGGTATAAGTGCACTTAACTCAACACATTGAGCTGCCTCGTCAATGATGACAGTTTCAAATTCAACAGCCAAATTCTTGAACATCTCATGTCCACTTCCGCTAAGGGTGGCACATAGAACTTGGGCAGAGTCGAGGATTTCCTGTTGAATTTGCCGACGGCGAATTTCACTCTCCCGCGCAGCGGTATTTCCGCTATCTTTGTCAGCATCGATCTTTGCGCCGATTTGGGCCTGACGCCGTTTGTATTCGTCAAACTTCCGTTGTAATCTGTTGATTTCAGCGCGATCACCTGTCTCGCGCGCTGCTTCGAGCTGGGGACGGAGCTCGCCGAGCTCCTTCTTGATCTGACCGGCTTCTTGATGCATCAATTCCCTTGAGCTAGGGCCATTATTTTCTTTCTCAGTCCCTTCGACGCGAGCTTTCACCAATTCATCTAAGGTAACGTCCCGAACTGCTGCATTGATAGCATCGCTACGACCAAGTCGTAGAACGTTGATCTTATGGAAAGTTCCGTTCATAGATTTCACGCCTGCTTTCAGACGTAGGACCAGTTCATCAACTGCCGCATTACTGGGTGCGCACACTAAAAGCTTTTTGCTGACTCCCTTGTTGCTTGTAGACGCTAGGCCATCCGGTCGCTTGATCGCAGTGCCCATTGACTGAGCCGACTGTGCGCCACCCATTAATGCACCAACCATGGCAACAATAGTTTTTGTCTTTCCGGTTCCAGGAGGCCTATTCCGAGTTAGCTAGCAATAGAGGATTCTAGTGAATCTTACGTACCCTTGAACCAGTGTAAAAGCATCATTTTCCTTCGCATGTAAAATAGCCTTGGCTTGGCCTTGATTTAAGTGATAATTCTTCATTGCCTTGTCCACAGCTTCCTCGCTGAACGAGAGCATTGGAGAGGGCTTAGCTTCCAGAATCTCTGGTGCTAAATCGTAGTATTGTAAACTCTCGAGTGACGCGTATTCACGCTCGATCGTAGTCATGTTAGTAATCTTGATCGCGTAGAACTCTGCCTGAGGCATCAGATTTGAGATTATGGGCCCAGCACGACTGCTCAAGCGATACTGAACCTCGAGACTACCGTTCTTGAATTGAATTCGCCAGATTCGAGCCAGACAATGCAACTCATCTTTTGCCTCCAAAGGATTGGCTGCAAGTGAAAATAGAACAATGTCTCCTTCTGAAAGGAATCTGTCCTTATTGTTGGTGATAGGCATAGCTGTGCTTACTTCAATGAATTTATCAACATTCATTCGATTGACGACTTTAGTCTCAAACGGCTTCGAAGTCGCCTCGTCCTTAGCAGTAACAAATGACCGCCATGCTTCATTGATAAGCAATGGAAGAAACGTCTGTTTATACTGCTGCGGGTCATAATACGACTCGGCCACTCGAGAGCATGTTATGCCATTAGGGGGATCGTTTCCCTCATGAAAGATATCCCACTCAAGGATAGCTTGGTGCAATATATCCATAGGAGGGATGAGTCGAGCTCGCATGTCCTTTGCAGATCGTTGTAACTTCGTCTTCTTTACTGGACCCCGAGGGTTGAGCTTCATAGACTGTATGCGATTCTGCGCGTCATTGTTTTTGAGAGCAGTTCCAGTACGCTTTAGAAACTCTACATCATCGTCTGAATCGTCCTCATCTTCAGATGAGGAGTTCACCATGATTTCACTCTTTTGGACAGGAGCAAAGTCTTTGCCTTGGATGCCTGAAAGTCCTTGAAGACCAGAACCTTCACCGGCGACAGTTTGCTTTGGCGCTCGAAGCGCTCTGGCTCTAGCAATGGCCTCGGCGTCACGCTTGCGCTTTTCTTCGGCTTCTTTAGCTCGCTTCTCTCTAATCGATGGAATGGAAGCAATAGGAGGTGCCTTAGGAAGAGTCTTAGGAAGAGCTTTGGGTGCACTTTTTGTTGCCGCTTGTCGGGCGTTCATCCGTTCAAGAATAGATCGGCTTTTCTCGGAGGATGATCCCTTCAACAACTCTCGAACATCATCTTTACCTGATTTGAGCATTGGTTTTAATGCTGCTGGTGTACTTGGCGCTTCACTGCCTGTTTTCGACCATGCATCGAGCTTGGTTTGCTTTTTAGGTCCCTCAACCTTTTTGATAGAGAGAATTTCAATATCATCCTTAGTATCCTCTTCCCCGAGAGCTTTAATTAGCTCGGCACGCTGTCTGTCATTCATGTTCGTCATCGTTTTGTAGCGGCCATTTTCAGTCCGGATACAAGTATCTTTGATATATGCCAGCGGAGCTCCTGGTACTTCCATGTCAAACTCACGGAGACGTTTGAGAAGTTTGCCCAATACATTGACGATGACACTAACAAGATATAAATCTTTGAGGCGAAGCATCTTGCAAAGGCCCATGCAGTGAATACGGGGTTTTTCAAGGATATCTTTCATCGACTCGTTCGACGCATCACCACTGACAGTTGAGGTGCTATGAGCAGACCCAGCACTCAACGCCGAAGCCAATAGTCCATCTTGGGCGAGCAGGGCTTCAGCATGCTCCATGACTGTTCTGCAGAAATTCTTCATCGTCTCCATGTCCACCTTCCGGCTCCAAGCATCTGTCTGATTCAAGGCATTCTCCAGGAAAACCCACTGCGAGCTCCACCAATTGCGTAGCACACCTTGTTCCGTTATTGTCAAATCCCTGGACCTTATGATTCCAGAGGCTGGGTTGCAAAGAGCATCAAGAATCTCTCTTGAGTAGAGAATTATATTCCTTTGCGGCGACCAAAGCGATCTCTTCAACGTGATGTCACTCACAACTTTCGTGTATGAAGATATGACGGGGACAAAGTGCATTCCGACAAGCTTCGAAACAGCGTCTGAACGTTTTCCATCTTCTTCGCCTGTAATTGCTTTGATGAAAGACGCACCGGCCTGGCTGACAGACTCTTCGCCATGTATGAGTGTGGCGACAATAGGGTACATAGTTGTAGGTTCTAGGCACAGTTGTCCTATTGCAGTCGAGTTAAAGCTTTCCAGGCGACTCAACACCCGCTCAATTACCTCTGCAGTCTTCTGAAATTCTGAATTGAAGTCAATCTTGATCTGTGATAGCTTCGTGTTCTTTAATGGACGAAATGTCTCCACTGTAGTCAACGGTGTAAAAGCCGATAACATTGCTTTAGCAAACTCATAGGCACCTGGCTGAAGAATTTCTAAGAAAGCTTCCCATAGGCCAGCAGAATCTCGTTTCACTTCCCTCTGGACAAGATTTTCGTTCTCCTGGAGAGCATTACACTCCTCGGCCGTGATTCTCGAGTCGAGTGCCAAAGCAGACCCAACTACATCTAACGCAGCCTTAGACAGTGAAGCCTGCTGCGGATCAGAAGCTGGGAGCTCTGCAAGTTGGACAATAAGATCCTTATATTTCAGCGTGAGATTGAGTAGCGCATTTGTATGAATTGTAGATGAGCCTGCATGGAGTCTGTACTTGGGAGACACAAATCCCGCCAACGACGAGGAAAGCGCCTCAGTCGCACCACGATAGCATGCGAATTTGCCTTCGGAGGACATGCCTTGGTCATTGGCAAAGTCGCCAAGAAGGTGATGGACCAACTTGTCGCAGACATCTGTCTTCTGGTTCGGGGAAATCGAGTTTATTAATGGCTTTACCCAAGAGACAGCCGCAGGCCCATCGGGTGTCATATCGTGCTCGCCGGATTGGAGAAGTAAAGGACGGAAGGCAGGACTCCTAATGATTTGCTCAAGGATAGACGGTGGAGACCATTGGCTATAAGCGTCCCAAAAAGCTTTTGGAGATTTCTGGATAAGACCACAGAAAGCTTTCAGCACAGCTCTCAAAACAGCCGCAGATTGGAGTTGCGGCATCTGGGATATCATCAACTCATAGATACTTGGCTGCACAGCCATGCCTCGCAGACATTCCATGACGATGTTTTCCTCCAGAACGTCGAGAATATAGAGAAACCCCTGCCAAGTGCGCTGCAAGGTATGGTCGTCAGTACTTTTACTGTTAGCCTTCAGGATGGCATCTGTAAGACTGTCGTTTATGGCCCAATCAAAATCCGACTTAGTGACTAATGGCTTCCGCTCAAAGGTTTGGACCGCAAAGTCTCTACGAGTCTGATCCTCATCGAAAAGGAAAATAGTCGTGGTGGGCAGGACCTCGTCCAGCTTCAAAGGCTTCCGCTGCTGAATAGTTGTGAAGACAAAATTGAAGTGCTTGCGATTCCCCGGTGTGCTCAGATATGCTATACAGCACAGTGACTCATAGATGGAAACTAGAAGGTCGGCCTGGCCTTCTTTAATGAAAGTGCTTTGAGTGACTATACTGTTGTGCGCAAGGATAAACTTCTCGGCAGCTTCGAGACCTTGTGTGATCCGGTCGAAATCGAATTGGTTTAGGCGGTTCCTCATCTCTTCTATTACGGAGTCTTCGTAAATCCTAGTTCAGTTAGCACAGTACAGCAACACAGCATCCCAAATAGCTACGGCTTACGAAGTTATGTCTTTGAGAAATGCCGCGCGACCCTTGTGCCAGTTGCGCACACAGCTTGCGCATGTCGTAAGGAAGGTATCGCATCGAGAGTCGAAATCGGGACGATGGGGTCCGGCAGCCTCTCTGGAGAGGCCTAATATTAACGAACAGTTGTACATCAAATCCAGTCTTGTCTGTCCATCCTCAATCCTCTGCTGCTTTTCAGCAGGACTGATACTAGAGGGGGCATCGGGATCCTCGTAGATTTCATCGTCGTCGGGCGAAATGCGTGGGCAGAAGAGATGGAGATCCGGTGGAACCTCTCGCAGCTTCGCGAATCCTGCATCTAGCACATTGTGTACGCCGGCCATGTTGACTCTGTATGGGCATGTCGGTAGGTGGATGAAGGATAGATACAGAAGGTAGAGGGCTCAATATGATCAAACTTGGGTGACCAAAGCGGCCCTCCTCGACGTCGCGTTGCTAGTGGAATATATCTGGGTGCGGCTGGGGCGAAGGCAGGTGATGGAAGACGGCGGGAGCAATGAGCAAGTGCTACTTGACGTGCTTCGAATCAAAGCTTCGAGGGTAGTGTTGTGGAAGATGCGCAATGGTAAGATTTGAATACTAGATGGGAATCTGAAATAGGTGAGAAGTCAGCTTTTAGTTTTAAGCAGAGATGAGTTGAGGGCTCCCAGGGAAATTTCCAAAGCCCCGGGTTGTATCCTATTGTGTTGGAAACGCAGCTAAATCCACGATGGCTTCGCGGAACCTTGAAGGGCCTCTACTCTAGCAGGCGCCAGCATACTTACAAGATAGAGGCGAGCGCCACCAAAAAGAAAGCAGTAGCTAGGTAATATTAAAGATCAATATAGAAAAAAGAACCCCAATATCGTTCCCAGCTTACTACCTGCAACAGTACTCCTACAAAGGGAGGTGTAGGTCGGCGCGTGCCTCCTCCAGAAATATAGTAGAAGTTGGGATGTGGAATTGGTGTTGTTTCATTGAGTAGGTAGGTACCTAAGGTAAGGTACTGTACTACTATTTACAAGCCGTGCCTGTGGAAACCAACCCACGCGTTAAAGTGGTTAAAGTGTGTGCAGCTGGCTGCTGGCTGTGCCAACTGCCCCTCACCCAGGGCCAGGTACCTTTATACACATACCAGATTGCTGACACCCACTTGACATGAATGAACTCACTGATTAGACTGGTGCATACATACAATGTATGTGTTTACTTTATGTGATTTGCATGTTATATTCGTGAGTTACTTGGAATTTTTAATACTAATACTAATACGTAAGATACTCTTTTAGCTGTAGTTACTATCAAATGACATGCAGGTAGGTACATAGCAGGAAGTAGATGAGCCCCAGTAGCTCAGAAATACTAGCCTAATATAATAGCAATGCCTTTATGATGGATATTTACTTAGCAAGTAAGAGATGCTATCTAAATCCATATATCTGCTCAAGCAAATCCATCGCCAACGCATTGCGTCTGCATCAAAGCAAATATATATGTCAATATGTCGAATCAATCTTGCTCAGCACCCAAGATGGATGAGTCATCCTCTAATATGTCTGACTTAATATCATCTTCCTGAGAGTTAAATCCTTCGCCGTTAGCTTTAGCCTTGGCCATTTTCTTAGGTTTCTTCTGGACCTTCGTCACCCTTTTGCCACGGACAAGTAAGTGTTCAAGGGGACAAACAACGGTCTCCCATTCCTTGGTTCCCTCTACTGTAGACATCTTGCATCGGCCGCATTGTTTTCCATGATGGATGAACAGTTGATGTAGCCCGTATTTGAGGTGGTCAGGACAACGAACTTCCAGATGACTAAATGTGTCGTTCTCGTCTGCTTTGGGTGGTGTCCAGCCTAGCCATCGTGAGAACCTGTGAACATGAGTATCCACCGCAAAGCATGGTTGTTGGAGGCAGAAGAGTATAACACAGGCAGCTGTCTTCACGCCAATTCCGGGAAACTTTGTGAACTGCTTCATCGCCTCGTCAACAGATAACCCAAGTAAGTGATCCAGTGAGAGAATGTTTCGGTCTGTTTTCAATATCTCCAGGTCCTTCTGGCTTTGAGTCTTCTGTGACGCTCCATAGACATTGGCGGACACACCAGTTGCTTTCTCCACCAAGTATGCTTCACGCCGGTGTAGGTTGTCCTGATACACCATGTCAAGGATGCCTTTGATGGCAGTGGACTTCCTGTTGGCTAGCCCACCTATGTAAATCGTTTTCCCCAGCTCTTCGATAGTAGACAGCCGAATCCTGTTCCAATTGATCGAGCCTGCTGCAAGCTCATCATTGATAGTGCCATATTTTCGGATAATTGCTTTCACCATGTTATCTGCACCGTCGAAGGTTACAGCACCACTCAAGAGGGTCCTTAGGAGAGCGTCAAGGACAGAGGGGACCTCTCCGCAGCCCGCAACTTCGAGTGAAGGGGCTGGGATAGTTGCCGGTTGTTTGACCTCCCCGTGGATACTTGCAAGAAGCCAATATACCTCTTCACATTGAGCAGCGCTGGGGGCCTGCCACTCAGGGAAGGGACTTCTCCCTGGAGTTAATCCGTAGGGGTTGTCTTTCGTCTTGCGAGGAGTTCGTTTAGGCTTGCCCAACGGGTCACTGGATTCCAGAGCATTAGCTTCAAGTTTCGCTTCGCTGGGTATCGTCTTGGCTTTCTTCGGCAACGGCTCCTTTATCTCATGCCCTTCATCACACCCCTCAGTGGCCTGGGCTCGTGCACGTATTCGATTTGATCGCCTCAGTGTAGTTGTCTCATCGGGGCACTGAGACTGCGTTCTAACCTCCCGGTGGGCTTCGTCATGTTCTTTAGGCGCGGCTATGTTTATTAAAATTTGGGCTCTACCCTCTCGCATGATTGCAGAGTTCTTGTTAAGTTGTGACTCATTGGTGTCATTATCCTCTTGAGCAAGTGTGCCGTCCACTTTCTCCCACGGCTCCCCTGACATAGAATTGAACTCATCGTTATTGGCTGACTTCGTTCCCGAAGTCTTTTCTAAAGGCCCAGCTTGCTTCATAGGTTGACTGCCAGAAGTAGGGAGAATGCCCATCCCATGTGGGAGGATATCCCATTGGCCTTGAACAGGTACAGCATTGCGTCTGATTCTTGCACTTCGCCTTACCATGGTGTTTGGTACGTTCCTCGAAGTTGATGACAGAGGGTGCGCTAACAGAGTCTGCATGTGCAGATGACAGAGGTTTCAGCGGTCTACAGACCTGAAGGGGGAGAATCTATATAATATCAGTCTCAGATGATGGGTTGGAGGCCAGCTCCTGTCTTGCGAATGTAGTCAGCAACAAATGACAGGGCGAATCTCCAGATCTGCCAAGTAGGCTTTGGACCAAATACATAGACAGTGGACTGGCAGCAAGTGTAACATAAAAAACCAGCAAGGACGAAAAGTGAGGGTTGAAGGGAGGACGGCAGGTTCCTCTGTGATCATGTGGGGCTAAATCATGGCGACTTCCTCGGGAATCACAACATCTGTGAGCCAGCTCGATATTACCTGAGCAGGGACGGTACAGGGGGTTGGAGTGCAGTTGTCCGCCTAGCTTCAGGGCATGTGCCGACGAAATATCATATAGCTGGGTTAGATAACGGTATTCTAGTTATGGAAGTAGATCTTGGTTTTGGGGAGGAAGCTCACTTTTGGGGAAAATTCTGCACTTGCAAAACCCGCAAGTATGATTCATAGGGGCTCCTGATATATCAGCAATGAAGTTTCTGTTCAGATCAATCAATCGGGGTCATAGCTAAGAACATCAACGGCGCTAAGGGTATCCCAAGTATAGGGGCTTTGTAAGTCTTTAGAGTTGAAGAGAAGTAAGTAGCTTACAAATATGACGTCTTCACAGTCACTGTAATTGTGTGTTCTCCCGACTCTAGGCTCACTTAAAGACAACCAGCAGCGCGAGAAGAATGAAGTACTAGGCATAATTGAGTCCAGAATTCCCTTCGATATACAGATAGAGTAGAAGAACAGGATACTGGGTAAGGGTAGTAGAGCGAGAAGCATTTCTATCTGTAATCCACTAGAACCATCGGGATATCCTTATTCTGAGAGATCCACCGGTGAATACAGGCTGGAGGTAATGAACAGCAAAATTCCATTACCTGCAAACAATCTCGCCTACTGGGTCTCTGTCGAATAACCAGGTCACACACCCCCCTATCTTTTCAGTCTATTAATAGGATCTCCTGTGCTTTACTACGTAATATGCACACAAGCTTCTCGTATTTCTTTCTCATGTCAATACTGCCAAATATGATAGATGATCTAACTTTTTATCGATCTGAAATTAAAAGAGACTCAGGGGTCGTAGTGTATCAGAATCTCAATTCTTTAAAATCCAAGCTTAAATCACCAAAAGAAGCAAGCAGCTTTTAGCATGATGCAGTCTCATCTCTCGGGGCATCCTGTATAGATTACATGTTGATTTCATTTACAACATTTGTACGTGACTATCCACCCTTTAACTTCATGTGGAAGTAGAAGTAATATCTCTTAATAAGCAACTTACAACAACGAATACTGTAGCAAGCCCCTATTAGATACCAGGAGTCACTTGTGTCAGAAAGGTTGGTGTTATTTATCCCAACTTTCAAGCTACGCCATTATATGGATCCCATCGATGATTGTAAACGTGGGCTTGCAACGCTGGCTGCCCTATGCACAATATTTTCCGAGAACATAACTGGTCTGAGAAGCTTAGGTTGCGCACCATAATACACATGAAACATGGAACGAGAGGGGCAATGTGAAAATAAAAGCAAGAATCAGTATTGACTAAGCTGCTACAGAAGATAGATATACTAAACAGCACATGGAAAATGGGTTTAACCCAGAACGACTTAAAATATGCATAGAGAATAGGAGATGCGATGCGATATTGTACCAGTCTTGCACACTTGTCTCTTCGACAAGATATTTGCCTATTGTGCTGCTTTACCAATAACTAGCTTGAAGGTAGTTGGTGTCTCTTGGGCTACACGAGGAGGACATATTCATCCATTGCGATGGCGCTCAGGTTCTATTTGTGAGCCTTTGTCTAGGCAATGAGAGTCGCAATCTCTAGCGCCGGCTTCTAATTTGGAATGTTCATGTGACCAGAGACATGAAGAAGGGTACCAGCCCTTTGGGTACAGTCGGCTTGCTCTTGACATTCATTAATCAGTATTGCAGCATACTAGTAGATTCAAGCATCGCAGGTAATAGAACGTATAAATAGAAGCAAACGAAGATTGACACATGAGAGCTACATGATGAAATTCTACTCCCCACTTAGCCAATGATGACAGCTGCGTACGCAGTACATGTACCACTTTTTATTGGCTCGTTACATATTAGCATATCCTAAACAGGGAACAAGACGTGCTCTCCGAAGTGGGTGAATGTTGTATGAGTTAATACGATCTCTTGTCATGCTTCAATATTCTACTATCTTGAATGGAATGCTACTGATATGGCAATACAGGCTGAAGGCGGTGGGTGAAGCCGTATCTAGGCACCCGTACCCTCGGACACAGACCACGTCTATAATCACCGTCCTCTGAAACCCTTGACAAAGTCTTCCTGTTCCCGAATCGAGACTTATCATCAACGATAGGTTGAATGCAAATCAACATTTGGGCGCAACGCTGTCTTCACCTACCAATACAAATCATGCGATACGTCTAGAAGCACTCCAATCATGGTTATGTGCTACTTGAGCGTGTGATAGACAGCAGCAAGATAGACCTCATCGCCCTAGTGGTAGGTAGGCTAAGCTATGTACTACGTATATCCTAAGCTTTATATCAGTAACAGCCCCTTATGTGTCATTTAATGTCAATGAAAAAAGTGATGTTGTTCGTATCAGAGTATATATATCCTCATTGATGATCAGAAGTCGAACATTTGAAAAGAAATAAAAGCTCATCATAAAACAAATTGTGCAGTCTGGTACAGGCGACTGCAGCTCTGGGTGTTGATACCCAACCGAGGGTACACCACGGGGAATTGAAACAGGAAAGACATAGAGACTCACAGTAGAGGTATTGAAAATAGGGTACATGCGTCATTTACATACTCAAACAGAGGTGCCTGAGTCGTGATGAGCCACGATACCTATATAGGTGGCAACGGAGTCGAATGTGACCAAGCAGCGTCGATTGATGAAGAGGAACAAATATCCTGGGATTTCGTAACCGTAGAAAATTTCTACTAGATAGCCAAGATTGGTGGAGCCAAGCTTAGGTAATAGGGATATGGGGATAGCGCATGGCTGATACAGAAAGTACATGGGTACATGTGAGGCTTCGGGTGGGGCTCACTCAGCATCATTCAGCATGGCCCCACATATATGTAATCGCTGACTTACGGGCTTAGCCTATCTGGACCAAGCTCATTGACCCCTTTGCGATCTTTTAGCTCTTTAAGCCCCTCCAAGCCCCTCCAGACCTACCCGGTACCTAGGTACATATGTGCTTAGGTAGCAACTGGCGTGACTAACAGCGAAGTTGACAAGACGAGAATTTCGTAATTGAGACCGAGGCAGTGTGCCGTAATGAATAAGTATTACCCAGCATAATTCCTCGCCCAGCTAAAACTTTCCAATCATTGTAATCTGCTTTCTAAGAAGATAAGTTGTCTCCAGGCTAAGTTAATTCGCACTCTTGAAGGGTGCGCCATAGAGAAGTATATATGAAGCGCATCGTCCTCGCCCTGTCGATTTTAGTTGCTTCCATTTCCATCATCATCTACAATTCAAATATCATTACGAGTTTCCTTCAAGGGACAACATCTGAAGACCACCAAAGCTCGATTACTACCACATCTCAGGGAATACAACTCTCATCAGTAACACACCTGGATCCAGATCTACCCGTTTCATCCCCAATCGATCCACACCATCATATGAACGCAATCAAGAATACAATGTCAAAGGCACTATCACACGCCAAGATCACACCTCACCGCTCGGCCGCTCGAGGGCACTCTGACCATGGCTGGTTGAACACATATCACAGCTTCTCCTTCGCCGACTGGTTCGACCCCAACTTCACACATTTCGGGTCCCTGCGCGTGCTGAATGAAGACCGCGTGAGGGCCAACTCAGGCTTCCCCACCCATCCTCACCGGGACTTTGAGATTTTCAGCTACATCGTCTCGGGCGAGTTGACGCACCGAGACAGCATGCTCAAGAAGGGTGCCGAGGGAGCCCAGTCAGATAAATTCTACCGCATGCACCGGGGCGACGTCCAGTTCACCACTGGCGGAACCGGCATCGCGCATTCCGAATTCAACGAGCATAACAAGGATACAGTACACTTTCTTCAGATCTGGGCCATCCCGTGGAAGCGTGGACTTACTCCTCGCTATCACACGCGTCACTTCGACGATGAGAAGAAGAGGCTGGGCTTTGTCCCCATCCTGAGCCCGTTGAAAGGTGGTCCCGAGGCCACTCACCAGCAAGAGCAGGCCGCCGAGCCCACCATCGATGGCACAATACCTATCCACGCTGATTTCGTCATGAGCGCCGGCATCATCGCGCCGCAGAAGAGGTTCGAGTGGGTAGTCGGGGCCAATGCCACTGAGAGCCCCAAGAGGAAGGTATACATCCATCTTCCCATGACCAAAGGGGGAAAGGCCAAGATTCGCATAGATGGCCGGGAGGAAGTGTACAATGAGGGCGATGGCGCATTTGTAGATGGCGTGCGCGCTGGGGATAAGCTAGCTGTTGAGAGCGTTGGTGAAGCAGAGGCTGAAATTGTTCTCCTTGATACGGCGTAAACGGAAAATAGGAGGGCACGAGACCAATTCGAGTGTGGACTAAATGGTAATTGCGGTTATGTATTGTACATATCTAATAATATTCATTACATCGTCGCGCCAGACTTGTTTCTTGTACACTGTGGTACCGGTATTCTGAATGTCAAGACAACTTTAAGATGGCGGCAAATTCGTCTCTCAGCCTTTCCACGATTGACCATGTAAAATAGATACAATAAAACTACTACTTCCTAAAGTCTGTTCTTCTCATTACTAGTCACATATGTTCACTTCTTTTATATTGTCTTGTCGATATCAAGTTGAACGTGAGGTCCTAGTCACTGGAACTATAGAGATAAAGGGTTTGGTTGTATGTCCTTGTGGATTGAGCCCCACGATGATGCAGTCAATATAATTACAGAAGAGGCCCGAACAATCACTCACAAATGTCAGTTCATGAGGCATCAGTGGTTTAGTGGTAAAATCCATCGTTGCCATCGATGGGCCCCGTGTTCGATTCACGGCTGATGCATCTTTTTTCGTTTTCACCATGCCGGGTTTCCCGTCCCTAAGATGGTCTAGACCGCTATATTTTTGCGATGTCACGCCCACTTTCTTGACTAGCTCCCCAGGTCTACGATGTGGAAATGAGAGTGCTTGTCTGTTGCCCTGAGTACATGGGCGACTTAAATGAAATTGTTACCCACGCCATTATCACGACTAGCAGGGGGGGCTTAACAACAAAGAGAATGCTTGTGCGGCTTGTTTATAAACTTTTTATTGGCCAATTTGTGGAATATTCAGGCATTATCCACAGCCTCCAGCAACAATACCGCACAACCTGGCCCTCCACCAGTCATACCGAGCTGATATGGAGGATTCAGCGTATTGCTACACCACCAAGCTAGTTCGGGGGTGTTTCGAGGCACTTCGAGTGTGATGGCCTCTTCTAAAGGCCTAATAAAGCCGCCCTATGATGAGATCAACATAACAGGAGAAAGCCAGCAGCGGGTCAAGGTCATCCATTGACCCAGGTCGCATGATGAGATTTGCCATCTGTTCTGACGATTGCTAACAATAATCGTTGAAATGCCCGGCATAAACTTGCGGGCAGCGTCAAACGCCAACTCCTGATCCACTCAAAGGTTGCTCCGCCGCTACGATCTATGTAAGCCCGGCAAGGGCCACTTATACTTCCGGGCGTCTCAGGCCGACTGTCCTATGGAGGACCTTATGCTGGTCATATAAAGACCAAAGAGAAGCAGCGTAAACCAAGACATAGTTGTCTGACATAGGGTCAAAAGATTCGGGTAGCAACGGCAACTGAGACCTAGTTGCTGCACCAAGGATTGCCACACACTGGGAAGTGCTCATGTCCTGGATCGTATGTAGGTGCCTGCCTACCCAGTGTCCTTGGAAGCCTGTAGACGTGTTAGCTATATAGATGTCGGACAATAAGCCGTATGCACTTTGACTTGTGGCGTTGATGTTGCAGAGGACAGCTGACATGACAACCTAAGTACCTAAGCATGTCCCCCAGAAGCACAGGTACGTACCTTTGCACAAATCTCGCGCCTTCCTAGTAACTGCTAAATATATGAACAAACAAAAAAGACCACCAAACAACTTAGTAGGTACTATGGACTTTCCCTCTTCTCTTGGAAAGCTGGGTGTCGTCTTTTTCAACCCCGTAAACATTACGGTTCATCGCCTCTGGGTATTCAGAGTTTGATCTTGGATAGATCTCGCCTGTTTACCACTTCGTTAAGCCCTTTATAAACAGGAAAAGTCATCACAGGAGATTGCTCACTGAAACAAATCTTGACGATGTCTCGAACGGATAATCCACCAAACCGCCGCAACGTCATTCTCCTTGATGAAGACGATGATGGCGGGGTAGAGCTATCCCGTGTCGAACGAGGTCTACGCCGTCTCAAGCAGGCCTACGCGACAGGTCAGCCTGTGTTGATACCCGTTGTCGACTTGACCCGGGATGAAGACATTCAGAATGCTCGCGACTATGAAGAAGAAATTATTAGTGAGCTTGGGGGACTTGGAAGAGGCAGGTCTAGCTTTAACCTTCAACCGGCACTATCACGGGGTCCTTCCACCCAACTGCGGACAGAAATATATTCCATTCGACATAATGCCATCCAACTCAAGGCAGGAAAAGTGATTGAGGTATCCCCAAGGCCTCGGAACGAATACTGTTGGCAATTTTTCCGTATTGTTCATATCTATGTGGGTTGTCGATCCTCCGACATAGTCTTGAAAGGAATCAGACTCACACGAACTCGCTATCTACGCGGAATGCTGCCACGAATGAAGAACGAAGTATGCGCATTGTATAATATCAACCTGGAGGACCCACGCCCTGAGCATGCCCAGGGTCTAGTAGAGATTCCAGTTGGTGAACTTGTCAGAACTCGTGCAGTATTTAAAACGAACGATGCTTTTCCAGCGCACCGCTTTAGCCCTGATCAATGGGATTGGGATATGGATGCAATTGAGAACAAGGCCAACTTGGTTCAACGTTGGAAATTCTACCGCTACTGGCCCACGTCCACCGCCATGCTGACTAAAAGATCTTACAGCGGCGCTCTTACTCGACTTAGATCAACGGATATTGAGGACGAATATTTTAGGGTGGATGATGACCAGCTTAGAAATACGTTTCGCGGTGGTATCATACGTGGAGGTTCATCGATTGGTGGCCAAGTTCAACTACCTATCGTCGATCCTAATGCGCCTCAAGGCGAAAATACTAAAGTGACTCTGGAGCATAACCAGAAGTATACTGTGGATGATATGTTTTGCGGCGCTGGTGGAGCATCACGGTAAGCAGTTGTTCATAAGTTTTCAGATGAAACTTGAATTGAGATTAATCACTGTTGATATTATAGGGGCGTTCAACAAGCTGGCTTCCAGTTAAGATTTGCTTGCGATTTCGATGAAGCAGCTTGTAATACGTACCACGAGAATTTCCCCAGAGCACTACTTGAACAGATGAACATCTTCGAATTTGCGAAGTCGGTGACATCGATGGTCCGATCAGATGTCTTACATATATGTGAGTACTTCAATATCAACGCCAGCATTAAGAATACACGAATGCTGAATGTGATGTCTGGCAGCACCACCGTGTCAGGTCTGGTCGCCAGCGCATACTCGACCGGGCCAAAACGACGACGCGAACGTTGCCGCCCTCTTCGCTTGCACGGAAATCTTAGAAAATCGCCGGCCTCGATTGTCCACTGGTGAACAAACATTTGGACTCCTATTTGATCGAAATGAGGAGTTCTTTAATGCCCTCATCGGTCAATATACGGCGCTTGGTTATTCATTTCGCTGGGACATCCTACGATTCAAGGAGTATAGTGTACCTTCGACCCGGAGACGTCTGATTTGGATAGCGTCTTGTCCCGGGGAGCCTCTCCCGTCGTTTCCGACACCTACGCACTCTGATACTGACAAAGATCTGGCTGCCCCCGTCACCATTCGATCTGTGCTAGCCAGCATTGCACCAGGTAGTCAGCATTATGATCGTCTTCACAACGTCCAGGACATGTTGCATAAGGCCAGAAGCGGTGGCCGATTCCCTATGCCATCGTATGATGATAGATGTCAAGCTGGAACTATAACAACGTCAGGGTCCGAGTGGGCTCATCCATCTGGCCGGAGAGACTTCACCTTGAGGGAACTTGCCCGCATACAAGGATTTCCTCAAGAGCATAAGTTTGTGGGGGGGACAACGCAGATCCGCCGCCAGATTGGAAATGCATTTCCACCAGTTGTTGTCGAAACATTGTACCGCCACCTCCGAAACTGCCTACTCCGTGAGGATAATGTTGTCACATCCGAGCGCGCGAGGCAACAGGATATCATTACTCTAGATTCTGATGATGATATAGGTGTATCATCGGTCTCCAAGTCTAGAGAATTCATGATAATTGACGATAGCGACGATGAAAGACCTCGCGGTCGACGAGGTTCTGTTAGACGCAGAGTCAGAGATGTGTCGAGCGACGAATGCTCAGATACGACCCTGGCAGACCTCATCGATGAACCTGCAATTTCCTCACTTTTTTCTCGAGAAAGTTCGCGTACTTTGTCGGTCGAAAGTCTTCCATCCCTCATTGAAATGGAGGTTGATAATGAGCACAATGGTAAAAGAATGAACATGTGAAGAGACTCTCATCTCGCCTGTCTCTACCTAATGGAAAATATGAAGGAGTAATTAGATGGGTCAATATCCTGGTCATAAGAATAACCCTTCTTGTTAGAAGCGGTATACACTGGAAGCTAATGTTGGACGAAGAGCATTATGAAAAAGAGATTTGGGGAAGAAACCTTACCTGTGTTGGTCATTCTAGTATAAGGCTTGCTCTAATGAGCAATATCATGTATACATCTTGTCTAAACCAGGTATAAAAATAAGAATCGTACCTTTTAACTTGCTATATCCTGAGATCTTAATGCTAGATGAGCAGAATACTGCCACCTACTTAATGGGCATAGTGAATTCTATGTTCTTAGGGATTGAGATTGTATATAGTAATGCACTTGGGAGAAAGAGAGGGAGAAAAAAAAAAGAGCATTCATCAGGTGATGATGGGGAAAGAGCAAAAGAATAACCCATGATTTCGCCCGGACTTGAACCGGAGACCTTCAGTGTGTTAGACTGACGTGATAACCAACTACACCACGAAACCGGATGATGCTGCTGAAGCACACGAAGTTATAATTCGGCACGTAATTTTAATATAATAAAATGTGCTTGTAGGCTACCAAAGAATGCAGGTAGCTTGGGTTTCTAGTTGCTGTGAGTATCTATGGGGATACTATTCGCAAGCGCTATGGTAAGAGGTGGGATGTAGGAATAACATCCGGGCGGGTTGTCGTGGTTCTCGGATTCTTCCACCGAGGCCTCCAGTTCCAGCTTGGTTGCGGCTTAGAGCTTGAGCGTATAGTCATTTCACTTCATCACCAGCTCTTGAAGAGATATGAGGTGATCTTCGAGCTGTAGTTGCTAAACAAGAAAGTTGCATTGCTCAAGGCAACTCGATGCAAGGACAACTAAAAGTTGATGGAATTGCTTGCGTGCGATGGAATCCGTCATTGGGGTCGAGTTTCGGCATAACACCTAGTTCGGAGGCTATTATCTGTTAGATTGTTCAAGTTCAGTATGGAACACCACCAGGTTCGATACCAAGCCCGAGTCTCGAGTAAGTCAGTACATGTAGGTAGAAAAGTCATTGCAACCCCGGATTTGCTCCTGGTGTTTGAGTTAGTTGGCGTGTTTACGAGGCCGGCTCTTTCATGCTGGCCCATGTTTCCCCAGTGTCGACTTTCAATATGAAAGATGCTAGGTACTTAGAAATGCTGCTCAGTCACCTCCATTCTAGGGCTAATATCTACCAAAGCCATGGCATTCTGATGTCTTGGGTATCTACTAGACGCATATACACTTTATTGGATGGTATCAAAGTTACAGCCACGGTTCCTTCGATGCTTCAGTCGATCAGGGTACCTAGGTATGTATCTGCAGTTAGATAGTGTGGTGTGGTGTAGCGTAGCGTGACAAGATAGACGTGGCTTGGCTGATGACGACTGAACGAACTTAACGTTTTCATGTGTTTTGTTTTTTTCTTGTAGGAGACAACCTACTATTAGCATCTCGAAGAAACAGCGCGACTCAACACCAAGCGAGACTTGATCTGACGTCTGGGTGCAATCACTTCCAAGTTTCCTTGCAGTGATTTCACGGGTTACAATAACATCGATAAAGTAAAACTTTTTTTTTTTCCTTTTTTAAGTTGCACTTGCAGTGCATTATTACATCACCCACCCTTTGGCCAGCTGACTGTTGTGATGGACTCAGCGCTCGATACCTACTTGGGTAGCGGTAGTGTATGCAGGGTCGTCCCACTAAGTGCACTCGCGATAAGACGCTATCCTGTCTCTGACCCTGGTAATAAACTCGGCTGATTGCGAGAGGATTAGCGCTAATAATCTCCACTAAGCCAGCCTAGGAAAGGAGCTATGGGCTCTGCTAGTAAGTTCTGGGTCAGTTCTGCAATAGGAGGCTTGTCGTCACTGTCGTCATTGTGGCCCACACTCAAAAGGCTCAAAAGGTGGAGTGGATACGTAAACTATATTTGCAGTCTGCCGTGAACCCTTCTGTATATCATCTAATTACCTACTATAGGCACCACCATCTCTTCTTCTTAATGTTGATCTCGTCTCTCCCCTCTCCCCTCCCCATCTCATTGCTCATCCTCTGCTCATACCATCCCATCCCATCCTATCCCTTGCATTGTACTACTCTGCAATATAGCCCTTTGTGCGGCACCTGCTGAAGCGAGCTAGCTAAGTCGAACAAAGAGCTGCAATCTAGCCTGACACAATCCCAAGCCTCCTCGTCATCGCTGCAGATCAACGTCAACGTCAACAAGCTTTTGAAACAGCCGACCTACCGTACGTGCTTCTTTCCCCTCACCTTGGTCCTCATCTTGAAACAATTCCCTTGTTGTCCAGCCAAACCCTGCAACCAGCGTTATTCACTTTTTGAAACAAGCGATAAAGCGTGCCGAGGATATATTCGCTGACTCCAGAATTAGCACAACTGATTCGATCCCGATCCTGCCAATTACCATACTGAACGAGAGAAAAAAGATAGATCGTCAGCGAAATGGCGCGATCAAGTAAGCCCAACTCAACTACCACCACACATTCCACCGACTCAACTAACAATTCACCCTCCCTCGCAGACGCTGCTCTCGCGCCGCTATCTCTCATCTTCCTCGGCGGTGCGACCGTGCTACTCTTTTTCGTCGTCCTGTCTGGCATAACAAGAACGTCACCCCTGCGGCAAACATACTTCTTATCCGCCGACACCTCGGGTATTAGCGGGGCTCGCGACGTATCGCAATGGACCTACTTCCGCATCTGCGGCGCGGGTAACGTCGACTGCAGCCGTGCCTGGCCCGACCCCCCGGTTGGTTATGCCTGGGATGGGAACCCGACAGGGGCCAACCTACCAGAACGCCTTATCGGGTCGTACGGCGGCAATACCACTAGCCAGACCTACTACTACCTATGGCGGTTCGGTTGGGTCTTCTACCTACTATCTCTCTTCTTTACCGTTGTCGCCTTTTTCTCGGGCTTCGTGGCCTGCTGCGGACGTCTTGGTTCCGCTATTGCCGGCTTTATGTCCCTTGTAGCCCTCTTCTTCCACACTGTTGCGGCGGCCTTGATGACGGCTACTTTCGTGCGGATGCGCGATCAATTCAATTCAGTGGGCCGCGACGCGCGCATCGGAACATACGCTTTCGGCTTCACTTGGGGAGCGTGGGCTGCGCTCTTCATCGCTACGGTGCTATTCTGCATCGGGATTCGCGGCAAGAAAGACAACTATTCCTCCGGTGGCTCGCGATGGGGTCGCAAGAGAAGCGTGCGAAGCCGTCGGAGCTACGACATCGGCAGCCACCGTGTCAAGGAAGATTACGCCTAAACCACTCATAATAGACTCTCGCCACTACGAAGGATGCAAAGGACTGAATTTTCTTTGCAAATAGACAAGATAATGACTACTGGGGATGACCTAGGGGAACGGAGCGAGATGAAGTGATCTCTTAACGATGATGAATAATTTTAATGTTTTTGCAATTTAATTTAGAGGCGGTAATCGTATAGTTACCTGCATATAAGCTTCTATACCGCTAATACGTACGCTATGAGATGAATACACGTTCCATTATATAATTTCTAGTGCAACAAGCGCGGATCTGAAAGTGAATTCTCTTTTGCGTGTTTGCAGAATATTCAGAATTAGCTGTGTACTGCGTGAGACACCTACTTCAGATATGTACCAGGCAAATAGGCAGGCATTCGGCAATTGAGAGGAGATATATTCCAGCAAGACAGAGCTTACTTGTCCTATTCTCTACCTATCACTAGCGCTGTACATTTCACGGGATTTACATAAGATCGGAATTGCCAATGCTGCCGTGTCATATATATATTGGACAAAATAGGGGATAACAGAACAGCCAAAGAGACGCGACGAGGCATGTATATCTGTCCCTTTCTCTTGACATCTCATCGATCTGCATGTAAGTAAGTATGTTGATTGACCCAACTAGTCAACCGACTGAAGCCCATCTTTTGCAAATTTACAAACTTCCCATTCCTGTCGCACCTTCTCGCCTTCCCCTCTAACCCCCCTGCAAATCCTCGAATATTCTTCTTCTAATCATAGACATGCGTTATCCGTTTGCGTGTATATCTAATAACATAATGGTTTTTTTTTTTTCCGTTTTGCCTCCCGAGATACGTGTACAGGGATCAATCAATCATTCCACCGGAACCCATAAATAAAAATTAAAAGAGCACAGAAAACAAGGAAAGACGAACGAGGAAGAAAAAAAAAAAAAGCAATTGGGATCAATGTTCATGTCCTCTTGGAAGGGCACTGCAAATTTGTCCATGTTTGTATGTACACATAACAAAAAGGGAGTTTCGCGTACGCCACGCAAATGCAATGGAAATGGAGCTTCGTCAAAAGAATTGGTGGAGAACCCGCTCCGACAATGCGTGCGTAGCTACTGCATGCACGCACACAATGCCCCTCATGCCGCTGTAGAATGGAACGTGATAGTGCAAATGTGCCGCCTTTCGAGAAACCTAGCTCGCAATGTTGGGGCTGCTGGTCAAGGATGTAACCACTTTATCTAATTGTGCGGCGTGGAGCGCTGGCTTCCCATCTATTTCGCCATATTGCCCATTCGCCTTCTTCTCCAGTATCTCCTTGACCCATGCTGCGGTTTCGGCATCCTCCGTACTGGAACGACTTAAATCGACATTTTCAGCGGCACCTGCAACTGCTTCGGCACTGGCATCGTTCTCCTGGGCTTCTTCCTCTTCTTCAGTGATTGTCTCCGGCTTAGATAGCCCACTAAGCCACTCGGATGTCAACAGCTTTTGATAGTTTGGCCGCAAACTGGGCGATTTGTTGAGACACTGGTGGACAAACGTCCGAGCGGTCTGGGAGTATCTGTCTGGCAAATCAGGTGGATCACCTTCGACGATAGCCTAGTAAGGGCGGTTAGTGTGAATCAGGTGTTATACCAATGTCAATGACTTACAGTGAGTTGACTAAAGATCGTGGATGACACATCAGGCGGGTATGGGTATTCACCCATACCACATTCAATAATCGTCAACCCTAAACTCCATATATCACTCTGCACACTGTATGTGCCGTCCGAGGCGCCGGACTGCATAAAAGCTCCACCAGAAATGCGCTCAGGGGCCATATAGCTTTGACATCCAATGTTCGTTTTGGCGATACTGGCAACAAGGTTACCGCTCACACCAAAGTCACAGATCTTCACTTGGCCCCGCGTATTGATGAGAATGTTTGTGGGTTTCACATCTCGGTGTATAATATTATGTTTTTCTTTCAATTCCTTCAGCCCCATGATTGTGCTATATGTAATCTTGCGGAGAATGTTCTCGGGTATACCCCCTGAGTAGAGCTTGTCGATCGAACCACCGTCCATGTACTCTATACACATGTAGACAGCACTTTCCTGGAAGAATGCTCCGTAGAAATCGATCACATATGGCGATGCGCATTCATGAAGAATCACCAGCTCTTTGATGATGGTCGTGAGCTTGGTCTCGTCTAACTCTAATCGCATTTCTTTCATGGCCATGACCTTGCCAGAATTGCTGCCAGATTTTGAGTCAACCTTGTCGCTAGCTGTACTGGAGAGTCTTGGAAATGAAGGTGTTTTTGAGCCAGCCAACCCAGGGCCAAATCGCGGAATACGGGGTTTCGTATGCCGAACTTTGTAAACAGTACCGTAATTTCCCTTCCCTAATTCATCCAATTTCTCAACTTCATCAAGCGATATCCGAAAGACCGAGCCATCGGAGAAATCAACACCCTCATTCGTGATAATGGCCTTGCCCTTGAAGGTGAGGTAGCCCTTTTCCGTGTCAATGTATTCTTCGAATTGCTTCAACTGAGAGACATGACTGTTGCCATTCTGTGTCATGGACTGTTGACTTAATCCCGAAGAACCAGTAGGCGCTGGAGAGGGACCGCCGTTCATATCTCCGAGTTTGAGTCCAAATCGCCTCTTGCCAGCTAGACCACCACCTACTGGGTTGATAGCGGGCGCCGAACGGTGGAACGACGGGGCGCCAGGTCGTTGAAGTCCGCCTGGCAGCCGGATATTGCTTGGTATACCACCCACCATGGAGCCGCTTGGGGACAAAGGGGAGGGCGACGCTGAACTAGGGGATGAGGCGTGCTGGCTTGAGGAAGAGCTACCCTGGCGCGATAAATGGAAGGCTCTCATTTTAGCACTAAGATCTTCGGGTAGGCGCCCGCTTGATGCGTGAGGCGCGGCGCCAGGACGTCTTGCGTTCGAGAGAACGCCTAAAGGCGTTGAACTAGCGGACATTGGGTGTGTAGGGTTCTGAGGGTCGGATATGGATCGAAGAGACGGCATTCTCTTAGGGGGATCTGCTGATATTTCATCTGGAGTATTGAGAGGAGTGCTGCCCTCTGAAGACATCGGCGAATCGAATGATACTGGGCTGCCCATAGGCTGATCGATGTGATCAAGGGCGAGCTCGCCCGACGTGTCCGGCTCTCTGCCGAATGTGGTTCCGCCCATCATTGTGAGTTTTCGTAATGACTGTGGCGCGGGTGACAACAACTAGGTTTACTAAGCTGTACACACCAGCATTCCGCGAAAGAGGGTCAACAGCAATGAGAACCAGTGGTGTCTGTTTAATACGCCAAGGAAAGAGACTAGGTCAGTAGGGTAGCGCAAGAAAAGGTCCCGGCAGAAAGACGTCGTCGAATTGCCGCTCGTGAAGGCCAATCGAAATAGTAGGTGCAGTTATTTCCAGGAAGATACGGTACCGCTCTTCGGAGAACTGGTCTAAAGCACCTATACGGTCAATTTAAGCCCATAGACAATGATCGCAACTAGGCGGCGAGTATCGCGATGGCGAGACAGTAGGACAATAGTCGTCTGGTCTTAGGGATCGTGGGCTTGAGGTACCCTTTACGATGACGACCGTTGGAAAAGTTACCAGTGTAGGTAAGGTCGGTCGGTTGGCAGGCAGGTTGACCGGGTGGCGTTGCGTACCTAGGTAGCTTATACCAATGTTACGGTTTCGCTTCTGACAAAGTTCTGGCCCAAGCAGACAAGTCGGCGCAGCTAGTCGGTTTGCTTACGTCGTGAAGCCTGAATGCTGTATCTAAGCTGGCGTGAGTCGTATGGTTGAATATGGGGCGGGACTAGCGAGCGACGGAGCGAGAGTAAACGGGGATAAGCTCGAAAGGGTCTGTCTTGTAGCAAGACGTGTGCGTAGACAGGTCAAAGGTAGATATGTAGTTATAACAGACTCAAACGGGATGGAGACAAACAGATGGGTGAGGTAAGTCGAGATTACCTAGCAGAGTGAGGAGGGGTGAGAAAAATGGAGCTTGTAATTCCTGTTTCTAGGTAGGCAGGTCCCGAGGGTAGGTGCTGTAGTTACACGAGGGTTGGTACTTGGGTACTAACATACTAAATAGGTAGGAATAGGTAGGACTAGGTAGGTAGCTGCGTAATCAATCGACGCTCCATGTTACATGCCCCGTGGCCGATTGTCGATGCGATGGGCAAGATGGGGAACAGGAAATGGGGAGAGCGGGTGAGTGTGACGATGTGCCCCGCGCAAGCGAGCTTGGAGATGCAAGATTCGAGCAGTATGATACAGTGTCCAGTGTTCAGTGTAGACACTGTGTTGATTTTCACGTGGCTGTCAGGACCTACATACCTAGTAGCAACTCCGCCAGCTAGCTGAGCAGCTTCGCTTTGCTCTAACACTGCTCTATGTTAGAGCAGAATAGAGGTAGGTATCAAGGTGTGTAGCCCGGTAGATTACTTAAGTGTGCCACAATGACTTGCGTACCTACAGCAACGAAGCTACAATGGATCGGTAAGACATTCTGATAGGTGTGGTACCGACCAAAAGGCATCTACCGTGCAGGAATGGTGATGGAACTACATACAATATACCTACTAACTGTCGCTTTCAATTATGTCGATTTTGGGAAACTTGGGAATAATCTCCGTCTTTGCCGCAATGCTCACCTGCTCGTGTCTTCTACCTTGACTTCTCTCTCATTTAGTTGGTGCATTACAAAATCGCGGCATGCTATCTTCCTAAACCATAATTGCTGTATCATACACCCTAAACTTCTTTGACAAATCCTTTAGGTATCTATTCGTCCCACATTAATGCCCAGGATACGAGTCAAACCCGTGATTAGACATCGAGCCTACGCCCTTTGATTTGTCCAAGATAGAAAGAGAGGGAAGGGAGCGGTAGGAGGGATGACGCCGTTTGAGATCTTTGATCTAAAGTACAGTGGAGAGGGTCTGGAGAGTATTTGGGACAAACGCTATTTCGCCTAGACATTATTCGTCATAGCTCAAACCAGAAGAGATGGATGGTATAGACCATGAATGCACACCAGTTCCTTACCTAGCTCAGCCTCTTGACGTCGGTCCTCCCCTCATGTTTCAATGCGCGCCTGGGTTGTAAGTCATGTCAGTATCGTGGAGGTAGGTACTGACTGCCTTAGGTAATGACTTGAGCTTGCATACCTAGTTGAAGATTGTGGCTCAACAGACGTCATCAAGCCACACGCTCTGCACACACCCATAGCGCCAGCTGAGATTAGGTACGTCATGACTATAAGCGGTTGATCGATTATATCAGACAGTATCGGCGCACAGTACATAGTACACCAGTTCTATCACGACCACACAGTACCCAGCTACATATCTACTACATACATAAGTACCTAGGTAGATACCTATTTATTAGTAACCCCGATGCGACGAAAAGACAATGATCCTCTGTGTAAATATAAATCTACACGTCAAGAAGATCATGCAATTATCTACCTAGTCTAAGCTACCTGGTCACTTGCGGCTATTACTACTTATGTAGACAGTAAAAGCTTTTCGTAAAGATTAGGTAGAACTCATTACGTCATAAGTAGAACAACTGAGCCGCGTGGGTTACGCAGATAAACGGGAGCTTAGTATCGAATCACACCGGGACAATATCTTCGTAGAAGAATAGTAGGTTATTCAATTCCTTTAGCCAAGCACCTACTAGAACAGCAGTTGAGCCGGTCACTGCTGATATGTCTGTTTATTCGGTTTATTTTCTTCTCTTAGTGGAGTAGAGGTAGAGCCTTGGTTGGAGGCCTCAAAAAAAATTTTGGGCGGCCAATTACCTACAACGGGCATTCTGCTCCGATTCTTTGGATTTGGCGAATAAGCTGGTCCAGTACTGCTTAAGTAGGAAACATACGGGGCGGCACTTTTATTCGTTGAAACAATGCCTGACTCTGACCTGGCGTTACAGGGGCTCTGACAGGGCGTTCGAACGAGCCTCTACCAATTAGGAATTCTGTTGGTGCATTCGTGCAACCTAAAGGCGAAGCTCTAGCAAAGAATCGAGAAAGAGAGAGTTGTAGGTAGAGTGGCAACACATAGCTGGCCTGGCTTACCTCCTTATAGTTACACAAAATAGAGTAGTATGTATGCTACGTCTTCGTAGGTACTGATCCGCATGGTTTACTTGAAGGAAGAAACATATACCTAATTGGAGAGGCGAGAGACAACATTCCTGGCTGCGGCCTTGGCCTCTTGGCTTTCACCGTGGATCGTTCATACTGGTTAGGATGAACAGCCAAAAGCAGCCGCCTTGTGCCCGCCAAGTAAATGCCTCATCACTAAAGTTCGACCTGAATGATGCCATTGTGTTTGTTTGCCCAACATAGAGTGCCGGAATGCCGTTGCGGACGTATAAGAAACAGGCCAAGAGGCTGTTGTGCAGAGAGGTGATACAGACTCGCTCTCGTGAGGTATGAGGGTTGATGATGGTGGCCGAGGAGTTGTCGCCCAGACAATTGGTTTCAGCACAAGTTGCCACAGCGCACGGAAAGAGAAGCACCAGCAGCACCAGAAGACACCATCGAATACCTACATAGTAACTTGGGACAATTCGTAATTCCGTACCTATTGGTACCTACTCCGTACAGGTGTATCTTCCAAATTTGAGCCAGGTGCCTCCCTCGCCTCCTTAGTATACTTACTTAACCGATACCTGCAGTTTGAGAGGGGTACTGGTGGTCTGTGGTGGATATACTCGTTTCTGCCCGCTTGATCAAGTTTATCAGATGTTATCAGATGCAGCATCAAAAGGGAAAATGAGTGGATTTATCGTCAATATGGACAGGCCGCCGGCCGCGTCAACGGACTTGGCGGGACTTGGCGGAGACGGCAGCGCAGGCTGGGCGCAGGCTTGGCGGATTAGCTTGTCTGGCCACCAATCGCGGAGCATCACCGCTGGGAGGCATGGCGCAAGCAGGGCCGCCAATTGCAGGGTAGGCAGGCGAGCTAGGTACGCTATGTGCTGAGATCTGCTGAGGGCCACCGCGAGGCCCGCCCTCGAGACGACGGCGAGACAACGCCAGCCCTCTCTCCCTGCTCGCTGGGCAGAGTCGTCGTGCCAGGCCGGACTCTGCCCGGACCCTTCATCTTCATCTTCGTCTTTCTTCTTTCTTCCTAATCGACACTGCCGTGCTCGCAGCTACCGGTACATGCCATACAGACCTCGCCATATCACAGTCAGTCCCCGTGCCAGAGATCGACGGCTTGGTCAAGTGGATCTGTCTGGTGCAGAACATCCTGTACGTTCTTCCTGACTTACATAGTACATTGCGCCGTATGTGTTACATGGGCCCAGTGTGATAGTATGAATCCTTACGCGCATACATAATACATGCATCGTATACACTAGACTCTCTTCTTTGAGTCTTTCATTCCCTTTTCTAGACCACCCACCTCCACTCTTCGCGCGCCGACGCACTCGGTGAATAGAGTTCTCGCATCCCTGCCTTATCTGCGCTCGAGCCTATACTACCGGACGAACCCACGACTGCACCCCGCGACCTTCCAGACGACTATCGTACCGCACACGGACGGCTATCACGGCGCCTATCACTATTAATATCACCGGCAATCGATTTCTGCCCCTCTACATCTATCTGTCCTTTGTTGTCGCCGTCGAGCCTGACTCGCTTTGTATAGCATTGCGCCTGGCAGGAACAATTTCGAATTCTCGCCATTCTAGGCTGCACACTTCCATCATATTGTCTGCCCAGTTTGAGGTCCTTGGATCAATCCTACCCAAACACTTGGCGTAAACGACCCTTATCTTGTTCTGGCAGACGCGTGCAGCATCTTAACCAAGGCCAGACGCTGTTCCTTCGAACCTTCCCTTCTCGCAACGAGCACACGCCCTTGGACCTCAATAGCTGAGAACCAGAGACGCAAAATGAGTTCTCCTTATTCATCTTTGGTTCTCGTCAACAATGCGGGCCTCAATTGGACTCCTGATGTTGTGCCAGCTTTTGATGCCACAATGACGCCTCATGACAAGCACCCATCGCTTGTTGGCCTGGTAATCCTCGTCTTCGAGGCCGTCTTAGAGGTCATTTGTGTCAGCTTACCTGGATAGTGAGTATTTATCCGCTTGTTCCAGCAGTAATTCGGACTGCACTGGCCCTTTGTTTGCAGATCAATTGTGCCAAATTCTGCATACCTTTCCAAGTATCTACGTTGTCACGCGCTTTAGCAATGACTGACCCCAGCTTGTTAGTATCCTCGCCAGGCGTGGCCTCTTCAAGCCAGAACACCAGAAGTTCGTCGCAAACTTGAACATGTGGATCTTCACACCCTGTCTCATATTCAGCAAGCTCGCCAAGCAATTAAACCCCAGCCAACTAGCCGATCTCGCTGTCATTCCAGTTATCTTCGTAATACAGACTGCTGTCTCGTACGGAGTCTCCATTGGTGTTTCGAAGTTGTTCCGATTCAGGAAACGAGCAACTAACTTCATCACGGCCATGAGCGTTTTTGGAAACTCCAATTCACTCCCTATATCTCTCATCATATCATTATCCCAAACCTTGAAGGGGCTATCTTGGGATCAAATCAAGGGTGACCATAGCGGATTAGTGTCTGCTCGGGGTATATTATACCTACTGATCTTCCAACAACTTGGGCAAGTGGTACGGTGGAGCTGGGGCTTCCACATCCTATTAGCCAAGAAAGACCAATATGAGGATTATCGGGATGAGTGCATCGAAGAGGGACGCTATCGTGACGACGACACATCTAGCGAGGTCTTGATACCTGGTCTTGACGGCAATACCGAGAGCTCAGATGATGAAACATATGTTCCAGCAGGCAGAACTCCGGTCGGCGGTACGGCGGGTACTTCTCCCGCCGATTCCGATGACGAAACCGGTGCGCCGAAAAAGCCATTGGTAACGATGGGTGAGAACGGCAATGGTGTCCGCGTTCCAAATGAGGTGTCCTCCGATGGCCTGAATGATATTACGACATTCCCACATTTGCGTGACATGGACCAACCGGAGCCTTCCAAAGGGATCCGGGGCTTCGTGACTCGCTTCAAGTTTGCTCTCCATAGGGGTTTCAGCCGCACGAAAGAACGTATGCGCCAAATAAGCGTACGCACCTACTCCAAGCTACCCCGGTATATCAAAGTGCCTCTAGAAAAGACTGGAAATTTCATTAGCGAATTCATGAATCCTCCATTATGGGCCATGCTTATCTCCATTATTGTGGCCTCGGTTCCTCGCCTCCAACAGTTGTTCTTCGAAAAGGGGTCGTTTGTTAAGAATAGCGTCACCGATGCCGTTGTACAAAGTGGAAACGTTGCCGTACCCATGATTCTCGTTGTCCTCGGCGCCAATCTAGCAAACAACACCAAGGACAGCGAGGCCAAAGATCCTGAAGAAGCCAAGATAGGATCAAGACTCCTTATTGCGTCACTCATCAGCCGGATGGTGCTCCCTACCCTCATCATGACACCCATCATAGCCCTCACTGCGAAATACATTCCTGTTAGCATAGTGGATGACCCAATCTTCATCGTCGTGTGTTTCCTTCTCACGGGTGCGCCCAGCGCTCTTCAGCTAGCGCAGATCTGCCAGATAAATGAAGTCTACGAAGGCGTCATGTCCAAGATTTTGTTCCAGAGCTACGTCGTTTGGTGAGTATGGCCCACTCAATATAAGACACAATCAGTAACTAACCATCTGTAGGATTCTTCCGTCGACGTTGGTTTTGGTGATGCTGGCACTCGAGACAGTGGAATGGGCGGGACTCTGAGCTACATATTCAATACCTAGCTATCGCAGGCGGGGCAGAAAGGGGGGAGGAGCCCCGGTATGACATGCGGCTCAACTTCCCTCCCCGTTTTACACTCTCATAGCAAAGATACACCTATGACGAGCTTGCACGCTGTCAATGTGCAACACCAAATTACATAACGTATCACTTCTATGTCACACGACATTAAATTGTTCTGTACAATCATGCGGAGTTTGGATTGGGTCAGTTTATAGTCCAGTTGGAACGGGATTGGATTGGCGTTGAATTGGCGTTCGGGTTTGGTGTCGACATTACGACTTTGGCGGGACTACGGAAAAGGGATCGAATACAAATAAGGCGAAGAACAACCAATTGATTCTGTATCTTGCAATCCTGGTGCACAGGTAAAGGAACGACAATAAGCCACCGAATTGGTGCCAGTCGAGCAAGATTAAGGAAAATGGTACAAATATGACAACCAGGTTTAAAGAAAAGGCAGGGGAATCCATTTAGGTAGCGGATTTTGGAAAATCCCATGAGTCAGTACAAGTAGACACTTGATCAAGTTTAATTGAAGCAGAGTATCGCACAACCAAGCGGCCACGAAGTAGTAACACTACGCGCCTGATCAATATATGTGGTAACTGGAGGTTAGTTCCAGGATTTTGTAAGTCTCCAACCTTGGACAGACTTGGACTCAGATGTCTACCAGTTCTAGACAGTAAATACTTAGTGTAGCCCCCGGCTGTGTTGTCTAATCGATAAGATCCACGAGAGGTAGCCAGGATATCTGAACCATCAGACCCCTGTCCCGCCCGTCTACAACGCATGTACCTCTCTCTACTCTGCTCTACCTACCCGCTCCCGTTACCCCTCTAAGGTTGCTGTAGCGTGAAAAGGGGATCTGGAAAGTACCTAATCGCAGCAAGGGTTTCCAGGTGCCAATAGCCAGTGTAGAACATAATACCTAGGCAGGCGCCTGGTACTGAGCTATTCCTTACAGAAGCATACTTGGGCCTTTTGTTTTTCTCTTATCTTTATTTCCAAATCCCAGTTTGACATTATATTTATGCTCTTCAAGACGCGAAATCACTGCCATTGCTTACTCCTCCAATTTTGTAAAGATAGGACGCAAAAAGAAGGCCCGGCACCAGAAAGCGTCCAACTCGCTTTGGTCGCGACGCTCCAAAATGGGCCAGACTTCGAGCCTGGTGTCCGAGGACACAAGGCCAGACACCCTCTCGGATCGCAGCATAGCTGCTGTCGCCGACCTGATTAAGGGCGGGCGGGCAAAACGGATCGTCGTCATGACGGGTGCTGGCATCTCTACAGCTGCGGGCAGTGAGTTTCCCTCCTCTGTTGTCCACTGTCCAAGATACACACGAGCTCCCAGTCATGCAGTCGACAGCCGCATTGACGTTACCAGTCACCAAGTACAAATCAAATATGACCCGTCACTGACACACAATTCTTTGTCAAGTACCCGACTTCCGCTCTCCCAGAACTGGGCTTTACCACAATCTCGCGCGGCTTAATTTGCCCCATCCAGAGGCCGTCTTCGAGATTGACTTCTTTCGCGATAACCCGCGGCCATTCTATGTCCTGGCAAAGGAATTATATCCGGGAAACTTCCACCCTACCATATCGCACGCCTTCGTAGCGCTTCTTGCCCGTAAGAAGCTTCTACGTATGCTCTTCACGCAAAACATTGACTGTCTCGAACGCACCGCTGGCGTTCCAGCAGAGTTAATCGTCGAGGCTCATGGCAGCTTTGCCACCCAGCGTTGTATAGACTGCAAACAGCCCTTCCCCGACGCTGAAATGCGCAAATGCGTTGAGTCGGCCTCACCAGCAGTCTGTACTAATAAGAGCTGTGGGGGGCTCGTAAAGCCAGACATTGTATTTTTCGGCGAGCAGCTGCCTAGTACATTTTTCGATAATGCTACAGTGCCGCAGGAGGCAGACCTTGTCATAGTTGTTGGCACAAGCCTGCTAGTTCACCCGTTCGCAAGCTTGCCACGCATGGCCAGAGAAGGCGTGCCTAGATTATTATTCAACATGGAGCGAGTGGGCGATTTTGGTACGCGGGCCGATGACGTAGCTTGCCTGGGACCATGTGATGATGGTATTCGCAAACTAGCTGATGAACTCGGGTGGAGAGACGAGCTAGAGAACATGTGGGTAGATCTTGTCGGTGAACCAGAAGCAGCGCGACAACGATCAAAGGAAAGGCAGGAACAAGTGGACGACGAGCTTGACGAACTAGTGCAGGGATTGCAACAGAAATTAGAACTGTCTGAGGACCACGACGGCCACGAATCTAATACTATTGCTAATGCCAGGCTACAGGAGAAGAAAGAGCGCGAGACGTCAACGACGGTTCCAGATCCTCCTCCTACACAGTCAACAGATGGTGCGCCTGTGGCGGTGGAAGAAGTATTACCAGCACGACAAGATAAAGGAGACATTGAAGCGGGCGAGGGAGATGAAAGTCCTGCTCATGCGACGCCAGATGTTTCTAAGACAGATTCGGGGGCGAAGGAGCAAATATCCGACACAGCGAACACAACCACCTTTACACCTGTCCAAAATGCCGGGGGCGAGTACCGGGTGGAAAGCGATAACCAAGCTCCCAGGTCGAGTTCCTAATTGAATAAATATCATGCCAACACTTAGCCTCATTGGCTACCATGAATTAGACCGACCTAGGGGCATCCAACACAAAGGCTTTCTGAGACCTAGGTAACATTGCCCAAGACAACTAATAAGCGACCCAAGACCAGAGTTTTCTCCATCTCCTTCTCACCACATACCCCTCATATCATTGCTACATAGACGTGCCTGTGTAGAGATGCATTGCATATATAAGTCCGTGCTCTTGGATAGTTGCTCCACGACCATTCTTCATGTATAGGTTAGGATTTGCAAACCTTACGCCAAGAGATCCTGTGTTTATGATCTGCATGTATAAGTCCGGAGGTAGCCAAGGAGGAGCGGTGACTGCATGCCAATTGCGGCTTTTTCGTTCTTCCAGCCCATTCGTGCGACAGAGGAAACACTTAGATGGGAAGAAACAAGGCGGGCCGACGTCATGTACGTGCCGCTGAGACGGCCGAACAAGGCGTATGCCCACTCGGCACGGCTGGGCGCCGAGTGTTCTTCCATACCTATGGTACCTATTCTACAATGGATATCTTTATCTTCGGTCATCCAATTGACCATTTTCAAGAACAAGCTATCATGCCCTATAAACTATCGACTGAGATTATCAGTAGATTTACAAGCTCTCCGCGCCACAACATAGATTAGCGAATCACGCAGTGTGGCCATCCATTATCGACGCGTATACAGTGAGGCTTGGATAGAAGCGTTTGTTTAGGATAGATCTAAGATCCCAGACGCTCGGCGCTCTTGGCCGCGTCTAGGCACTCAGATCAGTGAAGCTCACAAGATACGAATTCGTTGTTTAGTCCTCGGAGGGTATCACTTGATATGCATGACATATTAAGTTGTCTGCAGTAGATAGATGGCTTATACGCAGGTCGTACTCGAAATAGTAACGATGGTAGTATAAAATGCCTCACTCATCTCTGTCCCCCCTCTCTATGTTTTCTATCTCTAGGTTCGACTTCTACCCTGAGCCAACCCACCGAGTCAAACTCTCACAAGGATACGACGATCCTGACAGGCACTTGACATACAGCCACATTGGATTTACACCGAATTCCGCCACCGGTCTATCATTTCCAAAATGCAGTCCAAGATCCTCATCTCCCTCCTCTCCACCACCGCCATCCTCTTCGGCTCCGTCTGCGCGGCACCAGCAACAGAGGTGGTAGACGTCAGAGCCGATAAACCGACACTGCTTGAGGAACGCCAGTACTACAATGGCCCGTGCTCGCATACGGAGTGCGGTGTCACCCGTGTTAATTGCCGCTCAAAGAGTTTGTGGTGCGTGAAGTATCCGCGCTTTGATATGCCCGAGGGGTGCACCTGCAGTCCCCTATAGTGAAGATAAAGCGGACGGGTTGTTGGTGCCTGGATGTTTAAGGAGCAAGGGAAGGGAAGAAGCGGTCTCGCCGACAAGGCTGTGAAGTTCAGGGGCCAGTCAAACTACACCCGAAACCAAACGTCTTGAGACAAATACGTACGGTACCTCTATGGAGGGGAGAAGGTTGTTGAAACCAGGCGAGAGGGAACGACTGCTTGAGAAAGACGATGACGGAAGAACAATACATAAAAGCTTGTGCCACGAGTTCAAAGTGCCGAATTCTGACTTTGGCGAGATTACTTACCTACCTACCTGCCTCTCAGCCTATCGACCAGAGGTCCAATATATCGAGTGTGAGATTTGACAGGCATCTAAAGCAAGTCGCTGAAATGTGATATACCATGATGTATGTTGTTGTGCCAAGTATAATACGTTGACAACATAAGTTTTATCATAGCGTAAGGTTTGGAGTTGGGACATCTACCTAGGGCGGCAAAACCACCTTCATTCAGCTCCCACCACACGATATAGTTAACTAGAAGTCGCAGAGGATAAGGTATAGGGTAGATAATGCATGTATAACAAGGGCAGGATAACTGGGCTTGGAATCTAGGCAATTCAGTCTATAGTGAATAACTAGGGCTGCATAAGTCCTTGACCAACCAACTCCTTCTCGGCTGTTGGTGGCTTGACTTGACTCTATATACAATTGGTCTGCCAGCCCAGACCGCCTAGGTCTCTGGGGTCTGTTTCAAGAAGCGAAGTCTGTATAACCTCACTTTCCAATATTGCCCAATATTGCCTGCATGTCTTGAAAGACCATGAACAGCCTGCAAAGATCCTTCGTACGGCCGAAGCGCAAGGCGAAGTGCATATTCAGCTTAGTACAGAGGTTACACATGTAACAGCATGTGGTGATTAACAATCACTAGACTAAGTCCAATGATGTATGCAGACTGTTGGAATTTTTTATACACAAGAATATCATGATCTCCAGTCACGGTTATCCCTCGTTAATAAAGGACGAGCCAGCCATAGGTTAAGATTGACCAGAATATCAATATCATTGTGGATACTAACTACTGTGAATAATATACTCAAGTGCCTCAATAGGAGAGCCTAGATAAGAGTTATGATGTTTCAGTATTAAGGTCAAAGATTACAGGCTAACTATGTATCAACTTACATCGTGTGTCACAGACTCTGTACTATTACATAGATGAGGAGTAGTTTTCGTAGACTGTTATCATGGACGACTGCGGATGATGAAGGTAACAATATGTATACGTAGTAGAAACTTGGTTGGGGAAGCGAGATCTAGACACCGAAAAGCCTCCCGAGTGAAGAGTAATCTAGGGCATACATATATCTACAACTCTTATCATTGGGCTCGTATTGTTTTAAGGAAATGACGTTATACTTAAATATAGATTCTAAAACGTGCAACTAACTACGTTATGTCATTGCAAACATATGTGGTTTATCATAGGTAATTAACACCTCGTGAAATCCATAGTGACTAAATGAAAAGACTAGCCAGTTATCATAATTGATTTGAAGATGACATTGAAAAAAAGCATCTACTTAATAGCTCTGAGGCTACTAATTGATAGATAGTGCGAATATTTCTCTCCATGAATGGGAAAGCATCGAGATTGAATTATATGCCTATCTCTCTTAAGCGAAGCGAGCAGGATGTAAGGGTCCGACACCATGTTACACAATTAAGAAGTAGGGGGACACAAACATACTGTAGGTATACCCATAACGCGAAGACGGGGCCTGGCAGCAAAATAGAAAGGAGATCGTTTTCAAGTAAGAGATGAATAAGCAGACTTTTAATAGGCATTGACTTATAGCACACCACTTCCATTATAGCTATGCCACTTATCCCTATCTTACCTCTATACTACGGCGTCATCATCTATAGTAAGTAAAATTGAAGATATTGAAACGTCACTGTCCAATTGGCCTTACATCTATCTATGTAGTGACTGAAACACTTTAAAGAGATATCAGCTCCGTTTTCCACACCGCAACACTGCACCCTACGGATACGTGCGTGCAGTAGGTAGGGGTATGCGTGTCACTTCTGCCACGTTTACTCCCATGCCGAGGGAACACTGCAACGCAAAATCTGGTGTATATTACTGCTCTTCTATTCGCATACTACTTTGGCCCATCTCGGCTGTCCACATATGAAGAGCAGTCCGTCTGCCAGATAGTACGGACACATCATGAGACGCTTTGGCGCGAAGTAGTAGTGTAGGTAACTGACATTCTTGATTCAGAATTGCCCACCTAGGTACTTATACTTAGTACATGGCGCACTACTTGTGTTTTATTACGAAGAGACAAGCATGACACTTACACATCGTTATTGACGGAATTGATCCCCGAGTTCGTTCTTGTTTTCCATGTTCGAGCTGCCTGACCTACCTACTTGGAATAACGTCGGCGCTTTTCCACATACACTACATACTTAAGTAGTAGTACTGTAAGTAGGTAAGCATCATAGCGGTGCCCAATGAGATGGCAGTACTGATTCCCCTGATTTTGGTCTGTATCTGGTATGTACATAGGTATGTTGCGTGCATTTACTAGGTAGACATCTACGTACATAGTAGGTAGGGTTACTTTCCACCACACTATTAGTCCGAGCAGCTGAACCAATAGTAAAGAAACATGGGCGATCTGGCTTGCTAGTCAAATTTCTTGCCATCCTTGATGCTTGCCTCTTTAGGTCTGAGTCCGTCGCCTTGGTGCTTGGCGCTGGGCTAATATTCGACCTGTTCAAGTCCAGAGGCCAGGATTAAGCCAGGATCCCGCCAGGACCCCGCCAGGAAGGACCATTCAGGAGGGAGGGCCGTTCTTTGCAGATACCCTTTCTGTCAAATGCCTGGTTCGTGCCTGGCAGGGCCTGGTTTAGCCTGGTTTAGCGCAGGGCAGGCGCTGGCATCTGCTAATTTCACCATGCATCGTTTTGGGCGACGCGCGAATAGGTAGCCTACTCTGGCCTGGCCTTCATCATGTCGGGATGGTAGGCAGATACTTGCAATGTCGAGAGAGACACCCGTCCGATCAAGTACTTACCTAGCTAGTATCGCTGAGACCCTTGAAGTCAAGGTTAAAACATCGCCGTCGTGTCGCTTCCAACGTCGCCTTCATCCCTCGCTGCTGCATCGCCCCTTGTCTCGTCACCGTGGCCCTCCCCGTTCTCTCCTCCCCCTCCCCTCCACTTACGAAGTAAGTAAGTAAGTAAGTGTTCTACGTAGTATGTACACGGATTCGCACCACGATAGGAGTCACGCGCAACTTGTGCCCTGCCCTAATACCGTCGCCGGATAGGTGCCAGCATACCTGGGTGGTAGAGTCAGGTAATGCTGCTCATGGCTTTGTGGCCCCTCGTCGTTCATCATCGTGGAGATCCGTGTAGAGGGTAACCCCGTCCCGCTACCACCTTCTTTCCCTCTTTTCCCCATCGTCGTGATACTCGACAGACGGCTTCAACAGCACCACCTTCTACCTTCTTGCCTCTCGCATGTAGCGCTGCAAATCGGTGCTTCGTTGTATTTATTTTTCGACACGCTCATTCAATACACTACTTACAACAGACTTCGAGTCGCAGGTCACCTCGGGCTAACGCGACACTGACATCGCACACATCTCAACTACCAAGCGAAACGCTCTTCAGATCGCTGACGCCGGCGCCACCAGCGGATCTTGGACGTGTAGCATACATAACTGCAAACATAGCCGTATTTCTTGGCTATTTCGAGACGAATAGGAGCACCCAATACATTCGGTGGTTTGTTGGCATCGACTTGGTTGTCTTGACGCTAAAAGCCAGCATTTGTCGCCATCGTTTTCACTTCGTCACCAGTGATTGCCCTCTTTGAGGCTCTCTTGACTGGCCGCTCGTCAGAAGAGAGGTTACATATAAATCTCACACGCAGAGGGGCGCCTAACACCACTTGCTTGGTTCAAGTCACGAGTACTGCGAGCCATTCTGTTGACTTGAATCGCGATGGTATCGTTCTTTGGATTGAAGATAGGGGGCGAGAGGAAGAAGTAAGTAGGATAACCACATACGCCGTGGCCTTGCTAATAAGATCAGGAAATCTTCGAAAGACCTTCAGATCTCTGGCCCCCAGCCTCAGCATCCAGATGACCCTAATGCTATCGACAACTTTTTGGACTTGAAATTTGGACCCAACCCTGCGTACGAAGCTAGCGTCTATTCACTGTCGCGACAGGAGTCTAGACAGTCATCGTCGTCTTCTATAAAAAGCAAATTCAAGGGCCTTAGAGTTGCACCCTTTGCCTCGAATAAGTTTGGTTCGAGCATGACAGATCTTCCAGCCCCGCCTAGCCTTCGACACCACACATCTAATCCTAGCCTTGGTCGCCGATGGAACACCGGCTCGTCGACGAGTCTGAGCTTTGTTCCTCCTAGTTTCAGCTCAATAGCCCGACCCAGCACGTCCGATGGCAAACGTAGGGCGCAGATAAACAAACTTGACGTACAGCTCACACAAACCCCGTCAAAAGGAGGCTTTAAGGGACCCTTGAGTCCGGCGTTAACGGTGCCGGACGACGGACCAAGCACGCCTTCGAGTGCTACACCCAAGTCACCACTGGGTAAATACGAACTGAAGCTTGACCTTCCAAGTGATGTGTCCTCGTTCGCAGATTTCGGAAATTTCAGTGGGACTGTCGAGACGCCTGCACCATTACGCATCAAGAAACAAGCCTCCACCCGAGTGTTGGCGAGGCCGCAGGCAAGAGGGCATATACCGCAGAAACCTCCGTCTCCTCCACAGTCCGTTGATGGCAGAGATATCCCGGCAACCCCGGTTTTAAACTCGCCCAAGCTCCCAGTAGCCGAGACGCAGCCTCCCAGCTCTCAAAGCCAGCGCAGCATTCCATCTGGGCTTGAGGACCTTCAAAATGTAATATCAAATCTTGAGCCAGCATCTCTACCCTCTCCATCGACAACACCTCGTCCCAGCGAAGAGAAGCAGTCAATCACCGTCAACCCTCCGCGGCCTACTTCATCGATAACGAAAAGAGGGACTAGCAAACCAGTTATTCAGAACGTTCGCGCCAAGCGAGACACGCTCACCATAAATCCACAACGTCGTCGTAGCCTGGAAATGAAGATTGAAGCAATCGAAAACGGCACTATACCTCCAGTATCTCACGCTGACCGACCAAAAACATCGATGGGTGGACGCTTGATCGAACGTCCGCCTCCATTAACTCTCACAACGGGCTTTCGTCCAAGTGACGGGCCGCGAAGTGCACCTTTCTTGCAAAATCCGATAAGGTCACTTACGCCCACAAACATGAGATCACCACTACGATTAGAAGTTGGAGCAACCGAGAGACATGATTGGAGAGCATCTGTCACTGAGACTCGGGATCAACGCTCGGGTATAGACTCTCCTACAGGGTCGTCCGTGTACGACGACGACGACGATGACGTATATGAACACCCACCATCCCCTGAGAGCACAAGCCCGGTTATGCCATTGACTGGCCCATTGGCGAGTCCATGCTTCCCGCCCTCAGCCCAATCTCCTTTCTCCTACTCTAGCATCTCTACATCGCCTCACAAAGACGAAATAGATAGCGATCGCAGCTCATCTCCTGTTACACCGCCGGTCCCGCCTCGCTCCTCAAGACGCAAGTTGCCTACGGCCAACTCGTCTTATTGGCCATTGCCATCACCAATAGCGCCTTCACCTGACCGTGCCGCTGTCTCACCGGCCTTTATGGATTCGAGATTGCGATCGGAATCTGGTTCCGAGACCGGGTCTTTTTCTCCCTACGAACCCCTCGAGCCGCCTCGCATTCCAAGCGTTCGCTCAGGCGCCGAGTCCCCCACTTTCCGGTCTTTTAGTCGTCCATGGACTCCATCTATGGCTAGTGAATTTGCAACACCTGTATTGAGGCGTGCTGAGACTGCAGGGCAGTTATTAGGGGCAGGGGCGGCGATGGGGACAGAATTCGAGGGCGGACTAAGACCTCCGCCGCGGTCCGCAACTACGAGGATGGCTAATACAGATCTTAGATCTGTCAGCCACTCAACTGGGCCAGGAGGGGACGACAGCTTGAGTGGCGGTTTTATTTGATTTATTCATACAATAACGAGCGATCTTGGGCGGATCCCGTTGGCAAAGCCGCAGGGCGGGAAAAATGCCTCAATTTACCCAAGTTAAAATCATGTCAGGAAGAGGTCGAAGGTGCATAGCGGACTGATGGAGTATTGTCTTAATGTCTAAATTAATGTTTGTCTATATATAGTTTCTGCTAGCGGACAAAGATACCATTTGAAATTTCATTGCTATTGATAAACTGCGATCCTCTATATTAGTCCATGATCGACTTGTGATCGAAGTCTCTAGGGCCGTGACGGACAGGGTTTACCTTCCATGTTGATCAGATAATCACTTAAGTATCCCAACAGACTGTACCAGATTACTCTTCGCTGGCTTGTTTAGTCACTTGGTCTTCTGCCTGAACTACATAGCAAGACCGGGCGATTCATATCATATGATGGAACGAGATTATAGGTAGAGGGACATATGTTTGATACACTCTTTAACTTTGTTCTTGTTCATTTCACCCGCTGCGAAGCGGGTATTCAAAAATCATGGACTATCGTTTTAAATATTGACCAATTCGATACTAAACACCGTCGATCCTCCTTAGACTTGTTGCGTCGCAGGCGGGTTCTCGTCCTCGGCGGAGACTACTTGGGCTCGCCGGGCGGCGTTGATAGCCTTGAGCTTGGCGGTGCCGAAGCCGGCGATGCCGTCTTCCTGGGCGTCGCCGAGCCAGGGCTTCTTGGAGTCGCCGAGCATGGAGCCCGCGAGGAAGTAGGTGAGCTGGCCGACGATGATGAGGACGAAGGCGATGGGGTAGAGGAAGTGGACGGTGTAGCCCAAGACGCGGACGCCGATGATGGTGCCCCAGAAATTGCCCGTCAGCAGCGAGATGTTGAAGAAGGCGGCCGAGGCGATGCGCAAGATGAAGGGCACGATGGAGTAGAAGAGGGTGAGGGCCAGGGTGTACCCGACGATGTAGCCGATGACGGGGCCCGTGAAGTGGGCGTTCTGGAGCGACTCCCGGTCGAAGATGGCGGCCTGCACGCCGTTGATGAAGATGCCGAAGAAACCGAGCATGGCGAGGACCTCGTAGGCCGGACGCTTGCTGACGAACCACTCCTCGAAAGTGTTGGTCAAGCCGTAGAGGGTGGCGCCGAGCAGCGCGAATAGGTCGCCCTTGACCAGGTTGACGCCGGGCCCGCCGTTGGTGCCCTGGATGTGGTCGCTAGCCAGCAGGACGCCGGTGCCGCCGACGCAGATGAGGATGCCGACGACCTGGAAGATCTTGTACCGCACGCGGAGCAGGAGGAAAGAGATGATGACGACGACGACGATGGCCCAGAAGTTGATGAGCTGCGCGGACAGGAGGTTGGTGTAGTTGTAGGCGAGCACGGTGAAGTAGTTGCCCTCGACGTCGAGGAAGGAGAGGATGAAGTACTTCCACCCGTCGTGCAGCAGGAGGTGCCACATCTTCTTGAAGCCGTAGGTGTACAGGGTGTAGGTGAAGTAGAAGAGCGTCAGAAGCACGTAGTTGAAGAAGGTCTGGAACGCGGGGATCGAGGTGTCGTGCTTGACCAGCAGCGACGAGAACGTGTTCGTCGAGGTGATGGCCAGCGCCAGCACTTGGCCGACGATGAGCACGAACCAGAAATCGCGCGTCGTGAGGTACGAGTACCAGCGCACCTTCTTGCCCTCTAGGGCGTGCAGCGCCTGGCTCACGGCCTCGTTGTCCGCGGCGACGGCACTATCACTCTCTCCGTGAGGAGAGGCGGTGCCATAGTTCTGGCTGATGCTGGCCCTGCCGCCGTCACTGGATGTAGCGGCTGTGATCTCAATCGTGTTCCCCACCGAGTCGCCCGGCTTGTGTGCTGAGCTGTGGTCCGCCATTTCGAATTGCTGGACGGGGTTATAGCCTTGGTCCTCTGGATTTCCTCCTTTCCTTCCTATGAGACCCTGGTAAATCTGTACGAGCGGATTCGTGCGATTAGAATCTCTCATGCATATATTCTCTCCCGAGCGTGCTTTATTCTCTGTTCTGGGTTTGGATCTGGTTCAGTCCAAAAACAAATGGAGATATGACAGATTAAATATTAAAGAATAGGATGTTCCCAAGACGATGGTTATAGTCGCGAAGTCTTTCTGACAACCCCCAAAAGCAAGCGCAAAGACTTCGAAGTCGCTTGCGTTAGTAATAGAATATTACCTCGAATAAGGTTGCATGTGCGAATCAGCCTCAAAGGCTGGTGGTCTATATGATGCGGGGGGGATGGAGGTGAGAAGAAAGGTGAGCGATGAGCGAAGAGTGAGATTAGATGCACGCAGTCATGAAGAGAGGAAGGTTCTGCATGCATGCACGCACTAGACTAATCCTGCACAGGGGTGCAAGATGTGGGAGGCGGGAAAGCGGTTATATATACTAGGGTGTGCACACTTTTCCTTCATATAGATACCCTGGGTGGATCACGTCGACATTTTCTCTCGCTAGGAGCAACTAGGTAGGTTCAAATTTCATGACCTAGAGTTAAAGAGGGATGGATGATGGGCGTAGAGAGTTTCTGGGAAGTCGAGGACAGCACAAAAGACCGAGCAAGGTAAGAGGAAGAAAAAAAAAAAAAAAAAAAAAAAGACTAGAAAAGTTTCCTATCGAGATCGAGTCGCATAGGTAGTTCGAGATGCCTTCCAAGAACAGACGATCAACGGCTGAGGTGGGGGTTTGGAGTTTTTGATTAGACAAAGTTGCCTCTTATTGGATGGAGCGAATATCGAATACTAAGACGGCACTCCAGACTGTCGAGTTGCTGGGTCACGAATTGCGCTATTAGTCTAGTGTATCCGAGCAGGATCTAACCTAGCCTACCTAGGTATCTAGTATCCCGTAGTCTAGACGGACATGTCGATCAAGTCAGCTTGCCACATGGATGGGATACAGAATCGAGGTTACCATCCATGGTGTTCAGGCGGTCTCTCCTATTGGCTGGCTTGTCCCAGCGAGGCGTTCGCTGACCACCTACATAGTTGAGTAGATATCGCAACCCTCGACTTCAAAAACGAACATGTTTATCAGCCGCCTTATCAAATCATTATGCATAGCAATTACCTACTATGTCCTCTTCGACCGTCCTCCCAAGGAACATCACAAGGGTCGTGGCTGCTGCTGTGACTATGTCTTCCGTGGCGCGCTGAGCCTGAGTTCCTAAGTGTGCTTCAGCTCGCTTCTTGGCACAGGCTAAGACGACATAGTAAAGCTCACCGTGATAAAGAATAAGATGAGAGAAAAAAGCCCACGTGACAGAGATGACGTTTTGATTCCAACCGAGGGCCATAACTTCCAGTCTTGACTTGTCAATCGCAAATAGGAAGTGGTGGATCTACATACCAAGCTCAACCGAAAAGATGGCCATGTCCAAGACGCTGAACACCTAACCCAAAGAAAGAAAAAATAATAAAAAATAAAAATAAGGCCTTTTCCGCCGGCAATGCTTGTGGAAATCGCTTCGGAGAAGAGAAAATAGAACTGGCTGAAGGGGGATGTTCTCATCAAAGCGACTGCTTTGACTTTGAGAGAAGTCGTTCTACAGACCATGAATGATGGCTCAGCTGGTAAGGTTAGAGAGGAAGGAACTAGTTTCATTATCAGAGGCCTTCCATGATGATGGGAAGGATCTAGCTTCTCTGTTTGGTTCCTTCGATAACGGTAGAAATTCCGACGCGGCTGCTCTGATGGACTGTCACACGGCATTTGTACCTCCGCGAGGCCAGAGGAACTGCAGTCGTCGGCCCGGGGGCGAGCTAGATGAGCCAATAGAGGATGCCATTCGTCGATCTATAACGGCAAGGTACGTTTGATTTTTGTTCTTGTTTTGTTCTGTTTCGTTTTTCGTTCCGATGCCACCATGTCTGCTTGATGGATTACTGATCGGACTTGGGATCTTGGAACACACTCGGACACGCGTGAAGTGATACCGTGCTCTAGTAATTGACTCTTTCCGATAACGCCAAAGCCAGAGGAAGACGGCTGTATTCATTCAAAATGGCAACCACTTCCCCGCTTCCACTAAGCTCGCTTCAATAAAGGCCACTGCCACCTCATCAAGACTCAAAGGTTCTGTTTGGAGATTTGTGATGTGAGTCTTTCTTTATAAGAGGATGTCTCATCGTCCCGATTATCGGCCTAGAGTAGCACACTAGCTCAGCAGCCCACAACGGAATCATGGATCTGTCGGTAAAAGTACGCCACTAATCAACCCAGGGACCCGGAAGACAAAGAGGACCCTACAGCGCGAACAGCGAGAGCCTGTACTATCTGAAAATCAATAAGCTTCTAGGAGACCCATTTGTTTGCCAGTTGTGCAGAGCCTGTAATGACGTCAAGCCTCCGTTTACACCAACGAACACTAGAAAGAGGCGCGTTCACTCAGATATCGTCGTCCAATTGGCGAAATGAACCAGGTCCTCGTGACCTGGGTTAGACCTGTGTCAAAAGAATATGACGATGCCTTGATTGAGTGCATGGTAGTAGCGCGAAGCGAAGTTGAGGCTGATGACATTGGCCTAGGTTAGGTAGTTCGGGTATTGTCGGTTCAACACAGCCAACGGCGACCACCACGTACCAAGCATTACCTACCTACTTACATAAGTACGTAGTACGTAGTCTAGGTAGTAGATTTTGTAGCGTTGTTGCGAGTGAACTAGGGTTAAGATCTGGGGACTGGGGATTGGGGAAGGGCGCGCCCCCGTGCAGTAGGTATCCGTGCAGGCTGTGACTGTGTCTGACCGTGCAGCTCGTGACCCCGCCATGCAGTCGACAATCCCGGCGACTCGACGTGAAGGGATCCGGGCGCCGGTCCGGGAGTCTGTTCGGCTGTCCGCGCTCGGAGCTGGGAGCCAGCTCGCCAGGGAAGTTCTGATGCAACCAAGGCAGGCCAGTGGAACCGACACCCCAACCAACAGCATCCAGTATCCAAGATCCCATTCGAGAACTAGATGGACGGGCAATACCCGGCGAGCAATTGGAGGCGTTCCAATGCCATTGAATGGTTTGCAGGTTGCCCCTCAATTCCAGGGTTCGCCCTCTTGAGCGAAGCTCCAGGCTAGGAGCTACAGACTACCCCACTTTGTGACTCAAAACTTTTTGACATCCCTCTCGATCCAAGCCTGGCGCGCCCTATAATTCTATCCTTGTTTCTTATTCCCTATCCTCAGCTTCTCTTGCGGAATTGTCCATAGGAATCGGATTTGGGTAATTGGGAACTGGGATTGAAAAAGGAACCCTCCGCTGCCTCGACTTCTTCTTCCCCTCTTTGTCACACACCCAGGACCCCGCCCCGCGTCGATCGGTCCATTCCGCCGCCAAGATGCCGATGTAAGTGGCTTGCTCTGCTCTGCTCGAGAAGCATCTTGACACATGCACGGCTAACCGTCTCCCTGCTGCATAGGCTTAAGGAACCGTGGAAGAAGTACAAGCCGTTCAAGGTAGGCTTCTGCCTCTATCTACACTCTCGAATTTTATCTTTTGCCCCTGCCCCTAACACGAGTAGGGCCCGCATTTGCCGAACCGACAATGGCCTGACAAAGTTATTGAGAAAGCCCCCCGCTGGCTGTCGTATGTTTCCTATTCTGCTCCCCCAGTGCCTGCCACCCTGCTGACAGACCCGGAGTTCTTGCCTCCGAGATGGTAACCAGAGTCTGCCCGATCCAATGGTACGTTTCTCCATGTCTGCGCAGGTCTGCCGTAGCCTCGTTGCGCGAGCTAGTACATACTCACCCCGAAGCTAATATGGGTTGATCGACAAATAGAGCGGCGAGGAAAAATGGCGTTATTTCAGGATGTTGTGCGAACTTGGCTACAAGGAGATTGAGGTTTCTTTCCCCTCTGCGTCCCAGACCGACTACGACTTCACCCGCCGCTTGATCGAAACGCCGGGCGCCGTACCAGACGACGTATTCCTACAAGTTCTTTCACCCTGCCGCCCCGATCTCATTCGGAGGACTGTAGAGTCAGTACGAGGGGCCAAAAACGCCATTATTCACATTTATCTCGCTACGAGCGCGTGCTTCCGGCAAGTCGTCTTCGGCTACACGGAAGAGCAGACCCTCGAACTTGCTGTCGAATGTACCAAGCTAGTCAGATCCTTGACCAAGGACGATCCCTCTACTTCTGGAACCAGATGGCAGTTCGAGTTTTCGCCCGAGACTTTCTCCGACACAGACCCAGACTACGCCGTACGAGTATGCCAAGCGGTGAAAGCTGCCTGGGGCCCTAATGGTGAAGCCGGAGACCAGATCATCCTCAACCTCCCCGCTACAGTCGAACTGGCAACACCCAACGTATATGCGGACCTGGTAGAAAGCTTTTGCAACAACATTGGGGACAGGAATGATGTGTGCATATCTCTGGTAAGCGCTGCCCCTGGATTATTGTAGCCCACAATATCACGTGCTAACGATTGGCGGCAGCATCCTCATAATGATCGCGGGTGTGGTTAGTATTTTCCAACTTAGGGCTGTAGTGTGAAAATTAACATGGTACAGGTATTGCAGCTGCAGAATTGGCCCAAATGGCGGGTGCTGACCGTGTAGAGGGCTGTCTCTTTGGGTTCGTATCCGTCCTTATACTCAAATCCCACAGTAAATTACTAACTACAGATAGCAATGGAGAGAGAACGGGCAACGTCGATCTCGTCACTTTGGCTCTCAACCTATATACACAGGGTGTAAGCCCGAACATCGATTTCTCCAATTTGAACGCAGTTATCGACATGGTTGAGTCATGTACCAAAATTCCAGTTCACCAGCGTGCCCCCTACGGTGGTAGCCTCGTTTGTGCGGCCTTCTCTGGTAGTCATCAAGACGCAATCAAGAAAGGATTCCAGAATCGCAAGCGCCTTGGCTTAACCAGCGAAGACCCATGGAATGATCCATGGAATGGGATGCCCTACCTTCCCCTGGACCCCCAAGATATTGGTCGTAATTATGAAGCTATCATCCGTGTCAATTCTCAATCTGGAAAGGGAGGAATTGCCTTCATTTTGCAAACAAAGCTACATCTTGACCTCCCCCGCGGTCTACAGGTTGCGTTCTCCAAAGTCGTCCAACGTCGTACTGAAGAGGTCGGACGCGAGCTTCTCGCTCACGAAATCACTAATCTCTTCAAAACAACTTATTTCCTTCACGAGAACCCATATTTTAGCCTCATTGACTATAACATCACCCCTGACCGCTCAGCATCTCCTATGTTAGCCCCAGGCCAGACCCAAGACACAAAGAGTCTGATACGTATCTTTGATGGCGTCATTCTTGTCAACGGTGAAGAGGTCAAGCTGCGTGGCCGAGGCAATGGCCCCCTTTCTAGCATGGTAGCTGCGCTCAAGGAAGTTGGCGTTGATCTCGATATTAATGATTATAAGGAGCATGCCATCGGCGAGGGTGGCAATGTGAAGGCAGCCTCATATATTGAGTGCAAGCATACACACAGCAATCAGATAGTCTGGGGAGTTGGTATTCACGAAGACGTGGTACAGAGCTCTCTAGTCGCCCTTCTGAGTGCAGCGAGCAGTGTAAGTTTGAATCCACACGAGTCGCAAGCGTGACAAAAGGGGGAAGAAATTTGCTAGCTAACGATGGTCTGCTTTCGCATATAGTTCGTTACAAGTCGACCTACTAGTCCCATTCTCAAGCCCACCACGAACGCCACTGCACAAGAGAAGCCCAAATTCATCTCCATCTTGGAGGGAAAGGCAAACGGCATGTAGAAGAAGTTTGGAGATGAAAAACAAAAGCAAAATATCTTTTTTTTTTTTTTTTTGCCGGCAAAACATATTTTCCATTTGTTAATCATTGTGTTCCCGCATTTGGATGGGCATTGAAGCTGGACCTTTCTTTGTGTTGGGAAAAGTGTAAAATAAAAGTTATAACCAAACTCATGCATTTAGTGAGCTAAAAGTTACGGGTTTGAGGGAAGCCCTGTCTCAAAAAGCATTGGTCTTATAACAAAAAAGGGGCTGCTCCCTCGTCTTTTGAATTATGCAGCGACTATCCCGCATCTAGCATTTTCGTGTCTCCCAATGCATTTACTAGTCCCACGTGCTCTTTACAGACGAAAAAGACTTAACGAGCGAGCTGTTCCTTGCCCTTCGTGATTTCGTTCTCTTACGCTATGCTGGCATCTCCTCGATTATATTGTTAGTGACCCATTTGGCAGGAGTAAGTCAATGTCATTAAAGCCAGTGTTGCAAAGAGGGAGTATTTAGTCCTCATGTTCCAGGGACACCCTCTTATTGACAGCAGGTGGACTGAAGCGTACCGGTGATTCGTGCTGAGATGGACTTAATACGTAAACATCTTCAGCTAGAGAATGATGTTGACCTCGCTCAGTCAGGGTCAGATTCATATCCTCCTAGCTTCTTGGTATTGGTTGGGACATGGTATTATCTAGATTGCAAGCAAGGGGGCCCTGGTGCCGGCCGAAGACCGTCATGAGGATACTGTGCTCAGGCTCTGATTGAGAGAATGGTGAGAGGATGACGCGGATGAGGTCTGGTTGGATTTTGCTGGGCCTTTGATTAGCTTCACTAGGTAGGTACGTAGGTGATAAAAGTGTATTTACGACGAAGAGCATTTGCCTGTAGTACTCGAGATGTAATTTTATGTCTGTATCTAACTTACTCGACTGCAACTTTGTGACGGTTGAGTATGGGGTTGAGCCTGCCTGTCCACGTGATCTTGTTTGAGATGGTCAAAGATATTATGTTTGACAGGACTGGTAATTGGCGACTAATCAATCACGTCTCGTACGAAACACAAAGCCACGGTCCGCGAGTTACTCAGGGGTACCTTATTGCGCGCCCATCAATAGCAATATTCGGTTTTACCAATTTAATACAGCCCCTTTCCGTTACTGTCGATAGGACTCCGTCTCTGTCAAGTAAACAAAGCTTTTGTGGTAAAAGGAGAACGTGGACACGTCCTATTCGCGTAATCAATCCGAAAATCCGTTCAGTGTGGTAATATTATAAGCAACTTGCATCTCGAGAGGTATCAAATTAATAGCGAATCGCACTCCATTCAGCGATATTGTACTGGGGTATACGGTGTGTTCCCATGGGCACGCCAACGGAATAGTAAAATGGGTGTTTCGTGCGGTGCAAGTGACTCAGCTCAACAGAGAACGATATAGATCCTTGAGGCATGTCTGAGGTAACTTGGAGGTGGTTCCCTCAATGTTGTAGGAAAGATCAATATCCTGAGGGTGGTATCGTGTGTAAAGGGTTAACGAAGTAATGAGCCATTTTGAAGAACACTATTCCGGAGACAACTAGTTGCCTTCATGTTGATCTTAATTGTTCCGAGTTATTAATCGTTGTCGCTAATTAGCAACTTGTGTTATAGACATTATAGCAGCGTGGTTTGGCAGTATCAAGCCGACTAGAGCTGCTACAAAGAACCAATGACAATGCGTGATGATTTCATGTCCTACAGTCCACGTAAAATACGGAGGAGCAATCTCGATTCATTTTTGATCGATTAAGAACAGGGCAGATATAAGCGATACTCGACATAACAGTGTCCAGACAGCACATGACAGTAGATATAGTTAGTACAAAATACCATCAGTGGCACTCCGGCGCAGTGGAAGAGAGAGAAGCATTTAGACTATTCGAGTATGCTAACTACTCGAACCTTTCGAGCACATCCGAACTCCGGCATTTTTAATGTGACAGGGTGTGGAGAGCAACGTCCTGTGACGCGAGTTGACTGCAGAGCAGGAAAAGAGGGCGCTTCCCTCAATGAATCTTGCAATGCACTGCTGAAGGTGCAATGGGGCGGCGGAACGGATTGGGTGTAAAGGCACCTACACCATCCTACCTAGTGTGGTCGTCTTTCGCTTTTCAGCAGCTTGGCACTCACCAGGCAGGTTCTGGTGTGTGGGAGAGCCGCCTCCAAGATGGGAAAGCCTCGGTTGTTTGGGCTTACATGACATGGTGCAGTAGCAGTGCCCTCTCGCACCTATTGAAAAAGGCCGTTGGGTTGGATGCAGGCAGCGTACGTCATGTCATGGACATTCGGATATTGATCGAGATGCGTCGGGATGAGAGGGTGTTACCAATTGTTGGCCGAGGAGTTTCGGTCCGTTGAGTGCCTGCAAAGGCTTTGCATCTACTTCGATTCATAACCTACAACAGTACAGTTTACCACGTTCTCTATCATCTGAAGGGGAAATCGATTCAATCGACAACAAAAGATTGGGTGAGGTTTGGTCTAACTAAAACTGGTTCCCTTTTAGGAAAGCTGAAGGACGGTCGCAAGACGAGTCAGAAAATTCGAGAGATCATGTGGTGTGTGGTGCATCGTTACTATTCACGGAAGCCCTCTGGCCACATTCCCTGGTAACTGCGGTGGCATGAGCCGTATTACTGGCTCTCGAGGGTCGAGGTGCGTGTTTGGCCTGCATGCGGACGCTGGGACAGCTGCAGTCTGCATGCATACCGTTGCCTGCAGCTCTTAAATAGCCCGGCCCTGTGGCTCGGTTGATTCTAGCAGGCGGTTTCTCTCCTAGAATCTGCCCAGAGGTTGCACGGGGTGAGTTGGCAGGTTGACGCCAAGAGGGCAGATGACCTCGACATATCCTGCACGGGAGGGGATATCGCGGCTCTTATTAAGGGTTTTAGAACGCCGAAGAAGACTGAGTAAGTAAGCGAAGTCGATTTGTGTTCCCCTCTTCATCCCCTCGCCACCCCCAGCATCCTGTAAGCGCTATAAGATCTGATCATTCTAGGCCGTGAACCCTTGGCGAGTGAAGTCGTACCCAGCTGCTGGTGACTGGACCGTCCTGACAGGATAGATGAGTTTGTAAACGTCATCCATCCCCATGGGAATCGACCAGCAATGTTGCAACGTATCGGCTGTTGATGCGAGAGCTGGTGGTGGTGACGAAGATGGAACCAAGCAGAAAAGACTAAAGCAGTGTAGCCTTGATTACTTGGCGAATCTTGCAATGGAACAGAGCGTTTCGAAGTCTAGTGGAGTTATTCCTGATCTGATGAGTAGCCGACTATTGATGAGTATATCTCAGTTAGATATATCCAGGGAATTAATACTGCCATCTTCCGGTGTCTCTCAGACGGTCTAAGGCGGATAGGCCGGAATGGGCTATGAATCACATCCATACATACTACCATCTGGCCAGCATAGGCGGAATACAGAAACATTATGCTTGGCTTCAGTTTGTAGAACTTGATTCGAAGACGAGGGAGCCAGTAAAACGGGTTCTGGAGAATGTTTCGAACCTATGAAGAAGCGGTACATCTGGTGATTCGTGCTAGGACTACATGTTGCCCTGGGACTGTTGCGGTGCAGCCTAGCTTGGCATAGGATATATCGTGAGTGAGCACACAGGCCAGATGTTACTCTGCTGTGCTTAAGACAGGCCGTTGCCGCCAGCTGCAGCTAAAACAGGATCCCATCCGAACAGCACGCGCAAGACGCTCCTCGCTTTTCTCTTCGGTTAGATTGCTTCCCGTGGTGCACAAACAAAGCGTAATCTCTTAAAGGATTGGAAAGGGCAGCTTTCCTGTCTTAATGGAGTAGTAGCCGTCGTGTTAAGGCAGTTGAAACGAGAGCAATGGTTGGTCTAGCTATGGCAAACAGACCAGTAGGATGCTGTGGAGAGCAAGCACACTCGTTCACTACATACTTGAGAGCTACTGCAATGATGGTTTGGGCCACGCGAGTGCCCGTGCCCAGGTAAGTTGATATACCCAGGGCCTTGGGACCGGGCGAATAAAGAATGACTGGGCCGGACCATGCAGAACATTGGTGGGCGTGTCAGACTCTCACGGAGTCATCTACGGTACACCATGCGCATGAAAGATGCTCAAAACATTCGATAGGGCATCTCTCTACTCTACAGCGCTCTACCTACTTGCTTCGAGGCCCATGGGTTTCAGCGGATTCGAAATGTGCATCAGACATCAGACGTTTGTCCCGTGGGGAGCAAGGTACTATCACTCGCGGGGACTAGGGGTTGCGGCGGGAGCCCGGTTCCCGCAACGATCCATCGGAGTCTCAGGGTGACCTGGCGAGGATCCTGAAATGTACCAGCGGAGATTATGACGCATACTGGCGTGAGCTCTTTGGAAAGGACCAATGCTGCCATAGCCGAGAAGTGAATGATGTTATTTGGAAACAACGGTGACCACCATGTCGGCTCGAGAGGCTAAATAGTACGTGGCCCTACACAACCGCCAGTCAATGTGAAAATGCGACCTCGATACCAGGAACATAATATCATAGGGGGGAGGGGAAACTCGCAGAAGCTTGCTTCAGAGCACCTGACCCCCACGATGCTAGCACTGGGTTAGGTCCGATTAGAGATGCATGGAGTTGGAGAAGACGGCCCGGTGGCTCGCCTCCAACAGCAGGTCTAATGGCATCTACTCGGCATGCCATTATTGTCGGCAGCTCTTTAAGGCCGGCAAGACCCCAGGAAAGCTCGGATTTGCTTGGTAAGCCTTGTAACCTTGGGCGTTTTAGGGCTGAATGGATCACCAGACGTGTCAACTCGCCACAAGAGGTGAACACCCAAGCCTCAAACTGCTAAATTCGGATGAGGATGAATAAAACATACAAAGCAGAGCAAAGTAACCCATTCAGGCCACAGCCATAGCGAGTCGTGACGATTTCTTTCAGATGCCCTTGCCGTCTCGTGCACTTGTAGCCGTGGTAGTATTGATTTGTGTAACATAGTATGATTGGAGGTGAGTACGAAGCATACTTCGTACCCTAAGAACAGACGATGAGTGCATCCAAGCAGCAGCATGTTAGTGGGCACCGCGATGCTGATTCTCAAGCCTAAGGCACCACCTTCGCCCTACTGTATATACGCTTACATGTAAACTTGGTAAATGGCTTTTCCGGTGTGGCATGAGCTGCAACTCGTCGACCGATATCGGATCGTGTGAGACAAGCTTGGTGCGCATTGTCACCAGCATAGATAGACTAGTTTACACGGAAGTACGGATCAAGCAACATGAGTTACGAAATAGCTAATGAGGCGAGCTGTTTGGAATAGGGCACTCGTTTTTTTTTTCATAGCTTACGAGGCCTATAATGATGACCACGGAAGAAACACCACGTTTTTTGTTAGTTGACTGGGTTGCCGTTGGGGAAAAGAACCCTACCTACCTACATACTTAGTAAGTTCCACTATAACTCTTACAGTACTATACATACTATGTCAAGGTCATCCTCGCCTACCTACCTTGTGCGGGTAGGTATGTAGATACCTTCGTGATAACGAGTGCAAAGTATCATGATATTGGAATTTCGTGAGAACATTATCTTGAGCGGCACGCTCGTGCCGGTAAATTGCCCTGCTAGCACTCGATTTAACTATATAGGCGAGAGTACCTACCAAGTAAGGTATCTTCATCACGTCAATTGAAAGGCCATTCATCAACTTCCTAGAGGTATCCAGTGACCTATCATGGTTTCTCGAAGCGACTCACAATGTTAGACCTTGGTCTCGAGTCGCACAGCGTACTTACACAGTACTATTTGCCTCGTCGAAATGTTTGTTGGGTTGGGCTACCTCTAAATAGCAGACTCGGCAGACTCTACTTAGATTACTCTGTGAATATGATGCCAGGAACTCTTCCTTGTCGCTGGCTCAGATGCACAGTGACGAAAGCTCTTACCACCCAACCCGCTTTTAGGTCCTTGAACGGCTCAACGTCCGACGCCCTAGCATATTGGAATGCCTGATGCGGAAAGGGGTCAAATATATCACCGCATTCTCGGGTAGAGCAGGGTCAAAGCGAGGGAGAAAAGAGAGCGCGAAACAGAAACAGTTTGATGGAAAGTATCGAAGTAGCTAGTTCGTGCTAGGTGGTAGTGTAGAAATCGATATTGTACGTCGAAGGGGGTACTGAGATCGTGCAAATAACATCAAGAGAGTTGTATTACCCTGGAGCACATATCGGATTGTACTGCGACGATTGGAAAAGATGCTTATTCAATGCAAACAGGTAACACTTAACTAGGGTAGGGGGTTTACCCACCAAGCTTCTCTTGTATCTTGCATCTGTGAGAATACGTGCTCCGGTACACTTGTGTACCGTGTTATCACACACACACACACACACACATCTTTGGCGCCTCCATAAAACCATCTAACATAATAGGCCGGAATCAGCGGGACCAGCGCTGTCTTTATACCGTAGCGGGTACGATATTTAAGTGTCCAAGCGTGCGCGACAGGGACGGGTGCTCGTAACATTGTTACCCAGGATGAAATAAATGCCTTCGGGAGTCGGCGACACCGTCATATGGTGATGTTGACTCAATAGCTGTGCTTTGATAGGAGGAATCAAGATTAAGACGCTTGTTGGACAAACACATTTGGGAAAGGCCGCGGGCTAACATGCTTAGTTGGTAATGGATCTCTGAGCCCAGAGTCTGCCCTTACCATTGGAGAGGCAGAAGAGAGCTCGATTCAGGCCGTGATCTGACCGTCCACAGTGTTTGGGTACACAGGGACGTAGATTTAGAAATGAATTCTTTACGCTATTGGTTATTGGCTGCATACCTAGGTGCCCAAGGTGAGGTCTATTTACGATACACGAGAGAAGAGCATAAAACAGGTGGCGTAAACGGTATGGCTTCCGTCAATTCGAGATCCCTGCTCTGAGCCCTACTGCAGTAATACCTATACTTACAGTAGGCATTTAGTCAATCGTCAACGATTTCCACTTGTACGCAATGCCTACTGCAATGCATGTACGAGAGAACATGTGGTAAGAAATTGAATAATCACAACCATCTAACGTACCGGTACTGGTTGTAACATTTCTACAGCGAATGGAACAGCGGTAAGGGCCGTTGATCTACCTAGCGGCGCATTTCAGTCTGGATTTGAATATTAACCCAACAACAATGAAGATAATCAAACCGAGTGGGGACCAGGCCGGTGCAGAAACGCTGCACAGCCAATCCAGGTAGGCAGGTAAGCTTAAAAAGAAAGCTACCAGTCAACCGAGCAAACGACAGTAAATACCTACAACTTTGGAACTGGTCTATTTGAGATATTTCCTCCTCTGATGTTTCGATACTGTGCTTTTCTTTTACATCTTAACCATGTGGTGGTGAGGAGATAGAGGAACCACCAACTACTTCGACCTTACCTACTTTTTGTAAGTAAGCACTTACGTGAGCAGGTAAAGTATTTAACCTACCTACGTGTAACTGTACCTACACATCCCCATAAGAATGAGATTGCACCGGGACCACACCGACAGACACTGACTAAAGAAAAGGCACCACTTGCTGTCATATAATATTAACCAGAAATAGTTTATATTACTTACATACTACTTATATATTAGGTAGTACTATTTGTTCCTACTTATTCAAACTTACTAGTAGTAGGTAGATAGTCTTAATTACTTACTGATTCAAGCTCACGGTACCTTTAAGTAGGTACCTAGTTTCCATCTTTACCTATGTGTACTTACTTAATAGGGTATTTTACCGACGGTCTTCCTTTATATCCAGCACGTTTTCGTCTCTACCATTGCCATGTCCAGCCTAGTGTACCTATTCTTCATCACACTGATGTATTTTGATACGGTTACTTAAGTAGGTAGTATATAAGCAGATGTAGGTTTGTGCGTAGTGGCTATCTACCCTTACAGTCGGTTCAAGAAAAGAGATTAGAGAGCCCCTATTCAGTTACTAATGTAGGTACTTACCTAGGGTTCATGATACAGTGCTATGCACACAGCAAAGAGCGCCGGTGCCGTCCCAGAGCGCAATCTGGAGGTATACAATACCTTCATCGAGAGGATATTCTTGCACAGAAATAACAGGCTACAGACTACAGACTACATACCTACTTATATATATAGGAGTAGGTAGGTAGGTATCTCGCATGGCATGTACTTGGGAGATACTTGTCTATATAGGTACTCTAGCTCCCTACCTAAGGGACTCAGTAATCTGCATACCGCACTTAGCAAGTACCTAACGTAGCTTGCACTGCACTACCCAACCCTCTAACCCTAGCAGTTCAGGGCCCATTCCACGTCGGGCCTGGCCTTGGCTTGGGCGCCCCCGGTTTTCTCCCTTTTATCTCCTCCCATTTTCTTCATTAGGCCCTTGGGCCCGTCGCTAGCCTCAGGCAGGGCCCGCCAATCTTGCCATCAACACCTCCTCCTACTACATACCTAAGTAAGTATTAGTACTTAGTATGAACTTAGTTAGGTATGTACTACATATGTAAGTATGGGAGAGTGCGCGTTGTACCCATGTAGAAGTACCTACAGTAGCACTGAGTAAGGTACCCGCCGTCGCCCGCCGTAGGTACACCAGGCCAGGTCGGTACCTCGGCATCCCAGGCAGACGTCGTGTGCCGGCATGTACCTCCCCGGCTTGCAGTACCTCTCTGCTCCCCTTCGATGTTCTTTTCTGCCCTTCGTCCCGGTCCCCCATCCCATCTCCCCATCATCCCATCCCCATCCGCATCCATCCAACCCTCCACCCATCCTCAAGCGCGGCGGCTGCTGTCTCCGATAATTTCTCTTGATTTCCCAAAAACCACCTGCTATTACTACTGTGACCTCTCGTGTACCTACGGAAAAGTAATAATAACTGCACCTACCGTAGGATTTTCCCCATCTCCCGTGTCGCCTCCCCTTTTTCCTCCTCCTCCCTCCTGTCCCTCCTGTCCTCTCACCCGCACTCACACCCCGGGCCCTGTCTGCTAAGAAGTGCGAGTCTGCATGCGCGTGTGCGTGGTGCTGTCCCTTCTTTTTTTCCATTCATTTTTTTCTGCTCCCTCTCAACCTTCTCCGAGAGCATCTGGAACGCCCTGTGTCTCATCTCGAATCTGGATTAAAGGACGAAAGGACTTCGGTAAGTCGCTTTGCGAAAGACATGTCGCTTTTCTTCTCTCGTGTGTCCGGCCTCCCTTCCCCTATTTTATTTAGCGCAGGGCCGTGTTTGTCGACCCGGCGCGATTCAGAGTCATGGGAGCGGTCAGCGAGCGATAAGCCGAGGTGAAACCACAACGCCCGTTCCTGTCCCTTGGCTGGTCCATGACAGCAATCATCAGTACCTTTAGGCTGTCAACCAAGCTTAACCTAAAGGTCGATCGCCTGTTCTACCAGACAACCTTAGGCGACACCTCCAACAAAACATAAACGGCACGGCCGGAGTCGGCAGCGAGAATCGCTCATCCTAACGATACTGGCCTTCGCGCAAAAAAAAACTGCCGACGACTGGTTCCACAGCCATCATCATTGTTTACTCTCTTTTTCGCCGAACTGCATCGCTGCTTATCGATGAAGATATCCTTGATCATTCCACTGACTGAGAGCGCCGTCCAGACCGCTCTACCATTCAATTCCTAGAACTGCTACGTTCCCACCGTCGCGAGTACCCTGCCACCTTGTCGTACCCCAGGTGACATAAAAATTAAATATGGCCCAATACTATGGAGAGTCTCAATGGCCTGGCGCCGGTCAAGCTGTTCCTCCTCCGCAAAGCACGTGGGATCACCAGACGCCACCACCTCCACGATCATCAGGTACGCCATCACCGACCTAGAGTGCTATTCATGTGCACGGCTTCTGGTAGCTAACAAGCGATAGGGGCTAACTCTGTGGTTCCGCGCGAAGACTCGGCAGCATTCTCTCACCAAATAGAGGGTATGTCCCAACATATAATGCCATTGCAACTATTTCATAGATACTCGGTCCCAGCTGCACTGCACGATCACAATCCCCTACCACTAAAGAACACTGGGTACAGCACAGCGAATTGTTCCAGTTGCAAATACTTGGGTCATGAACAATTGGGCAGGACGAATAAGCAGCTAACTTGCGATTTCAGAGGTGGAGCGAGCCATAGACAATCTGGTTAAGAGCGGGAAGATGTTCCTTCCACCTGGCCGGCGTGAGTTCCCTAATATCGGAATAGCTAACGGAGCGCTCATAATCGGCGCACCTAAGTTCATCCACCATAATTAGAGACCATGGCTAATTAAAGATTTAGATGGTCGGGTTGCCTCAGGACATCACGGCCCACGTCACTCGATGGAGTTCGCTGAGCCCCGATCTGGCGGTCACTCTGGGCCAAACCTGCAGAATTTCTACGCCGCTCAGCGACACCAGTCTTCGCGAGGATCCAACGAGGCGGAGCAGATGATGCAGGTCAAGCGGAGGATGGCGGCTCAACGGGAGCGAGACCTTCGCAACTATCATCAGGAGCAGCAATACAACCGAAGTAGGCCACCCAGCTCTGTATAGCACAAATTTTGCATCAAAATCAAAACAAAGAAATTCTTTCTGCGGAGTTCAGGTGTTGCTTCGCTAGCAGCATCACTTCCGTCTTCTAAAATCGTGTAAAGCCCATTGTCGACTTGCCATATGTCCTCACAAACCGTCTACCCTATCGTGTTCTCATGGATATTGGCTAACATGATATCGGTTTAGATACCGTCGTTGACATGTCCTACAATGGCAAATCTGATCGTGCTCTTAGCCCCGGTAGCTTGTCAGAAGACGAACGTCGTGATTTGATCCAGCGTCAGCGTAACGCTCTGTATGGTGATGGTCAATATGACGACGCAACTGCTAGTCGAGGTGGTGCTCCTGGTTTATCCACCACTTCCTCTCAGCGTGGCCCATCGCCGCTTGCTTTCGATTACGGACGTCCAGCCCCTACCGGCGCCGAAGGTGTATCCCAACCTGGCGACTCTCAAGCTCTATCACGGGCCAATAGTAACGCCAGCCCTCAGTCCAACCCACCGAATAATATTGGGGCTATCCGTACAAGCAGTTCGTCACCAACTGGTGGGTCTCCGCCTCGAGCTGGTTCGACATCCAGGCCAGGCCAAACGGGCAGCGTGGTAGCCCCTATTGGAACTAGACCTTCCGTCAGTTCGCAGGCAACTAACCCTGCCCTGACCAAATCATCTACTACCCCTCTTCCCTCGCCTCTAAGCCATGGTGTATCTGCGTCGGGGAATGGCGATGAAAACAATCACACTCCGACATCAGGCGCCTCCGCAAATCCAGCTAGCGCTTCAGCAGATGGCTACAATGGATGGGGTAACCGCTCTGGGGTATGGGGAAATAAATCCAGTCTTGGTGTCCAAGCGAGCGTTTGGGGATAAGGATCAGAACTTCGCATTGAGTATGATGACGAGTAGGAAAGGGTCATTCTTTGAGATGGCGGAAGCCGTCGGAAATCTAAACGGTGTTCAGGTCGGAAAGTTTTATGGGAGAAAGGAATAAGATATCCTGCATCAGCATGGTGTTCAGGCCTTTGACGACATATACGGAACTCGCAGGTCTTTTGGGGAAGAATTAGGGTGGATTTTGTTTTCCGGAGTTTTGATTTCGGTTCCCTTCATTTTTCGGGTCCAACGCAAAGGAATGGCCCTCTTCACGATATTCAAGCGCGCCTCTTCGTCGAGCAAGTTGGCCACGTTATCTCGAGGCGATGGTGGATTGAGGAGATCGAATGATTTGGGACCAAACAAAAGTGCATCGAGAACCTCTCACGGCATCTGGACGGTTCAGGTAAAGGGCATCGCGGCGATCTGCTTTCTGCTATTTGGGTACCATCACCTGCGACAAGGACAGCGAAGCTTTTTTTCTTTCGGTTTTATTATTGTTAAACAACTGGAGTTCTCGTGCATATCTCATCTCATCGGGTAACTTTTTAAGTACAGAGGAAGGTCTAACGCGGAGTTGTGTTTTCGAGTTGTCACTCTTAACGAATACTTGGCCGTCGGTAATATGCAAGCACAAGGACTAGGAAGAGCGGGGATAATTTTTTTTGGAGAGATTGAGGCAAGAGAAAAGGGAATGGGAAGGACAGGTTTCGGTTGCGTTCACGGGGTTTAGCGAATTTCAAATACATGTAAAAGAGCATTAGGGAAGAGCACTAGGCTAGGTGTTTGTTTTGATTTTCCTACCTGGGGAGGTGATTGGGATGATTTATTGGTGGCAATTGGCGGAGTTCCTCCTTTTATTTCAAGCTTATTTTTTTTTGTCCGCTCCTATGTTTCACCTGCACCCGTCTTCTCTGCTCTCTATCCTTTACTCTTACCCTCACTTGCATAAGGAGTTGAGTCTTATCTTTCTGGGTAGGTAACCATTCAAGCTCGAATCGAAACTAGGTTCTTGATGCTCGTTGCCCTTGCCAGCTCGTATCTAACTACATAGATGATGAGTGAGGTAAAGAGAGACGTTGAGACGGGCTTACAAGGTCTAAAATAAAAATGAACAAAATAGAAACACGAAAGAAGATTCCTAGGGCGAGATTTGCTGGATTTACTTGCATGTGTCATGGCAGGTGATCTGTAGGAAATATGCAGTATAACTTGATTTGTAGTTATGATCAGCTGAGTAACAAAAAATTACTTGGATGTTTGCTGGTGAAGGAAACTCAACTGGCCTACCATTCTCGACCGTCTGATTATCTGAACTCGTTGATTTGGCTGAAGATTACATGTAAATGTCGCGCGCTTAATCTCCTCTCCTTGTTCTTCCATAATCGCAGTGACACGCCACGCACAACTCTGAGTCCTTGACTAGCTTTGTGGGCTATGAGCTATGGGGGGCCACGTATATCGGCGAGTGTTTGTTTATGCGCGTTCCCTCTTTTTATTATCGTGAGTCCTGCCTCTGTTATTCCTGTTAAAATGCCCCTCTGTCTCGATCTTCCAAGGAGGGTTGATTTGTTTTCTAGTTAGTACATCTCCTCGGGGGCGTTCAATGTTAGCTTAGGATAGTCCCCTTTGCTACTACTATTGGGAACTTAATGTAATTATTCCATTGCTGGAAGCAGTATTATCCCGAACTATAATTCGATTATGCCCTTATCATCGTCTGGCTATTGCTGATTACACTCGGGCTATGACACTGGTCACAACGGCATTCCTACTGAAATCGTTGCTTTTGGTATTTAAGCTAGCATTGAAGACCCCCTGACAACATCTTCTTGGTATTGCGCGGTCCTTAGAAGTTGTGAATATGAAGCTCTATCTTTTCCCAAATACTCAGTGTAAGGAAGTTACCGTCTGAAACCGGTTCTTCCGCAGTTCCAACCGGTTCTTTTCCATGTCCGAAGCGCAGATGAATTACGTTTATGTTTAGGTTTTATTTAACCTTCCTTAAACTCTACCCCATGCCTCCTGCAACCATCCTTGATGACAGGAAACTTGTGCGTTCCTCTTCTCCCTAATCTTCCTCGTCTCCCTCGGCATCTTCAGCCTCGTACATGGCCCAGTGAAGACTCACTCTGGAGATAATATAAATCACGGGCCAACGCTTGATTGCGCGAAGCACGGAATTTCGCGCGTCTATGCCCATAATTAAGTGCCAAACTACCTCCGCCAGGAAGCCGCAAAGAAAAAAGAGCAATAGTGCTTCTTGAGCTCTCGTGGAGTGGATGCGCTCGGTCACGCGGCTGGCGGGCTGGGGCTGCTGATGGACATTATGAATAAAATTGTTGTCTTCCTCGTTTGGTGGTGTTGGAGGAGCGTAAGGGGGAGGCGCTCGAGGTTCTGCTTGAAGTTCTGCTTGAAGTTTTGCTCGAAGTTTTGCTCGAAGTTCTGCTTGAAACTTTGCTCGAAGTTCTGCTTGAGGTTCTGCTTGAGGTTCTGCTTGAGGTTCTGCTTGAGGTTTCGCAGCGACGTGGCCCATGATATTGAATGGTAACATGGTGAAGATACTGTGAACAGAGCGAAATGAGATAGCTTATCGGATCTAATTCGGTGGTATTATGTGCTCTTTCACTGTATATTGAAAAGTAGTGTTGTGATCTACCGTCTAGCAAAATCGGTCTGGCATAGATTGGAGTGTTCAAATCAATCGACAGCCGGATGGGACAAACTTCTTGAACCTGGGAGCTACGAGAGGGTTTATATACCCATTTCTTCAGCTAGCAAGCTTTGCATTCTAGGTTTTTCGTGCTCTAGCCAAAGCCTATTACATGTCAAGCAGACAATGACTCCCAATTGCCTAACACAGAAGCGCTAGTCTAGAAATTAGGTGTATATACTCATGCGTCCTAGAACTAAGAAAACATGATTCTCGTTCAGAAGATGGTATTAGGTTGGGTGGTTAGGAGTTGGGGGATTTAACCTTTCATCTCACTCAGAGGAAGATTGAGGACACAGTTACCGAATAACTTAGCAACGCGAAGAGCTTCAAAGCTCTTGCGATATCAGCCGCCCCTGGATATGTATGTCAAGAATGATACTACATCTACATGTCGAAATACAATGTTGCGATGTCTACATACAGCCGTGATACGAAGCTTGTGTATAGTTCATGGGAGAGAAGGGCCTTAGATTTTGCCCATATACACAGCTTTAGTGCCCGGTTGTGTGACTTTGTCAACTCAACCTTCCCATGTAACGTGACTTGAGAATTTGGCAGTCAAGATCAGCATGTTGTCGCTCGAACATTTTAAGTGCGACTAGCATGTCATCACTACACGCACGTCTAGTAATAACAGTGACACCCAATGGGGGCCAGCCATTGCAAAGCCTCGTACGAACAGTGAAGATATACGTATGCCTTGGTATTACAGGCAACCCGACGTACCTCTCTTGCAAGGGGGGAGATGGCACAGTGATGGTAGCACCACGTAACCAAGTGACAGCTTCTTGTACTCCGTGCTACGACAGCGCCGGTCGTACAGAAACAGCCTGATAGATGATACGGCATAACCGCCACCCGGCTGCGGAGACACAACATGTACCGTGGTAATACGGATCGCCACCAGCCCAGAAGGATATAGGTATGCTGTGTGCTCTTGATCATAGCGCTAACGAATTTTGGCATTCTTGTCTCACATTTGGTATAGTAGTACAATGCTGGAAAAGGAGACGATAAAAGACTGATCTTGCCGAACAACACCAAACGCCAGGCCTTGTGATCATAAAGAGGGAACAGAAATCGAACTGTTAATCGTGAGAGCTGGCCATAACAACTCAGAACCCGAGACTTGCAGCTGCTGCATCGAGATCCATGACATCGTCTGCTCTCGACGCCTTCGCTGCCCAGATCACGGTACCTCGTCCATCAACAGCAAATAGACCTGCTTGTTGCCACTTATTGCCCATGACTGTCGACGGGCCCTCGATGTCAGCCTCACCTTTTGTCTCAACTTCTCCTGTGCCACTTTTACCCTGACTCCTGGTGCTCATACCAGTGCCCGTTCTCTTAACGGCTGTGCCACTCTTTCCTGTCGTCAAACGGTCTGCGGCCCCGGTTCGCTGGATCGCATCAGCAACCTTAATACCAAGCCATCCCTTCTCTTTCCAGCCCTGGACTTGAGTTGTGGGATTGAACATGTACCATATATTCCCCAATCCTAGCCCCCAGGCTGCATAGATGGCGCGGTCTTGGTCAATGACGACCTCGACGTTCCACGAACCCCCTAGTATATCAACCCACTTGCGTGTCGCCGCCGCCGAGGAATGCGACACTGCAATACATCTCAAGCTACCCTGTTTCTTGCTCGCGAGAGTACGCAGAGCGAGAAAAGACTTCTGCGCGACTGGGCAGATAATGAGTCAGACCGGCGAGAGAGGAGACCACGTGCATGCATAGTCACGTGGAGGCTAAGGAGACTTACATGCGCATCCAACACATCGCAAAAAGAGCACAATCACAGGTCGACCACCACCGAATTCGAGCTGACGGTCACGATCTAGCGGAGCCAGATCGCCGGGCTTAGGGCACTCCGTCGCAATGGGCACTGGAGGTGGGGTAGGTGAGAGCCACGCCTGCGCAGTAAGGGGCAGCTTTTTCGTGCTCATCCACGCAGGCCAATTCGAATTGCTCGAGTCATCCTCGTCATCGTACTTGGCATTAGAGTCGCTCTTTGAAGGGTTGCTGGGTGTGGAAGAGAAATCCAAGGCGTCGCTTGACAACCCCACCTTCTTCATCGCCAGCTTTGCTGTGAAGCTAGAGAGCATTTTGGATATGGGTCGTGTAACGAGTACTTGTAGAGCAGCAGAAGACAATTGATACCAGAGAACAAATAACGTTTCACGAGTTTATGATCGAAGATCAAATCAGGTCAAATAATCGACAAATTTCGAATATGCCGTTGAACTAAGGAGAGTGAAGGGGGGAAAAGGAAATTCATATTGGCTCCTAACCCTAGCAGACAATTAAAACGGGCAATATCTGAAACAAATCACACGAACACCCTATCATGACCTGGTAAAACGAAATGACGAGGCTGAGAGTGAAAAGTTTCTAAACTCCCTAAACTTGGCTGACACAGGGGTTGTCTCAAGAGGTTGCCCGTTCGAGCTTCGCTGGGTCGCCGTGTCTCACAGCGCGAGGCTTGTGGCTGTGATTGGGGGGCCAGAAACACTGGGGGTAGAAAGGGCCCATCGGAATCGAACCTCGGATGAAGGCCAGACACGAGGCTGACTGCCAAGCTATGGGGTGGGTGGTCTTGTCGCCATCGTTGCCGTCGTCGCCTACGTTGGGAGACTCGCGCCGTTATGTACCAAACTGCAGGAGACGGCAGCTAACCTGTGTCACCTCCTACATACATAGTAAGTGGTTTTACATAGTATGTACTATGTAAGGTCCTGTTCGGACCCTGTTGTCTGTTGTGGTTGTAGACAGAGATGTGGACAAAAGATGTGGACATTGTGAAGGGCGGGATTCAAGGTGCTGTAGGTAAGTACATAGCGTGCTGCAGCACTTACACTACCGGGACCTACCGGTAGTACATGTACAGTGCAGTAGTGTAGACAGGCGGATAGGTACCTAGCATATAGCCTACCTGGGTACTTACCTTATGTACCTACCCACCTACCCTGAGCCCCCCATCTTCCCATCTTCCCATCTTCTCATCTTCTCATCTTCTCATCTTACCGTACCGATTGAGCCCCATCCCATCCCGGACCCCGGCTAATCTGCGGGGTCTGCAGCTTGTAACTTCGCTGGCCACTCGCTTCTGTTCTTGGCCACGCCATCGGACGAACCGTCGTCTGCTTGGATATATAACGGCGTACATAGTATATCATCATGTAGATATCATGTAGGCGGCGTGGCCTGCAGTGGTCGACGAGAACCGACAATGCATCTCATGTTCACCAGTTTCAGGCCACTTGGCTGTGGATCGAGGTGGATGAGCCGTTCTGGGATCGATCTGTCTCTGTCGCTTGCTGCGCAGTCGTGTCTGCTGCTGGTTTGTTCTGACAGCCCACCTCGCTGCAGTTGGTCCTGACCATGTCCCTCGCTATCCCTCACCATCCCTCACCATGTCAAGGAGTTGCGTCTACATAGGTAGGTAGTATGTAGGATATCTGCATACCCGCCGCACGGGCTCCTGCTTAACGCATAGCATGGAGAACCTATGAGCTGAACACACCCAAAAGTAAATAAACAAATAAGTTTGCTGTCCTAAGAAACACCACGATGCCATAGGTACGCGTGCGTTGTGGCGCTCTACCCAAGGGGCCCAAGGGGTTGTTGACCCTCAGTCCTCGGAGCCAACATGTCCGTGCAAGCTCCCTTCCGCAACTCTTTCCCGCGACGCCAATGCTGCGTTATTAACAGCCGCCCGCCCGATGTCTACGCAATGTGTAATAAATGAAATCGGGGAAGATTGCTAGGGTTTTTGCTAGAACCGTCTGGGCAACGGCACGGCCAACTGTACGCATCCCTGATGCCGCCATGAACCAACAGCATTAGCAATGGTTGGACTTGGTTGCGCCTAGGGTTGAGACTGCATGAAGAACGGCTGATCTTGTGAATGACTATACCCTTTTTTTTTTCTGCGTGCGCTCTCGACGGGCTGATCTCCGATGAACATGTCGGGCATTAAATCACTCGACCGAATTCCGGGGTGCCGGCAGCACGGTGGATGGAAGAAGCTGTTCACGAGAAGAAATGAAGCACGGCTAGCATTACCACAACCAGACGTAAAGGCCTTGGGGCGAATTTTCTGGAAAACACTAGTCGCCATGATTCATACCTCTAAAGGAAGCTACACACCGAACCCATGGTACCGGCGTCCTCGGGGCGTAATTGTTGGCGGAGCCGATTCCCGGGGCGGAGCTGTACGTAGTAAGAGGTATTTGCGAATAAGCATCTTGCCCTATGTAAGAAAGACGAGGCCAGATGGGGCGGAGGGTTCAATGACCGACTCCCCAGATACGAACTTAGCTAATCCGAAACTGCTCGAAATAGGTATTTCGAAGTGGGCTCATGTGAGAGTTCCCCTATTCAAAAACAGTTAGCCCTAGAACAGGAAACCCCGGCTCACTATAGTTGGCATACAGTAATGCTCATGGTCTATCCATGCGTCAGCTGCAGTGCGTAGGTATTTGCTGGCGACTAAGTATGTGGTCGACGCTTAGATATCAAAAATTTAGTCGATGTTGGAGGCTCAATAGGTTAGTGGCGAAATTGTTGTAACAAAAGACTGTTAATCAGTGACGCTGTAAGCCTAGCTTTTGGTTGTACCAACAACCGCCAAAAGTGTCATTAGGCTGATAGGTAGTTGTAATGAAGTGTAATAAATGTGTAACCTTTCTTCTAGCGCCTTCGATTAGAGTTGGTAAGGTAACGATCTTTGAAGACAAAGTCGTCTTTGGCCTCATGGGTCACCGTTCAGAGGATGGGTATTGAAAACAAGTGGATTTGTGCAAAGGTCTAGAGACGGCCGCATTAGAGACAGGGACCGGGTCGAGGCTATTGTGCCACACACGTGTGCTTCTAGCCAGCGATGAAAGACTGGTGACAATGGCGAACATGGGAGGGATCTATCCGCTGCATACATAAGTGGGCTTATCCATCGAAGAACCTGAGGACTTTGACCTCGAATTGTGGAGGAAATCTTGATCGAGTATCCTGAAAGGGATGTTGTATCGGTATACACACGTACGCAGGAGCTGAACAAAGTCAGACAAACTGGGGACAAAAGCCAAGCACGTCGCGGCTACTACTAAGAAGGAGCGCTGTCTGACTACCAATACCTATTACCGGTCCATCAGATACGTAATATGTATGACTGAAAGACACATGACGAAATACATGACGAATCCTGGCATTGTGGTGCCAAAAAGCTTGGATATCTCCACGGGTAACCAAGCACAGGGCAGGCGAAGAAAAGAAAAGAGCAGAGAGGAAGAAGCAAAAAAAAGCGTGAGGTGGCTCGTGTTGTACCATCGGCCAGCTCTGCGTAGTATGGAAATACTGGTTTTACAAGTTACGTCTCGCAGGTAATGAAGCGGAGGTAAGTAGGTACAGAGTGATGTATACTTCTTCTTCGGGAGATTATCATGTATAATAAAAGTGGCGGTGCCCCGTGTTACTGCCAGTCCGTCGCATATGATATAAGGTAGGTAGTAGACTAATGGCAATGCAAACCTCGAGGGAAATGCATGCACCCCTTTGTGCCGTAGCCAGGTCTGCCAGGTGTAGACTTCCATTACTCTCTGTGTGTGGTCTCTGTGCGGTCTCTGTGTGGTGCTTGCTGTATACAACCAAGGAAGAGCAAAGGAACACTCGGTTACTACGTTATAATTCATCCAATCGATGTGCTGTCGGGGAACATGCCTTGGCTCCATTTCCATTTCCAGATAACCACGCACACATACTGGGCATACTGGGCATACTGAGTAAGTAATACCCGAAGGAGGGATGTGTTCTAGTGTCGTGAGGGTGTTCTGTGTGTAAATTGACAGCCCACCAAGTCAAGCCCGTGTGGCACGCTTATGTTGTTACCGCCTTGTGCATGTGGTCGTAGGCAAGAGGCATGAGGCATGTACGAAGGAAGAAACGAAATTGATTGACAATGCTTCCTCTTGTTCGTTAAATGCAATGAAAGAGGTAGTTGTACGCGCTGTCTTTGGCTTTGGAGTTCTAATGTTCGAGATTTTGGTACTTACCTTCTTACCCTGGCTAGTCTGTCTACTGCTGGTCCCTCCTCCTCCCTTCCTCTTTCTCTCTCTCTCTATCTAGTGTACGGAGTAGTACCAAGTAAGTACCAGGTAAGTATTGACTTAGGCATTATGTAGACTAAATTATCCAAGCACGCTACACTGGGCACGCTACACAATCGAATTCTCTATACGACAAGGCCAAAATTGCATATTACCATACTACAGTATGACTGAGGCAATGCTGGAAAGGGTAAAATTGGTAACTAGACAAGCTCTGGCTTACTGTTTTCCCCTGTCGATACGACCACAACACCCACAGAGACAATGTATCTAGGTAGGAGGTAGTACCTGTAGGTGGCATTTCAAGTGTAATGCATGGACCTACCTAGGTCCATACCTATGTATCTACAAGGTAGGTATGTACCTACATGCTTCATCTACTGAATCTGCTTAACCTACCAACTGTAAAAACTTATCCTGGACCTACCTTAGATAGGCTACCTACGCTGGCATTAGGCAAGACTGTCTATGTAAGTACAAATGCGCAAGTGTGCATCGTCGACATTGCTATGGGTTACGCTCTCCACTTACAATGCCTCGCAAAGGTCCTGTAAGTGGTAGGCATGGTAGGGGTAGGGGAGGTAGGCACTACTAATACTGATAGGTAGGTACCTACACATAGGTACTTCGTATGTACGAAGTTCTTACGCATACCTACTCTAAGTAGGCAGTGAATGGGATTTATCAAATGACCCTTTCTGGTGTCGATTCGACCTTATCCCTAGTACTGCTTCTACGCTTGCTTCCGTTGTCTACTTACGGGTAGTACTAGGAAATGGATAGTTTAGGGGCACAACCAACCGGGAGGTACCTACCTATGTAATGTGAAAACATAAGGTTAGGTACGAGGTAGGTACTTCGAAGTAGTAGGGTATGTCACGGCCCACGGGTATGTACACCACCACCCTTTGATTGATTGATGTCAAGCCCTCGGGCTCAGGTTTGTCCAGGCGCCACCCCCGGTCCTGGTCTTCTAACCCAGGGCCACCCTCGAGCGCAACGCACCGCACCGCACCGCAGCATTAGGTACCTAGCACAGCACAGCACAGCACAGCGCAGCACAGCGCAGCACAGCGCAGCACCTCCCTACCAGGTATTATGTAGGCAGGTAGGTACCTGTCCCTCAGTCTGTCAGTTACTCAGTCACTGGGCCGCCTACCTGAGCGGCTGGCTCAGTCACTGCCTACGGTGAGTAAGTATGCCCTACATATGTAGGTAGGAGGTAGGTACCAAAGCCTAGGTAGGTACCTACTTACAGTACATACCTGCCTAAGTACTGCGCGAGCGAACCCAGCCAATCGCCTTCACCTCCACTCCATCATCCATCGACACAGTCTAAACCAACTACACTACCTGCCTACCTACCCTATCCTCCTCCGTCCTGTCCACCACCTACCTCTCTTCACATCCATCACGACAATCACGGCTCATCGCGGCTTCTCGTCTCTCCTCCGGCCTCTTGTATTCCTTGGAAACGCCTTCAGCGACCGCTAGACTACAGCATTCGTCCTGGAACGTTGCCCTTTTCTTGCGATACCCGCCCCTTATATACCCATCCGTCGTTGTCGTCCGCCGGTCGACCCGCCGCTGTGCTTATTTCCCATCAGTCGTTTCTGCCGTCCCGTCTATTCGGTCCATTCGTTCCAGCCTGAGCCGGCCTTGTTAACCGATCCCTACGCGCGCGCCGTGATGCACTGATATTTGCTTGAGATCTCTCTCGCGTCCCCCGTTTCTTTCTGCTTCATTGGTTCTTGCGCTGCGTCGGGCGTCCTACTAGCATTTGCATACTTTGTACCTCGTATATCGATAGACTGCCTTTCTTCACAGGCGCTGAGAGGCTGGAACCAATACCTCGCCCTTCCCGACTGTTGCTCTACCGTGTTCTCAGCTTCCAATTGTTCCAGATTCCATCAGTTGTCCGCTCGTCCAACCCCGTCCAACCCCGTCCGTCACAACTGTTAGGTCCGGCTGGTCGGCTGAAAGAGCTTCCGTCCAAACATACAGAGATAGGCTGTGCCACTCCCTGCACCGACTCGCCTAGCGACAGACACTCTCCTGTCCTATCCGCAACGACCCTCGACCAGCCCTTTAGTTTTCTAGCGGTTACGTCACGAGACACACGTTGTTGCACCCACAAAATTAACGACCATCGCCCGGTTGTTCGTGTGGGGCCCGATCTTTTAATGGACGGCCAGCCTGTAGCGGCAGACTCTAAACATCTTTACCCAACGCATATCTGGACCCGATCTATATCTAGTCCAAGTGTTCCCCGACTCAGTACGTTATCGGTAGCCAATCCCCCCGAGCTCGCCGCTGCCCAGTGCGCTGCCACGCACCTAGATCTGGTTCCGATCTTATTCCCGCAGCAATCTTCTCTCTACCAAGCCAAACTCCTACAGTACAACAAGCTTATTGCGCCGGGTCGAGGGGGTGGTCTTCAGACGCCTCCCTTACCTCCCATCCTCTCCTCGCAACCTGTTCACGCCGGTGCCAGGTCTCGATCGTTGTCCAAAGTGTCGAATAAGGAGTCTCGCGCCAGGCAGAGCTCCCAGAATTGCCATGGGAATAGGAGCACCCAGAACACCCCCAAGCCCGACCGCGTGCTTATGACAGGCAAGGTCACTCATTCCAAGATGCACAACAAGAAACCTGACATAGTCCATGGTCTCCCTCCAAAGCCAAAAACGTCGGTATCTTCTGCACACTTGCCTCACTCAAACTCGGTTCCATCTACCCCCCAACAACACGCCCGAAAATTCTCTTTCGAATCACGAGAACAGTCGCCCAATGCGGCCCAGAGCCATTCACCTCGCTCTGCTTATTCAGAGACGAATAGCGTACTCCCATCACTGCGTCCCTTGCCACCACGGGGTGGTGGCTGTAAATATGAAACTGGACTCAAGTTTTCGAGGCGGAGAATACCATACAACATTGGTACTGACCCATTAGATAAGCTGGACTTGAATAGCGTGCAGAGCAAATTGTCTGAAGATGACGAACGCAAACTCACCACAGATATGCGCGAATTATATGATCGGTTACAGCCGACGGCGGCCGTGGAAACGAAGAGGCAGAAACTCGTTCAGAAGTTGGAGAAACTTCTGAACGATACATGGCCTGGGCATGATATTCGCGTACATCTCTTCGGCTCATCGGGAAACCTGTTGTGCTCAGATGATTCGGACGGTATGTTGTCTTGGGCTGCTCAGACCAACAGTCCCTGAGCACGCTGACAATTCTCTAGTGGATATATGCATTGTAACCCCTTGGAAAGAGCTTGAGGGTATCTGCATGCTTGCAGACTTACTGGCAAAGCGTAAGTTGCGTTTCGGTTGCTCCTCTTTCATTATCATCAAAATGCTCACCCGTGTGATAGATGGAATGGAAAAAGTTGTGTGTGTTGCGTCAGCTAAAGTTCCTATCGTCAAAATATGGGATCCGGAGTTGGAGCTCAGCTGCGACATGAATGTCAACAACACCTTGGCACTAGAGAATACCCGCATGATCAAGACCTATGTCCATATTGACGAGCGAGTACGGCCTCTTGCGATGATCATAAAGTATTGGACAAGGCGAAGGATACTCAATGATGCCGGTACGTCTGTAATCACACGCAACTAGATCACGACTAATAATCATCTTTCCAGCCTTTGGTGGGACTCTCAGTTCATACACTTGGATATGTATGATTATTGCATTCTTGCAACTCCGACAGCCGCCTGTGCTCCCTGCTCTGCACCAACGGCCTCATCAGAAGTTACCTCGGCAAGATGGCGAGATCGCAGCATTTGCTGACGACGTAGATAAACTACGAGGATTTGGTGAAAAGAACGAGTCTACATTAGGCGAATTGTTGTTCGAGTTTTTTCGATTCTTCGCCCACGAGTTTGACTACTCGACCAGCGCTCTCTCGGTGAGGTTAGGGAAATTGGTCACAAAGACTGAAAAGAAATGGCATTTTGCTTTGAATAACCAATTATGCGTTGAAGAGCCTTTCAACACGAACCGCAACCTGGGTAACACTGCTGATGATACCGCTTTTCGTGGTATACATCTTGAATTACGTCGTGCTTTCGATCTCATTGCACAGGGGAACTTGGAAGAATGCTGCGAGCAATATGTATACCCCAAAGAAGAGGAAAAGATATTTCAGAAACCACCTCCAGTCTCGCGACCAGTGCTCCTGAGAAGTGCATCTCAACAGCAATCATCCCGTCTTGGCCGTGGGGGCTATCGAAATGGATCTCGGCATCAAACTCGAAATAATGGGAACCATAACAATACGAACAATAGTCGGCGAGCATCATCTGGCTTGAACTACGAGAACAATGCGAATCCGATGTATGTTCCAGCGGCATACGCTATGGCCCTTGGTACCCAAGATGCCAGTTCTTTATACATGCAGTCGCCGGAGCTTGTTGCGCAAATCTCAGCATTACAGCTCCAGGAAAATAATTTGAGATTCCTACAGTATACGCAATCCCAAGCCTTTGCCCAGCAGCAAGCCTTACAACATGCCCAGAGGATGCAGGGGGCCACGCCACAAGCGCAATCTTCCACCGAGCGGTCCAGGACGAATTCCTTTGATACTCCACCACTAAGCGCCCCCATCCGACCCGAGATGCGCCCAGAATTGTACTACTATCAAATGCCTATACAACAAGCACAAGCATTTTACAGTTATGCACCCTACCCTTCTACACCTTCGAACATTACTAGTGCAGATTATAGACGATCTTCTCATCGATCTACAGCTGCAAATGAGGCTGGACATGGGTCATCAGGCAGTACGATAAGGTCTCACTCCCAGCCAGCGTCAAGACCCATAGCAGTCGTACCACCGGGGCAAAATTTCACACTTGCCGCTCAAATGTCGAACGGATTCGCTAGTGTTCCAGCACGGCATATCAATGGCATTCCCATTCCTAGCTTCATTCCTGATGAAGGCAACGACAACGAGCTGGACAGCTCAACTGTTGATTCTCCTGACGACGGCAAAAGTAGTAGTTATTACACGAATCCTTCTAGCCCACGAAGAGCAAGCGGTACAGCTAACGGAATGCCCGCTTTTGGAGATATAGGGACTCAGTCGAGTAGCCCAGGTCACTCGGCTGAAGAGTTTGCACAGCCTGTACCCGATAGCACATCTGCGACGTCGCGATCACCATCGCCCCTTAGCAAAGAAATAGCTTATCCGGAAGGTAGTAGTTCGGCATCCTTAACTGCAACTACTTCGCCGAAACAATTGCACCGCGAAACCGCACAAACTGCACCTCTAGTTGTTAATGGATCTCAGTCGAGGCATCTAACTAACAATTCACCGAAGCAAGCCTGGCACGGCGAATCCAATGTTACACCTGATTTGGGTGGATATGAAAATCCGCTGCACATTCACAATGATCCTACTGTCATCTCTTCACAGCCCGTTCCTGGTTCGGACGCAATTACCACGTCTCGGCAGGTTGCTTCACCAGTATCTGATCGACCGGTTGTTGTCAACGGGTCCAGGCCACCGTCCGGTATGGCAACTCCGCCCATTTCTGGCCCTTACTTCACAAATGAGGCGGTGACTCTAAGTCCAGAGGGTGCTCTTCAAGTTACCACTTGGCAAGCGGGAACGCTCCCCCCCGGCCATGCGGCTCCACCAGGAAGCTTACCGCCCAATCTACAACGGTTTCCACGGCCAGTGCCCAGTCCCCTTATTGCTCAGCTAGATTTAGCCACGGAGACTAGCATACATGCAAACGATTTGCATCACTTATCGCCAGTCTATGAGACAAAGAGTCCTTCACCTAGCTTTACTCGAAAGCTAGAGCTACCTTTAGGGGAGAATTCTAGCCGCACGGTGCTTCCAAATCATAGACAAGAAGCTATGTCCGAAACCCCTAAAATCCAATCCAAACCTTTCGCTGAGGGTCCAACGCCGGAGACTGACGGGTTTCTGCATTCGAACCCTAGAATCAATGGTTTGGTAAGAGAGAATGGGCTTGTACGAGGCATGAAGAGTGAAAGTGATAACGCTGGAACAAATGGTCCATGGCAGAAGTCTCGGGGAAGGAAGCGAGTTAATGACGTGAAAGGCCGGAGCGAGGCGCCGTCCCAGGGCGAACTACCACCAAAAAACGAGGCGGACAGGAAGGGTGGCTAGATAATTCCTGTGTCATTGAGTCTTCCATTTCTGGCGATCTACATCCATCTCTTGGATATAGCCACCAACGATGGGTTTGGGCATTCACATTATATACAGCCCAATTCATGTTCGGATGACGGTGCCATATTGACACCATCTGAGCCCAGGTAGCGTGTGCTCTTACACGTGGGTTACCTCACTGGACAGGAAGTCCGGTCGACTGAAGGTGCTGACGCGTAGCGGAGAAAATGTGCAGTTTTGTGTTAGCGGAACATCATGCCATGCTAATAAGACCCTACAGCACTCAATATTCACAACAAGGCACCAAATCGGGGTCTCACCAAGAAGAGGCTTTGGATATGGTCAATGCAATCCTGAAAAAAAAGAGAAGAGCAATCTGCCGAGAAGCAGCTCCTGGATTCATTGCCCTTATCTACTAGCCTAACCAAGCACCGCTTGAGTCTGCGCCGATGGGCATGGATTGTTTAGCTTCTAAGCCAGAGCTCTGTGTCTGGAGCTATCTTTAGTGTTGTACAGGCCCGGTCGAACGAACGTTAGGGAAGAGTAACTACGAGGTGCTTAGGGGTTATATATTATATACCATTGTATGTTTGCAGGCATGTTAATATTTCAAAAGGATCAAGGCATTTTCATGGATAGGGAAATCAGTCAAGTGATATCGGCGCTGTGGATTTACAGATCTTTAAGGATTGAGGGGGCCGATTCAGTCGGCTCAAGCTTCATGGCAACGAACATAGACGGTCAATAGACACAACAATGCATAGGAACGAAAGAAAAAAAAAATAAAGTAAACGCAAAATACATCAAACTCTTTATCTCAGTCTTGTGCAGAGCGAGTAGATGGCAGCAGCAAGCAACGACGACAAGAGGTTCGATACAGAAGTCTCCGCTCCAGCATCGGCCAGTGCAGCACTCGCTCACCACAGCTCGAAACGCCACATTGCCCTACCATCAGCATTGGAGCTTGGGGGGAAATGAGACATTACAAACTGTTAGCGAGGACGAACCCCGCCATCTTGGCTAGGAGTTGCCATTTGCCTGCGCAATTACCTAAAGGGGCCAGTGTCACGAGGTGTTCTAGAGGCGTCTTCAAGAGGCACATAGAGCTGAAATGAAGTCGCACACTGGATGGTAAGGCAGCCTTCTACCTCGAAAATAGCTTAGGTTAGGATGACATCAAGACGGACAGCCGCCCATGGGCTGAACTCCCCATCTTGGCGCAGACACGACTGTTTTCTACCACCAAGACTCGCACTCGGATCAGCCTCGCTAGCCAGTACGTACCCAATGCCAGGGTAGTAGAGAAGCATCCGGCTAGGCTTTGATCATTGATGGTGAGGCATGTATTGTTGTCGCACGAGTTCCCCCGCTTTGTCTGAAAGAAGGCATCGTACCTATCAATTTTGGTTCGGAACTTAGCTGGCCAGCACAGCATATCTGTCGATGATGCCATCTTCGCCTCACCAACCTGGCCATGACAGTGGGTTGGCCTCTGGTAGATGGAACCGCCACAGTGCGTCTGATATATCTTCCGTGGTCAAAGAAGGGAAGAGATGGTCTTTCACGACGCCTTTTGCCGTGAGTTCAAGCCGTTGGAGCCGCATACCATCTTACATAAACGAGACATTAACATATATGCTTAACCATAGAACAGCAAAAAGCCACCAACCTCGGATGCGAATGCCTTTCCTGGTAGCTTGCCGTCGTTTGTCGACCCCATCATTGCCAACAATCTCCGCCAATTGCACAAATACTCATCCAAAATTCAGAGCGCGGCGAGAAACGTCAATCATGTCGATTCAGCTTGGGACGAATATGTCAAGTATAGAGAAAGGTGCCTCGAATGTTGCAAGTCATTGACAACCCCGCCGTTTCCCAGGAGAGAGTCATCAGTGGTCAGCCCTACTACGGTGCCCCCAAAGCCAGAATACCAAAGGAATTCCTCCTATGACACTTTGAACTTGGTCACAATTGATACTGGCTCGTCGTCGCAGAGCTCTGGCAGTCGGGTCGATCCGTCTCTACATCTTGGCTCCCAGGATGACCGATGCCAGAAGGCAACTCATGAATGGCAGAGCACTATTGAGCTCTTGGCCAACACGCTACGGACGTCTTTGCAAGAAACATATAATGTGCATGATAAGGGTGCGACCCGGGAGGGCTTTGAGAGGATATGTGCTGACAAAGCCGCCCGTCTTAACACCATCTACCACATGCGCAACGCGAGTATATCCAGAATGATGTCTGCGGATCTCGACTTCTTTCCGAAATACGACGTCCGTTTCCGCAACTACGATGAGATCAAAAAAGATCTGATAAAGGTGCAGTCGATTCTTGGTACCTCGGGCATACCGCAGAATAGAACCATTATCGAGCGTCGTATATCCCCCACAGGGGATGTAATGTTGGAGTTTGCCAACGCCGAGAACGAGGAGCATGCTGTATTCCGATTTCGCGTAGCATCTCATTGTCTACGGGAGACATCATCGCCCATCTTTGGGCACATGTTCAACGCCCACTTCCGTGCCGAATTAGACGATGACATCCGACGTAGTCTGCCTCTGCCTCCGTCAAGACATGTCTGTGCTGACGGTAACGAGGTCATGCTATACCGCATGCCGCAGACCGAACTGAATAGTCAGCGCTCTCTCGAAATTTTGCTACACGCGGCTCATAATCATCACGACAGAGTGCCGAGAGAAGTCCCTTTTCGCCAGTTCGTTGCAATTGCGGAAGCTTGCTTGCGATACCGATGTACATCACCTCTGGAGTTAGCCGTGGAACACCTATGGTTGCCGTACTGGCGGGATAACGCGACAGATGATATGCTCGCAGACGTCTTGGTTGTATCTTACGTATTTGGACTTTCTGAGAACTTCACTCGTTTGTCAAGGATGGCTATTCTGGGTATGACAGGCTCGGGTTCATCATGGCCACTCAAAGTTGAAGAGAAGATCGCGGCAGTACGCCGTGCAAAGGTACAGCCGCCATTTCTGCATCGCAAAATATAAGATACACTCGCACGCTGACCTTCATGTTCTAGATCGAGCAAATCTATGAGCTGTGTAGGAGTACATTGAACGAATTTCTCTGCCCTACACCGTGCCTCAACTCAACACTCGACACCGGCAGCGGTCAAACAACAAATTCGGGCTGTCTGCGCTGTCCCAGAGGTGACCGCATATGTGACGCACAAAACTTAGGATGGTACATGAAGACCCTCGCCGATCTAGGGATTCTCCCCGCCGTCCTGCAGTCCCCGGCCTTCTTTCACGCGCAAGCGCCACCACAAACACGGAGTCTACAACAGATCATCGAATCTCTCAGCCTCATGACAAGTCCGCCGCAATCCCACGGCGGGGTCTGCGACTTTGCGCCGGGCTTCCGGGCCGCGCTGAAGGACATATACGAGAGCGTCGCAGGGCTGACGCTCTACGACGTAGCAGGGAAGCGCGGCTGGGCGTTATCGAAGAACAGAAGCCCGCGACAGAGCACGCAAAGTCAGAGCAACAGCTCCTTCGGCGAGCAGCTGTTCAAGATTGCTGCGCAGCAGAGGTATGCACCTGCAGATCACAAGAGTAATAGTAGTAATGATTGGCGTCAGGAGAACGACGGGGCTTGCTATTTGAGGATACTGAGCCTTCTAGATGACCCGCGAGACCTGTGCGCCGCGGCGATGGTCAATAAACGCTTCTATCAGTGTTACTCGCGCAATAAGACGTGGCTTTGGGAGAGGATCCGGATGCAGAATATTGCGGAGGTTGAGGGGAGTTCGGTTACGGTCAATCATGCCGCCACTTTCTCGCACGAGAAGTTCAGAAATGGACAGCTGCTGGTCATGGAGGGGAAGTCCTTGGCTGAGGGCGATACTAATAAATACCCTCGAGATATCCGCGACCGACTTGTTGGCTTCAGGTTCAAAGGGGGTGAAGGAATTGGACAGAGTTCTAGGTCAGTTAGATGATAAGGGGGAAAGGTCGGTGTGTTAGAAAAGGTTCCCAGGGCGCTTGAATATGGATGGGTGCGTATGGTATCAAAATATTCGGATCATTGATAATCTGGTGTTTGGTTTGATATCCCTAGCTGGCAACTTGGCGGCGGCGATTTTTGGGATTTCGGTACGTCAATTTAGCCTGGTGAGCATACCCGTGTAACGTTGTTATTTACAGTCCTTACTATTGTTATTATCACTTTAAGTCCTTGACACCACTTAGATCCTCTTCTTGGTTTCCTTTTTTAATATACGGGATTGAAGTATCTTAGCGAGGTTTTCTGCCGCTGTTGTACATATAGGTATCAAGAGACTATCTTGTGAAGTTGTTTTTCTTACTACCTTGGTTCACACATTGTAGCACAGCCTCTGACAGGTCCCGAACCTGTTCAACCTCAACATCAAGTGTCATTGAGTGCAGCGCTAATTCTCTGGAATTTAGTGATAATTTCGAGCATAGCCGGTAATCCGATATCAGGAACAGGAGTGCCAGTTCTTCATATCCTGTTATTTATCGTTTTCTAACGGCGCTATGACACCATATGTCAGAACTTGTATGCCAGCAGTTCCAATTCAGAGTCAAGAGGTCTAATGAATCAACTTGAAGTGAACCATTGCTACGGTATCGATATTTTCTCAGCTTATGCGATGATTATCCTGGATATAATGGTTGATATTGGTAGCGTACGGATAAGCTTGAATATCTTAGATCTTATTGATACAAGTCTAGTTTGACTTGCCGCCAGTATTGCGGTCGCATTACGCATGCAAATCCCCGACATCATTTCGGGCAGCACTCGTTTATCTCGGGATTGCATACTAGCTGTGTTATTCACACAGCTTAGCATTATGATCAACTATGCCGGCGGCAATAACCGGACCGACGATAGATCCCATCCTCAGGGGGATTTCAAGCTAGAGCTTCTCCGAGACCCGTAGATATTCAGCTTCATAAGCAAGCTAGAACAATCCTAAGCCTAGTCGTAACGCACGTATTAATAGCATATAAACACATCACCTGCTACTCTACGTGACGATAATTCCGCTCACTGGGCATTGTTAGCCCTAGGTTTACTTGTCAGAATAGGAAACTGTTACTGAAAAAGGGGGCCTCTCATTGGTCGAATTTTCAATGCTTATGGCTTGTTTGGCTTCATGCTTACATTACTCAAAGCAGTTCAAAGTTTTCATAGCAACGTGTTTCATAGAACCTTCTGGTTACGGCTAAACTTACTGAACTTGTGATCTTGGCCCATCGGTCTGACTATGAAGGACCATGCACACGGTACCTTCCGTTTAGAGACCGTGACGATGTCTTCGCGTTTCCCCCGTTCAGACCCGTTGTAGTGTAGTTGTGCCAAGCTAGAGAAGCAGCTAGAGTTCATCTTGGCTAGGCTGAAAACAACGCCATCTAACGCATGTTGCTTCCACACGAGGTCCAGACCACCAAAGTCTGACTTGGCGGCAACGGTCGATTCTACAACCACTGCCAAGGTTGGGGGAATTCAACATCTAGTGTTTAATGTGGATAAAACTACAGCTACAACTAGTCCTCGGTTTGAATGTAACCAGTATCTTTTGGTTGCCCTGTTATACTTGGCTATAGGATATCGCCTCAGAGATAGCTAGAGCTCCAGAGAGTTGATCAGCAATGTAGGGATTCTACTCACCGAACTGTTGTGATAAGTTGATAACTAGCATAGTAAGGCCGACGTTACTTGGCCATTTTGCATAGCACAGAAAGTGGAATGCTGGTCAGGCGTGCTTATACACCTTGCGCGCTCTCAGCTCCGTTAGGACATGTAGTTAGCTGAACCATGTTTGATGAGATCTTGAGAATGGTATCAAAGTGTTACACGACCGTGTCCGCTTACTTAGTAGATGACCATCGTCACACGTATTAGTAGTGAGATACTAACCCTACAAAATATTACTAATTTTAGCGCGTTATCATCCATAGCGGGCGGCGTGTTTCGCGGGGTACAAAACTAGTGGAGGTAAAATGTGAAATTATGCAAAGGATGGGTTAATAGTCCTGTCAAGCTACTGTAAACTAATAGATACGTACACTAGAACACATAGAGGAGCAGAGCGCCAAAGACTACTAAAAAGTGCCTGCCTACTGCAGACAGAGTTGTTGATCGGAACATGGGTTTTGTCTCGATGTTCAGATGACCACGTGCACTCGGCGTAAGATAATCGTCCTGGCCTGCGAAATGCAAAGATGGGTGAGGGGAGCCACGCCATCGGAACGAACAACACACGCTACTATTCTTAAATTAAGAGAACCGGAGAGAAACGGAACCGGAATATAAGAGGGAGAAGACTCTTATGAAACATGCTTTACATAGGTACTGAGTCTATACTCCGCCTGTGTAGTAGAGATGGATGGTGGCACATAGGTAGCTTCTTACAGGCGTACATGAAAACAACGTTTTTACACTAAAGCGCATTGGCCTCTATGTTTTGACTTTTGTTTTTCTTCCCTAGATCATGATTGCGGAGGGGGGGCTAGCTGAACCTCTCATACTGATCATGTAGCAAAATATCTTGTTGCGAAGAGATCCGACCCCAAGTACGCGGTACGGTAGAGCCAAGGACCCCTTCAGACGACTTTTTTTAACGGGTGGTTGCGGTAAGCGGCGTGGCCGTCTTTAAGGGGAGGCTTGGCTCGGGTGTATACTATGTAGTTGGAAGCTTGGCCGTTACAAATTCGCCAAGCCTCTCTTAATTCTTACCAGTTGTTACTGGAATAAGAAGAAATCGAACGATATATCACAACTGACCTATCATAATCCCCGTCACATTACATGGGCATGGGAAGATCATAACTGTACTTACACTACATAGTACACGCTGTAAGAAGAGCACCAGCTACATACCTACTTTCCGGTCAATAATAAGTGGTGATGGTCTCTGGAGAGCCACGCTGTTGCACAGAAGAAGATACTACTGGCGTGCAGACCCGACCAAGCTTAGTTAAACGCTTTTCAACATCATAAGCTTCCTTGGGAAGCTCCCGGCATTTAGCATGCACGCGACGCAGCCGTCAAGGGTGCATAATGGCAGCCAAGACAACTGCGCTCTTAAAGCAGCAGCTCGCGCCTTTCTTGGCTGTTGTGAATTCTCATCCCTTGTGGGAGCCAAGGAGCGTCAGATTCGTGTGAGAAACCGCCAAGCAGTGGCCCGGGTATGGTAATCACGAGGCTTGGTTGGGCGTCTATCATCATTTGTGTTTCCCAGGTAGAATGATATAATCCTACTGTAGTTCCAGCCTACAAACGCCAGTGTAATGTTTATGGTTTGTTCTATTTGTGTCTACTCCGCCCTTTTCTTTTCTTACACATCTGTATATACATCATCTTACTGCTGGGCAGTCATAGAACCACTTTCCTTGTAAACAACAGAAAAAGATAGATTTTCCATTCATTTTTACCTCTTTACTCTCTTAATCATTTCAGTTGCTTTCAGCCTCTTACCACCTTCACAATGACTACATCACCGAAAGCGCTTCTGCTCCTTGCGTCGGCGATACCGCAAGTCCTAGGATTCTGTGGTGCACGTACCCATCTAGACCGACGAGAGGAGGGAGAAACTGTGCCGACGGCCACTTTTGGTTATATCGGCACTGGAGGACCTTTGCTATGGCATCATCTTAGTCCTGCTAATGCTCTGTGTTCAACTGGTACGAACCAGTCGCCCATTAACATGGTTGAAGGGTCCTTCACGCTTGTGCCGGGCACAGACCTTACCGTAACTCTTCCCGAGGAAGTCGAAGAAGCGGAGTTCGAAAACCTCGGCAGCACAATAGAGGTAGTGATGGAGGGCAAGGGAGGAGCACTCACGCTTGAGGAAGTGGAATATGAGCTCCTACAGTTCCACTTCCACCATCCCAGCGAGCACGTCGACAATGGCGTCAGCATGCCCAGTACGTTCGCTTCGAGAACCTAACATTACTTAACTGTGTGACTGACAATCGGTTTAGTGGAAATGCACATGGTTTTCCAAAGCGCGGAACAACAGCTGGCCGTGATTGGGGTTTACGTCGACCTTGTCGACTCCACGTCAGCGAACGCAACTCGAACGCTCCGACGACGCGCCACCGCCTCCGCCATGCTCGAGACTATCTTTGCCTCCATCGACGCCATTGCCACACCGGGTACAGTTACTAAGACGGGGGCTTTCAGCATGACCGAGCTGAATGAGATGCTCGCAACCACGGAGTTCCAGCGCTACGCCGGTTCCCTAACCACGCCGCCTTGCTCTGAAGGCGTTCAGGTAAGCATTTTGAATCATATCTTACGTAACACGGCGTGCTTTGTTCAACCCCACTTGAAAACCTTTCCTTGTCAAAGCGCAGTATTCTCGAGATAGTAGCTAACTCGCAATGTTTGTAGTGGTCGGTCCCTACAAGCAAGCTCACTCTTTCTCGCGCTACATTTGCCAAGGTGAGAGATGTAGTCGGCTTCAACTCACGTTTCCCCCAGAATACCCCCGGCATGGCCAATTTGATTGCTATGTCAGCTCTGGCTTAAGAAATCTGAGTGCCGCCTTGGGCTTTGTGATCAGACAAGATGGACATACATATAGACGCATACTTATCACTATCACTGGGACAATGTTGGTAAAGAGTTAAATTTCGTATAGCTAATAATCTGAGCTAGTGCTCGCATCTTTTTCTGAACGTCAGGTTCTACTATAGTGTGATATAAGTGATAAAGTTCATATCTAGATAATAAATGACTAGCTCGTGAATTCCTACTGTCTCTTGAGCTTAAGTTATCAGGAGGATGGCAAATATTTTAATGAGTAAGAATAGGTGGTAAGCTGTCGTCGAAATTCTTGGACACGAATAACCCTTTCAGATCCCAGGAGCGTGCTCAATGCTGTACTCTGTCATTTAAGATAAGGCGTACGACTGGAAATTAGGTATGGGTGTTCAAAGTGCCCTAGATTATGTTTTTGAGTCTGCTAACTGAATATTGAATTTGGAAGCATATGGAAGCGTACTTAGTATCTTAAACCAAGCCTATCTAGTTGGAACACCAAGTATCAGACGCCTCACAACTATCAATAGAAGAGTTTCTAGGTACTCTGAAATTGCACGTATGTATACAACAAGGAAATGATCAGCAAACAAGTTCCAACATTTCTATTCCGCCCCTTTTACCTGCCGCCATAATCCCCCTAGGAGCGCAGCATTCACTGCTGGACACTCCTTATCAAGCCCTAGCGCTGACTCCCCAGGCAACGTGGCTCGCTTGTTCCTGTCCAGCGAAAACGTGACGTGGCCACGCGGAAAATACTCCTTCGAAACAATAAGATGGATAATACCTCCTTCATGTTCACCCTTCTCTATCTCAGCCAGCCAGTCGTCAAGGGACACTAACAAATTCTTCGACATCCGGCCAGATCTCTTTGATCAGATCAGGCATGTCTTTTAGAGACAGCAGCGCCACATTACCGATGTGGTACACCTCGTGTTCTTTGATGGGGGAGTCTTCTTGTTGTAGAGTGTTTAACGCCACGAGAGCCGAGGCCAGGTATGTAACAGGCACAAAGTCTATAGAGAATGGCGGTTGAGAGGAAAAGCCCAGCGGCGGCACGACAGCTTTCTCGATCATGCTTATCACCATTCCTAGCGTAAACTCATCAATATGGAGACCCTGCGAAGAGTTCTGGATTGAGGGAGAGGTGACGGTCTGGCGCGCGAGCTATAGTCACGGGGAATACACATGAGGTGCCTGCGTAAGGAGATTCTCAGCTACCTAGCGAGTCTTGGAATAACCGAGGTTATCTGTTGCTGGGGGCTGGGAGTGCGTCATTGTCTCTTCGGCAGAGAAAAGGTCCTCCTTAATTCGACTTAAGCCGATTTATGTTTGTAGATGCGGCAGTGGAAAAGAGATAGAAGAATACCCGACGACGTAGGAGTATACAAATCAAGAACAATATCAACGCATTAATAACAACAGGACGTTTTCAAAGTACGATGCTAGCATTTGATGATATAAATCACATTCCCTCTGTTGAAAAAAACTTTAAACTTCTTGATTCTCAATTCCTTTGAATCTTGAGACAAAAAATATATATCATAATCTCGTGGCTCTCGCCACTTCCGCTTGAATCTAGTCCCTAGCGACCTTGATCAGAAAGGATCCAGTACCAAGGCCACTACCCCATTCTCGATGAGCAGCCTGGATATCCTCCATGTCCCAGACATTCTTTATAGGGACAGTTATCTCTGCCGTCTTGACCATATTCAAAAGGCTTCTTATATTTTCGACGTAGTGAGCATTGCCTCGTGACAATCCGAAGAAGGTCGTTGACTTGCTAGATAGGGGGTTGAGGCCCCGCGCCAGCATCTTCACTACAGAGCCGACGGGATTTCCTTCCCCTCCATTGAGCGATGCCTTGTTGGTCCCGAAACCCACGAGAATGCCGTCTTTGGCGAGAATTGAATAACTCTCATCAAAACTATCATAGCCTAGCGGATCAAAAACAGCGTGGGCGCCACCGAGATCCTTCATAGCCTGGATCCAGTCCTTGTTCGTGTAGACGAATGGATGAGCGCTGCGGCTCCTTAGTTCCTCGTGGTTCCGCTCGCTCGCAGTGCCATAGATCTCGGCGCCTTGTAGCAAGCATATGGACATAAGGGAGTAGCCGACGGCGCCGCTGAGACCGTGAATAAAGACCCGCTGACCCTTGGAGACCTTGGCTGTATGCACCGCCATGCTGTAGCCTGTGTTCCAATCGCAGAGGAGCGCTGTAGCTTGTTTGTGGTCGACTCCATCGGGAACTTTGATGCAGTACTTCTCCGGCTGAATGACGAGCGTTGCCTCGGCGTCGTACTTAGTCAGCACAGCGACGACCTCTCCTAGTTGGAATTCATTTGCGCCTTCTCCAGTCGCCGTGATCTTACCGACAAGGCAGTACCCTGGAGTCAGTGGGGCCTTCTTCATGAAGGGGTAGACGCCTTTGCGCATACTATATAGCCGCTGAAGTCAGTAATTACTCTTCCAGGTAAAAGTTCTGTGAGTACTGCATACTCCCGAGGCACACTATTGCTCCTAATAGGAAACTAACGCCTCCAGTAGTATTTAGAACAGGAAGAAAATGAATCCCAGCGATTACATACTTGATGTCGGCGCCTGAGAAGCCAGAGTATTCCGTTGCGATTTGCACATGTCCAGGGGGAGGAAGCTCGCATACATCGTCAACCACTTTAAGGACATCAACACCGCCAAATTCAGTGATAACAACTTTACGAATCGCAGACATATTGTGAATTAGGGTGAGATGTTTTGTTCTTGTCTCGAGAGTATGAAAGCGAGATTTTGCTTGGGATGTATTCAGATCGTGGTTGTATGGATTTTAGACGAGACTCAGGCATCGTGAAGTTAAGAGGATGCGCCTTTAATAGAAAATATGTGAGTTCAGTGTTTGTAAAGCAGCTTTACGACGTAATCCGGCTACCTCGTCGGTTTGTGATTGTATCCGCGTTCTTTGACGACGATCACCTAACATCCGTTTAATGACTGACGTCAGGCACGTCATAGCTGCTGTCCCCGCCCAATGCGTGCATACCAACAGGTTAGGATCATTCCCTGTGAGGTTTGTGATCGTTCATATATCAGAGCCAACCTCACGCTTTGCGGGGAATATTCTAAAAATATTACCTATATGATCGGTCTCAAGGTACTCTACACCGACTACTCCCATGATGGAGAGGCCAATACGGAATAGTAGATGAAAGTATCTTGTCGAACTACTTTGAAGCCTCAGGCGTAATATTAGAAGCCTACAATTCTCTCGGTGTACTGCAGCATTCATGGCGGCCGCCTGATACATATTTGTCACGCTACCGAGCGTCCCGAAGCGCACGAATGTGGCACAAAGCAAGCTCTTCTATACACATTACATGTCACACAAGCCCTACGGACACACTCTTTCATCCAACCCTCCATCAACGGCGCCTGATAATTGAGTCACACCAACTGTCTTAGAGCCTGGACTGGTACGAAATGGCCGGCAAGAAAGAGCCCGGCTGTGTGTAACAGCAGCTTCGTCGCCAATGAAACTGTAGGCATCGACTAACATTACACGAAGCTCGTGGATAATTAGAGTCTTGGAGATGAGGAATGACAGAGGGTGGTTAGAGAACCAGACGTCGATGGTCTGGGCTAACTTGCTGCTACTATGATCAGCTAAGATATCTGTGTTGGACTGTTCGGCATCTAAGTTGTTGGGATCGAACATTGACGCTGCATCATTCTTTTTGAGACCGTTGGGTTACATTAAATCGCCTGCTATGTGCGAGCAGCTTACTTTTACTTGACTGCTTATTTAAGTACTGGTTCACTGCTTGATAGTACGTAAGGTACAAGTACAAGCATTTCTGACATTCTCAAAACCTCTCAGATAGTGGATTGAAGATTAGGTGATATAAATCCACCTCTATACGAACTACCCTAATGGCAAGACCGTACATTACGAGTTGTTGTCCGAGTTTCTGACCTTTGAAAGAGAGTAGGCTTTACAACCATGACGCGTTGATATATTCAATTATAGTATACGAAGCCCAACTAAATGCATTTCGCCCGTTGTTTACTTAGTTATCAGTTGTATTCTATAGCCCCTAACCATAAAGTTTCTTATAAACATGAAAGAAAACTGAGGAGGTCAATGGTCTCGTTTGTGCAGCTTGGTTCAAACATCTCCTTTCAACCACGAAGAACCAATCCGCGCAAAATTCAAGTTGGTAATATCCTCGGCAGGCATGCCTGCTGCAAGCTCAATATTCTCGAGAATTTCAAGCTCCTAATGCTACGCCTGAGGTTTCGAAGTAGTTCGACAGGATACTTTCATCTATCGTTTAGTATTGGCCTCTCCACCATGTCAGTAGTCAGTATTTTTTGTATCTCAGCAAAAGCCTTATCAATCTCGCTGATTCTTACAGACGCAGCGAAATCCCACACGCCTTGTTAATGCATCCCAGCCCCTTTACACAATGTCCAGCGGGTTGTAGCAGCTGGTAGAATGCACGTTCTGCCCAAGAATAATTATATCTAATAAAAGTATACATGCCAAGTTCTTCTGAGCCATGGTGCATAATTTGATAGATTATTGTGCGAGCATTCATCAAGAGCCGTTCGCTAGGACTCATTACGTATATGACAAAGTTCTGTTCTGTCCCTAATGCTCGGAAAGGAGTATTCTCGAAGCACATAAACCGTGACAAGGATATCTACACCTGAGCTGCATAAATTATAACTTAATCATAACCTTTAATCGGCATCTTTTCACAAGAACGGTAAAGATCTTAGTCTCCACCCCTTAGATACGGGCAATAGTTTGGCTATTAAGCCAATGTGTTACATTTGAGGCGATGTATCCCATTCCTCTTTACATGAGACTGCTCCAAGACTTTGCCCACGCTGGAGCTGAAAAGGAAGTCTCTCCCTACGTAGCCCCGTGCTTCTTAAGACAAGCTTCGTTTCAGTCATTTGGCTTCAGGTGATCGAGGAATTCTTTGCTGTTAGTTCACCACTCACATATGTTTTGTCTTTTCAATCTAATTGTACATTTCACCATGTCTCATACTGAAGTGGGCTTTTGCAAAAGCTAAAAACGAAGTTCTGCTGACAAATCTATCTGGCTATGTGCTCTGTTCGAATATGTCTCCAAGGTCCAAATTGTGGGATGGTATCTGGGCGGCGCTGCAACCCAGCTGCGAGACTTAGTGAAGAGTTCCGAGCTCCTTGATATCAGCAACCCTTAGGTTATCATAAGCGAGGGCTGTAACACTGAAAATGCGAGAGTCTTTGGCACCTCTGTCAACCAATGCTTACCCGACGACTAAGCGAAGCAGCATGCTTCCGCACTGAACCCTCTGCAATAAGCCTTCGCCTCATTTGGCAACGCCACGCAGTTCAAATATCAAGAGTCAACCCAAAACGCGGATACTTCCAAGGCCGACCCATGGCCGCGATTTCGTCACAAGATCAGGACTTTCTTCATACAAAGACAAGCCTCTAGACGACGGCACTATCCGTGAGGTTATCACACGAATCGAGCAGCTAGATGATGTGTCGCAGATCTGGGCCGAATGGTACTCATAGAACATCTCGTCGGAAACAACGAGCTCCTCGTTTCCCTGGGCAGCGGAAGCTCAAGCGCACCTTGGGTTTCAGATCGACGGTTCAGAAGATCCTATCGTCCAACAAGGCTACGGTAAGTGGTTTGTCGACCTCGAGCAATTGCTGTGCCCAGCTGTCAGGTGAGTACCTAGAGTCCAATGCAGGTGTAGATGTGCGACCCGAAATAGCCCAGCGTCCTATACCGGCTGTGCGGATGATACGCTCTCGACCAACCCCATGATATCGTACTACGGAGATAATATCTGCAGGCTAATCTCCATTACAAGGCAATGGGGCCCGAAGGACTTCTTTTCAAATCCACTTTCAGTCCCACCGACTGTGCCTGAGGGGATCGACTGTACATACGTACAGCAAGTAGGTATGTAGGTTGCTTGATTCCGTGGGCAGCCGTTTCGTGTATATTTACAGTTAATCTCATGAAGTTATATATCCCATACATAACTCTTTAGATTGCTCGCATAGTATTGTCATATCGCAGCTGAGCCAGCTTAAGGCGATACCTATGTACCTAGGTAAGTAGTTATTTTACCCCTGGTGCTATATTAAAATATAGATAATTGGTTGAGATTAATCTAGCGGTTCTTGTCACCAACATCTTGGAAATTCATAATCTCCTTTTTCAATCCCAATAGTTATATTAATATATGTATGACTCCTTTGTGTACCACGATTTCTTCAGAATTATAGAGTATGTACATGTATTTGACGCTTGTCTCGTAGTTTACAGTATGTAATCAAAAAGGCACTGTATATACACACTGTAAGTTACCCCTCGATCTGGTACCTAGGTACCTCTCGCTACCTACATGGGTACCTACCCGCTACTTTACTACCTAGCCCGCAGTTAAGTAGAGAGCCCTTGCACCGAGACGTGACGCAAAGGGTCCAATTGGGGACCCCCTAGACTAGTGCTCCGTAACCCGAATTTTATCAAGGCATAATGGACAAGCCCGCCAATCTTTACACCGCCAAATCCCCATACTGACCCGGTACTTTACCGCATCGTAACAAGTCATAAGCCCTTTTGCATTTTACCCTTGATCAAGTTCGCATGGGTACAGTTCAATACGGTTATCAGAGTTATCAGAGTTATCAAAGCTACCAGAGCTACCAGACCTGTCAGAGCTATCGGAGACGGTATCAACGCGGCACACGGGGCTCGTAGAGTCCGTCATAGCACAATATGGCCTCTCTCTTAGAGCGAGGAGCGAACCTCAACCCACGAGTCCAGCTTGCAGCCACAGCCATTGCCTCTGGCGCTGTCGTTGCCACCACGATTCTAGGCTTCCAAAAACTGCAGAAAGTACGGCGCATCAGTCAGCTGAAGCGCTCTATAAACTCGTTGGCCGAGGACGGCGAAGGAAACGTGGGTTCATCCTCCGAATCCAATACCTACCTACCTACCTGCCTTCCTACCTGCCTGCCCTACCTACATCTCGAGTGCCCATGCAACGTAGCCACTAACTCGTGCAAGGTAGCTTGACAGCTTTGGCGGTGCATCCAGTGCCGATAAAGAAGATATTCGAGACGCCATACTCGCCCGTCGCGCCCAGGCCGGTGACTACGACGAAGAGCTCATCCTTGAACAACTTGCCCGAAACGCCGTCTTCCTCACCAACGAAGGCCTCGACAAACTACGTGATGCATTCGTGATAGTAGTTGGCTGTGGAGGTGTCGGATCCCATTGCACGGCTGCCCTCGCACGATCGGGTGTTTCACGTATCCGATTGATAGACTTCGACCAAGTGAGCTTGAGCTCTCTCAACAGACACGCCGTCGCTACGCTCGCCGATGTCGGCATTCCTAAGGTTCAATGCTTGCGGCGGCGCTTGCTAGCTATCGCGCCATGGGTACACTTTGATCTACGGCAAGAGAAATTTTGGGATGAGGCTGCAGAACGGCTGCTCGCCCCATGGGAGGAGACAGGCCAAAGGCCTGATTTCATAGTCGATGCCATCGACAATATCGACACCAAGGTCTCACTACTGAAATTTTGCCATGACAATAAGCTACCGGTCATCTCTGCTATGGGTGCTGGGTGCAAGAGCGATCCGACGCGCATCGTTGTCGGCGACATTGGGACAAGTACCGAGGATGGACTGTCGAGATCCACACGTAGGAGGTTGAAACTTATGGGTGTCACTAAGGGCATACCCACGGTCTACTCAACGGAGAAGACTGCCGAAGGAAAGGCAGAGTTGCTGCCTCTACCCGAAGAGGAATTTAAAAAGGGACAGGTCGGTGACCTGGGTGTTTTGCCTGATTTTAGAGTTAGGATATTACCTGTTCTAGGTACAATGCCTGCTGTCTTTGGATATACCGTTGCAAATCACGTTATACTCGCTATCACAGGTACCCATTACCCACTTCTATTTGTTGTCAGTCATTGAATACTAATATGAACAGGATATCCACACGACTATTTACCGGCCAAGGGCCGTGAAAAAATGTACGACGGCTTGCTCGCCTCAGTGCAGGGAGGTGAAGAAAAAATGTTGCGGCATCAAACTGGAGGCGATGCTAGCATATCAGTAGGGTTAAAGACGCCCATCACAACAGGAGACATAGCCTTCCTAGCAGAGGAAATCTACAAGGGTCGTAGTGTGATCACTGGACTCACAACTCGACTCGTCTTGACTCGGTGGCGAAAGCCCACTGAACCCATTTTGATCAAGATCGGGAAGGGCCACAACAAGCAAAAATCGTCGAATTTGAAGCTATATGACCTCGTTCTGATGACAAAGGAAGAGGGCTCGCGACATGACAAATTGATCCTTCGCGGCGATAAGCAGCCAGAGGATGTGTATGATCCCGAGGTAGTGGCAAAGGTCGAGGCAACACTCAAAGAGATAGCTCTCTATGAAAAATATAGGTAGGTAGATATACATGGACTACCTTTTCAAGTCGTTACAGTATGCGCGCGGGCGGGCCTTGACTTAACCCATTATTTATAAGCTCGTGATGGCTAAGCTATGATAAATGATCTGATGCATGTAACTCATATCACAATTTACTCTGTAACTTTCCCTCGCGTCTCAGTCCTTCCCACAGCGCCAGCGCCGTAAGGGCCTTGGCGTCTCGCAGACCTTCACGCCACAGATCGTGCATGGGCACGAGCTTCAAGGTGATCTTTTCGCCGTGATCTCTGAGCCCCGTCAACTTACCCGTCCACTCCTTCAGCGTGTCCCGCGGCACCCGTCTCTCATGCATGTAAATGCGGATGTATTCATCGCAGCCGCCCGCCGAGGGGTACATGGCAGACGGAAGCCCCTCTTCTTCCCCGTCCGCTGTCGATTTTCTATCGTTGTCCGCCGCCGCCGCTAGATCGCTGAGACAAACCAATTCCGACGCCGGGATCTCGATCCCTAGCTCCTCGTAGATCTCGCGCGCCGCTGTTCCTGCGAATTTGCCCTCGTCGCTGTCGTCTACCATGCCTGCCGGTAGCTCTGCGAACGCTAGACTGCCTGCTGGGATGCGCGGTTGGATCGTGAGGATCACGTAGCGCTCTTCTTCTGCGTTTTGGGCATCCTCCGGGATTAAGATTACGAGCATCCCCACGCTGGGTCCTCGGAGGAACACTGCGCCGGGAAGCGATTCGCCGGCGGAGTTGGTCACGTGGGCTTGTATCTTGAGAAACCCCACGTGTTTCCCGCCGAACAGGTCGTAGCTTTGCACGGCTATGGACCGCAGTGCGTAGGGGTCCTTGTGAAAGGGGTGTTTGGGATTGCTGTGTTGCAGAGAGAGTGAGTTTGATAAGGTCTTGAGCCAGGACTGTGGTGCTGGTCAGCTTACTGGCGGGGTACGAGGGCAACGGAGAACTTGACTTACATTGAAGGGCGAGAATGAGAGGAGCTGCTCTTCTGTGAAGCCCTCTGGGAGTGAGACGCTTATTGCCGGTGATTTGAGTGTGACGCTCGTCATTGTTCTTGTGGCTGGTCTAACGTTGATGAGGTGAGGTATCCAGCGTGGGATGAAGGGGACTAGGAGGGTACCGGACCGAGTTTGGCTGCTGACAAGACTGCGACTACTCTGAGATACAGTTGATGTACACAGTTTATGTTTCGCAAATATGAGCGGGCGCATAGCTTCTCGTGCACTCAAACTTTTGCCAAATCGACATGCTCACTTACAAGTTGATGCTCGTTTGCTATGACGTATCGTTTAGAGTATACGTATGATTGAGGCGGCTAATCTCCGGTAAACCATATGCGACTTGATCGAGTTGTATTCTCACTATTCTCGTCTTGCTCTTGTTACGTCTCGCTCGTTCGCGGCCGAATGACGACCGCTGAGTGATGTTTCATAAGTTCAGTACGCGGTTTCCTCCGTCTCCGAACCGGTAAACAAAATTTATACAAGAAATATCGGTGCATCGTTCCACTGATTGGCGCCCCTCGCATCTCCTCTCATCATACCGTGGACATAAGCATCTCCCACAACACGGTGACAGTGTCGATGCGTGACGTAGCATTGGAATCTTTCCACACCTTCCGCCTTGGCCCCTTTCCCAGCTTTATATGAGGCCCGTTCACTGAACAGAACATCTATATCGTGACCGGAACACCGCCTCGGGCGGCCATCCTCGCGAAGAATGAAAGGCACCTGACTGCCCAGCAGCACTGCCACCGAATCCCCTACTTTCATATCAGGTGGGCCTGTCCCTATGTAGCCGCTTCGCGTTCTGAAGAACCGCCTCCCTCCGGAGGCGCATTCCAGCAAATACTGAAATGCGTTCTTGCTTTGTGTCTCCATCTCACTGTTCGTTGGCTCAACCCATATGCCCCCGATCAAAGATGTCCGCCTGCGGGAACTTTCGTCGACCGTAAGCCAATGTTCGAAAGCTTCGTTTCTGACCATCTGCCCCGGAAGCCTGCGGAATTCTCGCACGTACTCTGACCTGTCAGCATACTGTACGAATTCCAGATCCGAGCAAAGTGTACGCCAAAACGCAGCATATAAGGATCCGCCCGCGATATAACCGCCCGATACAATCCCCGTTAACGTCGGCAGAGCTTTCTGCCATTCAAGGACAGTAAGCCGGGTTCTGTTTCTCCCTTGGTTGTTCTGAAGTACCCGTCCAACGTGATCAACTTTATCTAGTAGATATCCCTGAACTTCTAGGATCGATTGTCCATGGAGCGCAACACTGCCGCAAAGGTAATCGGCTGCGCTGTACAGCTGAATGTTACCAAGTCTGATATGTTCGTTAATAGAGGGGGAGCAGTTCCAGTCTGTAACCCATGAAGGCATCTCGGATCGGCCATCACTCCCTAGAGTACCTGCTAGGGGTGCCAGCGATCGCGTGTTCTTTATTAGTAGCCACGTAGTCCTGAAAAATATCTGGTAGTCTCGAAGGGCGTAATCCGGAGTGATTCCCACCGTCGCTTGACCAGACTTCTCAAGACCCCATCGCCTGATCAGCCCCAAGACTGCGAAGACCTTATCTCTAGGGTCGGTAGCCAATCGAGAACGGAATTTTCTAAGCACCGTAAGTGGAACCAAAGGCTCAAACTTCTGCCAAGTGCGACGCGTCGATTCAATTTCCATGATGACGCGGGTAAATTGCATTAGGCTTTGTCCACTTTTAAGTAGCGAGAAGAGGCCATCTACGTTATCCTTGACCCGGCTTGTGTCGTATTCGACGGCCGCCAGGGCAAACATTCGCCATGGCGCACACATCTGCCACGTCAACATGTGTTAGTCCAATTCCTTACTAAGTCCTTTCTAGAGATACACAGATTATGGCAGTTACGTTTCTAGACCAAAGGCATACATACTGCGGCAACAGTTAGCTCCGGAAGACAATAGATCTTTCTATCAACACCAGGTTTCAGAATTGGCACAGAGGCTTTTGATGCTTACCATTGCCATAGTAAACCATCGGGCTCTTAGCCACGACCGTTTCCTGTACCACCCATATCCTCCGCCACTGGAGGTACGTATTCAGTTAACTAAAGACCACAATGGCTGCGGGGGTTAAACTTACCCATGCCTTCTTCATGATCGCATTGAGCCCATTTATGATGCTCGTCGAATAGCTCACGTGTCGCAAATGCCAGATTTTGTCGACTGGGACCCCGCTCGCGAGAAGCTGGAAGACACAGAATGTGCCAAAGATATCGCACCTATTGTCATCGAACCTCAATGCCCTATCTTCCGAAGTCGCAGAAAAGTATGCCTTCAATTTTGGAATATCATCTTTATTGCCGAACCACTGCACGACATTTGGATTGTCGTGCGTGCCGCGCACATCATCACCCACGGTGCCAACATTCTCCCAGATCCAGTCACCCATGTCATCGTCGGGCCCGCTTTCACCAAGCCAGATCAGAACCTCACTGCTAAATTGGTATATGTCCCGCATCATGCCCACTTGATAGGCGCGTTCAGCATCATCTTGCTGGTTGATGCATACAGCATCGACCCAGAGGCTGACCACCTCGTCGGGCTGCCTGAATCGCCGCAGAGCAGCATGAAGGTTTGCACTTATGTAGATAGGCTTCGAGTTGCAGTATATAGCCTCATCTGGAGCGACGTCTTCGTTCTTCCATGCGTAAGACAGTGCTTTGTAGGACAGGGAAGGAGAGAGCTTTCTCTCGACAAGCTGACAGTGTATGGGCAGCACGGAGAAGTCCGCTGGCAAGAGCTCGAGGAGACGGACCGTCTTGACTCCAGGGTCTAGCTGTGGGTAAAGATAACAACTCAATTGTGAACTTAATCGAGGCGGCATCGCGAGAAGAACGCGATGAGTAGAACTCGAAGTTCACGATCAATTGAACGTGGCGTCGACAGTGAGACGCTCTCAAGGGTATATATACATACAAGCATCAACTGTCCGAGAGTAGATATTGAAGCTCAACCTAATGTAGTTTAGCTTGAATCCTTGGCTGGCTACCTTACCACAATACAATGCTACATCATATCATCAGACTGTTTCATTAGTGTTAGCATTCGCAGGACCATAGCTATAACCCCAGAATAACGATTAGCTACCATACTACACCTAAATATAAGTGGTTTGAATGGGTCAAGCAGTCTCTATATTTGTACGGACGGTGAGGGACGACTTTGGGGGCCAAATTTCTGACAACCAAGGCTGGCCCAGAGCTTCGCGAAGGCCATCACCACCTTCGATTCAGCTATTAATGCCACCACCAAGTTATCCTCACTTTCAAAATCTTTGACTCTTCCATCTTCTTAGGCAGGATATATGACGTAAGTGTATTGTTTGGCAGGTGCGAGGACAGTACCCCTCACGGCGCTACAATGACAGTCGTCTCCGATAGTTCCTATTGTCTTGTTACACTATTACAATGTCTATCTTCCGACTTTTATCTCAACCGGAATCCTCATAGTGTATCATTCCTCACCATCATTTGAGTCATCCCCACTATATCAGCGGCGACTTACCCCATCATAACGACACTTCCGTTGTATATCAACGCCATATCAAGGCAGTTGAGATGGCGGAAAGAAAAGGAGCTTTCATGTTCGTCGGGCACTTCATAAGCGACCTCAACGTGATGGTTGGAATGTTGGTAATCGGGATGGTCCTAGGGGGTTTTGTTACCTGGAGCGTCCTCACTAGCTTCCCCGAATTCAAACGCCCTGTGCAATTCTTGTTTTGCAATACCGGAGCTCAAGGTGTTCAAAGAGGCTAGGCTTGTCAGTCTACACGCAAAATCTGGCTGGGTCCAAGCTGTTGAAACGATCTTCGAGATCTACATGAGAAAAAATATATATTTCTGCAGCAATACGACTTGTCGATCCACACTCTGCTTCCCTTAAAGTCAACCCTTTTCTATCTCGGATTTCGACTTGTCGGTCTAATAATCAACCAGGAGCACTTAGCCCTCAGCTATCAGCCATTCCGCCAGCATGGAGGCATCACTTAGCCTCTATAAAGTATTGCTATTGCCGCAACCGGTCTTGAAAGGGGGCCAGCTAGTGTTTGGCGAGGTTGTCATACGTTGTATTATAGCAGATGTCGAGTTAGCGCCGTCAATACCTATATTTTCACCCCCAGATTGAAAAATAACTTTATTTAAACGACAAGTATTAGGACTATATACAAAAGAAGTGAGAATCATGAGACGTAAATGCAAAAACGTTGTTGTACCCTCCGATTCCTCCACGGGGCTGCAATGAATTACATCCAATACCATCGCGGAGAATCAATATTATAGCTATTATGAATTAATCAATACTCACGAATTGATCCACTATCTTAATTAAATATTCCAAGAAAATACCCATAGAATCATGCCAATATCTCAGTTTCGTGTTTTTGGTGGCACGACAGTCTCGCCAAGCGGCAGCCCTATTTCATTGGTATGACAGGGAGAGTCACGTAATTCATTGTTGTAGGTCCAAAGCATATGTGGTTTACACCTTGGAATATTTCAGGAGCCCTAAGTATTATTGAACCGTCAGCTCATTGTTTTCAGGTGTTTGTTACCCTGGATACCGAAACGCACCTATCCACGGGATCGTCATGTCTGAAAATTCCTGATCCCTGCGTATCACCAGATGCAACTTCAAACACCAGTCTTCCTCCCTTTTCAATTATGACGTTCGTTGGCCAGATCTCGATGTCTATGGGATATATCTCCCCTTGTATCACAGACAGCACATCACGACTTGTGTAATTGCGGTGTGGAAGCCACTCGCGATGCTTAGGGCTCTCTTTGTCGACCTTGCGGAACGAGGCCCTGAGCCAGCCCTTAGTTAAAGGCACGGGGTCTCCAGCGGTGCCAGTGTAGAATATTTCTGTCCCGTCTGGTCCGATGTGCCGCAGGGTCACGAAAAGGTCGATATCAGTCGGGCACGGTCCATCGCGATCTAATGATAAGCCTCGAGTAAGTAGCTGTGATCCGGAAGAACCCGCGAGAACGCTCAGAGATGCCGAAGGAGGCATATTAAGGACTTCTTTTGGGCAACCTGAGCTCTCGTAACGCGTCAGATGAAGGATATGGGGCTCTAGTATACTCACCTGGGCTTACAGAGACATTAATATGGGCAGTGATGTAGCCCGTAATCTCTGTCTCTTCAGAAAAGGGCTCAGTGATAAATTGGACAAACTCGGGCTTCTCTAATGTACCCAGAGCGCGGTACGATATCTTGGTCTTTGCGTATGCCGTGGGCGGTTCCTCGAGGGTTAGGCCCAGGGATGGCGTAAGGAAGAATCTCTTATACACCGTCCGTGCGATTGGCCATTCATTTTCCTCCCGCCTCGGATAATTCTTTTCTTTTTCGGCATCATTGAATCCGACATTACCTTTTCGCAAGACTAGACTTACGGGCGCGACCTTGCCTTCTTGAGACCAACCAACTCTATCCTCTCCTTTTAGGAAAGCGTCTAGGAAACTCCGCTGAACCTCGACCTCTTCTTCATAATAAAACGGAAGATCATGTCTGCCGGTAATCATGCGGAGATATTTAAACTTGGAGCCCGCATGTACGTAGCCCTCTAAATTACCTCTCAGATGTAGCAAAATACCTCCCCAGTTTCCCACAGAGAGCAGGGGCACCTGGATATCACCCATATCATACTCCTTCGAGGCATAATACGGCTCATCGCGGTAGTGATTCTTCTGATTGTCAATGGTCTGGTCTCGCCGAGAAGCCTGGAGCTCATCGTCTGTTAGGTCACCCTCGATTGTATCAGGTCCCCAGTTACTCGCTTTTCTGTCAGGTTTTCCATATTGATTAGTGATGACCTGCCGATCCCACCAAAACTTTATGAACGCATTCGAGAGTATACCGCCATGGCGGCACCTATCTCGGAAGTAGTCGGACATGCCCTCCCAAGGGATAATGGCAGACAAGCCCTTAGGTCTCCGCGCGGCCACGCGCCATTGGCTCCCGGCATAGTAACTGATTCCTAGCAAGCCTACTTTTCCATTCGACCAGGGCTGGTTCGAAGCCCACTCGATGACATCGCAGAAGGCCTCGCTTGTTCCCCGCGACATCGTGTCGAGAACACCTGGGGATTGCCCTGATCCCCGCTCATCTGCGCGAACGACGGCATAGCCATGACTAGTCCAGAAAGCCGGGTCTGGCGTTTCCCAAGCTGAATGTGGAGATTTATGCTGGGGGTTAACCTCAGAAAACGACTTAGGATGAAAACTGTGATCGGTCAGATTGAATTAAGGAGAGGCACTCGCCCATACTTACTCTTGATAGTGGATGTCTTTACCGTAAGGTCCATATGTGACTAGGGCTGGGACAGATCCGGAGCTTTTCGGGCGATAAACGTTACAGCGGATCAAACCATTATCAAGTTTGAGCGTCACGGTCACGTTCTGTTCGAAGATATAAGGGTATGATGTATCATCGACAACAAGGAGGTCTCGAATAGCGTTAGGCATTTCTTATCGATATACGCCTAGAGCGAGATAGTCGACGACTAGTACTTGAAATATAAATGTATTTCTATGTCGTCGTTTATTAGTATTTAGTCTAATTTAGAGATGTACGAAGTAGATAGTATTGATGGGTTTGGGGGCGAAGACCGGACAACCCCAACTCACAGGGCCGAGAGGTCGCGGGGCCGGAATAGCTCATGCGCTTGTATGCAGCCTTTTATGCAACCCGAATTTCCAACATGCAGCTGACTGCATGGCGCATTGATCCTAGTCGTGAATTGATTCGGATCTGAACGGGTCACGATCCTAGGGCTAAGACTTGTTATGTACAGTCCTCGCCCTTCAGGCAAAGCCTAAAATAATATATAAGTCTCTTAGATATAATGCAATATCTCTCAAGGTGCTTCATCAACTACTTCAATAACCAATACTCAAATCCGATTAATAAATATTAGTTAATATATAAAGGTCTTAGGTACATAATTGCGTAATATATCTGCATATGCAGCAATACCTTTTCCTTTGATAATATTAGCTACTTCTATCACACGAATATGCTGTATAAATAGTCGATAGATAGTATATAAATGTAACAATTGAAACAATATAGTAAGCCAATTGAAATAAATCTATAACACAGAATCTCGGACCCCTTATTTCCACCCTCATATTCGAAACGCACTCACCAATTTCTTCTGAGAAGCCCCTTTCTAGTCGCCAGTTGCTTTGAATTCATAGACTCTACACCAGCCTGGATAGATCCCCTGGCGCCTCCCTTGTTGCATTGGCGCCAACTATCCGTAAACGGCTTTTTACAATATGCGTCTCGAGTGTTTCCTTCGAGTTGCCTCCCCAACGGAAGACCCGCATCGACCTTAGATAGTCAAGTACGCCGTTGTCTTTCCAGTAAATGCCCAACTGTACCGGCTGCCCGTTGACGTCGTTACGAATAGCAATATTGGTCGATGGGTCACCACGCTTGATCTTAGCGTCGTCTAGCCCGGTGCAGACGCCAATTGTAATCTGGTCTAGTTGGTATCCGTGGATGTCACCGTGCGACCCGAATTCATCGGCATCGTAGCACTGCCGCTCCTGTAATTCGAGCAGAGTGGTTTCGACAATACTGTAATCGAAAATGCTACACCCAACATCAAGGGAGCCATGGCTCTGCATGAGCTTGTCCTTGGCTGTTGGTTGATTTTAATTAGCTGAACTTCGATCCGCGCTCTGAGGTGTGATTGATACTTACCTTCAGCGGAAATCACAACCTTGGAGGCTGCACCCACCTGAGTGATTGGGCAACAACCTCTGTGCAAACTCCTCATCTGCATGCTTGAGTTGCCACGTAGTCGTGAGGACGGAAGCTATATACCCCAAGAAGAGCTGCATGAGTCCTTGGCCAACCAACTCCTTCTCGGCTGTTTGGTGGTCTGACAGCCCAGACCGCCTGGGTCTCTGGGGTCTGTTTCAAGAAGCGAAGTATGTACAACCTCACTTTCCAATATTGCCTGCATGTCTCTAAAATATCATGAACAGCCTGCAATGGCCTTTCGTATGGCCGAAGTGCAAGGCGAACTACATATTCAGCTAGTACAGCCTGTGCAGCTTGTACGCGTGTAACAGTGATAGAGCGAAAGGCATACTGAAGAAAACTAGCTATATATGAATGCATTGGAGTAGGAAACGATGAGAAAATGATGAAAGTATTCACAAATTATGGCCCTCCAGTTCGTGATTATCAAGTAGAACCGTATGCCTCACTGTGAAGAATGGTAGGGCTTAGGAGGATTATATACTAATCAACATTGTGTCCACCCACCGTAGAGAATCCGAATTTAACGAGCATTCGCGCTTTCATGCAGACAAATTTAGACTCTGAGAACTACATGTTTGACAGACTAACTAACAAGCAATGACCAGAAAAAAAGGTTAAGAATAATAGTCAAGAAAAGTGTTGGTTCGGTATTGGAAGAACAAAAATATCGAGGCTGAGTTGTGGCACGAAGTCAGTCATGTAAGAAAGTATAGTTGCGTTTGTAGTACAATGGCGAGACGACTTACCCGGCTTTTCTTGTTCCAGAGCCCCTGACAATTAACCATTCAAGTCTGTTGGCATATATAGCAATACTACTAGGTATTTGAGTACCCGGTGCATCGATTTTTACTCACAAAGTCCATTCTAGCAAGAGGTAGTGATGTTGGTTCTGACGTAGTGTGGCTGGGGCGGCGTGGACGTCTCGGCAGAACCTCGACGTTCATCTTCTTATGTATATACACATAAAACTTCCTCCCCGGCTACGAAAGGGACGTTCCAGTAACCAATATGCACCCGCAAAGAGAGAGCAGGCTGCTATCCGCGCCTGTGGAGATTCGACGCGCTATTTATGCCATGATCATACCCCGTGAAATACACGCTTTTCTCTCGCGGGGTAGACTTCGCTTATCAGTGTGCCTCGAACCCAATTTAGGAGATGACAGCCACGATGGCCGTGAGCGGCGATCAGGAACCGACCACGAAGGCATCAGTAAGTGGGCTAGGCGCTTGCGATCATCATGGGGACCGCATTGGGAATGCGAAGAAACCTCCCACGCGCGTTATCAATCTAATATCCACGGTTTTCTTTTTCTGTGCAAACAAGTGTAAGTCCTCCATCGCTCCCATACTCGTTCGTTGGCTATAATTTCTCACGCTCGAAGGTTCTTCGAGGTCTCCGACATAATGACGGAAATAGCGGCCATCAACGTCACTGATCTCGAGACCTTAAGCATCTTATTAGGGCGTGATCAGTCAAAGGATGTATTCAATTATTCATGGATATTATGGGAACATATATGTTTTACTAATATTCGCAAGCTCAATCTTACTTTTCGACTTCCAGTGGCTTCCTACAGAGAGTTGGAAGACGAGGATACGGTGCCAAGACAAATGAGCACTGAGTCGACAGTGAGAGCCCTATGGGCATCGTCTTGGCCAGATCTTTTAATATCTCGAGAACTTCGCAGTCTACACATCTGGTTGGATCATGATAATTCTTCGTCATGGTCGACTGTGAAAGAGCGCATGGTATTACGGACTCTCTCCGCTGCGCTCACAGCTCATAAACAGGCGCCATCTCAAACAGAAACCCCACAAGCGCCAGATGTTGTGGTCAGCCTCCCCAAGTTGCACCCGGGTATGGCTGCACCGGGTTCTCATTTTACCCAGGATAGTCTGTCCTTACCATTCACCATACAGCGACGATACCGTCAACGATGGCATTGTAAAGAGACAAGCAATGGTGATCTGGACATACAATATCGACCTGATTTTCCTATAATGGAAGAGCTCCGTCACCTTGAGCCAGACCGCGAGTGGACGTTGCAGGGCATCGAGGAGCTTGAAATAACGTTATTGGAGAGTGGCGAGGATGTTGAGGCAGTGTTTGGTGAGCTACTCAACAGTCCCAGTATTTGCTATTGAGATTCGCGTATGCTTGGTAAGATTCATATCGAAGACAGCACAGGACGAGCTGACCCAATGAAGCGCGTGTGAGGCCGCGAAATGACATCTGGCTTCGCCACCAATTGGCTCGGATGTACCGTAGTTTGGCACGCATGAAGACACACTACAACCCACTGGTAATATGAGATTATCAACCAAGATCCCCATCGCAAAGTTATGTCTCGTGGAAGCTCTCAGTGGTCGAAGTGGTAAATAATCTAACCTACGCAGCGAGTGACGAATACCAGTATCCCATCAGTACGGTTGATTATTTGGCAAGTCTGCGTGTCTCAGGTGACCGTGTGATGCACTAAGGTGGCGGGTGTGCTGGGATTTCATTGATGGCTGATGGTTCATACCTAGCATGTTCCTTGCACGGGATATTGATGAGATCATGCTGGTAAATACATCGTTTGGGCGACGTAAGGTAACGTTTCGATAGCAAGGACCGTCAGTCCCCAAATAGTCGCAGTGGATCATCGCCTGTCCAGAAAAGAATACAGGAAGTTCATTGCACAGGGCTTGAACTGGGTAGGGGAATATTCACAATATGACGGCATGCTCACACTTATATGATTTATATAATCGCGTGTAGGGAAGATTCTGCTCTTCCTAGATTTATACATCTGCCAAGCACTCGGTAAACTTGCATGCAGAATTTTGTGGATAAGCTGCCCTGGTGGGCGGAGAGTTCGCGTAGGAAAACTTGTCATGGAATACATTCCTACCTGCACCTGGCTCCCAACAGAGGCAGGAAAGTTCCTTTGCGATTTTGCGGAATCAGGTCCCTCTAACTCATTCACTCTTGGAAATGAGTCGCCACTCCACCATCCCGGTCAAGCATGCGACTCCCCTGTGAAAAACTCACGTGATGAGTGAAATGGGTGTGAGATAACTTTCACACCAGATATTCGTGTTCCGCTACCATGTTGATAGGATCTGAAGTCAATGTGGGATCTCAACGAGAGCCCTGTGTAAAAGCCAAGCGATCATAACTCGTGCATGATCTCGGAAATACAGTACCATATGACCCAAAATCGGGACTATTTTGTGATACAGTGCGCAACGGGAAGTAAAAGGAAAGAAACGGCTGTGAAGACTACCTAGATATCGTCCGTCGCCAATAAGTTCAGTGTGTATGCAAGGCCTTACTTGTGACGAACTCGTGAGATAGATAATAGTATTTAGCGCTCCCAACTATTCTACTATGCATGTAACCTGCACGCTTTGACGCTCGATTCTCATCCTTGTCAAACCCCCGGATCCTACATGAACAGAGTGGAAAAACAGCAGAACGACCTACCTACTTACACTACAAATGTGTTGCCGTTGGTGGTAATATAGGCCAGGAAACGTGGTATAGTTCTCAACAAACACCGTAAAAGTTTCTTGCGAAATGTCATATCGAAGAAATACTACAGAGAGGAGAGAGGTCAACAAGTTTTGATACACTAGGTCTCGTCCTTGAATAAAAGTGCAAGGAACAGTATCAGTATTATTTATGATTTAGTATAGTAACACAGACTACATGTTTATGTTGAGCGTTTTCAGCTCGTTAATATTATGTGGCATGTTTACCCGAGGGCGAGTCCTTTAATATGACGAATAGAGTCGGAATGAAGAGAAGCCCGCGTTCTTGATTGGTGAGCTCTTCAGGTATATAATTAGGTTGTACCATCTATATATTCGGACGACTGCATGAAGGGGCTTGAGGTAATTTAGATGAAGCTTCGAATTCTTTCTTCTTGGCAACGGTACCTCACAACCAGTGCTCAATATGATGTTACAGAAATAGTAATAGTGTTTTGACGTTCACATAGCTGGTAAATTAGATGACAACAGCCTCCTCCCAACGACACGACGGGCGTGGGATACACGTGTAGCTAACACGCGAAGGGGCTAGGCCGTGGATGGTGTCTTACCTAGTGTCGCAGTAGTAGCGTACAGCACCAGCGAGGCGAGAAGGCGGGGGGCCACGCTAAGATTACATGAACGCACCTAGACGTCGGAGGCAAGATGGCGCTTTGGCGGTCTAACATTACTTGCGCAAGTCTGTCCGCCTCGGAGGTTCTGGAGCGCACTAGCTGGGAACGAGCACGGCGGTCTCGAATCGATGATGGGATTTTGCGGCGTGGTGTCGCAAGACCGCGTCGCGCGGAAGCGAAAAGAGAGCGAGGCACAGAGAGGCACAGCAAAACGGAGATGGGAAGAAAAAGAGGCCGAGCATGCGACAGTGTAGGTCATGATGCCTATACTTGGGTAAGAAAGTTACTTCGAGTCGTGCTTTACTTACAGTAGTTATGGCCCAATATCTGTGTACATGTAATGTGATTGTCTTACAATGCCTACTTACCTACCTACTACTATACCTATGTATACGGAGTATACCTATTTACATAGTAAGTACTGCTTGTCTTGCCAGAGCTACGTATTCTGAGATATTCTGAGAACTTGTCTTGCGGGCCAATAGAGAAACGTTCAGTTATCCGTCCACATGGCACGCTAGATGGACGGCAGCTGAAAATTTTAGCCTTCTTTCTATGGTGAGTAGTTAGGTAAGTAGCTACCTAGTGCGCGCAGGTTTTACATGTAGGTACATAGTAAGTATGTGGACTAGATTTAGTCTACACTTGTCCGGCGAGACGGGCGAAGAGAGGATCAAGAGAGTCTTTCAAAGGGAGAGACAGCAGAGATGTCGGAGAGAAGGGCCGCACAGTAGAGGAGCTCTGCTGTGCTCTGGTTGAGGTGAGAAGAAGAGAGAAGAAGAAAAGAGATGAAGAGAAGGAGAGAGCAAGGGTCTTTTCGGGGTCGAAGGCGCTAGTGTTTGAGATGACAGGCACGGGCCGTTGATTGGATTAAAATTCCCATCACACTCGAGTCACAACCCCTGCTGAGATCATCTGGATAAGCCCCTGGCCGTTTACCAGGATACAACAGACTACCTACACCATCTACTATGTACAGACTATGTACAGGCTATGTACAGACTATGTACAGACTATGTACACTACAACTGGTGGACTTTTGTGGCTTGGCCCGCCTCTGCCCGTTGGTACCTAACCTATCTGCGGTCTGCTGTGGGTATCTTCCACTTAAGTACAGGGCAGATACACCTGCAGTACTCTGGGTAGGTAGTAAATGTACAGCAGTGTAGGCGCCTGTACGTGATGAGTAGCGTACCTGCCATAGCAGAGATATGGTACCCTACTGTAGGGGCCTAACGGTATTACGGGCAGAAAAGGTGTAGGTAAGTCAGCACCAATTTTGCCCAGCAACAGCTTCTTTACGTCTTTTTTTTGGTCTTCTCTGCAGGTGAATTCATCATACCACGTGAACACCTACCTACCTACCACCACCACCATACCACCTACCGGTACTACACGTACTGGACGATACCTACCTACATATGTACCTATACCAACCTCTCTACAAGTGTATAGCGAATAGGTACTATGAGTTTGTAGGTACCTATCTACTTACGAAGTACATAGGTACTGTAGGTATGGAGGCATTCTAGCCACGTTTTGATGGTATGGAGGCAGTAGCAAGTGGTATCCGTGCTACATGTCCAACTTTGATTCGGGTCGTACATCTCAATCTTAAAAGAGCTTCGTCTACCTATGTGCAAATGCAAACGCTGAATTGTACTCCATTAGGTAGCTATTCTCAACCCGGTAGGTCATGGCCGGTCATGTCTACCTGTTGTATATTGACGGGTGCATCCTGTTTCCAGGTTCATGCCCCCCAGGCTAGTGTACAGTAATTCATTAACCGTGACCGACCTTGAGCGAATAATTGGACGGCTGGATATGTCAGGGGTGGACGACTTGGGTCCCTCCCGACCCTCACAATCAAACTGACCAACGAACGCCAAGCATGGGTATACAATGTACGACAAATCATGGACACTTCAGCAAACATCGTCTCATCTATTACCTACCTAGGTATTCTTCTCCCTCTCTGTCTCTCTGTCTCTCGCTCTCTCTTTAAGTACGTGTAAGTAGGTATATGCTGGTGCGTATAGCCAGTAGTGCTAAGTAGTTAGATGGGAGAGATCTATTCCTGCTCTTGGCCTGCGGTTAGCTGCGAATAAGTGCTCCTTCCAACGAGACTCGGCTTCGATAGACCCCGCCTCGCCGGGTTTACTGCTGGATCCTACGATCGAATCTCGCCCCCTGTCTCGAGCTGGTCCACTGTCTGGTGTTGGCCTGACTGATTTACCCAACTCTGGTTCTCAGTCAGAGATCTTGTTGCTGTTCTTCTTCGACTTGGTCATCCGCTGCTGCGTTTGTTGCACTTGCGACCATACCTACCTACCTACCGACCCTTCACTACTCGTTCTATTTCACTTCCATTTAACCCTTGTTGTTTCCCATTTGCTAGTCCGACTTGTCTCGACGACATTTATCCGCGATTGCCTGCTTTCGCCCTGGCTCTCTCTTTCTCCATCTTCGTCGCCTTTGTTTTCTGAGAAAGCAGTAAGCCCTCGCTCCGGAGACCTCTCACTTGACAACGACGACAAAAAAAGCAGCAGTATCTTTGGCAGCATTGAGCCCTACGATAGGGTGGCTCGCTCGGCTGTCAACGTGATCATCGGCTCGAATTCGATTCCATTTGACAGTCACATATTGCCTGAAGTACTCTGTGACGTCCCCGTTCAGTGGTCCGGCTTTTATCCTAGCCCCGTCCACACTTGAAACGTGAGAGGTGCCCAAGTAACACTGCCGCCCCTCTCCGTCTCTTCCATTTGGATATTGGTGAATTGTACGACCATTGAAAGTCTGACGTTGCCTGTTGACTACGGACGCTCAGTTCGTCCATTTGTTTCTCAGCCTTTTTATTCATCAAGGTGCTAGGGACACCTCAACAAATCGTTGATTTTCTTATGCGACAACAGGCACATCATAACAACTACTAGCTGACGCTGTCTTTCAACATTATCCACTGCCGGATTGGGTTTGCGCGAAACAACCGACTGCCGCTGACTCCTAGGAGAGGATACTGTGTCGGACGTGTCAGAGCATTTCCAGCTAGTGTAAGTACCTCGTTGTCTTTTTCTCCTCACATCCTAGTCCCCTTTCGCGATTATCCTGTTTCGGCCCGCTTCGTCATCACCATGGTGTGGTCAAGAAACCTACCTTACACTACCCGAGAATAAGGGGTATCTTGTACATGAGCCGGGGTGCTCGTCTGTAGTTGGGTGTCAGAGTCGTATTCTGTCTGTATCTGCATCTGTATCCTGCAGTTCAAGGTGCACCTTGTATCGTACCATCATTCATGTCTTGGGATCGCCCATTAGACTGAGTTCCCTCTTCGACTTCAATTCTACCCGCACGTGTGTGTTCGTTCATGCCATCGCACCTTCAACCGAAATTCTATTCCTTTCTTGCACTGTTTGAAATCAACTAATAGTCCCTAGTCTGCTGTGCTGCTCGGGACAAAATTATTTTGTTCATATACTATACACCAATTTCTATGTTTTCCATTCAAACTCAGTCGTCACACTTTTGATAATCAGACTCGCCGATGAAATTGTTCGTGGGATTGCAACATTGTGTTTAGGATATAGGTTCAAGGCGACACATTCCACGGCTGAAGTCCGACTGTACAACATTTTCCCGACGATTTTTCTGTTTCGTTTGTTTCGTCGTCAGCGCGAACCCTGCCTTGTGTCCCTGCCCTCGGATCTTGCTTTGGACGACCTTGAGCGACCTACCCGTATGGTCGTCTATTTGGCCGCCGGTATCTCCAGAGCTTAGATTTGGATGTGAGTTAGAATAGACGTATGCACCTGACAAGTGCACTCGACATTTGAGGAGAGCGGGATAAGTCTGGTATTACGGGGGATGTTAAAAATTCGACCTGGACAACAGAGGTTCCTGAGACGCGGCTTCAATGAGTGGACCTGAAAATGCGAGAGGCATGGATGAATATCCGAGAGTGGGAGGCTCGGTCAAGCGAGCGAGAGAACAACTACAAGATGGCTTGCCTAGGACGGAACCTTCGACGATGCAAGACTCCTCGAGCGGGACCAGAAGGTTGCAGGCTCCCGCCGGGCGACAGGTGAAGGATGGGACGATCGGTATGGCAATTTCGAGACCGATACCTGTTCCTCAGTGGCCACTGGCAGGCCCTGTAGCTCCTCCTGCCTCTAAGGACTCTAAACCTTATAGGCCTCCTCCCGGACGATCACAGCCGCCCCAACGACCTCCTCGACCGAGTAGAGTACCTTCGATTCTGGACGCTTCCCGCGTCCAAGATCCAACGCCTACTTTCCAATATATGCCTCAGAGTTCAGGGAACGTAGAACCCTTAAGTCCGGTAACACCAGTTACTCAGTCATCGAGACCCTCAACCTTTTCATCTGTTGGATCGATACCCGACTTTCCTTTGCCTGTGGCAGTGCCTAATGCCGTTCCAAGGCGCAGCGTAAACCTTGGTCCTCCACCATCTTCACGAAGGGGCGCTTCATCGTTCTATTCGACTGCATCATTTGTTTCTCCTATTCCGGAAGAGAGTCCCCGGATAAAGTCGCATACCTCGTACGCGTCTAGTACCGCCATTCCAGAGAGTTTCGGGAGCCTATCACCAAATAGTCAAAATGATGCATACTTTGACGAGGCAATAGCAGAAGAGTCAATCACAAGTGAGGAAGCGGATGTGGATGCGGATGACAGCCGCCTAGTTAGAAGTGCAAGCATCGGCAAAAGGGGAAAGCCATCCCTCGTGAATACGAAGACTAATAATGGGTTGCCCCCGCGATCGCTACGACCCGCGCCGCGACCTATACAAGGCAGTCCATTCGCTGGGGGTACAGGCTATGTTGATGGCTCATCCAGCTCTTCAGCCCTAAATACATCAAAAAACTCCGGTGATTCAGAATTGACGACTAACAACATGTTGAATGCCTTTGAAAGCGCAAGCGCAACAGACCCATCTACGGTACTTCGATCGGATCCATCACAAAAGCCTTCAAGGCTACCGGGTCTGCGACGACCACCACGTCTCGATATTGATGCGGTCCGAGCGGCCGAGGCGCGAGGCAGCCTTACTAGTTTGCCAGATTTAATCCGACGAGCAACTAGACTAGCTTCGATGATGGATAGGGGCAAGAGACCTGCTAGTCGCGTTGATGATCTAGATTTTCCACCAGAGATATATGGCACAGATACGGAGAAGAACGACTATTGTTCGTACAAGAAAACGATGCCTAATAAGATATGCTTGCTAACACATTTTTACAGATGAGTTAGACAAACACCAGTCAGGGTTGTCAGACATGCTTGCTGCATTCCCCCCTCCTGCGAGCCGGCGTAGCTTACGCCAGAGTATGTCTTCATGGCCATTGCCACTACCACTACCTAGACCTGCTTCACGTGTGCCAGCAAGGCTTGGGGAAGCTGCAAGCGTGGACGAATCTGAAAAATCAAAACCCCGACGGCGGTGCTGCGGTCTTCCCCTTTGGAGGTTTCTGCTCATACTCTTCGTTATCATTGCCATTATCGTTGCTGCTGTCGTGGTTCCCGTTGAGCTCCTTGTGATCAACAAGAGTGACGCACAGCCAGTTCAAAACTGCATGGAGGAGCTCCGGTGTGCTAATGGCGGGACAAGCGTGGTTACTCAAGGCGTGTGCTCCTGCATCTGCTCTAATGGATTCATTGGTAGAGATTGCACAACTCCCGCGGCGCAAGGCTGCACGACGACAACACTCGAGACCGAAGACGCTACCAGAATTAACAATGTGACAATTGGGCAGGCAATCCCAAGACTTGTGCTTGAAGCGCAAACAAATTTTTCCATTCCTCTCAGCGCGACCTCCATCATCTCGAAATTTAGTTCAGCCGAGCTCTCCTGCAACGCCGAGAATGCATTGGTTACATTCGATGGGGTATCGCTTCGCATGCTCGATAGCCAAGGGGAAAGCGTGGATCTTAGTGGCGATGGTTCTCTTGTGCTGGCTGCAGCAGCCGGTAACCCGGCCGATACTGAGATCACCCTTACACTTCTCCCTGGGATTGATGCTACCATCACCCTGGATGCGCCAATAGGAACTGGTCACATATTCGTGACCACGCTCACCATCGGTGGATCGGTGACCACTTCACAAGTTGGATACCCAACCGCCGACCCTCCAACATACACTACCTCACCAGTGACTTCTTCCACGACAACTCGGCCAAGCAGTACATCGAGCAAAACGCCGAGTACGATGACAAGCAATACCCCTACGAAGTCGAGCTCAACAACCCCTATCGCGCAGCCTACGGGTGCCTTCACGGTTACTGACACAGTGGTCGACTTCGCGCGCGTAGCTGTCCTCTATGTTTTGCAAGAGAAATCCGTTGAACAAGCATCAGATGCGCAGAACCTCATTCAAGAATTCTTCAACGATGTTGATTCCGATACAACAGTGGACCAGGCGCGTAACATCACTATAGGCGGCAACAACTCGGTCGACCTAGTTAGTCTATTCGTCGATGTGGGCGCTGGCAGGTTGGGTGGAAGCAAGAAATGAAAAAAAAAAGTGTTTGGATGCGATAAAACAGGACGGCAGCGCAATAACGACAATATCAACTGCTCACTCGATATAGAGGTATTAGACTACGTGTACGCATACCGAGCGCGGCCGGGTTACATTTGGCGTAAGTGGGATGGAGTATTAGCGCTTGAATTTTTTTGGGGCATTTGAAAAGCGAAGAAGCGTAAATTTTATATCACCATTGGGATGTGGCTAATTGCGCGAGATGGGGTCTCGTTTATTCACATTTCCAGGACCTCAATGTACAAAACACCATCCACTCCGAGAGCCCAGATACATTATGTTATCTAGCAACCATAGGAGTTCTTACCTGTATATATCATATCATATTTAGCCAGACAAGAGCGATAATACCCAGAATCAAAAAGGCCTGTTCGATTCTATATAAGAGGAGTCCAAACCGAACTGTGTCAAGGAACATTAACAATACAGTATATGCCCAAGCTCAAGTGCTTGGCAGGTAGTCGAGTCGCAACATCCAGCATGCCAAGGGATTTCTGAAGCACGCGTCAGGAGAGGGACAGGAGGAACCGTAAAAATGTGGTCAGTCATTGTACTCTGACCACTCCAGCACCGTTTCACGTGGGTTTTGTCAGAGTCGCATCACGTACTCATTGTGTGTATCTCTGCAGGAAACACGATAAGATAAGCTATAGCGATATAAATCGGACTTTATTGTAGGTATTGCGACCCTGGCCGGAAACATTGGGGATCCGGGAGTTAAGCCTCATTGGTAGAGAGAGAAGTCGTTCATCGGAGTTGCGGGAAAGATAAGTCGGGAGGAGGATAATGATAAGGCAGTTAGTTCTGTTATATGATGGAAAGAGATAAGGACCTATTACTTAGGATAAGATGCGGTATAGGATTTCAAAAGTCTTTATTATATCTGTATTATTGAGGATGCGAAGGGGGCTTGAAGAGGGATCCAGATCATAAGATTGGTTAAATTACATATACGGCGTAGCGACTACTACGCACAGCATTTAGGTCTAGGTATACCTATCGGGTCCAAGGCTTGTAAATAGGACAATATAAATCCCTAAACTACCTAGGTAGGTATCCCAGCCAAAGCTTATTGCAAGTAAGAACTTAGGTAGGTAAGTAATTAAGAGCAAACGATCTGCACCGCCACGGAGTCAGCACCTTGGCGTCCATCGGGAAAAGTATAGTAAGGATTTGGGTTGATGCTGGTAGGCAGCCACGATCTTCAGCCGTATCGATATGCCGATACGGCAGTTCAACGCTATTCTGTGTTTATTGTTGTACCGAATGTAAGTAAGAAGTCTAGGATGCGATTCCTTGGACGCCCGCGGCACTTTCTTACATGTAGGTAGGTAGGTATTGACTCGCTCCTCTTTCTCGGTCGCGAAAAGCTGAGACATGTCTTGGGCTTTTTTTATACGGGGCGTGAGTATTGCTAAGTATAGATTCTCTACATTGTATCTGCGTATGTAGGTCCCGGCTGACGTTACTTGCCCTACCTAGTTGTTACTAGGAAAAAGAATACATATATTACACTTTGATCGTGGATTCTTTAATCGTCGGCTTAAGCTCTCATTTCTGTTGGCCAACTTTGGGGGGTTTAGATGTAGCATTGGGTTCGCATGAGGGAGTATAGTAGGTATAGTAATAAGCATATGAAAGCACGAGTGCATGTGTACCTCATTGGCTATGATGAGTAAGGTAGGGAGCAATATATGTGGTGTATGTGGTGTAACAGGCGTACGATATTGGAGCTGAAAGTAAAGAGTGGTGTGTCAGCATGGCGCAGGCCACCCAGAGATTGGAATGATCTTCTTGCTCTTCCCCATCTTCTTCTTCTTTTTTCTACTGTTAACCAACTCCAACTTTTGCTTGGTACCCAACTAATCACAAATTCACCAGAGCTAGATTCTTATCAGTATAGCTGCGCGTAATTGCCGAGCTTCGAATGTACGAGTTGTGTATTTTTACGTGCAAGTCAACTGTTAGACGGGCTGAGCCACGGGCTGGGGAGCAGTGAGCAGTGGTGATGACCTCGGACTTGCCCGCTGGAGTTTAGTGCTGGACTTGAATGCTTGGGCAGGCTTGGGGGTCCCTTGGAGCTTGCAGGTGCGGCATTCGGGCTTACTGGCGAGACTGGCAGTCAGTCTATTTAAGATTTAAGCAGTATATCGGTCTGATCGGTCTCGCTAACCTGATCAGAATACCTGATGACATACGGAAATGCTGTGCCAAGGGGCCGCCAGCTTGGGCAGGCCTGGGCGGGCCTGCGAGCGGTGGTCCCCCATCCCCACAGTTGGTCTAAATATAACCGCTATAGGATTTTAATAGACGATCGCGATGTCACCATAATCCGTAATCCCAATCCAACCATGTGCTCTTCCTTGCGCTCTTCCTTGTGCACACGGCAGGTGGGAAGGCCGATCAGTCAGCTCCGATGGCTTGCCCACAGTAGAAAAGAATGACGGTTCCCCAGCCTGGGGCTGCCTGGAGGAACGACGGAGATGGCTGTGTACAACACCATGTTTTCCATCGAAGCCGGGAATGCGACGGGAGTCTTCTTGCTAAGCTGATGAGAAGAGAGAAAGAACTAAACGCAAGCTGAAGGATTAATAAATCAGGACGACGCCCAAGTATAGGACAATGGCTACCAATAATGCGATGAATAACGCATATATTAATATTAATCGGGTACGTGACTTTCAGCTCGAGCGGTGCTATCCTTGTAGAGACCCTACATACATACTTCGTCCTCCTCCCCTCGTGCACGGATTGGTTTCGTCGCCATGTTAACATCAACTCACCGTAGGACACGAGCGAGATGACGGAGTCGCCTGTCATACCCTTACCCCTGACGCAGAACTTCCCGCGTTCTCAATCCATGATCGTGTCAAAGGGACCAGAACTAGAGAAATGGAAATCAAGAGTGCCTGTAGCCGGGGACTCTCCCATGGTTCCTAAGCCACTTTTCTCGTCTTCCAAATGTGTTGTCGAGGCAGAGACAGCGCCGCCATCAGTAGACCCGGCGACCTTTCCAGTGTCGCCAGTGAGCACTTTCGTAGCCACCGCGGGTCCAACGCCAATATCGCCGTCGCCGTCGCTGTTTCCTTTGCCCCCGGGCGCAGATGGCATTGTTGCAAGTCCTGTAGGAATAACGGCGCCGGGTTCCTTGCATCCATCAAATTCGATAAACTCGGTAATTACAAGCAGTTCGATTTATTCTCAAAGCACTACTGGCAATGCGAGGCCATCAATAAGGCCGCGCCCAGCAAGCTCGGTTTACTCGCAGAATACTCTTCCGACAGTGGGAGTAACGGCAATGGCAACATCGTCACCACGGACGCCTACCATGACGAATTGGTCGTCAGCCCTGCCTGGTTTACCTCTCGCAGAGGTGCAAGCACACCAGCAACCCCAAATTATGGCGCCTATGGAGCGTGTCGTCGAGGAGCCGCAACCATCGCCTCAACAATTCCAGCCTCAAATACAAGTCCCCAGACTGCGAAGTCCGAGCCTACCGCAAGATCGGGGTAATAGGAGAAGGACATACTCCGGTCCACTGGGAGGAAGTGCAAATATGCATGGGTTAGAAACGACTAGCATTGGTAGCCGGCCGTTTGTGGAAAGCCCTGAGCCAGTATCATATCCCGAACCGAGGGCAGCGGTCGTTGAATATGAAGGAAGAGAGTGGCAGCTACAGAAGCCATCCGACATACATAATATCCCACCTAAAAACACCGTATACCGGTCGCACGAGCCGGACATCTCGAGGTCTGTATCGTACGCTTATCACAAGGCCAACAAAGAGTCGACGTCTTCATCATATTCACAAACAATGCGCATACATCGCGATCCTGATCCCACCTCGCCGCGTGCGAGCATGGCGGATTCGCACACACCGATCCGCGGACCTGGGCAGCGGTCTGGGTGGTGGAGCGACGAAGACGAGGACATCGAGCAGGGACGGAGGAATAGCTTCAGTTATGCCGCGATAGGCATGAAAGAGAAGCCCGTCACTGAGGCAGGCCGCCAGCGAGCGAGGAAGATCAAGATCATTGTGGGCGTTTCTATACTTCTTGTTCTTGTTATTGTGGGAGTCGTCGTGGGGGTTACTGTGAGCATGCGGTAGCACGGGAGGAAAAGACACGCACAAACGTACGAATTTACAGAAAGAACACAGAGATTATACACCTTGGTATCTATTTAGCGAGAGGTGCTGGAGTCAGCTTCAAAAGATGTTGGCGTTAATGGGTTTGGGATAGATGGGGCTGAGCGATTGTGTTCCATCGGAGTTGGGGAACTGGCCAAATGTATGGCTCACTTTGGAACCTAATACAGAGCTGCACGATACCTGACAATTCAAAATGATACAAGTCCCGATACCATATAAAACTCTTCTTCAATTACTTCATTTACAATGTTGGTAACTGTAATATGATATTGATTAATATACCTACTCACCTATGTAACAAGAGGTGGATAAGGTACATACCTCCGGGCTTCCACGGCGATGTGGAGCCCACTAAGTCCAATCCTATCCCCTCAATCCAAATGCCGATCATGCCCGGAGCTTTGAGGTGCGACTAGGTACGCTGACTCCGGCAGGTTGCATGTGAGGTGCGATCTCAGTCAGAAATTTCATCACATCTTCACAACATCAAACTCAAATATCTCGGCTATAGCGCTTCTTATCTCAAGAGGGAACAGCTGATAGATCGTCGTGAAGCCAACATCATCACGCCTTCATCGTCTCAAGTAACTGCCTGCCGTTCATTCTAAGACGATGGCAACCGTGGAGCAGAAATCACCATCCAACCCACGGCAGAAAATGAATTATGCCTGCGAAGCATGTCGCGCAGCCAAGACAAGATGTCAGTCGGGTCCTCAGCCCGATATCTGCAAGAGGTATAGCGTTCGGATATATAAGTCTCATTGCGTTCCCCCGAATGAGCCTGGAGAATTGCACAGTTTCTGATTTACTGGGGGCTGGCTAATAGAAGCGTGTGATTGCAGATGCTCCGAGTTCAAGCGGGAGTGCATTTTTCGCACAGGCCCGCGTACTCGCCGGCCTAGGACTTCTTCGCGTATGTAGGTATACTCATTCTGGTTCTATCTCCTTACATCCTGTGTGTTGTTCAATCTCCCAAGTTATTCTTTCTCGCCTCACACCTTCAAATAACTCGTTCCCACGCATGTTCATTCCTTCCCCTTTCCCTCCTTTCCTTTCTCACTGCTTCTAAACTTGGCGAGTAGCTCACCACAGCAGAGACTCCGAGGCAGCCAGTCTCCCCCCACCGCCTGGCCCAAGCAAGACGTTCAGTATAGACTTTGAAATGCCAGCAGAAGCTGAAACCAACGACGACTTTGAGAAGCTGCGGCAACATCACGAGCGCGTCCTAGAAGACCTGGTGCTCCAAGACGACGACCAAAACGAGAGCAAGCCTGAGGCCAGCGAGAGTGTCATGAACATACTGACTGGCCGTGTTCCCGAGCCCAAAACATTCAGCTTTAACGACATGTCTTCAGCACCTTCCGTCTCACTTTCAGGGACAAGCTCTTCTTGGACAGAGTCCTCTGCAAGAAACCTGGCAGCGCAGAAATCTAAGCCTTTAATGAATCTTGGCATCAAGCCGCAATTCAACCTTGATAGCGCCGCAAAGCTGCTGGCCTCGTTCCGCGAAATGCTGCCTCACATGCCGTGTCTTGTACTTCCCGAGAATTTGGACGTACGGTCTCTTGCGAGGCACTCGCCCTTCGTCTTACTAGCTATTCTCGCCGTTACGAGTTGCTCAACGAGCCTCCAGGGCCATAGTTTATACGACGAGGAGTTCCGCAAAGTTCTGGGCCTCAAATTTGTTGCCGGCGGTGAGCGATCACTGGAATTATTACAAGGGATATTGATATACTGCGCTTGGTGAGTTCAAGTAATGCCGAACATCTGCTCTATTGAAAGTTATATATATCAAGTGTGTATTCACGAGGCGCAAGTTGCCAGAAGAAGCGAGAGAGGGGGCTTATAGAAAGTAACTCATGTTGCTCAACATGAGATTTTTCGTTGACAGATGTGTATTCGCAGGTACCCATTCCACCTACGGCCCAGAAACAAGCAATCATTCCAGTATCTCCGGATGGCGGTAGACATAGTTCACGACCTCGAAATGGACCAAGAGCCTGACGTCGATCTCCCCTCACTAGTGCCAAACCAACGTGCCCGCAAACTAGACGACATTCGCGCTCTATTGTGCTGTTTCTACAGCATGTCTGCGTAAGTCGGCATGCACATCTTTTCTCTAACCTATCCTTCATAGTAAGTCTCTTCTCTAGACTAACAGGCGCAACAGGTTCTCGGCGACTTGGAACAGGCCGTCTACACTCCGATATAGTCCGCAGCTCTCACGGTGTGCCGAGGTCCTTGACCGTAACAGCGAGCTGGAGCAAGATCACCATCTCGCCTGGCTTGTGCGCTTCCAGTATATCTTCGAGGAGCTCATCGACGTGCAGCGCAACTTTGAGCGCGGGCCCCGAGACCACCAGAGCGAGATGCAGCGGAATCTTATCCGTGCTGGTCTCGAGGCGCAGTTCCGGGACTTCAAGCAGAAGATGCCAGAGCAGTACGCTTCCACGAGTAAGTCCAAATTAGCTCTACATTTCCTCTATCTTCCACCCCTTTCGTAATCGGGTGTACATGGTGCTGTATCACTTGCTGCGCCTCTAGGTGCGTATTTTGAAAAGATAGGTACCCATACGACTAACTCGTCGTGGCAGCAAGCATCTTCCTCGCATCCCAGGTAACAGAAGCCATCATGCTCGCTCCGGCGCTCATGCGCATACCTCGGAAATTCGGCGCCCAGGATGCCGAGCAAGCAAGCTCCAGGAGCCTACTCCACGCAGCGCAGGTCATCCGCTCAGTATTCGACCATATATTATCGCTCATGCCCCGCCCGTTCGCGGGCTTCTGCGGCGCCGACTACGGGCGCTTCATCGTCACCATGGTCTTCTCGTATCGGCTCTCGTTCCCATTGCTAGCGTCGTGCCGCGACTACGACGTCGCGCAGGGGCGACGGATTCTCGACCTCGGGGCCGTTCTACAGCAACTCGTGGACTCGGCCGAGGATGATATCCAGGAAAACGGAGAAGCTGCAAAGGGCAAGAAAGCAGGGGCTCCTGCTGGTGTTGGTAAGAAGTCGAAGAAAACGGACGCTGCTTCTGCGCTTAAGGTCGTCCTCCGCTCGGTCAAGGTCAAGTTCGACGAGAAGAGCGCCGCGTTCGAGGCCATGTCTGCTGCGGCCACGGGCGAGGAATGGGCTGTCAGGGACTCGGGGTCGAGCTGTCCCATGATTAACGGGAGTCTGGATTCGTATATCTCGCTGTGGGCGGGACAGCAGCAGCCGCAGACGCAGGGTACCGGATCGTACGCGACGAGCCTCACGAGTAGCTCCGGTCTCGCGACGACGGAGGCTGCGTCGAGTATTCCGGGGTTGGATTCTGGGGCGTCATTCGTCGGACCCATGGCGCAGATGGAATTAAGCGGGGAGGATAAACCGTTGATGTATCACGATCTCTGGACGAGTATGACTTTGGGGTGGGCGGGAGATATGGGAGATGTGAACATGGAAGACATTGTGAACATGGGCTACGGGGAATTTCTTGAGCAAAGTTGATCATTTATTTGGCATGTTCGATGCGATGTTTCTCACATCTGGGATACCACCTTGTGATTTAGCTATTGTCACACGTAAAGGATTCTGTTTTCATTTTCATATACACCAAAAAGTTGTATTGTATCGCTTACTATACTTAATAAGGCTTTTGGGCATATATATGAACGCTGTGACGCGCATTAGAACCATCGACATGTCATAAAATCTCATACGAAATAACGGGGAAAGGAATGGGGACATATCTCAACTCACCCTTCTGAATACGCGTGAATCTTAGTATTCTGCACATCCTTCTTCACCAGCTCCAGGCAGTCCAAAACCCTCTTGGCATCCCACCCCAGTACGCGGGTAAAAAGCGCCATACTCATGGGCTCAAGCATGTTCAAGATGTCGTGCTGTAGCAATAGGCTTAGCTGCTTGTTGTGACTGCCCTTGACCCAGGGGCTCAGGGCGATAGTCTCACGGCGCTCTGTGACGTTTACGAAGCCGATATCGCTCAACATCTGCGAGTACCGCGTCGCGATGCCCCAGTCACGCCCCGACAGCCGAGCTGCCTCCATCAGTTTCTCGCCCCATTCCTGCAGCGCGCAACCCTCCGGTGGCGGTGTTAGGAAGGCGAAGGGTAGAATCGGGTCGCGCAGCTCGATGAAGCCCCCTGGGGTGAGGGAGCGGTACGCTTCTTCGAATATGGCGCGAAAATTTTTGAAGCAAGTTATCATTGCACGCACTTTACAATATGGAGCATTAGTACTTTTTCTGAATTCGCTTTACTGAGAAGACTCAATGGATATCTTCTACTGTTTTGAAATGGCAGTGGCCCGGAATGGGATATGAGATTTACTGCCGATAGCTAATTGAGATAGGGGCAAGAACAACGCTCGATTTCACTCACTATGGATGAGATCGAAGGGCTGCCGGAAGCTCCATTCGTCCTCGGCATCGCAAATCTCAAAGGAAACATTAGGCGGTGCGCTGTGGGCAACTCTGTTAGACGTGAAAGCCGGGAAATGCAGAGAATCGTCTGCTTCATTACGTGTGAAAACCTACTAGCTGGGTTGAATGGGGCTTAAATCCGTGCCGGTAATATGAGCGCCAGGATGCTCAAGACCTTTGTATGAGACTTATATTAGCTCTGTCTTACAGCAGCTTCACTGCGTCGCTGAAGAATAGCAATAGGACCTCAGTTACCATCACCTACCGACTTCAATGGCCCATATCCCCGTTCCCGTGCCGACGTCAAGGACATTTCTGAGACGGTCCCCTACCGGGGCTATGAATAGTTTCCCATTCAGTACCGCAGTGTATAACTGGTGTTGGTAATCTTGATAACACCATCAGCTTGATGAGTGGTTACGTGCCAGTGAGGCGTGGTACGTTTAGGAGAACTTTACCTAATCTCCTTTGCTCTCCCTAAGGACAGTTAGCATGGCGACTCAAACCTTCCCAATCCAAAATCCATGGAATCGCGATACCTCATCATTTGGTAAAAGGTATTTACCCGCCTTGAACCGGTGATACGTGCGTCCGTTCTCTATTACGTGGTCATATATACTGCTGTTAACACTCTGCGTGGACGAACTATATCCACTACACGTTAACACGTTGTCCGTATCTAATCTTGGAAAGCTGGACACTGTATTCAATATGTTGGGGTAAGTCCTATCACTTACAAAACGCTCATGCCGCCGAGGGCCGAATCACCATCCCAATTATCCTGCGTATAATGAAAGACAAATAGTTAACTTTAAGCCCCGCACTTAGATCACGTCCTAGAGAATCACGCAAGAAACTCTATTCTTGCTGCAGAGGGGAAAAGAGGGGAAGAACCCCGGATTCGGGATGTCACGATGACGATGCCGTCAATCCTGATACGGAAGCGCCCTTATCAAGGTAGCGAGGAACCAAGCAAAGATTAGGTAATACGAGGGCCTTGAAAGGAAAGGGGAAAAACGCATTGCATCGAACACCAAGAGAGTTCAAACAAACTAACATCGAAGTCATCGATCTCCAAATGATCCAGCTGCTGGCCTATTTCCGCCGGCTCCTCGTGACCCTGTAGATTCCCCGAGGTTATACCAACGGTATCATTATCCGAGTTTGTCTCCGCGGCCATTGTACCAGGTCTTGTAGTGTAGCAGGAAAGCTAAACATACAAAACTTGGCATAGAGAGAAAAGAAACAAGGAGTTCAGTCTTATTCTCGCAAATCGCAATACCGAGTCTGGATATAAATTATTTTGGCAAAGAGCGAGCGAATAGGTGCAATGCAGATAATTAAAAGTAAGGCAAGCACGCGAGATCTCAGCTAGAAAAAACCCACGTGGCGTGGGGGGTGAGAAGTAGGCAACTCCATCCGAGCGAGCGACAAGCCGGCCGCGATGAAGGGCAGGCGCAAGCGAAAATAATAAATAATACACATTGGTGAAAAAAAAACGAGGCGGGGTTGGGGTGTAAGCAGTGGAGCTGAGCTGAGCAGACTGATGGGATTCTTCGTTCGTGATTGATGGGCTAACTGGCCTACACCAACAGCTAGTATCAATCGAATCTACGGATCGACATCGCACTATCTCATGCTAATGAATAGCGTATCTGATATCGTGTCGTAGTGCGTGGGTGTAGCATAGTGCTATATCTATTATCTATTAACTACTATGTAAGTAGAATACGCACCGCCCACACTAGCAAGGCAATCTAGAGTAACGGAGATCGTCCAGCTAATCGCTATCCGGGGCTCCTCGTGAAATTGGCCCCGAGCGACTGGGACTGGGTCACCGAAAGTAAGTAATGTACTATGTAAGTAAGCGGTGCGCCAACAACTTAGGCGAAGGAGCCCCGGACACCGGCCGACTTGCGCGACAGGGAAGAAGGGGAAGGGAGGGGTAAGAAGCCCACGTGTGTAGACTACATTGTACACAGTAAGTATTGGGTCGCATGGTAAACACACCTACATAAATATTGTACCGCATACACTCAAAAAACTCGAACAACACTAATAGCGCTACCATGTATACAAGTAGAGCAACTGCCATATTGGGCCTATCTGAATCTAACCGAACCAAAGTTATCTTAACCCCCTTTTAAGTGCAATAATTACTTTTTTTAACTTAATATAAATAGAACTTCGATTTAACCTAATTTTTTCTATATTAACTTTACTCCTACTACTATAATACCTATATTATCTACTTTTATTTACCCTTACTACTATTTAAATGCTTTAAATTTATTGTTAAAAATGCCTACCTTTAAAGTATTAATAAAAATAACCTATAAGTTATTTCTAATCTTACTTTATTATTAAAGTTAATTAGGTAACTTTAGTTAATTTATCCTTTAACCCCTTAAGGTTAATTTTTATATTTAATAAAACTTATATCCTTAAATTCCGTTAGCCCTATTATAGCCCTTACTAATTATACTATAATTAATATTATAATAGTTATTTTTAATATATAATAGTAAACTATTATAATAATTATAAAGGTATTATTAATATAAAGTATAACTTTAATTAATAATAAATTATATAATTAAAGCTTAAAATTATATTAATAATATTTATTTTAATTAATTTTTAATTTTATATAGGTAAATTACGCTTTATAGCTTAAAGCTTACCTTATTAGTCTTTTTATAAGTTATAAAACCCCTTAAATATTATAATTAATAATAATATAAATAGTTTTAAAGTTATCTTAATAGTAAACTTTATAAAAAGCTTAAATATATAATTAAAATAAAAGATTAAAGCTAAGGTTAATAAAAAAATAAAAGAATAAAAAATAAAGGTTTATAATAATTATAAAAAGGGTTATTTTTAACATTTTAAAATAAAATAGGTTAATTAATATATATTTTTTATATTTAAATTAAATAATTAAAGTAAAAATAATAATACCTTTATTTTAATAATAATCCTTATATAAAATATAATATATATATTTAAATAAGTTAAAAAAATCTAAAAGGTAAAAATTTATATAATAATTAATCTTTTTAAAAGCTTAATATTAATAACCTTTATATTATAATATTAAAATATAAATAGCTACTATATAAAAAAATATAATCTAATATATTTTTTAATATATTTATTATAAAATAAATATTATATAAATATTAAATAGCTTTTACTATTATTTTATATTATATAACTATTAAAAATAACGCTTTTATATTTATCTTTATAAAATTAGTTTTAATTTTTTTTATATTTATATAATAAAATAAAAATAAAGTTTATTTTTAAAAATATTATTTTAATATATTTTATATACGATTTATATCTTTTAACTATTTAATTAGCTTTACTTTTATTTTACTATTAAATAAGCTTTAAAAATAGCATTTTTCCTTTAATTCTACTACTTTAAATTACTTATAGCTATTTTTTAACCAAATTATCTTTTCTTTTTTAATACTTATATATTTATAATTTAAACTATTAACCGCTTTATTAATCTTTTTAAGCTTTATTTTAACCTTTTAATTTAAATATTAATAATAATTATTAAAAGTTAATTAATTAAAATTAATACCTTTAATATTAATTTTAAAGTTATTATAGCTATTTAAATAAATTAAAATATTAATATTTATAAAGAATCCTACTACTATTTTATAATTAAGCAAAATAAAGGCTTATTTCTATATATTTATAATAATATAAATAATTATTATCCATCTTTTATTAATTATCCATTTTTTAAATAACTTTCCTTTTTTTTCTAATTTATTTATATATAAATCTATTTCCTTTTAAAGCTAGATCTTAAAGGGACCATTAAAACTAACATCTAAAAGTTATAAATAGGTTATAAAACTTAATAGGATTATTACAACAATAACGTTAGCCCTATAAAGGGCTACCTTAACCTTATCCATTTTATAAAAGGCAATTATATTAATAATTAATAAATTAAGCTTCCCTTTAATATAAGTAGTTAAATTATTACTAATTTAATTTTTAAATAAATTGCTATTATTATATACCTTTTTATTAAATAATATATTAATGCTTTTATAATATAATAGCTTTTCCTTATTTATTTTAAAGCCCTTATTATAAAAGATAATAATTAGTTTTAACTCTTTAACATATTTTCCATTTATAATAATTATTAATATTAGCATTACCTGCTATTTTCCCTAACTATTTCTATCTAACTTTCTATTAATGGATATATTACCCTTATAATTATATATATAACCTATTAAAAATTCAAATAGCATTGGAGTTTTATTTAGGTTAATAATCTAATAGTAGGGAAATTTATTAAAAGAAAGCCCTTTAATAGGATTACTTATTAACGTTACACTTTTTTAAGTTTAATTATTTTATAAAACCCTTTTAATAAACTATAAAAAGTTATTTATATATTTAACTATTTTTATAGGTATTTAAATTAAAATATAAATTACTTATTAATAGCTAATTTAATAGTATTAAAGGAAGCTATAAAACTATTTATTTAAAAAGGTAAAAACTATTAAATAAGTTAGGTAATAATTATTAAAAATTATAATAGCCTTCCATTTAAACCAATAAATATTAATTAACTTCTTTATTTTTTTAACTATATAAAATACTTTTTATAATTTTAACTTTAATATTAATTAATAAGGTTAAAAGTGCTATTTTTTCCCATTTAAAATTAACTTTTATTACTTCTACCATTTTAAAATAAATAATTTACTACTTAACTTAAAATAATAGATTATTTCTTTAAGTATAAATTTCCGGAAGCCTTCTTTAACCTTATTATTACTTAAAAGGCTACAATAACGCCATTTTTGCTTATTAACTTTATTAATTTTTAATAAAATTTAATAGTTTTTTAAAAATAGCAATACATTAACCTTCCTTTACCGGAAGTAATGCCTTTAAAACTATATTAATAGCTTTAGTAGGTAATAGTTAGCCCGTACCAAACCCTTCCGCCTAAGGCTAAACCATTTAGGTAAAGGGACTAATAGGGTTATACTAACTAGATTAAAGACTAAATAAGCTGATTAAAGATTAATTATTATAAAAGCAATTAAAAATAGCATTTTTAGCATTTTTTTAACATTGTTGAAGAATTGGCTATAATACAGCAAAAATAGCGTTTTCTTAACGCTGTTGAAGAATTAGCTATAATACAGAGAAAACAAAAAAAACAAAGAAAACAGCGGAAACAGCGAAAACAGCGTTATTTCTACAATTCTACCACTTATCAGCTTTTCTATAACTTGTAAGAGGGTGTAAAGCCTAACTAACATCTAATAGGAGCAACTTTTAGTGGCGTTCACTAACAAAGTTGCTTGCCTAATATGGATAACCTAGCGAGAGCATCCCTGCAGTGGCGTTACTAGTGTTGTTCGAGTTTTTCGAGTGTATGCGGTATGTATTTGTGCTGTTGACCAGCCTGACGGGGATACTGGAAGCGACCGCCCCTGCGGCCGGCCGGGAATACACATACCTACCTCTCTGTCTAGCGGAAAGCGGAAGAGGATCAGCTCGAATCCTTCAAATAGGTACGGTAGGGGAGGTCATCTGGCCCGGTTCAACATATCATGCAGTAATGTACCTACTCCACGTCGTATCCATCTGCAAACTGCGCGTGGTTTGCAAGGTTGGTTTGGCCATGTTTACCTAATTATAGCCTAGGCCACAGACCAACATACTTACCGACATGTACTGATATTCATGCGAGGCGAGGCGAGGAGACAGGGCATTGTGTGCAATTGCGAGGAGATCTCCCTGCTTATCCTATGTACTAAGTATTTAAGAGCTCGTTTACATTATCGTCTCAGTAGATTCATATGCTCTCACTCGAATGTAAGTAATGGAGTCTAAGGCTTCGTGGTGGCAAAACGTTGAGCCTAAGCTAGTCTGGTCCTATTCTACCTATGTAAACAAAAAAAACAGGCGGGCGTCTTGTTAAAAGGAACACACCCTTACGCTAGACATTTAATATGATGATTTGTATTTGCCGATGGGAAGGGCGAAAGCATTCGACAACTGTTGGGAATTATTGGTGTAGTTCAGGCGCTGCGATATGAATACTTGCTTAGTTACCTCGGCTTAATCAAGTCGGAGCAATATGTTGGTTTGAACAATCCTAAGACTTGGTGTCAAGTTCAATCAGCCGTTACTCTGTTATGATTGGTTCTCGGCGGATCTTTGCCACGTCCTCCTCTTTCGCCAGTAAGTGTAGCCAATTCACCACCATCATGGCCTTGAGTAGGTTGCCTTTCATATCCATATGTACACCATCGTACAAATTCGCTTGGATCGACATATTCCAAGTCCCGAGGTGGTCGATCTTTTGCTTTGCGGCTTCCTGTGCCATTGCGTGCTCGAAGCGGACCAGGGCCTTATTGCCCTGAGTAACGATATACTCGTCTGGCTTCTTCTCACCCGCCGCATTCGGTGTCATCAGGAGGATCGGCATGTTTCGGTAATATCTCCTGCGGAGCTGCAGTCTCGAGTCGATGATTTTCACTACTGTGTCCAACCAAGCTTTCGATTTGTCCAATTCGAGATTGTTCCATAGCCCGTGGCCGAGGATAAACGCCTTCCTTGAGTTCGACTTCGACTTGGTGTCTATGGCCTTTTCCAAGCGCTCGAGCTCCACGTCTTCAATGGGATGGCGCACCATTTGCTCCACTAGGCATTCATTAGTATTGCCAATGACCAGCTAATAAAGGAATGCTATGTGATTGACCGTACTCCTCAGATCCGTTGACCAACCCGGCACTAGGCGAGGGCAAGCCAAACTCCCAGGATCATGCTTGATAACATCTTCAGTCTTGTAGATACCCTGGACAGAACAATCGGTAACGTCAAATTGGTCGTTACAAAAACACCGCTCCCTGTTGATATGTGTTAGTGCAGGGCCGCTAGAGTCCATACAGGTATATATGGTTCGGTCTAGTGCTGTACATCTCTCGAGAATCAAAGTTCCAATCCGTGACACCACCATAGCCCAGGTCTTCTCGCACGATGATGTTCAGTGCCCCAATAACGTGTCGCAGCATGGAGTCGCCCACAAGAATGACCTGTGAAAACCGACCCAAAATTTTACAGACCTCTTCCGTCGTGTACCACCGCATATCACAGCCACGTGGGATGTAGATCGCATCTCGACCAATTCGGCCACCCGATGACATAGCTGCTAGCATGGAGGGTCTGTCAGGACAGACGGGTTCGTACGGGCCGTGGAGTTCCAGGGATGAGATAGGGCATTTCGGGCCAAATTGCTTGTATGTAGCGAATGTATTCTGGTACTCGTGTGGTCGCACGTTTGGGTCTGCTGCCTTCAGGGGAAAGCTACATTGTGGTGAACCCTTGTGCCACTGCAAAGCGGCGCCCACTAGGATAAGACCAAAGACAGATGCCAACAGCCACAACATAAACCGGGACCATCTTCGAGGGAGGCCCGGTCGTCGATTATGCCGTCGATTGGGCCTCGTATTGATGAATCTGTACATGCCGTCTTCACGGTGAGCCGGGAAGCAAAGCATACGCACGATACGGAAGAAACTAGCGAAACAGTCCTACAATCCGCAAAAGAAGCCAGCGAAACAGTTCTACGAGTCGCGGAAGAAGGCCATGGCACTCGGGTAGCTGGTCCGTGTCACGGTAGAAAATAGTACAAATTAATTGATGGGATTAGTCCGAACTGGGGTCAGGAGCGAAATTTTGAGACTGGGATGCCGGTATGTTGTCCTAGAGTGTGTGGTACCCGTGAATGTGAGGTGTCTGGATTGATAGTTCCTTGGGCCGGATCCGAAGGCTTGGATGGATTGATCTCACATCCTTCCTCTGCAGAGTTCGAGGTTGCTGATGGAATGTACGTGAGGAAATCTTTCCCTGAGGGGCCACGCCTGCCTACAAATCATGCGTGCTTGAAAGGAGAGATAGGCATCTTTCACCAAGGAAAGGGCCGGTGGCACATCATGGCTCTAGCGCAACCGCCAGCTTTGCATCTCTATCGAGATCTAGTACCAGGAGTGTGGTATATGAGCTGCTTGCAAGCAAAGAGGCAAAATGTTTGGCAGATGGTATCACTTGTAAGGTATAGCCAGAGAAGTTGGCGTGTATCAGCCACCTTCTTTGCCAAATTGCCCATACCACTGTTGCAACACACCTTCTCAGGCGGCCATGTGGTGGCGAACATGGGTTGCTGGTTCTTCATCGAGATCACGCAAATTCGCTCGTCACAATGCAAGATCCAAGCCACCGACAGATTGACACGATTAGCCGCATCGTCGAATGAGACATGCATGATTCCAACCAGCAATTCATCCCAGCGAGGCGGCGCCTAGAAAGCTGTGGCATATGATAAGTTACAATCGAGAAAACAAGCTTAACTCATGAGTCGGGCGCCAACCTCGCACATTTCGAGACACGGCGATCACACCGAATTTCTCGACAGATATTTTGGTTGCGCGTAGTCGCAGCTTCCGCGTGCTTGCAGTCAAGTAGCGTACATAATTGCGTAACCCCCAACCGCTGATCAGACTGAGAATTGTTCCGAAACATGTGCACAGGCGCGTACTGGCGGTAGTCAATGTCAGCACGCGGAAACAAATGCGATTTCACACTGCCGCTTAACTATACCTGTTTAGCAAAGCTGTATTTCTCGAGTGAAGTGTTTAAGATGCGTATCATCAAAGATCACGTCATGCCATTTACATCATATCTACACAGTTCGCCGCAAGGCCAGCACAGTCTTATGTTACCTGTCTAGTGCTCGTCTCTTCATGGGATGCGCCACATGGAACGGGCTGATCCTATTGCCGCCTGCTTTTGTCCAATGAGATAATAGCTGGCAAGTTGTTGTCAGTCATTTGGCTAATGGCAGTTGATGAGAACGATAAGCACCAAGCAAAACGTGGCGTTTCATCTTCTCGTTAACGCCGTCTGATTGGCTAGTCGTGTGTCGCTATCCAAGTAAGAAGGATTCTAGACACCCTGGGCCTCGGTACAATTCAGCAAAAATGCAAATTGCATATTGGTGTTATGCCGTGGGGGTTCCATCACCCGTCAAGCTGTGTTGAATCTCAAGTATTGATGGGGCACGTCCAAGGATGACGAGAAGCCGTCACATCACCCCGGACGCAATTTGGCACTCGCTTAGTAGACACCGAACGCTTGGGTAGGCATGTCGGTAAACTAACCTAGTGAGATTCCCAATGGTCAGACGAGAATGATTGACGACTAACAAGGATGCCACCTTGAGCACGAGTCCTACATGGGTGAACTTATCTAGGTAATATAAGACCCTTGCTACAGAAAGTGCTCGTCACCCCGCTTCTAGTCAACGGATATCGTGAATGTAGCATACTTTTACATGAGAAGCATACATAGATGGGGAAACCATTCCCTCTGGCACTTATTGTGTGTAGGGAACCAGACGATAAAAGTTTACACAGTGTTCATGGCCGTCCCGGAGGCATAGTTGATTATGTTAGCATAATAATGAGGATTTCAGAGATTACCTGCCTGCTTGCCTTCTACCAACGAGCGCAAAGTACCTTCTGGAAGAACTTGCCCGACAACCGCGCGACGGCATCAGCAGCCCGGACGAGCTAGTCCGGGCTTGCTATTCACCTTGATACCTATGAGGAGGATCGATCATATCGAAGCCCTACCTAGTTGCCTGTGCCGTCCTGTCAGGTGCACTCATGGGGTTGAGACAAGGATTACTTCACCAATGGCGAGCGAGAGTGTCCCAGGTGGGAGAGCGAGGCGTGGGCCAACTATGACCTTGTGCCAATAGTAAATTTCCCCGGGCCACCCTTTGGTGATTATTATGTGGGTGAGGCATGGAAGCTGGCGAGAGTCACCAACGCAGCTGGGCAAAGACCGACAGATAAATCCTGCACGCTCGAGAGGGCTCGTTTGGCTTGCAGTTGCGTACAAGCGGACGACGTGACACTCATATGCTGATGTGCATGATTTCTTGCAGCCTTGTCCATCCAGAACGACACCATGGCCGGGTAGGGCTTGGGGGTGTTGGCTTCGTTGGTAAATTAATATATCTTCCGCTACACTGCATTTCAGGCGTCCAAGAGTAAAGAGCCACCAATGGTTCCGATCCAGAACTAGGGTCGTACTGTGAGGAAGAGTTGTACACCCTTTTCGGTCAGACTCACTACCTCGAAGTCGGAAATTCCCCCAGCCCTAGGATCAAGCTTTGGCTGGGATATGGTAGTGCTTATGAATGCTTAACAACCGCGAGTCGGGTATTCCTCCCCGTCCCATGTCTCACCGCAAACGGTCATCAAACGAAGAGCATTGACTTCCGGGTATTACAGCCAGGTTAAGGTCAGGCCGAAACATTCAGATAGTTCTTTAGTAGGCAATACCACGCCGTGCCACCAACCAGCTCAGGAAGTGAACGAGCAGCCAGCTGTTGTTGCTCATTGGTGGAGAAAGATGGTTTCTCTTTTCGAGTTCTGACACTGGAATGTCCATTGGCTATCCATTAACAGCGACTGAAGTACACTATCACACATGATCACCTTGATACCTTGAGTTGATCATCGAGGCCCACGAGGGCCGATAGAATATAACCTTGAAATGTCTGGCTTCCACGACTTAGCGCACTCGTACTTCAAGCTAGTAGTCCACAACTGTACTCAACGTAAATGTCTAGAGGTGATTCAACAAATCGCAGCGTGCATGAGGGACTTTAGAAGGGGGTATGGTCAAGATGACACTGTGACGATCAGTGAGGGCCACAAGAATCGCATTAGTAAAGTAGATACCAAGTTGGCAAGATGTGTTCTTTGATATAACAAGAGCATACATGACTGTCAGTAACGTTGTTGATAAGGCCGGCCAACTGAACGAGACTTTACGTAGTAGTAGCCCTTTGAATATCGTAGCAATGCCTGCGAAGACTCGTCGATGCTGATAGAGGTCGACAGCAGTAACACTATGACCACTCAAGGTTTCGGGGCTGCGAAAAGTTAGTTGTGATGGTGAGAAACGTCACAACACCGGTCAGAATATGTGCGTACCACTCCTGCTATACACAAACTCGAAGGAACAGCGCGGACAGGAGTTATAGGCCATGTTGAGATTTGGTTCCCATGGAGTGCTATTGGAGTAGATGCCTATATATATGTATGTACATCTTAACCAGCACATATCTAGTACCGGTACATCATACCAAGGCCCACAGAGTTGAGAGGGGCCTCCGGTAGGGATTAGCGTAGCGCAGTGTGTACACTACTTACATGTAAGTATCTAGTGTAGGTAGCAGTAAGCAGGGGAGCAGGGGAGCAGCATGGGTGATTTTGGAGATCAGGAGTCTTTCGAATGAATAGCATGGACATTGGCATCGCACAACGTACCACATCTACCCACCTAACCCGACGAGAGGTAGCATACACTACCCACACGACAGGTACTCGCCTGAGGAGATTCAATACGGAGATGCAGGTATTGAAAGGTACCGGCTGCACCGTCTGAACCGCATCTGCCATAATACATCCATGTGCTGTACCTACGCGGTACAATTTGAGCTTTAGCGGTATGTATCTGTCCAGGTAGTTTCAGTGTCCACATGTGCCGTGCGTGCTAACTGGTCTGATGCTTTGGTCTGGACCAAAATGGGTCTTGCCGACCGCTGAGGTACTGCCTATCAGAGTGTAGATGCAGTTACGGGCAGTACGAATCAGGCTTCCAGTGCCCCCAGCCTTACGTAGTACATACATGTAGGTATTCAGCACATCAGCAAGTAACACTAATCAGCACGGGCACCTTGGGCATCTCTCTTACAGTACACCAGGCCCTGCAATCGTGGAGATTCTTGAAAACACCTGGGGCGGCTCCAACGGCCATACAACAGCTTTGCTATGATCTTCCTTCAAGATATACCGGTACTTAGGTAGAATGGGTAGAACGAAGCGCGTAGGATCTTGACATCATATCAGTGGGAAGGGGTAGATATTACTTACTATACTTCGTAGGTTATCGAACAAACACCTGGATGTCAAAATGTTCTCAAGCGTCTTCTGGTCGAATGAGAGACTTGACATGGTCCGACTGCAGGGCTTGGCCTCCTACTTACAATTGGGTTTCCCTCTTGATGTTGCCCGTACCCCTGACATCGCTTGACCGGTCGGTCAACGTGCGTTGCATCCATAAGGGCGAATTTTGAAATGGCTGTAGCGTAGCACCTCCTGTTGGATTGGCCGAGGTTGTATGGACTGAGGATGATGAGATTTGCAATACGGCCGGGGCTGAGTGAGGTAAGTACGCTCTCACTCCGTCGCACAGCAGTCTCCGGTACTCTCTCTTCCTCAGCATCGGTCCACGCAGTGGAAATCTGTATGTACAGGAATCGTGTACCGAAACGCATGCCCATGGGTAGCACATGGCTTTTGTAGCTGCCGAGCGACCCAGACAATCACAAGATCATCAAGCATGCTTGCAGTAGCTCAACGAGACGTTTCGAAAGAGCCAAAACCTGTGGTACCGTATAATTCGTACGCAATGTGTGAGAGCAGGAACAGCTTTCGGGATAGCTTGTCGTTTGTGCGCGTTCGGCCTGAATCGAGCACGAGTATTGTCCCATGCTCTAGGCATCCATCGGCGCCGCTCATAAGCTCATGCACACGGCAAGCTTGTGCCATCCACGAGACGTGAATTAGAGCTTCGACAGAAACCCCACTTCATGTACCCCATGGGCTTGCCCAAGGCCAACACACTGCCCGCCCGCCGTTCCTCGACATGCATTCGTTAGAGTCGGAGGGGTGGGTCGTCACAGATGGCCAGAGTAACGAATGGGAGCAGGACCCGGACACCACCCTAAACACCTTCTCGCTCCCTTGCCCAGGCACGTTTCCTTCTCTCCCACCCACCGAGTCAACGGACCGCCTTCGCAGCCGTTACGCGAATCGAGGTACCGTGAGAGCTTACTTACATACTTCGTAGTAGATTAGCTACAACGCTGCTGCGAGCTCGTGAGGTAGGCAGTGTGTATGTGTAGTGCAGTCTAGCATTTGTAGGAACCTTGGCAACATCACCTCGTACAGACTTACTTACATACTATGTAGGTCTTATATTACTTATGTTGAATGGTTGTCTATCGACGCAGATACTTAGTCGGCCCCGATCGACCATGAACGTGTGTATGGCGGAATAGGAAAAGGGCGTAGCTCTCAGTCGGTCAAGTTACTAGCTAGGAACTTGAATGATATATTCCAGGCACTGAGGGGCACTGATGCTGGTATAGAAACACTTCATCACAGCGATAATCAATATGATCACAGCCCGTCGCTCGAGTATAGCAAGGAACTCATCCAGTCAAGAGGATCTCGATGTGACTGATGGAGAGCGAGGTTGCTAGCCCCCACACCAAGCTGCAGCCCTCCTTCGTGCAATCTGTATAGCATGGTGTATAGTAGGTAGGTAGGTAGATGCTTGAAGCAGGGAGGGCTTACTTACATGCGCATTATCCCCAGTCGAGGTACACGAGAATGGAGGCGAGAGGCTCTGCCTCCACTACGAGCTCTCCCATACCTGCCACAGAAGCTGAGTAGGTACTTACCATCTGACAGCTAATACTCCTATATAACAGACACATAATCCGCATACTACATACATACAGTAGTATGTAGGTAGTGACTCTGGGTCGCTGCCCATTATCTGAGGATGTGCGCGGCGCAAGTGTGTAGAGTGAATAGATGAGTTAATAGATTAGTGAATAGATTGGAATGATACAGCAAGAGCGTTTTGCTATCTGCTGAGTATCTAATCTTTCATTTATCATTTATCTAGTGTGAACCTGGTAGGTATGTCGAGCTCCATACCGCCTGATAAATCCCGACGAATAAGGACAGCCGGGCATCTACGGTACACTGCCCTACATAGTACTGTTGTATAGACCTGCCACCCACCTCTACGCCTTGCTGAGGGAATCTATGTACGTAGTAAGGTGAATGAATGAATGAAAGAGGCGAGCGAGGATCGTGTTTAACAGCCCACCAATCGAGACGAGACTTAGAGGCAGCGCACCTAAAGCAGAGCACCTGACCTCCCTATGCTGCCCGACCACGCAGCGCATCTCGCATTTCGCCATTTTATAAGCTTTCGAAGGGAAGAGTCGGGTTGGAGCGCTGGGGCTCTCCCGTACGTACCTAAGTAGGTTAAACGATTGAGAAGCCATGGTCAGTGGTCAGTGGTCAGTGGTCACGCATCACACAGCCTCATGATGGTTGAGAATTTTCAAGGCACTGGAAACTCAAAACACCCCGGCAGTTGCAGTTGGGCCCCGCAGCGATAAATTGCTCCAGAGAGCGAGTGGGGCTGCCCATCCACCATTCTGCACTACCCACTGCTTCTTCCTGCCACTTACAGCACTTAATTAAGCACTAGTAGGTACCTGAGACCACACGCCTAGATAGGTACCGAGCTACTGCATGTGTGCCTCAGGATGTACCTACATGTATGTAAGCACCTTGAAGGTTACCAGTACCTAGGTAGGTGTTTCTTGCACCATTTCCGTACAAGAGAACACGTAATTCATCGTAAGTATGTAGCGTCCTAAGATTCCTTGGTTAATGTAAGCAAGCACGTAGACAATGGCTTGTCTTCTCTCTACCTATAAGCAAGTACCTAGATAGAGATAGCCTTGGAACGCTTGGGAGACCTACATCGAGACTGGTGGTGCGTACCAATACACACGTGCAGTAAGTAAGTACATACTTAGGTAGGTACGAGGCAGTGTACCTTGACAGGATTGACCCCACGGCGAGAGCTACACTACCATCCTCGCCATCCTAGCGTGTGCCTGTCCCGAGCTGCAAGCTTAGTGGACTTGGCGGCTTGGCTCTTTCCTGTGCTGCCACCACTTCCAGCTCTCAGAGCTCTCTCTCTTGGATGAGCGGTTCTCGCTCTTTTGATACAGGAACCCTACGCATGGTGGCAGATAGGTAACTAGAGTAGCTGCTCCTAGTATCCCCGCGAAAACGCAATCGGCCAGTTTGGGTAGGTATATTGCCAGTGCTTTTGCGTAAGAGAGTAGTTAAATAGATACTTAAAAGCTCTTGCTTGGGTGTGTCCGAGGTAGAGACTCACTTGCCTACTATGTATGGGGCGATACATGGAGTTCACCTTTCCGAAGATATCAGCCATGAGTGGTCGCAATATCTTACGCAGTGTATAGCATCTCGCTGTTAGTTACAAACTCAAGTCTTAACTACTCACACAGCTTCCCCAATTTACTTCTTCGCCCCACGACAACCTCAAGCTGTAAACCTTGCCTAGGTAATTACTTACATAGGTACCTACCTACCTTATACTAGGTACTGTCACGACGCCCATACTTTTTCCTGCGATACATATCAGGTGTTTAGCTATGCTTGCCCAGGGCCTATTGTCTTCTTAATTAGGTATGTATGCCGGCAAGTGTTCATGTCGGAAACCTGGTAGTGTTTGCTCGTTGCTATGTATATCATCTACACCTAATTACGCATAGAGAGGGTAGGGAGAGAACTCTAAGATCACGTCAGCCGCTCACCTTGAATGCCCAGATAGAGGCTATCAACAACAAGCATCGAAGGCACAATATCGACCAAGTGGTGGGCGGATTCGGCAACTTTATCAGAGGCGTATATAGCAAGGAAACAGGCACATACTTACCTGTGTATGTAGGTATTGACCTACACTCTGAACTTACCTACACACCCACTGCAGTCCGTAGTGAAGTCTATCCAGGCTGGTTGGTACCTGCACCGGGCCTACCCCATCCTCACCCACATATATAGGTAGGTACTCGAACTGATCACCATCCATCAGACATGGATCGACTCTTCGACATCTCCAAGCCCGCAACCATCCATTCGCATCTCGAGCCGATTCATTCGATTACATATCCATACTAACTAAACCATACTACACACACCATCATACTAAACCATCATCTCAGGTACGCATCCTCACTCTCGCTAGCCCTCTATCTCTCTCTTCCTTCCTCTTTTCTATCTCTCTCGATCTCTTTATCTCTCCCCCCTCCCTCTCTCTATCTCTGCCTCTGTCTGTCTGTCTGTGTGATTGTGTGATTGTGTATGACTACATCTGTCTCTGCGCCTCGTGTTTTTCTCTATTTCTATGTCTTTCTATCACTCTGTCCTCCGTCCTCCCGCCTCTCTTAATCTCCATCCAACCCATGGCATCGCATCTGGGCTTGGCCCAGCCCGACTACATTGGCCCGGAACGGGAATCGAAATTTCATCCGTCATCGCCCACCGTTATCCATTTTCGTAGTAGCATCCCCTGTCCTCAACCCTCCGTCACACCAAAAGAATCCTACTATAGTAGGAGCTGCTTTTTGGTTTGGTGACCTGGCTGCCACCCACCACCCCGACTCCTCTATATCCGACCGGCCCCGCGCTGGGAAACGGAAACTGATCGGGACTCGATAACTGCCAGAAGAAGACTGGTTATTATCTCAACGGGAGCAAGAATCACGAACCAGGAACCTAAAAGAAGCCGACGAACAGGAAAAAGCAACAGGCTTGCGGACAGCCTACCAATCGTGCAGAAGAGGTTGCAGGAGGAGTGGGGGGAGCATGCGCTGCCGCACAGAGTCCACACCTCGAGCGAAACATCCACCACCCACCCCATCCATCACCCATCTCGCCCATCTCGCCCTTGTGCTGCTTGGCTTGGCTTGGTGCGGTGCGGTGCTGCTGATACTGCGCCGGTACATCGACGCTGGTACCTAAACCTACTCGCTACTAGTGTAGTGTTGTATGTACGGTATTATTATAGTCTCCCCTCTGACAACCCTGCCACCCAACCCTTTGACCCCGTACCAAAGTAGTGTACAAACACTGGCCCGTCCTCCAATCAACCATCCTTTCCACTCATCCTCTTCTGTCCCACGCCCTCCAGACAGACGGACGAGCAAGTGCAGACAGACAGACAGACAGACAGACAGACAGACAGACAGACAGAGAGACAGAGAGAGAGACGCAGACACAGCCAGACGAGCTCAGGCTTTCTCTTGCCTATCCCCCCTCTTCCCCAAACTCGTTCCCCCAAATTACCTCCTTATTAATTCTAATTCCTCCAAAGCGCTCTAATTTCCCGTTTTCTCGTAGGTCTAAAGCCTTCGACCACCGTCGTCATTGTCGTTGTCGTCCTCGGCATTCAAGTCCGCAGCAGTGATCTACCCCATTAGGCGTCCTGGACTCGCATTCCTCCACTCGCCGCCCGCTGTTGTCTTGTCTTATCTCACCCGCGCACCAACGAGCATCACGCGCGCCCACACCTACCTACCGCTTCCGAATCGTCGCTGCGATATCTCCATTTTTCCCCCGGTCGCGCGCGTTGTCGTCAGGAACCAAGCAGCCGATCTCGTTTGTCAACTTATTAGCTGCCCGCTGCGCTGCACCATCTACTGCGCTTCCTACCAGCGCGCGGCGCATTACTACCAGTCAAAGCCCTACGTGATTGCGCATTCATAATTCATTTAAGAAGCGCCTGCATCATCTCAACCCGAATCATCGGCTACCTAGCGTTTTCGACACCATCGACCCAATCGAGCGATCAATCAATCGCGTCGTCGCAAACCCGCCATTCCACCGCCCGGCTTCGTACAAATCGGCAGGAACCCCTACCAATCCGTAACGCTCACATTCGAGCTGTTTTGATCAGCGCGATCATCATCGCGCCCTACACCTGACTACACTCGACTACTGCTGCGTACAGCAGTCCTCTGTATCTCGCCTCCGCAAGATAATCGAGTATATGCATCTCGAAGTATGAGTGCAGACCTCGTTACCCAAAGCTCAATTCCAAGACCGACCAAGTCTTTGTTTCCTTTGTTAGATACTCGGGCAACCGCCTTCTCTTCTTCAGCTTCTATCATCCCTGATCCTCTATCAAGTATGTCATTGCATGGTTATGTTGGCCAGCAGCCGTTTAGGGCCACACCAAAAAACACGGCGCTTCCATTTGACCATGAGGTATCTACCAAGCCAACCGGGGCATCTTTTGGCACCTCGGGTCAAGTCTTAATTCACTGTCTGCCTGCTGATACCACCGAAGAGAAACTACGGTTGATGCTTCTATTCTCGCAGGAACTCCTCAGTATTGAAATCCTGCCTCTAGATGTGTCTCCAGACGTCGGTCTTCGTTCAGCTATCGTCAAGTTCCATACCCCTGCAGGCGCGCAACAAGCGAAGGATATGTTACATGGCAAATCCACTCGACCAAATGAACACGAGTTGGTCGTCGAAATCTTATCTGGAAGCCCGACTGATTCTAGAAGATATCCACTTGAAGACAGCGTCCCAACTCAGACGAATGGCTCTACTTCCATCGCTGCTCCAGGCGCTCCTTCGCGCCAGCCTCCTCGATTCAGCGACTCGTTCTCTTCACATGAAAAGATCGTACCAGCCTCGAATAGTCTGTATTCAATTAACGACGTGACTAGCCCCGAATTCTATCATAATATTTTCAGTCCGCAGTCACCTATTGGCAACCACCTCACCAATCAAACACACAGCTTAGGAAAGACTCTTATCCACGATACGGCCGAGGACGATGAAACTCGAGAACTGCTAAAAGATCCTGTCGCCTACGCCGAGAATGGGGCTACACAGCAAAGACGCGCTACGGCGCCACAGATCCCCATTGCGCGTTTGTCTAATCTATCGCTCAATACCACTACCAATGGAAACGGTTCCATGCCACCATATGGGCACTCGAGCATGACACCTATGTCCGCTCACGGGAATAATATGTCGCCTACTATTATGAACGGGGTAAACCACCCGGGAAGCTATGGGATGGCCAATTATAATAATAATCGACAGCATTTTCCGCCTGTTAACCCTGCGGATCAGAATCCCCCATGCAACACTCTCTACGTTGGCAATTTGCCAGTCGATACCTCTGAGGAAGAACTCAAAGCTATGTTTCAAAAACAACGTGGATATAAACGACTATGTTTCCGTACCAAGCAAAACGGCCCCATGTGCTTCGTGGAATTTGAGGATGTTACTCTAGCAACCAGAGCCCTTCACGAGTGTTACGGTAAACTTCTACACAACAGTGTTAAGGGGGGTATTCGACTTAGCTTCTCGAAAAACCCACTCGGTGTTCGCTCCAATCCAACCGGTGGCCCCTCCGCGAACGGCTCGATAAGCAATATGAACCATTTAATGGCAGCAGCACCCAATGGCTACGCCATTACCAATGGGCCACCTCCCGGTCTGGGGACTCCTCCAGGCCTAGGCCGTGTCGATTACAATAATACAAACGGCAGCAACAGTAATCATCAACCAACAAGCGGTACCACTACACCTTCCGCTTACTCGATGGGAAATCGCTGGAATTCACTAAGCTACTCCCATCATCCAACTGCTCGCTCCTCACCGCCTCCTAATGGGGCCAACGGGATCAATGGAACCAATGGGACTAATGGGACTAATGGGACTCACGAAACCGACGAGTCCAATCGGCCCATGCCGACATACATGAACTACTTGGGGAGGCGTTAAACTTGAGTGATGAAGGAACATTATTACCCACAAATCCTAATTAAGGGCTCTATTTTCGAAAACGTTCAAAACCTGTCATATGATTATACCCAGATTCTCGACAATGTCAGCTTAACCTGGAAACATTAATCCAAACTGGTACTGTTTCCGGGATCGTGAGTGGGTAGCCGTTTTGGCTAGTGCTGCATATTTCTGGCGTTTGCAGTTGGTGCTCTTCTAAATGCGTCGTTCTTAGCGTTGGCGCTGTGATCTCCGTGGTTCTCAGATATGCCGAGCGTTATTGCGATAGCCTGGGAACTCAGTGTTGTTTTGTTTCTTTCTTTTTGCTTTTATTCAAGACCGGTTACGTGGGCATTGTTCGGGATTCGTTTTCTTTGCAGCATGTGGGCATCAGCGTCAGGGATCTTCATTCTACACCATTACGATTTTACAGCAGTCATTCATTAGTACTCGACATTAGTACTCAAACGCACAAATTGGAATTTGATTCGCGGGTAAAAGGATTACAACGCATGTATTGCGACCAATCACTCTCGGTCGAAATATGCAATTGGGATTATCTACAACCTTGCATGGCGCCACAAGGCGAATTTTGTCACTGGGCGTCGGGCAGCTCTCATACAACGGACATTGATCGAGAAAGAAACTCGTTCGAGACCACCTGCCATCCATTCAATTGGCAGGAAGGAAGGTGACACCACTTTTTATACGGCGAAAAGGGGATAGGTATAGGTTGGCATCCAGCAATCGGCGCTATATATCACAACTGGGATCTTGCCTTCATTGGTAGCTCACCTACAGCTGCATAACAGCACAGGGGGTGGTCATTTCATCGCATCGCATTGCATTGGAGAGGAAAGCGGCTGCATGGGCTTGGTGACTCCGCATCGTTGGCCGGTGTTTGCAATTCTGTTATTCTCACAGGGAAAACATGCATTGGGCACACTGGAGCAGGATTAACGACATTTCATCGCGAAATTGGGATCAGAGCAAGAAGCACGACTCGGAGATGACTGGAGCAGACAAAGTGGAATTCCGATACTTGTTGGGGCTGGGCGTGCTTTTGAACACACTATTCCAATCGTTCCAGTGGAGGCTCATTTTCTTCGGGGTCTGCAACCTATATTGTCTCAGATTTGTCTTGAATGTCTAAACATTAGACTCATTGTTGGCGTACCCGGGAACATGGAAAGAAATGGGCATTTCCTGACGTGACTTTTTTTTCCCCCTCTTTTATGTCTCACTTTTCACACCTCCATTTCAAACATAATTCTTTAGTCGACTAGCGTGGGTTTAGATGGTCACCTTGATTCGCATCCAGGAAAGAACAGCATATTTCAATTCCAAAAGCTATATTCATGTGCAAAGTCATGCTATGACCTTAGGTGTCAACTGTCTCTCCAGAATTCTACTATTCATTCTTATGCAGTCCAGTAATTCAAATTTGGTTCTTTGAACAGTCACTCTGTTTCTTAGTATGATGATGATTTGGCCCTTTCCCATCATTTATCTCCTCAAACTCCTTGATATTCAAGAGTGCGGTAAGGAGCTTCAGGAAAATATGCTCATCTACTTCCAGGATATTGTAGGAAGTGCACGTCGAATTGCTTATCGTTTCTGTTGCCCTAATGCGTGTAGTTGGCGTAATCCAAGAAACCAAACCCCTTTGGATACCGGATTTCTAGTCATAAAGAGATATCGGGTTTGAATATGTGTCATTAAAAAGGTGAATTCTATTAGCAGGCTGTTGTTCGAATGTTTAATGTTTCTAATATAATAAGAAGTAACTAAGGAAGGCTACGAGTATCCAGGATGAGATGAATTGATTCCGTAGTCCCCTTTACGCTATAGAGTTGGGCGGGGACTGAAGCTATGTTTAAACTGCAGGAACTCGGGGCCAGTACTGAGAAGAAATATACTCGAGGATTGTAGAGAGTTATTTTCTCAATTCAGGATTTAGCAAAGGTTAAGTATTCTGTACTTATGGAAGTCAGAATACCAACTTTAGCTTTTCTGATGCTATGGGCCTGTATTTCCCCCAATGAAACAAGCAAGGCTTTTAACTACATCCAAGATTTTGGCATGGCAGTCCACGTGAACCATCGTAACGCTGTAAATCTTGTTGTAGGGTTGTTCACTTGCTTACAAGGACCGCTACTCCGGCGTACGCGCGAAGTATTGCTTAGCTTGAAGTTTAGGGCATGTGGTTTCCGTCACCGCAGGAGGTGAATTGCACGACAGGAAAAACTGCTGTGCTTAGAAGCTTACTTTTGTATTGTGATTCAGACTTTTTCTACTGAAACCATACTTCTTGATCTAGCTTGTTAGTACAGGAAACGTAATGTTACTGAATACGGTAAGTGTAAGATATGATCGTGCGAGGTTCTGTATCAACTAGCTTTTATCTCGAAGTATCTCTCAACTGCGTAGTGTGTTGAAATTACATGCAGTGTAAAGTAATGCACGAGGAGATAATGTTTCGCCTGCACAGCCTTGTTCTAACAAGGTTGACTTAATTTACTGATACTAGAAAGAAGATAAATTACTTGATTAATTGCAAGCTATATTCCGGCGGTTTTTTTTTTTTTTGTTTCCTTCCCCTTTACATCAATGATGAGTTAGCTCCCGAGTGCGATGCAAGAGGTCTGTAGTGAAAACTATCTGCTCCCTTAAGCATGCATACAGGAAAGAGCATGTCAGGATAAATTCATCCTAGTCAGTAAATCATGTCCGCTTAATAGTCATTTTCTCTTGTGTCACTGTGAGGGTTGAGATGGTTGTTGGTGGCTAGTAGACACATCTACAGAATGGGGAAATGAGACCAACGCGTGGCAGTATTATTTCCTCACATGTGTATTTTAAGAAAATAAAAATAAAATAGAGCTTTAGCTTACTTTGTTTCACAACAAGGAGATGTAGCTCGTCTTCATTTGGTGATATGAGGCAGGACTCATAGCCTTTACCGGATTAGAAACATACTGTAAATTCGGTATACACGTGTTACTTGTTCCGCTTCAGTTCTCCAACTTAACAGTAGCTCCAAGAGAGTATGCATACTAAATACCTAACAGTTAGTATATCGTTGGGGGACAAGCAAACAGCGTTCTCTATGTCTAAATGCACATACTCGATGAGTCACATACTACAAGCGACGTTCTAGTCTATTACATCAATATCAAATACCTCAAGCTAGCGTGAATTGTATGGATGGTAGGTAGATTAGCTATACATATACAGGTAAGAACGTGGCTCCCATAGATGAGTGCTTGCTAGGCAAGGTTCAAAGTGGATATTCAGCTTAATGGTTCGATGATTAATGGGTCTTTCCTAATTTGACGTTGACAATTAACTCGCCTCGCGAATGGCAATAAAAGAAAGAAAGAAAGAGGCCGAAGACCTTTAAACATAACCATCATAACCTTTCAATATATTCCGCATCTTATGGAGGGCGTGGAAAAGATAGAGGACGTGTAAGCATGGAAGTAATACACCAATCACTTGAGACCATCTCATCCTAGGCGTAGACTAGAAACCTTCCAATATGGGGCAACGGTTGCATGAAATCGCTTCTTGTTGCTCAATCCAGCCAGTAGCGGCTTAGCTAGGTTATCTCTGGAGATGATCTACTTTCGCGCCTACGCGAATGAACTAAACACCTGCCTAGTTGCGAATTAGAGCCCAGTTTAGACAATTCTAGATGCTCGGAACTAGCCCCGCGAAGCCGGGACGCACTAGATCAACCTAGTCGGCGGGCGTCATCCCACGTGTTTGAATCTCGAATTCGCAAGTGATCGTCGCTGAGACCAGAAACTCGGACTCAGAAGACCGGGGGCTTCGGAAGGGCTTCCTGTTCTAGGCAATCCCGTAAAATGTGATATGAGAGCCTCTTGCCTAGCTCTTACAGCATTGACCAATTGTGAATTCACATCCTACCGGGGCTGGAAGAGCTGGGGATGGTGTGTGTCTGCTAGTCGGTAATAGGAGGATCCTTGCAGACTGGCCCAATGACGCTCTTGAATCTGTTGCCATACGCTAGATAGTTCATGTAATCCATGCAGGTAGATGACAGTTTCTCATTCTTTTGTCACGCGTTATTGGTTAGAAAAGCCATTTTAGGTTCGCTAGTTATGTTGTACACTAATCTACAATACCCCGGGCATGCATTTTACTCGATCTGAATCGACGATTCACATACACGGAATATTGTAGAGAGCCGTTCTTGCCGACGACAACCGTATTACGGCATGAGAGATGAAAAGCTGATGGGCAGGCAAGTTTACCACTACTGTAGCCGATGACCACTCATGTTTAGTTGGTTTGCCGCTTTCTGTGAGGCTAGGGGCTCTGGAGTGCGAACTGTTGTGATGAAAAGAGGAAACGATTAGGAGAAATCTAACCGATTTGTTCCAAATAAGGTCAACTGAAAGGGATCGTTTGAGTAGAGGTTAGTTATAACTACAATACTCACTGTGCGTGTTAGGGTATGTATATAACACTCCTAGTTGAACAAAAAGCTCATTACTACATTTTTCTGCGTGTTATTTTTGCTCATGGCTTGCTTCAGATATCTCCTAAGTAAGCCCAACGCTCAGTTCCAAAACGAGAACCTGAGAGCGACGGCTCTATGCTGAACGAGCTCAAATCGGAATCAGATCCTGGTCTCCGTGGTTAAACGCATTTCGTCTGCCATTTAGTGCTGTTGGCAATATTTCGATTTCATCAACAGTTAGGCAGTTTCCGTTGCCGTGGACATGCTTTGAGGAATACTTGTCCTTAAAGCAGAGCCTAACATTGGATCATATCGTCCTCGGCAGGAAGTACGAATTTGGCCAGCATAAAAAGACCAAGTGTGAAAATACCAGTCCTGATCAACAACGCCTATATGACATAGTCCAGGAGGTCTCGGATTTTTCACTGGAGCGAAGATGAACGAGTCTATTATTAATGCCAAGGGGGGCCCTTGATAACTGACAAATCGCTATGTGGGCTGTAGTGATTTC